GAGGGAAAGCGCCAGAAGATCGCATGTCAAGCTATTCAAGCTGGTTCGAAAGTATCGTGCAGCCCTTGGCCAGCCAGTTCAATCAATCCTTGAATCAGGCCTTCCAGAAAGCACCGAGGAGATCACTTCGATGTCCCAAGCAGAGCCAGTCCGCCCCACTGCCACGTTCCCCGAGGCAATGGCCATTTGCCAAAATGACAAGGACCTGTGGTCCACTCGAGCGCTCAGGTTCCAGAAGCCAGATGGAACAGCCAGCAACATGATGAACCTGTATACGTCAATTCCAGCCGAGTTCGACATTGCGAAGGACCTCGAAAGCTTCATTGTCTCGGTGATTGAAAGTATGAATGAGTTTAAATCCAAGACACCCAAGGTTCTGAATGAAGACAACAAGGAGGACGTCCAGCACCTCAAGTCCCAAAAACGCCGTCTCTATGCCGAGACCCTCAAGCAGCTGTATGAGATGGGTGTCAAACGTAATGCTGGATCGAGCATTATTGAAACGCAGGAAACAGTTCCGCAGGTTCTCGCCACTAGTGCCGCCTTCGAGGCTGGCGCTGCAACCTCAACTGCAGTCAAGAGTGCCGACTGGTACTTCCACAGACTTCTGGATCTCTTACCCAAGACCCGACTAGCGTCTCGCAACTATTCCGAGGAGCTCAGCAATGTTGAGGTCCACCGAAGCATGGGATCTATTGAGCATCTTGTTTTCACTGTCCGCCGTCAGAGAGGAATCATTTCGCCTGCCCTCACGGGCTTGGGCAAGTTGAAGTCTACGCTTGACAAGGTGCAAAACCTTTGGACAGCGGCTTCAAACTCTTTATCGCAAGACCGTGCATCTGCCTTGGAAGAGCGAACCAATCTCGTCAGAATCGTGGCTTGGTTGGCTCCTATTCTTGGACTAGCCGCAATGATCGTTGGAGTACATTCCAAGTTCTCGGGGATTGATGCATCTAAGATTGTGGAACAGCTCCGCGCCAAAAAGGCATCCTTCGATAGCCTACGCAAGTCGCACGAAGCCCTTCCCATGCTTCCCACCAGGATTGCATCCAACGCAAACTATGAGATCGCGCAGCAGGCACAATCATCACTTGATGAATTGGCTGCTGACTTGAAGCAATGGAGCCAAGCTCGCCCTGATCTGTCCTTCGCGCTGGATCAAATCACACCTTGGGTCAAGACAAACATCGCTGCTCTCCCTGAGGTCAATGATGACAACAACCTATCCCTCAAAGCCTTCGATAGCAGCCTCCTAACGGCCATTGACAAAATGCTCATCGGCCTCCAGAAGCTCAAGGAAGTGCCGTCTGCCATCACCTTTGAGGGATTGATGTCAAGGAGTGATGAGTTCTTCTCTCGTGGTATTAAGGCTGTCCATCTCACCGAGATCACTATCACATTGGAGAAGGTCCTTGATCAATTGCACCGCCTGCAAGACCACTCCTCTGCCGGCCTCTCCATTGCTGCCGCACTAATCACCAGTATCCTGCCTATCGCCAACAGGTACTACCAAATCTGTCGGGATCTGGCTGATCGGTTCATTGCCGTTCATCGCGAGATCTGTAAGACATCCTACATCCTGACCAAGACCTTCAACCAGGTCGCCTCCGATGGTTTCTGTAGTCCTGCCGAAGCCTCTCAAGATCAAGGCAAGGAGGGCCAGATGGAAAGTGGAACCGGTCTTGGCGAAGGCGAAGGCGAAGGCGCGGAAGATATCAGCAAAGATGTTGGCGACGACGAAGATCTAACTGAGTTGGCGCAACAAGAGAACAAGAAAGAGGACGGCGATGATGAGATGGATGATTCCAAGGATGCTGTCAACATGGATCAGGAAGATTTGGAAGGCGATGCCGAAGATAACAAGGACGAAGAGGAGAACGATGACAGTGGCGACGAAGGAGATGACGATATCGACGAAGAGACAGGAAGCGTCAATGACCTTGACCCAGGTGCTGTGGACGAAAAGCTCTGGGACGGTGGTAACGATGAGCAACAGAAGGATACTGAGAACGAAGAAGGAAAGGGCCAATCAGAGGCTGAGCAACAAGCTGCTGCTCAGGAAGAGAAGAAAGATGGTGAAAAGGGCGAAGAAAAGCAAAAGGAAGGAGAGGATGAGGAAGAGGAGGAAACAGAAGACGAAGAGGCCCCCGAAGACGAGGGCGAGGCAATTGGCCGTGAGGAAATGGACGTCACCGACCCTCAGGCGAAGGAAGAAGAAACACTGGAACTTCCGGAGGAAATGCAACTTGATGACGGTGAAGGCAAGGACGATAATGGCGAGGACGATGATGAGATGGATGATCTTGACGACGATTTCGGTCCTGCTCCCGAAGAAGAAGGGAAGGTCGAAGAAACTGACGACCAAGCTGGTGAAGAAGACGCCGAGGCAGCCCCAGAGGATCAAGTGTCAGGGGAGGAAGATGAAGAAATGGCTGATGATGCGGAGGAGACCAACGAAGGCGAAGCCGGAGAAGAGGAGGAAGAGGAAGCTGGCGGAGAAGATCCCGAGGAGGCTGAGCAAGATGACTTCCTCGCACAGCGTGATGAGAATGATGCGGCAGGTGATAACGTCGCTCCTAGTGAAGCTGTCACTGGCGGTCTCGGGGCCGAGCAAGACCAAAATGAAGAAAAGGGTGCCTCTGGTGACGCTCAGCAGGAGAGCGGCTCGACTGATCCCAGTGCCAATGTCGACCAACAGACAGGTGCTGCCAAGGACAGCGAGGAGAGCCAGCCCAGCCGAGACGCTGCTGGTGGCGAAGATCACGGGCCAGATGAGCCTCAGATGCAGGCATTCAAGAAGCTCGGTGATATCCTCGAGCAATGGCACCGACGACAAAAGGAGATCCTCAATCCGTCCCAACAGGAAGAGGAATCCCAGGCTATGCCCGAAGACACCGATATGGCCGACGCGGACTTCGAGCACTTGAAGGATGACGACGATGCCGCAGACACCCAGGCCCTTGGACAAGCAAACGACGACCAAACGCAAGCTCTCGACCAAAGCAAGGGTGTAGAGTCTGACATCAAGCCTGGGGAGAACGACGTTCTCCCAGACGTGTCAGACGATCAGCAAGAAGCCGTGGACAACCAGCTTGAGGATGAGATGCAAATTGACCGTGAGACCATTCCCGCCGATGGAGAGTCCGCCGGCGCCTTCATTCCTAGCGGTCAATCATCCCACGATCGCGCAGACGGAGCACAGGGCACCCAAGAACTGGACGAGGAGCTCGACGAAGTCGACTCGCAGCTTGCAGCGATCCACCTGTCCTCTTCGCTCCCCCCATTGACCCCACAAGACGAAGCGCGCCGCCTCTGGGCGCACTACGAGTCCGCCACAAATGATCTCTCTCTCTCCCTGACCGAACAGCTCCGTCTCATTCTCGCCCCCACAATGGCCACCAAGCTCCGCGGTGACTTCCGCACCGGAAAGCGTCTGAACATCAAGCGTATCATCCCCTACATCGCATCCCAGTACAAGCGCGACAAGATCTGGATGCGCCGCTCTATTCCCTCAAAGCGCAACTACCAGATCATGCTGGCTGTCGATGACAGCAAGTCCATGCTAGAAAGCGGTAGTGGTCAGCTCGCCTTCGAGACTCTTGCCCTTGTTGCGAAGAGTCTGAGCATGTTGGAAGCTGGCGACCTGTGCGTCCTCGGTTTCGGTAACGAAGATCATGTTCGTGTCGCCCACGAGTTCGGAAAGCCTTTCTCCTCCGAGGCTGGCTCCCAGGTCTTCCAGCACTTCAGCTACCAGCAAACTGGTACCAATGTGCGTAAGCTGATCGCCGACTCTATCGCTCTCTTCCGCGAAGCTCGCTGGAAGCGCTCGCCTGGCTCTGGCTCTGCCGATCTCTGGCAGCTTCAGTTGATTATCTCTGATGGTATCTGTGAAGATCATGATACTATTCGCCGTCTTGTTAGGCAGGCGCTTGAGGAGCGCATCATGGTTGTCTTTATCATCGTCGATGCTGTTAAGGGTAGCTCTATCCTTGAACTCTCGCAGGCTAGCTTCGAGGCCGATCCTAATTCAAATGGCGAGATGAAGCTCAAGATGAAGCGTTACCTCGAGGACTTCCCCTTCCCTTACTACCTTGTCGTTCGTGATGTGAGGGAGTTGCCCTCTGTCTTGGCTACTGCACTCAAGCAGTGGTTTGCCGAAGTTGTGGATGTGTCTTCTTGATACTCCAAAAAAAATAAAAGGAGTTGGAGTAGCCTAGGAGTTGTTTGTTATTATTTTGTTACATTTGACGGCGTTTGGGATGATTTATTTTTGTATATGATAGATTTTATAGATGTGATACATATCAGTTGAATGTACATTTTTATAAAAGAAAATGAATGATTCGGATTCTCTGTAGCTACTGTATTTGCTGATGCCATATTCATGCTGTATTGAGAATTCCGTCTTGTACTGTCTTAGCCCTGGTGTTACAAATGAAATCCTTCGAAATGGTTCTCTTGATATGTCAATATATGGTATCCTATGAGCGCACGCGTGTAAGTCTGAGTTGCAGTTGACTGATCAAGGCATTGTTAGAAGCCTCTATCAAGAGGAAATAAAATAAAAGCTATCCTAGGGGAATCGAACTCAGGCTGTCCCAATTAGGAAATCGTCCTATATAGGTCACTTCAAAGATGAGCTGTCTCCTTCATATCTGCCCTGGTTAGTCTAATGAGAGGAGGAATCTGTAGTCTATGTATCTCCTGGGACGCTGAGTGCGTATTACCTTCAATTGGTCTTGGGATTCATGACCCCAGGGCACAGTTAAGGTTCCTGCCGCTCTTAAGGTTGAACAAGGTACATAGATGGTAGTCCGCCATTGGACCGTATCCAGGTCCAAGCTACCGAAGGGGGCAGGCGGTCCTGACGGCCTTGGGTGTGGGTATGGAGGTACCTCCTCTCTTTTTTTTAACATTCTCGTATTTCCTACATGGTATGGTATCTCAATGCTAATGCGCTTGACAAAAATTCCCCCAGAATGACCTTATGTATGCTTAAACTACCATCCGTACTTGGATCCAGCTTCCTTCTTGTTTCTCCGACCCGTTGCAAAGCTTTCCTCCAATGCCTCCTTTTGAGAGCTTGCGACATTGAGCAATTGCTGGAGAGTATGCTTGCCCGGCGCAATGGCGCGTACAGGATTGTGCTGTGCTCCGGCGAGCTCTCCTTCCGCCAGAACCTTATTTGACGCGTACTCCTCGTCTATGTTGAAGGTACGCACCTGTGACTGCGACGCCGCGGCATTTCGACCGAAGAGCTGGCGTCTTTCAGACTTGGACAAGTTCAGGTCGTTTGCAATGCTGTCCAAGGATGATGTAGGATTGGTTGATACTGTTGCTCTGGAGTGCTCCATGGAGATTTGTGTAGGCTCAGCGAGTACTGGATCATCTGCTGATACTTCTTCGTCTTCGGCGTTGTACACCAGCGGCTGGTAGGTTGCTGATGGTCCAGGTGCCGGGCCCGGCTGAGAAGTGGTCTCGTCCGAGGATAGAGAGAAGAGACTGACTTTAGGTTTCGGTGGTGTAGGCGTAGGTGCAGGCGCAGGTGCAGGGGCTTGCTGTAGAGATTGGGCAGGCTTCGGCGCTGCTGATGAGGAAGGTGTTGGTTGCTCAGCAATCTTGGTGGTCTTTCTCTTCTTTTGAGGTCGTCCGACGGACAACGGTCTGAACATCATCGGATTTCCTTGCAATTTGACCTCCACCGGATTTTTTATCGTCTCTGATGCAGTGTCGGGTTTTGGGCTACCGGGTGCAGATGTGGTGTCCTTCACATCTCCGCCCGCTAGATTTTCGAACGCGAAATCATTCTTCATTTCGGCATCAGCTGTGCGATCAAACCCAGGGCCTGCTCCTGTTTTGAGGCTAAACGGTTTTCGTGTTGTCGCCACTGCTGCTTTCTTTTCGACTATTCGTTTCGGCGCTGGAAGGAAAGCGTTGAAACCGGAAAGGCCTCCTCCTCCACCTAATCGAGGCTTTTTGCGCGGGCCATCTTCTGTATCTTCGCCGGATGGGTGTTCGGGTTTGATTTCTGGAATCGCGAGACGGATCTTGCGTGGATTGTTGCGGTCGATCTGGAACCCGGTTTTGGAGTCGGATTTCTTTGCCTTGCTGATCTGGGAGGCGGGTGTAGTATCTGGCTCAGCATCTGAGCCTTCAGAATCAGAGTAGACTACTAGCACCATGTTGGGAGAGTTATGTTGGTGTTGTTGTTGTTGTTTGCCTGGGATTTGAGAGATCGGTACTGGTGACCAGTGAATTGTTTGACACCTGAACCTTCAGGCATAACAAACATTACATAATCATACCATCCGAATCGAGATCCAGAGATCGAGAGGCAAAGACATTACATAGTGGACTAGGGGACGGGATGGAATGGACCAAAGAGAAAATTGCCCGAAAGTACATCTGAGCCTGAAGGCCAAAACTCACTTGTTACAGTGAAACAAGAGGGATGATCACATCACTTTGTAACGTCATCGCATCCGGGTTCTCCGCTTCTTGGAGATTAATAGGATCATACTACTGTGAGAGGTGTTCATAGACATCCATAGTCACTTGGATTATCTGAATTGACTGCTCGGGAGCTGTAGAGTCTGACATTTGACATAGTCCATGGCTGTATATCAATCAGTAAACAGCTTGACAGTTGAGGGAATAATGGAATAAATAATCCAGATCAGAAGTTCTGAGCAATAGATTGTAGTAAGAGACTAAACCAAGCTAATAGACCAATTAGACTAAATAACAGACTATCAAATAGAAAGATCTAAGCTCAATACAATATTATAGGGTGTTCAAGTGTAAAGTCCATAATGAAAGATCAATGCGTCATTCTGGCCGCTGCCCCTCCCCACTTAATCCGGACCTCCCATTCCAGCTTTCACCCCCCCCCCCCCATCCCCCAAATGGCCCCAAAGCCTGTCTGATCTTCTCTCCATGCCGAGTTTAGGAGGTTTACTGAAGAAGAGGCGAACGAAGGATTCGCAAGATCTAGGGAAACCAGATACTCAGAACCAAGACGGTTCAGGCGCATCCATGCAACCCGCTTCACACGCCTCGCACGCTTCGCCCAACCAAACGGGTACGGGTAACGACAATGTCGCCAGTATCGACAACATTATAAACCAGGAGCAGCAGAAGCAGGAGCGTGTTACCAAGGGGAAATATTCTCAGGAGGACTTCGAGCTTCAGCGCACCTTGGGAACGGGGAGCTTCGGTCGTGTGCACCTGGTGCAGTCAAACCACAATCATCGCTTCTATGCAATGAAGGTGTTGAAGAAGGCCCAGGTGGTCAAGATGAAGCAAATTGAGCACACAAATGACGAGCGCCGCATGTTAAATCGTGTTCGCCATCCATTCCTCGTTACCTTGTGGGGAACGTGGCAGGACTCGCGAAACCTCTATATGGTCATGGACTTTGTGGAGGGAGGTGAATTGTTCAGTCTCCTGCGCAAGTCACAAGTGAGTGTCCCATCACTTCGTTCGGTCTTGTGTGTGTGAAACAAAAGAACTCATTTGTCTTTAGCGATTCCCGAACCCGGTGGCCAAATTCTATGCCGCGGAGGTCACCCTAGCGCTAGAGTATTTGCACTCTCACCAGATCATTTATCGTGATTTGAAGCCAGAAAACCTTTTGCTGGACCGTCATGGTCATCTGAAGATCACAGATTTTGGATTTGCTAAAAACGTGCCGGATATTACGTGGACACTTTGCGGTACACCGGATTACCTAGCACCGGAGGTTGTCTCCTCCAAGGGATACAACAAATCAGTTGACTGGTAAGCTTGCTTTCAATGCTTCCGTCAAATTGTTCTAACTGTCCCAAGGTGGTCATTGGGAATCTTAATTTTTGAAATGCTGTGTGGATTCACCCCATTCTGGGACAGCGGATCTCCAGTCAAGATCTACGAGAATATCCTGCGGGGTAGAGTCAAGTATCCTCCATACTTGCACACCGACGCGGTTGATCTACTCTCTCAGCTGATCACAGCCGACCTCACCAAGCGCCTCGGCAACTTGCACGGTGGCCCGAGTGATGTCAAGAACCATGCCTGGTTCGCCGAGGTCACTTGGGACCGACTAGCTCGTAAGGATATCGATGCGCCATATATCCCACCCATTCGCGGTGGACAAGGCGACGCAAGCCAATACGACAAGTATCCGGAAGAGACTGAGCACTATGGCCAGGAAGGGGACGATACGTATGTACTTCTTTCCACGCCACCCCACACACCTGACTAACTCGTTCCAGATACGGTCACCTTTTCCCCGACTTCTAAGGTGCTTGTATGATTTTATGACGCGACGAAAAGTCCTCTGGGGGGAGGGCTGGAACTGATTGACCCCGGGAGGAGTCGTGAAAAACCAGGAGCCATTATATGAAAATTCATACTTTTCTATATGCACATCATTTTTCTTAGCAATTACAATCGAATTTTTGTGTTTTTTTTTCTTTCAATTGCCTGCTCGATGTACAAATGGATTCGTCGTGAACCCTAGTCTATTCCCAATCTCTCCAACCACAGGGGGCACAAAAAGCCACGCCCATATTATACACGGGCTACCAGGCCGCTTCTATCGTACAGTAGTTCATTCACAGAGATGTGTGTGTGTGTCTTTTGGTGATTGTTTCGTCCTTCATCTTCCTTGCTTTCGTCTGACGGATCAAATTTAGCCCAGGATTCCGCTGCCGCCCTCGGGCATACCGGTAGCCATGGAGGCAATGGCAGCAGCATCCTGACCGCCGAGACGCTTGGTCTCCACGCCGACACGGGCGATGTAGGTCTTGCTTGTGAGATTCCACATGGCGATGTACTTCTCCATGCAGCTAGACAGGCAGGTGTTCTCCTTAGCCGAGAGCGAGGTACCGGGGGCGGGAACGCAGGCCTTGAAGCAGTGCTTGTTGATTTTCTGGAGTTGTTGTCAGTTTGTTGCCAGATTTGGATATCAAGGGTGGTGACGTACTCCGATCAGGGAGCGGGCGTTCGACATGGCGGCCTCCTGCTGGAGCTGGCGCATGACTGCAGCCTTGATCTCCTCAGAGGTCTGAGGGGCAGTGGTGGGGCCGGAACCAAAAAGCGACGACATTGTGAGAGAGGAAGATTGGTGGAACAGATATAATGGGATGGGTTGAATTGGATCGAATCGAAGAAAGTCGGCGGAGTTCAGGATCTGAGGTGCAGAATTGTGGCTGGTGTGTTAGCCTGCGCCACATTCGATGTGGACACCTTAGCATAACAAGCTGTATACTTCACCTCCTCGTCTCCGCGCCCCAGGAACTTTGCCTATTCACTCTTTCTTGTCGCCATTCCTCGAAAATTTTACGGCTTCTTTTCTTATTTCCTATTCGCCGGGTTTTCGGGTCCTGGTGACACCGTACCCCGTCCATCCCACCCTTGGCCTATCCTTGAATCAGTCTGAGCTCCCCTCCATTGAGCTCTATACAATTCCACAATGCGTCTTCCGTCTTTTTCCTCGCTTCTCTGCTTCGCGGGCCTAGTCGCCTTACCCGTGAATGCCTATGACGACCCAAATATCAAAAGCATCCCTGTATGTGCTCAATGGCGATGCTGTTTCAAGCCGAGGTACTGACTTTGGACGTTTGCTAGCTTCGCACCCACAGCCTCGCTCCGGTATGATAATATTCTGAGTCCAGCTTGTCTGCGAATTTCGAACTCAAGCTGCGCATAGCTCATTCCCCGAGGAGGAACATCAGTATTAACCGCCATTAATAGCCATACCTTGATTCGGATTTCCAAAGCCGCTGGTTCGACTTCGGAGGAGATACTGTAATTCGCGCTGATAGGTAAGGATATTATGCGCATTCGGGTGAAATTACTCATCAATGCTGATTGTTGACTCTGTGTTTAGATACGTCCGCCTCACGGCTGACCGGCCATCGCAGCAAGGATGGATCTCCTCCCGTGTGCCTCTGACCGCAACAAATTGGCAGGTAAATACCATGTCCTTGCGAATCAAAATACGCGCCAAAATCTCACGTATACCCCCTGCTAGATTGAGCTCGAGTTCGAGATCCACGGCTCTGGCAACTTGCATGGTGATGGATTTGCGCTCTGGCTCACCAAGGAGCGCGCCACGCAGGGCCCTGTCTTCGGTTCGACAGACAGATTTGAGGGCCTTGGTATCTTCTTCGACACTTATAAGAACAACCGCCCCGGTGTGTCATTCCCCTACGTCATGGCCATGATGGGTGATGGCCAGACCACCTACGATCAAGCGCATGATGGCAAGGCGAACGAGCTGGCCGGTTGCTCTGTGAGTTAATATTAATTGGCAGCTAGTTATGGATATATCTTTAACTATTCACAGGCTCGCGGTCTCCGCAGCGCCCCCGTTCCCACCAAGGCCCGCCTTACCTACTTCCAGGACAAGTCACTGTCCTTGGAACTGCAGTATAAAAGCGAAGATACATGGACCGAATGCTTCAATCTTTCCGCCGAGAATTCCAACATCGCCATCCCCTCCGTCGCATACTTGGGTCTCTCCGCCGAGACCGGCGAGCTGAGTGACAATCACGACATCATCTCCCTCAAGGCCGAGAACCTTTACTCCCTTAACCGCAGTAATGCTAACAAAGCCAAGACCACGGAAGACCAGTCCAAGGGCCGCTCTCGCTCACCCCCCAAACCTGTCAAAGAGCCCAAGGAGAAGGGTAGCTGGACTTGGTTCCTCTTCAAGAGCCTGCTATTCTTCGCCGTTATTGTCGGCGGTTACTTCGGCTGGACAGTCTACCGGACCAAGGCCCGGTCATCGCGTTTCTAAATTTACCCTATATGGACATTTGGTAAAGCATGAAACTTAAAACCTTTCCTCTGTACGATTCAAGTTGGTCTCTGGGTTTGACCAGTTTCTGTCTGATGAAAGGGATCTCGCATACATAGCATTGCTGCTTTGAAGCTCTTCTTTTACTCTGATCTACGTTCCCAACTACAGCTCTTGTCATCTTTTCTCTTCCTTGAAATGAATTAAAGTCATGATCATTCAAAATGTGCTCTCATATGCAGTATGAGGCTCGGGGTATCGATAATAGAACAAGTAACAAATCAAGACGCCACCCAATGTACACTCCTAGCTCATCTGTTCTGTCGTTCTCGTTCCTCATTCCACATGCGGTCTACAATCTGAAAGACCTCTGTGACACTGCGCATCACAACATCGTCAATGCCCAACGCGCCATACCGATGCTGGATCTTGTCGGGATGCCAGCGAATGCGCTCCACCTTCAGCGTACCGAGTAACTCGGCCGGCGGCGGGGCATGTCGCATGAATTCCTCAACAGAATTGGGCCGAACATCAGCCCTCTTCCCAGAGCGAACAGGCCAGAAGATCAGACTGCGTAGCGGCTTGGGAGTAGATCCTTCCACGGCCTTCCCGATAGTCTCCCAGCTTTTCAGGTACTCGGCCCAGGGTCCACTCCAGGTAGCCTTAGCTCTCTTGCGCTCCGCGCCTCGCCGTAGACTATCGTCCATGGCGCGTTCAAACTCCTCCCTCCCAGACTGCGCATTTCGCTGAGCCTCCTCCTTCCTTTTTTGCTGGCGCTCAGCCCGCAGACGCTCCTGCTCAGCCAGCATCCCCTCCCGTGTCCGCTCCCACATCCGGCGACGGACATACTCCACGTACTCTTCCTCAGTCATCTGCTCCAGCTCGCCTTCCGGGCCCCGCTGTACTTCCGGTACGCGGTAATTGTGGATGGGTTGGCCGTAGACAGATTCCCAGTATGCGGCGCCTTCGTCATCGCCGAGCGCGTCAAAAAGCGATTCGCGGAATGTGTCGCGTGCTGAATCGAAGGGGTACTCAGGTGTTGGGTCAGGATGCTTGTCCTCGCGATGTCGCCGCTTGGAGGGTTCAGTATCTCGCTCACGCGAGCGTTTGCTGTGCGTTCGTTTACGATGGGGGCGACTGCCATCTTTAAATCGGAATGCACGGCTGTGGCCTGCATGGGTGTGTTCTTCAGAAGTCTGGTTTTGTTGGTGACATTCTGTCGGCTCGCCGGTAGGTTTCGTGCTTTGAGAGTGCTGTGAGGGGTGGAATACCCCAGGCGCCTCGGCGGGTGTGGATTTTGAGTTCATTGTGGTATTTCTCAGGCAAAAAAGCAGCTCCAATTAGCGAATCTCATTGCTCAAAGCTATTGAGAGCAAAGCAAAGTATCAGAGGAGTGTCAAAAAGGTAAATGCCCAGCTAATCTGGAAAGCGCCCGCGGAGATAAGATATATTAGTCATCTTATCTCCAGTGTGTTCTGCCAGATTTATGCGAATGGGGGAAAAGCAGTCCGCTTTCTGAGGAATATATGGAAAACATGGAGTGAAGCAAGGTACGGTATGGTCAATCAATGTGTAGAATTCCAACATGGATCGTGTTATATATGGCCTACTTGAGGAGATTCCAGGGATCGCCCCCAATAGCCCAATCTGCCTCGATATGGAGCATAATGAACTAGGGCTACTCGGCAAGACTACGGTGTACTCTCAACTCACCCTACATACACTATACTTTACCTTACTCGCTCTGCCCCAGTTTGATCAGTTGTTTGCTTTCTCTTTTCACACATGAGCCCCTTGGCCCACACTTGATTTCAAGTTTAGTTGGAAGTATGATCTTGCTCCTTCCTCCCCTCGACTCTTCTCTCTCTTCTCACCTGATTCTCCTCATCCCCGCTCGAATCTTCATTCAAATCTGGCCATCTATCATCGATCAAAATTCAGACAGCCGGTGAAGTGCTGGAGTCCCAGACACGATCGGGCGTAAGTACATTTCCGATTGCTATTATCCTGGTCCTTATCTCACCATGTGTATTCATCTAGGTCGAATGCAGAATGTGCTGTCTATAAGCGTCTATTAGACTCACGACCTAGGGGTTACGATGTCTTCGCGAGCATGATACCTGCTGGGGACATACTGTGCTCGAGTTTATTCCCTAATGGGAGGGCACTTGTCCTCCCCTACAAGGATATACAGATCCTTGCCCATGTCTGGAACAAACTTAGCAACCGCGAGCAAACCCACGTCCTTGAGGAATATAAGAAGGCCATCCGCATTCTTCGGTCTCCGTCAATCTACGTGCCTAATACTGGAAAGCACAACGTTTTGTATCAAAGGGAGACAGGAGCCATGACTATGTTGGACTTCAAAACTGCTATAGAATGTCCCCAGTCAGAAAATTTGCCTTATACCGAGCTGCTGTCGCTCGTTGGGGACCCTGTGATACGTGGACACACGAGTGGTGGGTAGTTATATTATATCATTCTGGTACCACGCTTGTTTTTACTTATATATTATTATCCATGATTCTTTCCGAACTCAAGTCTTCATAGTTCGAGATAGCTTCTTAGTCTTGGAAATGCTAGAGGACTGCCTGGTAGCCATCAGTGCGCCATAATATATTGCTCAACCTTGTCCAGTCCCTAGGGTTCCCGGAGGTCAAACCGTCCTTAAACTTAAAGGCTGCGCAGTGTATGGTTACTCCTGAATCTACACTATTTGGGCGCGGGGGAATATTGAATATTCCCCTGATTGATACGCAACCAGACGCTAAGTCGTAAAGCTAACCGGCACGGCCGCCTTCTCTATGACGATACTTTCATTCGAAGAAACTTTACCTAGTAGTTCCAGATGATAGCTCAAATGTCTACGCGTATCTTGGAACCTTCCAAGGTTGGAAGTCTGCTTTGAGATAAGGTTATGCTAAGTGGGCCACCATAGGTGGGTCTATAATCACGTGGCTGGGGATTTATGTCTGTACCCGGACAGCCACCTAAGGTTCTCTAACATCTTCACTTCTTAGTTGAATACGTATCAAAATAAAATAAAATGCAACCTAAAAGCCTGATCGAATGGTGAATATTCGTTGTTGAATAAGGTGAAAGTTGCAATATGCCTGTAAAACGCCATTCCTAACCTAAAGTCCAACCCTGCCCCCCCCCCCCCCCCCCCCCCCCCCCAAACGCAATTCCATGTTCAGAAGAGCAGATAATCAAATGCGATAATGTGCCATGTTTTTCTTAATCTCATCCACAATCTCCACAGCCTCACTGGTACTCCTTGCCTCAAAGTCATAGCGCTTCTGCTCTGTGGCATCATTGCCGCGCACGATCATCACTCGGAAGCTCTTGGGGTGCCGTCGGCTGACCTTGGATCCAATCACGTCGCTGAAGCTGATCGATCGGGTCTTGCCACCAGACGCCGTTTTGCCCGTATCACCAGGCACAATATGCATATAATCATTTTCAAATGTGAGGATCCGATGGTTGGATGCTGTGAAAGACATGGGTTGTTTGCGGAATACGTGGTATCTGCGGTAATATCCGCCGAGGTGATCTTGTTTCTGGGAAGATGAGGGCAGCATGCGCTGGCCACCCTTCTTAGCCTCTTTTTTGCTCTTTTTGGAAGTTGTCGGGTCGGCGGTTTCCACCATCAAAGGTGCATTGGGTGATGAGCTGTCCGGTGAGGTTCCGAGTGCGAGGGGGCCGCCGCCGAAGCGGCGACGCACCAGATCAAGGTCTGTGATGCTGCCCAATGCCTCCACTGTGCGGTCAAGTGGTGCGATCGTGTTCGACCCCATCACCTTTAAGAGGTAGTTGCCCTTATCCTGGCCCCATCGTTTACATACAGAGTCCAAGATCTCAGCTATATAGCTGTCGGTAGATGTATTGATGGTCATGACATGAGCGGAAGCCTCCATGTTGATGAAGCGAATCTTCAATGTCTTGGAAACACCAAGACGGGGAGTGGCATGCGATATAGGTACCACGGGGCGGTCAGCAGGAGTAAGAGTGCTATGGTTGAGCGCAGATGAGAATGGTTGTCCGAGGATGGGGTTTGCTCGGGCTGGTGTGATCTGAGGGGTCTTGTTCTGTGCAGCGGGTTGAGTCCCTGGTGTTCCAAGATTCGCCGGCTGATCTGCCTCTTCAGACCCAAAACTCGAACTAAATTGGGGATACAGCCGTTCGTTCTCCTCAAACTCCGATTTCGATGCTTCAACCAGTGCGAATTCATCATACGGCTTGCCCCTTGACCGTCCTCGGGACTTGGCAGATTGGTTGTTGTTTGATGTGAAATCTGTCATTGGGAGTGTCCGCCCAAGCGCTGGGAAGTCATATTCGACTTCGCCATCATCGACCATCCGTAGCGTCCATCGATTCACAGTCAAATTTTCGCGAGGAATTGGTGGACCGCGAGCATCCGCCAAGTATTTCCACAAGGCAAGACCAATGGTCTCAGAAACAGTCACTGGTGCGGGTTGTTCTGCAAGCTTGGACTCACGTGTAAGCGGTAGATCCAGCGGGTCTTCGGGGTCGCTTGAAAAGGGAACATAGATCTTTAAATACAACGAATCCTCTTGACCACGCCCTGAGAGAACTACGAATCTATCCACTGGATTGCTTGGTGCTCGCTTCCGGGAGGTAAGCTGGCTGGTCAATAAGCTGACCGGCTGTATCACGCTGATAGGCCGTGGCGGGGGAAGATCTTGCAATGCAGGAGCCGGAGTGCGATGCTTGCGCGGTGAATTATTCTGCGGCCCTGTGCCAGAAGGTAACTTGTTCATCATAGCCATGGGCGAGGACAAATTCAAACCGCCCGCTACGCCTGCCAGCAACAGGGAGCCAGATCCAGCTGTATTGTCAAAGTCAGATGAAAGTGCAGACTCAACAGACTCGGCACCTGAGTCCTCGTCTTCGTCCTCCTCGTGGAGCTCCCCGAGGGCCAGGCTCTCTGCACCTCGGCTGCCGGTTCGCTCACGCCGTCTGCGTGGATACTCGACGACCTGGTCACTCTCGGAGAATTGAACTTGTCCTTGCTTGTAGCCTCTGTTTTCGGCTTCGTTATCTGTTGATAGTTCACTGCTAGTGGTTGTGTCTCGACGGGGGCGTGGTTTTACTTGGCGGTATTGATTTGTGACGCTTTGGATTGATGCAGATGTGATCATCACCTCTGGTTGTTCCCTCTGGTCTTCAGAGCGCCTCGGAGAGGAATCGGCTCGATCTCGGCGGATGGGCATCTTGTCGAATTTTATTTGATCAACAGCACTGTTCTTTGTCAGATATGGAAGTAGAATACCACACAATAATCACCAACCTGCCAACGGTGTCCCCATCGTCGTCGCTGTCGTCACTCAAATCGCTACTATCGTCGTCCTCTGCCTCTACTTGTCTCTGGACCTCTTGCTGCCTTTCTCGTCGAGTTTTCTTCTTTCCCCCGCGTGGGTGATTCCGCCGCGCGGTCATGTCCGCATGGCTCTTACTACCGGTCACCATGCCACCATCATCCTCGCCATCTTCCAGGCCGAGGCCTTGCAATTCGTGATGTTGAGGTTTTGCATTTCGTTCTGCTAGCCTGTAATATTCGGACGAAACGTTTGCCGTAGTTGGAATTGGCGGGGAGTAAGTGCGCTTCAGGTGGGAGGAGCTGTGCGTGTTGGGGTACACAGCGGCGGCGGTTGACCAGCCCGCCGCGCGGAAGCCAGGTGTATTCAGAATGGAGTCATTGACGTTGATAAGTCGGTCCCCGATTCCATCTTTGATTGTCGAGAGATATGAGGAGCGTAATTGCCAGATCGTAAAGCTATGCTCGGGTTAGTCCTTGGAGACCTTTGCGCGGCGATTTGAGGAGGCCCGGTCTACAATTCCGGGCGCGACTTACTCTTCATTGTGAAGGAGAGACATCTTCCTGGCTCTTTCACGAGGACATATGTCTGTAGTAACCCAGGGGTGTGCTGGGCAGTAGCGACCGAGGTCTGGATAATCTCACAGCAACTCGAGCTAAAAGAGCATGCTCAGGGGACTAAAGGGAAGGATGAAAGTGAATGAGACTAGCTCATCCAGGACCAGCCTGGAAAAATAGATCAAAAAGATAAAGGTATCAAAAAAGGAGAGAAAGGAGAGAATGGTGGTATGTCGGAAGCAGAAGAGAGGGAACTCGGTGTTCTCCACAGATCATTTCCCCGCCAAGGGGGTCGTCGTAGGGGTCACACTACTAATTTCTCAACTACAACGATGTTACATACAACATCTGACGGATAAATTATTGCTTCGCAGGAGGCTATGCTCTTAACCCCGGGCAATACTGAGAATTCTAGTCCATACTTGTGGAACATATTATACTACTATACGCAACTACTCTGGCATGGATGACTGATGACAAAATAAGCATTGAGATTCAAACACTCACAAGACTAAAATCTTTGGATATCCTCGAGATAGCATCTAGAAAGAAAACACAACACTTTCTCCAATACCAGTGAGCTGACTGACCGCCGCCAATGCCTCCCTCCATTGATCCAGACGAAATTGGCGGACATAGCATCCATGCTCTTCTTTCAGACCAAGATTCCCCTTCTCTACCATCTTGATCAGTGCAAGAGCGTCCTTTCGCTCATACATCCAGTTTCCCTTCAATGCGATATTGCAACGTGTGACAAATTGATTTGGGATCACAAGCTGCTCATATGCACCCATCAAACTCACCCGGCCTCCAGGCCTGAGCGACATAATGCCAGGTTCAAGATGGAAAGGCTCTCGTGTTCCTGGAGGAGAGATGTCGAGGAACGCATCCATCGCACCAAATGTTTTGATGTTAAGGATGTCTTGTTTACGGTCGCCTGTCCAGGTTATCGTAGAGATCCTTCCGTTAGAACCGTTAGGAGTGCGCGCTAGGAACTGATTGAGATGCATGAGCTTAGCATTATCATGACACCAGGCTACAACTTTTGCACCTAATATTCAGTTAGCCTAAACTCTTGATTGTCTATGGATGTTTTCGATAGCCAAGAAATACATTACCCATAGCCAAAGCAACCATGCAAGCAGCAACGCCATTTGGAGAAGTGGCCGGAAAGATCAACACCGTTTCACCAGGCTTCACATCAATGCTGGTCAGTCCACCAAAAGGCCTGAGGAATGTAGCAATCACACAAAGTTGCTCTGGGGTATATGCAAAACCCCACTCCCTCGGATCTCCCATCAACTTAGCTTCATCCAAAAGATAGCAATTCTCAAGCGGTGCCCTCATGAACTCGGCATATGAACCATCTGCGAAACCGCTAGAGGCTATGAATTTCTTGCTTCGATTATCAAACCCATGATACACAGGATTGCAAAATCGAACCGTCTCTGGGCTATCTCTTCCTTTCATCACTGAGTCAAAGAAGACTAGTTGGCCAACCTTCAAAGTGGTTGCATCATTACCGACTTGGCTCACACGGGCAATTGCACTTGATCCGGGAATAAAAGGGGTTTCATGAGAAGATCCCTTGGGGTTGTAAAATTCAAAGGCGAGCTTGCTGTAAGAGTGGAGAGGAGTTGCGAGGATACGCAGAAGTACACTTCCGGGCGTTAGAGACGGGATAAGGGCTTGTTCAACTTGGGGTTCGGTAAAGGGAGCAGGCCTAAGCCTAAGAACGTGATTCGTGATTTGAACCTTTGGGAGGATATTTCCGTGCAAGGTTGCTGGACGCTGAGTGTTCAGAAAATCTGTAGAATGACAGTTGGGTGTTTACATCTATGACGGGCGAGAGCATTGGCATACTTGTTGTGACATCTTTATCACCACCAGATCCAGAGACAGAACTCATCTTGGCATGCAGGAGCAGCTTTGCACACAACAAGAGTCGGAATTACAAGAAGAGATAAAAGGTGTGGAAAAGTGGAAGGAAATGAACTCGGCAGGAGGGGGCATCCTTGATGGGAAAACAGTATCAGAAAAGAAGTCCCAAGACACGAGAGACGTCAAGATGTAGATAAAATTAAATTGGCTCAGGGATGTCAAATTGCAGTTTGACATAATTAAAGCACATGTTTCTTAACAAAAGGATAGTATGTTACAAAAATGATGAATCTCTCAAGCCTTAGCCTTGGCCCTACTCTTACGAGCCTTCTTCGGCTTTTCCTCATCATCAACACCATCATCATCGGCCTTCTTCGTCTTCTTGCCCTTGGCCGGCGCCTTCTTCTTCTTAGGCAAGCTCACATACTTATCCTTCTTCAGATCAAGTACTTCCTCGTCCTCATTCTTGGTATCTTCAACAACCTCTTCGTCGTCGGATGCTTCAATGGCATCTTCAATATCAGGCATCTCCTTCTTTCCCTGCTTAGTTGCCACAACATTGCTAGCCTTCATGAATGGCATGGGATGCGAGCGTGAATTGTACAGACGCGTGAAGGTGGCTTTGGTTTGCGTCTCAAGTTTGATCTTAGACTCGTCCATTGGGCCGAGTCCTAGTTCAACCATAGAATCGAAGTCCTCACGGGTGAGATAGTATGAATCCATGAGATCAATGACTGAGTCGACACAGTCCTTGCCTTCGTCCATCAGTCGGCGTATTATCTTCTCCTGGAGCAAAGGCATGTACTGCTGACGGATCTCGTCGCGGTTACCCGTGGTACGAAGACGCATGTGTCCCTGTAGTTCCTTGACGTATCGGGATAGTTTGCCTGAAGAATAAGTCAATTAGAGAGCGTAGATAGACCGTGGGTGAATATCGAAAACATACCATGTTTACTGTTGTTTCCTAGCCAGCTAGTAAATGCAGGCCGCTCATGCATGTTTCCATACTGGAAGCTGGCTGGCCGCACAAAGCTGAAGATCGCATGGGTGGGCATAAGACTCCACTGCTGCTGAGTGCCGTGGATCATGCGGTCAACAAGGTCACCATCACTGATACTCGAGGCGGCATTGTCCAGCAACTCAAGCGACTTCAGTCGCTGTTCCTTGCCATGATATTTGCCAGTAAGAGCAGGCTTGGTCTTGAGGTAGTTTTCCTGAAGCATCAGGTAGCTGAACTCATGGTCATTGAAATAAAGCTCGACCTTGTCATTCAAGGTAGCAGTGGAACTCGGGGAAAACATCTGGGCGCTGAGAATTTTGCCCACAATATCCCATGGCTTGAGGATAATGTGCTTCTCCCACGCCTTTGACATCTCCTTGCCTTCCTCATAATTGAGACCTTTTTGATCCAGTCTCGCAGTGGAAAGCATGTTGATGACCTGGCGGATATCGGCATGGGTTCCTTCAATGAGGCCATCAAGCACAGGAGGCGGGATTTTGAGGCCTTCTCGGAAACAGATAGTGGACAGCCTTGCCCGAATTTGCTCAGCAGTCGGGCGTCTGAATGGCACATCAAAGGTTATGAAGTCGAAAGGTTTCATCTTGGGAAGCTTTCGCTCATTGCAGATAAGGATGATTGGAATCTTGCTCTTTTTGACAATGGCCGCGACAGCCCCCACACCTCCTCGATCACCAGCAGACATGCCATCAACCTCGTCCATGATGAGTATGAGCTTTTTCTTTCCACTTTCCACATGTTTGCCTTGTCCGGCAAAATATCCTTGCAATGATGTTGTATCTAACACCCCTAGGGTAGAACTCTCGACAAGTTTCTTACTTCTGGTGTCGCTGGCGTTGGTCTCCACGATATCGAATCCTTCCAGTTTTGCCACGAGATGGGCTGCTGTGGTTTTGCCGATTCCTGGGGGACCGTGAATAATGACGGCACGATATATTCCCGATCCATCTTTACCACCTTTTTTGAAGTCCGCCTGGGCATTGGCATGCCAGTTCCGCAGCCAGGTTTGAATCTTTTCCACGGCGCCCTTATTACCACAGATCATGTTGGTCGATGTTGGGGCATACTTTGTGGTCCATAGATCGCTAGATGACACCAGTTGTGAGCTTGGTGGCGTCTGGGACGCTGTGGCGGTGGTCTGGGGTCCTTGAGGAGTCGGGGCTGCCTTTCGTTGTTCCGCTTCCCGTTTCTTCTCTTCTGCGTCAATTTCGGCCGCCATAGCACGGACCTTAGCCTCGTCGGCTTTCAGCTTCTCGGCGTACTTTTCCGCAGCCTTTCCATCACCACCGTTGGCAGGAAGTCGTCGAATCAGTTCAAAAAGGCCGTCCTCGTTGATGGTCTTGATCTTGTGCTTCGCAATGGTCTCAAGCTTCTTTGGGCCTGCATCAGATCCGAGGACCACATAGTTCGTCTTAGAACTAGGAGCTCCCACGACTTTGCCACCATACTTTTTCACCAACTGCGCACCCTCTTCGCGCCCAAGGGAGTCCAGAACACCAGTGAAAACAAAAGACAAACCAGCAAGGCAGTTCTCTTCCCCAACGGGCATCTCTTTAGTCCCAGTCATTGCCGGGTCCCGGCTTTGTTGTGCTCCAAATTTGAATTTCTTTGCCTCTCCCTTAGGAGGTTCTGGAGCTTCAACTGTAGGAATACTGTCGAAGATATCTTGGAGCTCTTTGCTCTCTGGTTTATCCTCCTTTTTCTTTTTAGGGCTAGCCTTTGGCTTCTTCGAAGCTGGTGATGCCGCAACTTTGGCCTTCGGGGTTGCCTTCTTCGTTTCCTTTTTAGGTTCTTGATAGTCGTCATCTTCGTCCTCGTCGAGGAGAGCTTCCGACTTGCGTTTGCGGCCGGCTCGAGCCTTCGGGGCAGGGATCTTGGGGAGATCTTCCATGATCACATCATCCTCCTCACCACGAGAAGGTTGCTTTTTCTGTATCCTCTTCGATGCTGCAGCGACTGGCTTCACCTCAAGCATTTCGAAGTCATCATCATCGTCGCTATCATCTCCAGCAACATAATCGTCGTTGTCTTTGCCAGCCTTTCCGTATTCAGTTGCAAAAATGTCATCGGCGCCCAGATTCTCATCCTCGAGGATCTTTGTGGCCTGCTTTGTTGATCCCCGCGTAGACGTTCGTCCTTTGCTCGCAGGTTCTTCGGCTGTCTTCTTGGGTTTGGGACTTTCGGCAACAATATTGGCTTGAACGGGCTGAGCTTGTTCGGTGGTTTTGGTAGATCGAGATTTCTTCTTACTAGAGGCGAAATAGTCGGAGGTAGTTGTAGGTTCTTCTTTAGTCTCCTCAGGTTTTCTGCAAAGAAAGTTCGTCAGTCAAATTATACGAGGCATTTCAATCCAGCGATGGACATACGGTTGACTCTTGGACTTCGCTTTGATAGCGGGTGCTTTTATGGGGGTTACATCCTCTTCTTCGTCGCTGTCGTCCACAACTTTCCTGCTGCCTGTTCTCACATTAGACTGGTGATGTTAGAGTATTGATTATGAGTAGCATACGTCTCTTTCTTGTGGCGGAGGAGTCCTGTATTGTTGGAAATGAGATTAGAATATAATCTAGAGCTATTCAAAGGTGCCTGGCCACATAAAAGTGACCAGGACCTCCCTTCACGAGCAAGGCACCAGCTCACCTCTTTTTTTGCTGCGGCCTTCGCGGGGGCACCGCTGGAGCCTTGATTCGGCTTGCCACCAAAGAAATTCCGGATATCCATGGGGAGACTCGTTCAGTCGTAGGGACTTTGTCACAGAATAGTAACTGGTGATTTGGTTCAAGGCCAGTAGAGCTCTTGTAACGGCGTTTGGTAGATCGCGAACGACGCGCCACTCCCCGGGAGACGTGACTGGCTGACGTAAGGCAGCACTTTCTTCCCCTTTAGGACTAGCATATACAAGCTATAGGTACAGCTCTACTCCGTACTCCGGAACTATAAAAATCATCCATGAAAACAACCTATATGATTTGTCCAGTTAATCAAATAGCATGGATGGCATGGTAACACTATGTTATAAGGAGCCGCTAAGTATATTTACAAAATCATGGGCAAAGGCACGAGCTATTATCAGCCAGACAAGATACCATGTCTATACTACATATAATTTTAATTTTTAGGACGCGCAGCTTAGACTCATTATTTTGATGTATTTGAATGCGTCTTACATTAAGAATAAGCTATTGAGAGCTACTGTAGAATGAAAGATGCTGTAGGAAGTGGACTGAAATTGAGGCCTGATTTGTAAGGCCGAAATAAGCAGCTGGTGGTAGTGTCACGTGTATTTCACACTTCCACTTCCGGACTAGTGTCAATCATCGAAAAGTGCCGGAGTAACGAAGCCTTTCGCAACATTGATATATCTCGCCGTCTCTCTCCTCACAATGGGTCCACAGATCAAGATGTTTGCCGGACCGCTCTCCGCCTGCACGCGGCCAACCCGTATGAGCCATTCAATTCTCAGAAAATCCATTCGACCAAAGACTAACAGTGCAACGCAGTGTCAGGACCGCTGGCCACCTTTTCTCTATCGCGATGCTTCTCTACCACCTCGCCCGCCCTTGATTGGCTGACCCCGAAATTCCAAGAAAAATCAAAATCCCCCAAGGGTCGCCCTCACGTCGCTACTGGCGGATCTACCCGAGGAACAACGGTCGTGTGGGGAGACTTCGGTCTGCGCATGAAAGACCACGATCGCCGTATGCCCGCATCGGCGCTGAAGATCGCCGAAGAGACTATCAAGCGGCGGCTACGAGGAATGAACTATAAGCTGTACAAGCGTGTCAGTGCCAACATTGGTGTCTACACCAAAGGCAACGAGCAGCGTATGGGTAAGGGTAAGGGTAAGTTCGACTACTGGACTGTCCGACTGCCCGTGAGCCGAATCGTCTTTGAATTGAAGGGAGATGTCCACGAGAAGATTGCCCGCGAGGCTTTCAGACTGGCGGGCCACAAATTGCCAGGTAGGTTATACATTCTCTACATGTACAATTTCAGATACGGAAGATGCTCATTTTCACTCATTAGGTCTCTGGGAATTCGTCAACAAGGGTGACCCACCTGTCGTCGGTATCACAAAGCTCGGAAACGGTGTCACTCTCGAATCTCTCAAGAGGGCGCGCAGAAGCCCGCCCCTTGGTACCAATGAACTCGATTCCCCTCCGAAGAGCGCCTCCTCCAGCTCTGACCCCAGCCAATAAACTGTCGTTTCCTGCATGATACCGTTTTCTCTTTTTTAATCGGTCATGTCTGTTGCTTTTGTCGTCTTCGCCGACTAAGCCCCGACACCAGAACCAGGCCCATACCCCTGCAGTCTGCGGGCCTTGGCCACGGCATCGTCCTCATCACGTGTCATATCTTTTGTACATTATCATCAGCTGTTTGCGTCTCTTTGGGAGGCATCGAGGCACGGGCTCCTCCGATGGGTCCCTTGTCTTGATACTAGGAGTTTAGACAAGGAAAATATATTCAGCATTTACCTTTACCAGAGTTAGCGGATGCTCCCATGCCCAGCTTCTGTGCCTGGGAATCTTCGTCATTGAATGATGCTGGGCTTTGTGTTCCTAGACGTGGTGGTTTTTCACTTGTAGTGTGCTTAACGCCGCCTTGGATGAGGTCAGTCATTGTTATAGTTCACCCAAAGATATATTTCGAGCAATGACACACTTCCCAACTGTCCGGTCTGCTTTGAAGGACTCTTAGTGAATTCGCGGATAGACTCGTATCTGCACACTGCATATCAGCGAAGAGCAATTGCAAGAGGTGGGATTGACGCAAGTCCATACTGAGTGCTCTCTCCACCGGGTTCTATATCAACAAGTCTGGGGTCGGACATTTTGATGGTGTTTGTGTGGGATAAAAGTAGAGCGACGAGAAATCCTGATCTGATCAGCAGATAAAAGCTATTCTGATGTTCCCAGCAGGTCCAGTTTATGGATGACCCCGGGACGGGGATATGATGACGTATGTTAGTCAAAAGGACAATCTTGTAATCTCTGACCTAGACAATTCGGAATTTGATATCATTGTATCGAATCTAAGCTACTCAGAATCGACTGTTCCTACAATGCGAACAGAGCTTCACTACCGAAGTGGATACATACCTGGGAGCTTGAATGGTTGATGTATGCAAAGATCTTTCTACTACCTCAGAGATAGTACACAAGTGATATAACGCCAGAATCCTGAATTGCCTTCATGCGCCCGTGAAAAGTGTAATTAAATCGGATACCTAGAGATTTCGAAAAAGTGTGATTCTGCTTAATGGCAGATCATGTCTTCCTAGATCCCATGCTCACTGAAAACCACCTTAGTGTACAAATCGTCATTCATCCATTGTCTTGGTTTGTTGGTAGCGAGTAATTAAAAATCCATGCCCATCAGATAACTGTAATGTGTTATTAATTAGGTGTCTCCGTTAAATTACCGGGAAAGCATACCTTTCATAGATGCGCATGAACTTGGCCACGAAGGCTTCGAGATGGAAGATTACTTTCTGTATCGAATTATTCATTAGCACTTGAACTGATGACAGTGATAATCATCAATGACCTACGCTTCCCAGCTTGATGCGGTGCTCATAGAAGGCAGACCACTTGATAACGTCCGGCTTCAGCGCATCGTCAACTCGTGCAACGAGCTTGAATGTCAAGGTCTAGCGCCAACAGTTATTACCCGGAGCAGACTCGTTGCAAAGATGGAAACATACCTTCAAAATAGTCGTTGGTGGGATGCAATGGGTCAAAAGATCATAAAGACGTGCGCGGACATGCAACAGCCGAGCCGGTGATCGCTCAGCCAGAATCTCATCAGCCGTCAGGGTAACGAGGGCCTCCCAGTCCGGAGGCGGGATGAGCGTCTTATCCGTAACTTTTTCACTAGTTTTTCAAAAACGTAAGCCTCTAAATCTAGGCTAATGGGAATCGAAGTGGTAGCTCACTTTTGCGCATAAATTGACTCGAACATGAGCAGGGCACGACGCAAATTGCGTCCACTCTCCTTTGCAATCCTCTTGTTAAGCACCTCGGACTCGGCCCATCCTTCCTTCTTCCCTGCCATATGAAGCGCGGAGCAAATGTCGCTTTCAGTAGGCGCGGCAACCCTGACCAGCAGGGTTCGAGACCGAATTGGTGCAATGATGTTGGAGGTGCTGTTGGCCAGAAGAATCAATCGCAGATTGGGACTGTATTTCTCCATGGTACGTCTGAGAGCTGCTTGGGCATCTCGTGTGAGATGATCAGCTTCATTGATCACGACAATTTTGAACCGCTGCTTCGCGCCGAGATCGACCTGTTGTGTCTGCGCAACCTCTTTGAGCAATTCCTGGACGACCACTCGGTCATAAGATCCGACGTCTGCGGGAGTGATCTCAAGGTGGTATACCGATGAGACAATGTTGAATTCTAGCTTTCGGTTGCTTGTCGTTTGGAAGACTCTGGCGTCGATCTTGATCTTCTCGACACCGGGGCCGTACAGTTCTTTTAGTGTCGCAATCACCCGTGTTTTCTTGCCAGCTCCCGAGGGCCCATAGACTAGTAGATGAGGGAAGTCTCCGCTTTGTGCCTATTAAGGGTGCCTTATGTCAAAAGGGTGTTCATGTTCCGCAGGTCAAGATTTCTTACCAGCGACCGCAAGCGATCAGAGAGCTCGGGGTGATACGAGAGAGCATCGAGGGTGCGTGGCCGCAGCTTGTCCACAAGGAGAGCCATTTCGAAAACTCCGGAGAGCTACTGAGGAGATTAGGGAGTCGAGGGGCTTGTGGTTTTTCGATAGAGGATGCGGACTGGAGAACGCGTCCAGACACGCGCCTAATTAATCACTGGTCCGTGCACGCTCCCACTATATGTATCTACGGATGCAACTAAGGGCCTCGACGGACTTATTTCGATGTAGACTGTACAAATACATATGAATAAATTCAATAATATATACAGCTAAATAGTTTCCTAGGCATTTGGCAGCCTTCCGCCAAACTCCGAGATGTATAGTACATGCGAAATTTGCTTTGAGAGATGAGATGGATGCGAAAACGCCGGACACAATAGTACGCATGGTTCTTCGTTTACTGTTGAACGTCCAAGCCTATGCAAATTCACACACTTGAAATACAGTACCCCAATGCGCCCTTGGTATGAGCTTCTTATTGTGCAATTGGCGTCAAAACACCATTGTCATCATATTTCGCTTCTGCTTTAGGTTAGATCGGACCAAGAAAGCAACGAATAGAGACAAAACTTACTGAAGAAGGTATATGATAGGGTAATGGTATCAATACCCTTCATATTAGGATCGGTAGCAAAGTCAGGATCAATGAAGAAGAAAACAGGCATATCGACCGATTCTCCCGCATTGAGCTTCTGCTCCTCAAAACAGAAACATTGGATCTTGCTGAAGTATGGAGCGACCTGACCGGGCGTGACACTGTATGTTGCGACTCCAATAATATCCTGCGGACCCTTATTCGTTGCAGTATAGAATGCCAGCGCTGTCTCACCTGGGAGAACTCGGACCTCGCGCTGCTGGGGAGTGAACTTCCAAGGGAGGACATCCGATACCGAGCCATTGAATGTGATGCGTAGACGACGAGAGTCCGTCACTGGGGTCACACGGGCAGAGGTATCGCCGTCGCCGGTTCGGTGGGTGAGGATGGGCTGACCACCCCAACCGGTCTGTTGGCAGATCTGCAATTGGGACCAGAATGAGATTCTCTCTATATAGGATATAATCTAGAACCGAGTGGGAGCTTGGCATACCATTTTGTAAAGAGGCACAGATCCATATGCAAGGGCAACCGTTCCGAGGATCATACTGATAGTATAGTACCTGATCGAGGGCTTTATTAGCACATGGGTTCCCTCAAATGCAGGTCTAATGGCAGCTCACATTACAGAAGTATTGCGTTTTTGCGATTGTGGGGTATTGAAAGGCGCTGCAGATGAATTGCGTTGTTCATGGAGCAGGAAATTCCTCGAGAAATACCTCCGCTCTACCTCGAAGACGCTCTTTTGGAGATAGATTGATCGCTGGGGGATCGTCCCCGTCAGCGCAGAGCGCCCCAGGGAGGGGAGCAATCGTGAAAACATGGTTCTATGATTTCAATGGAATTGGATGTTGAGTCGCATGAGATCCAGCCATCCCCAACACGTGATAATTCTGATTCAACAGCTTATCGATAAGCCCGAAGCTTCAGGGTCACGTTACATCTAACGGCCAGCAACCTGTGGACAATAAGACAAGCTGAATGTTTTGAATTGATTTCTGATTTATTGATGAGTGGAAATTGGATCACGACTATAAGTTTCTCAATTTGGAAGTTTTAATCACCTCCCTGACAGCCTAGACTGCAAATTTAGCATCATCATGGCCTGATTTACCAGTATAGAAGCAGAAAATCACGGCAGTGTTGATAGGAAGATACTTTCCTTGTACAAGTATCTAATAGGTGTTACTAGGCCTGTAGAACACACTAGATGCATTTATACGCAAGGATGCAAACTTCAGAAAGATAATACAGGTTAGTAGTACCCAGAAATCAGACCCAAAGTCTACTTTGTACATAAGTAAGCGAAAACTAATACAACCGGTTGATGCCTTCAAGGCATGCCGCTGAAGGGAAGTCTAATTCAACACACTCGACGTAATGCGGCCAAAAACTCCTCGTACCATGCTAGGGCGTTCGCGGAGGCAAGTGATAAGAATAGCAGCGCTAACAGCAAATGCAACGCGCTCTCGGTATTGATACTGGGAAACAGCAACACGCGTTAGCACCTCGTAATTTTCCTGGAACCCTGTCACAGGCTAATTTGGAGACATTGAGATGGGGGTGGAAGGAATGTGGGTGTAACCCTGTTGTGAACAGAGGATGCGAGGGTCCAATACATACCTTTTTATCATACAACCGTGGCAAGACCGTGGCGGCAGCCCGGGGTGCCACAAATAGCGCCAACTCTTGCCTCTTCCGCATCTTTTCAACCAATATACTCCAGCCACACATGAGACATCCCGCACCAACGCAGAACCCAGAGTCCCACATCATCGGAGTGATGATCTTCGCATCGAAGATCTTGGGGCCAAGTCGTGTCCGAGCAAGACAGACGCCGTAGTAAAATAGGCTCACAAAAGATGCGAGGAAGGCAGATGACTGTGCTGCGTCCGAAAGGGCCCGACGGAGGGCAGTTGCAGATTTCATCCTGCGCAGACGGAAAATGATTTGTAGGGGTATATAAGTTGCACAGGCAAATTTGAAGGTTTTGACAAATCGATACAATGCGTGCTTCTCACAACTGGGGCCACAGCCCATGTGAACCATTTCGCAAGGGATCGGGACCACTTTTGCTGGGTCTCCCCACACCTCTGGCCAGTTGTAGTCTTTGCACATCGACTGGAGAAGAGGTGCCTGGCCTGTATCCTTTCCATAAACGAAGACTCCTCGTCGAACACGACGCAAGGCTTCGATCAATCGTGAATCAACCTGAGCAGCTTCCCCGATCCACTTCTCGTAGGTATCGGGAAGTCTTTCAGGGAGGTAAAACCATGCCCACATGACTATAGAGGCACTCGCGGCAAAGATAGCTGCGTCGGCGAAGCTAGGAACAAGGGATTCGATAGTCGTCCAGCGATTCTGGACCCGGCGGCGACGAGACCAGCGACCCCATGCAACGCACGCGACCGCATCTACGGCTCTTATGAACATATAGATAGTGAGGTCCATTGTCCTCCCTGCTAATTCTGGGCGGTGATGCTCCAGCGGATTTGCCACAACATGACCAGGGTCTTCCCCCTGATCTGTGGAGTTCCGGATAGCTCTGACATCTTCTATTGGTAGACAGAGACGATTTCTGTTGAGCAGTTGAAAACTGAACCATCCAGATAGAAAAGTGATGACGAATCTAATTAAGCAGTCGAGCCTTTGTGAGATCTGAATGTCACTTTTGGAGAGTCCTGCTGTAATCAATGCACATAGACGATACAACCCTATTGGTAGTAGAGTTGAACCACCAACCAGGGAAGCACAACCTGTTGGGAAGCTGTTCAGACGCAAAGGACCAGTCAAAACTTTAGCTAGCTATTCAAATCGACGTCAGCAATGGCACGGCACTTCCCTTGCGCAATGGACCGGGGAAAACGGTGACAAACAAAAGCCCACACTGCATGATGGATGTCACGGCATACCTCTTGAAGTTTCTGTTGCGCAGTCCAGTCCTTCTTGCGGAGCCGGCGTACATAAGACACCAATTTGGGGGTGACGGAAGACAGGTACCCGAGCGCGTAGGCGCGAAGGAGGCTACAGTCACAATCAGCAAGGACTCTTCCGATCACACAGTTGCACCAAGCCACAAGGGTAACAGATCGCATGGACTCACGGCTTGAATAACCGGACGTTGTCCCTTCTATCGTGTCTCCGGAGTGCAGGTTCCATGCTGCCGGAAACCTTCATGTCATGATCCGTCGGGAGGTGTCAACATCACAGTTCCCCGAACTAATCGGCGACGAGGGGTCAACCAACAGTAAACTTTGATGGGATTCACAAGAATTCCCTCACCAATCAGAAAACCAGGAGGTGTAAGAGCTCAATGTGTTTTGTCCGTGGGTGACCTAAGACTTGCACCTCCCGAAAATTGGGTAGTATTCTCCGGCAGAGAGAAATTGACACTTGCACGATCGTTTTCTGGACTATGGATCAACAGTGGATCCCACGTAGCGGCCTGTTGGAGGCTTGGTACTTGGACCTCGGTCCCTGCCCAGGGGGAGGGGGGGGGGAATTCAGAAAAATCCCCGCAAACAAGATCCAAAGTCGGGGGAGGGACCGATTAAGAGAAGACAGTGGACGATCATCCGAAGCAATGGGCCTTTCGGAGTAAAATAGTCGGGATTGCGGGGCTCTCTTCACACTGAACAAGGCGGATGTTTTTTTTTTAAATTTAAAGCCCTTGAACATAACAAAAATATCAGGAGAACAATCCCAGAAAAAAAAGGAACTCAGAATTATGGGATTTCCTACCAAAAATAAGATATGTAAGGAAGCGCACATGTGCAGGTGTGCAGTGTTCTGAATGTACATCAGGTGTACCTGCAGTGTACTTGCATTGGAGTGACTACAACATAAGTCTCTCTCAGGGCCTGGGGGCCTTTTTCAGGGCCTCGGGAAGGTTCCCCGGAAGTGAACAGCTTCCCCCAGTAACTTAAGAAATACCGAGGGTACAATTGTAAGCCACAATGGAATGGCGGTATTTTATGTAATATTGGTACTGTTACGTCACGCGCCCAAATTTTTGCATGTGATCACGTTGATGTCCGGACGATTGCTTTGATGCGAAACCATCCACACTTCTTCTACAGGACGGATCTCTCTTGCTTTCGGACACTCTCTTGATCCTCTTCTAGTTTCTTTCTTTCTTTGCACTTCTACCTGATCTTATTGCTCCTATCCCATTGCGCCGAAGCGAACCGGCTCCTTATCGAGTCGCATTATCAACCCTCGAGAACCCTCGTGGCCTTGATCTACCCCCCCGCGTCCCTCTTTTGTGGAGTCGAACCGTCCTTATCACTTTGGTCGCATACAGTCTGCATTAGAGTCCAAGGCATGACAACATCGCCTTGGTCCGCGCTGCTCTTGTCATCAGAGTAGCAACCCTTTCCTTGACCGACACATTCCGGCATACAAATCCCTCTTGACATTGAAACACTCTTCACTATGAATGGACATGGGACCGAAGTTCAGAGTGAGCGCAAATCCCCTTCATCTGCTCCCTTTGGGTGTGAGTTGTTCCAGTTAGTAGTTTGTACTGTTCCCTCTCTAACCCAATTCCAGACTCCTTTCTCTCCGCCATGGACACCCCCTTTGAACAGGCACCTGCTCTCCCCCCAGGGCCTTCTCTTCTTGATGATAATGAATCCAATATGCTCGACAACTTCTTTACTACCATGAATGCAAACCACTTTACGAATGATTTTTGGATGCGACAAGAACATAAATCCAACTTTGACTGGTCAGCTGAACTGCCACCCAACTTCGAGGGCTCCACCACGTCCCTGTCACAGCCTTCATTTCAGAACCATGGGCTATGCAAAGCACCTGGAGGAATGATGACAGACAACCCTACGAGCTCGGATATATTTGCCGCAGCCTCTATGCTTTACCACACCGGCCTAAATGGGTCAGAGTTAGGATCCACGTTAGCACACCAGGCTTTCGGGGGACCATCTCTTCCCATTCCCGGGACACATCGAACAAATAATTCACAAACTGGCAATATTGCACATGTTTCAACTGCATCTCCACCTCGGGCTGATGTCCCGACTGGATATCATACCTCGGAGATGTTTTTCGACGTCCGTGACCCAATTCCTGTGGACCAGCACCCCTCAAGAAAAGCCCGTAGTTTGCGTTGGGGCTCAGATGCCAGTTTCATGGATCAAGGCTATCTTCGCCCCCCTGACCAGCCCGACGAGGAACAACGGACAAATGACTTGCTCGACCATCTCGGATGTTTTGAACCTCAAAGCAGTGCAGCAAACACACGAGCACCTAGTCCAGAGTGCATGCCCGGCGATCCCCCTCGGCGATCAGCCTTCCGAGGTGTTGCTGTCCCGGACGAGAGCTTCCATCCTCGAAAACGGCAAAGAGCCCTGAAAGAGGAGAATGACGAATACTCTGGTGACGATGACGCACGGCCTCACTCAAGAAAATCTAGAGGATCTATCGGCAGAGGCCGACGGGTGTCAGCGGACATGTCTCGAAAATCCCGACTACAGTCGGGGTCCAAATCTGCACGAGAGAATCTTACAGAAGAGCAAAAACGGACCAACCACATTCTTTCAGAGCAGAAGCGTCGAAATCTCATTCGCCAAGGGTTCGAAGATTTGTGCACACTCGTCCCTGCGCTCAGAGGCGGCGGGTTCAGCAAAAGCGCAATGCTCACCGGTGCTGCTGACTGGCTTGAAGACCTTCTCCAGGGAAATGACATCCTCCAAAGCCAACTGCGTGACTTAAAGGGCATCAGTGGATTGGTGATGCCGCGATAATACCCTCTGTGACAACATTAATTTACGATCTCATGGATGGCCCCTGCCTCTTTTCTTCGTGGGGATTGCAAGCGTTTCAGCGGGTGGACAGTTTTGTGTATGCACGCCAGCGAGTTGGCATTTTATCTTCGCATATCCCAGCGATAAGATACCATTTTTCGTTCTCTGCACACTATTTCTTCGCCGTCTTTTTTCCCATCTAACCACTGTCGGTGATGCAAGTCACCTTTCGGCTGGTCGGCAAATATCGATACCCTGGTGCATATGTATTCCGAGAAGCCTGTATTGGCAGAACATAGTTGGAGTATGAATTTTTTTTTTTCTAATTGTTTTATCCTATATGTTACGATGTAGGGTTCTACGTAGCTCATAATAAAGAAGATAACTGAGGCATTGACCTGCGAAAGCGATGTTAAAGATACGGTTACTCTCTAGGTAGGTTCAGACGTTTAATTTTGAAATTGACGTATATTTATGGCTACGATTTGACATTTCGAGGACTATTGAGACCCTATTTAAAATAGTATATGTACGGAGTAAGAAATATGCTAATAAAAGCCAAGACTACAAAGCCATGTGGGAATGCCATGTTTTGTCTCCACCGCTCTGTTTTGCCTACATGTGAAGACGCGTCGATGTAACCTTAATGGTGGACCTCGACAGACACGATACCCTCATCTTACCATGCCTCCAAAACGAAAACACACGGGCGATGATGCCCAGGAGGATGACTCCAAGCGCTACGCCTATCTCAAACCCCACGTCCGCCGTGTTCCAGAGAAGACCATTAAGTCGAAATGGGTCCCTCTACCGGAACCCGTCCAGGAAAAGGTCAAGGACATGTTCCACACCCTCGAGCGACCGGTGATAATGCGGAATCAAAATGAGCGCAAGCGCATTGAGGCGCAGGCCGCCGTGCAAGCGGTCGTGCGAAAGTAAGGCGCCATGCTCAATCTGGTAGCTTCCGCAGGGCTACCAGTGTCTTGAGGGATGATGACACTAACCGTATACTCTATGTTGTTTTAGTTTAGGCAAACGACTCCCGCGAATGCCGTTTCCACCCATAACGAAGGACTCCCACTTCGACTACGAATCTGCGCTGAACGAGCACGTATGTGACCCTCTGCGATTGTCGACAAGTCCATACTGATTACATTTTTAGCGCTCGCTGGAGGGCCACTTGGCTACGATGAATGATAGCGTCGATCTACTAAAAGCCGAGATTGCCAAAGAAGAAGCGCTCCTTGCTCGGGAAACAAAGGCGCTCCAGGAGATGGACAAGAATGCCAAACGAGCCGAGGCTGAAAGGAAACGACAGACTAAGAATGTATGCAGCACACAAATCTTGCTTCTAAGTGTGACTAGCTAATATTTTACGACTATAGGAACACCCCGTGCTCCGAAAGCTGGATGCACTTCCTCAAATTGAGGGTTCTGGATCCTCCGACTTCGCACTTCTCAGTATGAAGGATAGCCAAGTGACACTAGATGAGGTATGGACTGCTTGTAAACCACGCGTGCTCGCTCTGTCAACTTATCATTGTGTTTTATTTTAGTTGGAGACCGACTCCGAAATCCAAGGACTTATGAAGCAACTCCATGGCCATCTTCAATCCATGCAAAACAATACCGCCCCCTTCGCAGGACTCGGGGATGCCATCACTCGTTCACAAGCTGCATTGGATCTATACTCTACGCCCAACGACTGATCGCACCGACTCGACATCACCGCACCATACAATCCATCAATCCCGGCATTTTGATGCTTGTGATTGACATATAAAGGGCCTCGGGCTTAGGATATGCGCGCTTATTTTTTTAAAAAAAAAAACGCCAACTAAGTATCGGCTGAGCTTGGCGCTCAGGAATCACCTAGGTAATCCTGGTCGCGTGCTCGAACTCCAATGCATCTACTGAATAGCTGCATATGGTGGAACTGGGCACGGTGAACGCATCTCTCGCCAAAGTAGAGGATATCCCACTACAGGGGTAAATTTTGAATCATACTAAATTAGAAGGGTAATGTGAGTACAATGCACATCCCGGTCCAATCTAGGGAGTTCTGCTTCGAAGGATGATCAGGCCACCCGAGGCTCCACGGCGTGAAAGGGAAGAAACCAGGTTAAAAATCAATAAAACACGAGTCACCTTTTGTTCAATGCGGTTTCAATCAAAATTCATCCAATTGTAAGAATAGAAAATCTAATATTCCTCGACCGAGGTCTCGCCCCGAAAAGGTGGCGTGTGCCCAAACAGCCAACCCCATGCGGAGCAGTTCGGAGGGGTGACTCCGCTTTCTCCATCCCCAACTTTAGAAGAACTTTTTGACGTTCGACCAACTACAACCAACTGGTCTGCAGGCAGCCATTTAGCTCCGGCCCTGGTGGTTCTCACTGAACTCTTGCGCAATGACCGAAAAGAATGCGCCGCTGGGCGCTCCCAATGCGACAAAATCCAGGTCTGATGCAGGGAAGGATACGAGCGTCAAAGACTCAACATCTGCGGCCAAGGCCGAAACAACCGGCTCGGGGAATCATTCCAGTCCCAAGAAGCGCCGGAAAGTGAATCACGGTAAGGTGCCGTTGCGCAGCATGCGACAGGGATCTGGGCGCGGCCGATTCTGTTGCGCATAACGATAAGAACGTCTTCGCTAACGAGTGTTTTCTGCAATTCCAGCCTGTGTATATTGTCGCCGTTCTGTAAGTTTACTTCTCGGGAATGCCATTGTGCTTGGTCACTGTCTGCGATAGGCCATGACCTCAGTGCTTCTGCATATCTATTTGAGGAATTAGCTTTGCTAACGGGGATTTCTTCGCGTGGGACAGCATATGACCTGTGACTCGGTACGACGCCTCTGTCTCCCCTTTCCTCGTTCGCGATCCGTCGCATCTGAAACCCTGAGCGCAGATTTGCGGAAAATAAGTTGCACCAGCTGACCTGTCTGAATCTATGAAGGAACGGCCCTGCACACGGTGTATAAAGCGAAACATCGGTCACCTGTGCCATGACGAGCCAAGGGAAACTGCGAAACGGGGACGTGGTGAACACGAAAATTCCACTGCAGACGAGGAGGGCTCGTCTAACAATGAATTGGGCTCCGTTCAAGGCATGCCTAGGAGTGTCGACGTCCCCGATGCTGCTGGTCAGCAATCCTTCCCTGATACCACGATCGGAATTGCACCCTCGGCTGTGAACCCACCTTCAACGGTACCGCCTACGAATCTATCTGCATCTAGTCAGGGCCTCGAGGCTAATTCCCAGCGTGAGTTGGCAAAGAAGCCTGTTTTGCCTCTGGGCTCCGCTGACGTGGTATGATAGTCATGCAATACAACGACTGGGTAGGTGGTCAGAATCAGTTCCAGGATATGCATTCTCTCCACCCATCATACATGTTTAATGCACATGAGGTGACCAACGAGTACAATTTGCTCGGAGATTTCCTCAGTAACAGTCTCTTGGACGACGGCGCAATGTTCCAAAATCAAGACATGCAGGGAATCTACACCGAACCATCGTTGATGAACTCGATGAATGGTATGGGGCTACCGAACGGGTTACCCCTTCCAGCACAACTTCCGCCGCCAGCGCAAAGTCAAGTACAGCCAGGAGACTCGATCCAACGACCAGCCTCCACGGTGGGCAATGATAAAGCCCGGGAAACATACTACATGACCGCCGCCGACCCGGCAGGAACTGACCCACCAGAGGAGCGTATGAATAAGCTTCTCAAAGCGAAATACGATGCCGGATTACTGAAACCGTTCAACTATGTCAAGGGATATGCACGATTGAACCAGTACATGGAAAAAAACATGCAACAAATATCTAGGCAAAAGATTCTGCGGCAGCTCGACAAGTTCCGGCCCAAGTTCCGAGAACGCATGCAGAGCTTGACTGATATCGAACTGATTCTGGTGGAGATGTGGTTCGAGCGGAGTCTTATGGAGTACGACCGCGTCTTTGCCAGTATGGCTATTCCGGCCTGCTGCTGGCGTCGAACAGGCGAAATCTTCCGAGGGAACAATGAGATGGCCCAACTGATTGATGTTCCGGTTGAGGGTCTGCGAGATGTAAGTTTCAAACCTGGAGACCACCCACATCATATCGCATCCAACTCACATTTTTAATCTCTATAGGGCAAACTTGCTATCCATGAGATCATCGTCGAAGATCAGCTAGTCAGCTACTGGGAAAAGTTCGGTGCTATCGCCTTCGACAATACCCAAAAGGCCATGCTCACAAGCTGCACCCTGAAGAGCCCTAGTCCTAACTCAAAGGGTGATGGTATTACCTGCTGCTTCTCGTTTACGATCAGACGAGATAATCATAACATGTAAGTGTTCACTTTCACTGTCCACTTGACACTGACGTGCCGGAACTAACACTGTGCAGCCCGTCTCTCATCGTTGGGAACTTCCTCCCCATCGATAAATAGTACTTTTTTGGTAGACTGTTATTTATTTTATGTCCCGCAAGGACTGCTCCTTTGGTAACATCTTTTTGGCTTAGTGATTCCCCAAGTTTTGGCTGTGCTTTCAAAAAAAATGTATAGTGCTGATTTATGTGTATAACATCAAACAGTTGGTTTTGATTTTGAGTCGAATGGTATCTAGGAAGTAAAAGGATAATGCTCTGGATAGTGTGTATATTCTAAGCTTGCGATGGTCAAGACTCGACAAACACCTAGGGTTTGAATCGCAGCCTCCAGACTCCAGTCTCTTTCTTCCCTTCACGCTCTTGCAACTCCAACCATCCTCCCTCTCACTTCATCTTCTTCTCTTAATCTTTTAATCGACCTTTGTGCAATTTATCTTCACTTCTTTCGTATTTTTTTTATCTCCTTCTCCCGTTATCCCCCAATTCGCAAGTCTTCTATCATGGCACACTCGTCTGGACCAGGTCAGGCCCTAGCAGGTATGAGCCGCCCATCATGTCGCCCCCTGGGTACAGCAGCTGACCTTCAACTTCTACTACCTCAGAATTTGCTCGGACTTTGCATTCAACTTTATCCACAGTCACTACTTCGCCAAATCCTCTTCTCTCTCCCGATGCCATTCTCAGATTGGGTGCCGAGCTCAACAGCAATCCGTTTGGCACCGTGGTAACAACACCGGGTAGCAATGAGCTAGATGTAATTGGGACAACTCTTTGGAACGATTGCAGCAGCCGCATGATCTCGCATGGTCACAACCCGGAGGATGTACTCCTGCTGGGTAAAGTGCGGGCTCTCGCGTTTGCTGTGTTAAACATGGCTGTGTCGCCTGATGTCCCAGGTTTGTCATGGCCTCTAGTATATACTGAAGTATGCTTATCTGACTTTTTACAGGGGGCCTCAGGTCTCTCGTACTGGCCCTCAAGGCGGCGCATATTTGCATTGGTATATTGTCCCATATCTCACCTGATGACTTCCTCGGCTCTAACAACATGAACAGTGAACCGGCAATGCGAAATTGCGCTGAATATCCTGTCAGTGGCAGCTCTGAGGATGGAAACTCTTCCCGCTAATCTTGGGATTGTTCCTGTAATTACCCCTACTCTCACCACCCGATACTTCCTGCTTCGTGCTAGACTGGTGAGTCGTATTGTCGGAACACTGTTTTGTGTCTCAACGCCAGAACTGACATATTATTCCAGGCCTGGCTGCAGGGGCGAGTAGATATCGCTGAGCATTTCTTTGCCAAAGTCCCGGAATCGGTATTGTCAAGTTATGAAGAGCTGATTTTCGAAACTTGTTTTATCATTGGTGACTCTGCACTCGCACGGCGCCAGTCTAACATCGCTGTCACATGGCTGCAAAGAGCGAGCAATTACTTGCAGAAAATCATGACAGAGATGAATGGAGTAGATTACTCTAACTGGAACCTGGTTATTCGACATTCCCTTGGTGAGTAGGTTGATCAAATTGATGACCTGGACTAACATGCTCCAGCTGTGGCTTGTACACAACTCCGAACCCCCCAGACACTCGTCACATATAATATTGAAATGGGATACTTGAGAGAAGTAAGTTTGTGGCGAGTGTGGTAGACTTAAAGCTGACCTTTTTAGTATTACCCAGAGCATCCTGCTGTGGTTCTTTTTGACCTATCTATGGGACGTAATCATCCGGGTAACAACGGATTCCTCCAAGGTACGACTGATACTTATCTTGAATGGAATAGAATTAACAGTACCATTATAGGTCTGCAGAATTTGGTTGAGAGGATGACTCTCACAGATATGAACATGCCGATGTGAGTTACTCCACCAGTGCTGATCTAGATGTCTTTCTGGGTGTTAACAGCGTGAATCTAGAATCTTCCAATTTGCCTGTTCTCTTGGCCATACAGGGTACCTTGACACAGCCCATCTGGTTAGGAAATTTGCTGACAGTTATTTAGTGGTTCAGGTGACGCAACGGAAGCATTTCGAATTTTGCTCATGCGCCCCCTACCAACAAGAGAATGGACAGAGAAATGCTTTGTTGCTTTCATGCTACTTTTGAGCAGATCAGAGCTCTCTGATTCTGTGCGCATTCCCGCCGTCCGAGGTGTGATCGACGCACTTGAAAAACGTGGATATCCATCAATTGGCGCAAGCGCAGCTCACGCAACCGTGATTGTAAGGCAAGCTCTCATCGTCGTTATTGAAAACAGCTGACTGAGTGCGTACAGTGCATCTGGAAAATGACTGGCAGCGCGCTTCTCAAGAATGACCACTGGACTGCACAGCTATGGCTTCAGGTGTGCAGTAAACAAAAGATCTTCCAGTACTGCTCTCAGTCCATCCAGATCGCGATACAAAAGTCAGTGGAACAAAAATTGAGAACTAACTTGCATTGTGGGCTAACATCTGTTCAGGAAGCTGCTGGCATGTTACTTACAGACAGGAACCGTCGTCGCTGCTCGTCAGTTAATCGATCGGGGTCTAGTCCAAAGCCAAGTGGATTGTCACAGGATGTACTTGTCTTATAAATTGACCTTGATGGAGGGGAAAGACGGTTCCGGTAAGTATAACAGAGCTTCCGTGCTTCTGATCTACTCTAACCATATGCAAGCTCATTTTTATCTCGGCTTTCCTTCACATCCCGTACCACACAAGCAACTAGGTCTACTATCGTGCGCATTGGAAGCTCACAGACAACACAAACCAGAAGAAGTATTGAACTGTCTTGATGAATTTATCAAATGCTTAACTTCAGATGACATTTATCATCATGACTTTCCCGCCGCCGAACATTTCATGTCAGAATGCTTCAAATTCGTGACTTTGGTTGCAAGGCTAACTTGGCTACCCTGAACAGATTTGCAATCGCTCTTCTTTCCGAAGAGCTGTCCAAAGGTTTTACCCTCCGGCTCGGAAACTGTGTTGAGGCTGTACTCCAGAGTGGTGCGTTTCCCTTTTACAACCTGCCCCTCCCCATCCCCCACCAACCGCGGTCAGGCAATAGCAATATTTTTATTCTAATCGTTCAATAGCCCTGTCTTATGCAAAAGCAAATAGCATGTTTGAGGGTGGCGACCAGCAGGTCTCAGTCACCCAACTGCAATGGCTGTACTTCGCAACTTACAAGATTGCTTTGAAACTTATGAAGTCTTCCGAATTCCTCTGGACGACTTCTGTCCTAGACTACTCCACAGATGTCTGTTTTAATCCATGGAAGTTTTCTGGCTACATTTACTAACATATTTACAGTTTGCGCTTCAGTATCGCCAGGTTGCATACCCTGAGATGGACTCCAAGGCACCCAGACCGCATCTCTTTGCGGTTGCTTACCTCCATCTTCTTGCTATGACCCTTAAAGCCCGCTGCGAGGGCGATCCGGCTCAAAAGGTTAGTTCCAATACCACTCTTAGTTATACTAAATTGCCGCTCCCCGGAAAATGCCATAACACCATGCCCACACTGACTACTGCAGGCATCGCACTACGAGCAAGTACGCGCCTGTTTCCAGCAACTCGATGGGTTGCACGGTTGGGAGGATGATGAAGAAGAGACAGATGAGGACGCAAAGGAGAAAGAGGACAGTCATCATGATATTGCGCAATTCTTCGACCTTGAGGCTGCTATGCACCTCAAGGAATGGGACAATATCGCCAGCATATGTGCATCCGACGGCGCATTCGCTGATCCGGAGTTTTATGCGCCAATCGTGGACATGACTCTCCAATTGGATCTACCGCCTAGACTGGCGATCCTGATCATCAAGGTGCGCTCTACTGTTATGGCCTGGCGACTACATTTTCTGAATAATTACTGACATTCATAAGCGGATCGTGTCAAAACTCAGCGAGCTACAGGACGATCCCCCTACCACATGGCAACGCGATTTCCAGGTTTCTTTGCCCCGGTACCTCCATTGTCTATTCACTCTAGCTATTGCGCCGGCTAAAGACACAGACGTCTCTGGAGTTGCCTTTCTCGATGTCGAAATGGCAGACTCCAAGGTTGCTGAAGAAGTGCTCGATCAAATCCTGGCAATGGCAGACGAAGGGGGAGGCGTCGAAGAACATCAAGCCCTGAATTCCATACAGGCCGGGTTGGGGCTCTCTAATGTGTTTACATATCCAGCTGCGGAGTTGATCAAGATTGCTACTGTGGCTTTCAACAAGGCTACTGACTTTTACCGTGCTACCCGGGACGAGGACTGTCAGCGTTGGGCGGGCAAGGCTATTCGTATTGCCCAGCTTGCGCCTGGTACCCAGGGCACACAGGTGGTCAATATGCTTCAGTCTAGGCTAGGCAGCTTGATTGGAGTCTGAGAGCTTGAGTTGGTAGAGTGATTTGATCAGAAGAGTTTATCAAGTCGCTTCTGACCAAAATTAGGTTGCGAATTGGATGGAGGTGTTCAATGATTTCAGATGAGTTGTGGCAAGGTGGAGGAATTTGTGTGTAATGAAGTACTAGGTTTTTGAGATGAAGTTGAAAATGAATTGAGTATTCTTATGCTTTCCTGACCAAAAGAAAATTATGAAAATAAAGAAAGGATTCAACAATCTTGACCACGGTGAGATGGCCTACAGCCTCTTATAAAAGGATAAATATGGGTATCATGAGAAGGGAAATGATCTCTAAGAAATCAGGAAGTAGAAAGGAAAAGCTTCCACCAGAAGTCCAGTAGATGATGCAAAGATGCAGAGGAAAGAAAAAGAGAAAATCCAAAAGAATGCACAAGCTTAAATGTCAGTAAATGAGAAAGAAAAAAAGGAAAGGATCAAGGGAAGGCAATATAAAAAGAGAAAAGCGCCATAGTAATTCCACGACCGAGGGCATAGAACACCAGAAATGCAATGCCTCTTCCCAAAGCAGAATCAAAACTGGCAATGAGACAAACGAACTTCATTCCTCCCCATTCGTATCACAGGAACGACTCCGTGAAACCTGCCGCACCCCCTTATACCGCAACGACGGAGTAGACGGCACGCGGTGAGGAATCCGAGGATAAGGCGACTTGGACGGGGCTGAGTAGCTCTGTTTCCGCTCCCTCTCCATATCCTTACCACTACTATCCGTTTCTGTTTCGACGCTCTCATCGCTGCTCTGTCCACGGCCACCAACAATGCGGAGTGTGAGACTGAGCTCGCGCTCAAGCTCCTTTTGCAATTGAATGCGTTGACTCGAGACGTTGAGTTTCTTGCGGTACGCTCGGAGAGTCCGGCACAGTTGCTCGGTGGACATATCCAGGCTTCCAACGTCGCTGCGCGGGGTTGTTTTGCCGCGATTGCGGAAGTCGAGGGATGTGCGGCGGTTGCTGGTTCTTGCGTTGTGGGGTTTTCGCATTGCTGGGGTTTTCGATTTCGGGCTTACTGGGGATGGGGAGCGGCGGTTTCGGTCTCGTGGTGTGCGTTGTGTTGGGGAGAGGCGGTTTGACGGGGGGGATGTTTCTGAGACAGCGTGGTTCTTCAGTGATGACGGTACGAGAGATAGTCGAGACATCTTGCGGGGTAGGGTTGGAGAGTGCTCGCGTATAGGTGTTGGTGTTGTAGGGTTGGGGCTATCGGGTCGTTGGAATCCGGCGAGCTCGCTGCGGGAAAGTACTTTCCGGAGAGGGGGCCTCGCCGCTGTCATTTCCTTTACGGGGTTTTCATCGTCTTCACGTGTGCTCCCGATGAGATCTTGTGAGACCTGTTGCTGGACAGATAGGTTCCATATCATTAAGATACCATCCATCCCAGCACTGACCACTGTGCGCTTGGTTTGGGACCCATCGGACTTATCACGTTCCTCCAGGAGCAACACATCGGTCACGCCTTCTGTGTGACCAAATTCGCCAGTGAGGAGCTGGTCTCGCTCCAAATCATAGACGCGGATAGATTTGTCGGTGCTCGAAACACCTATAAGAACCTTCGGGGTCTGACCTGAGATTTCAGAGGCAACTGTCAATGAGCCCAAAACTACCGCATCGGCTGTCTCTGAATCAGATGCCTTGAAACAGTGAAGTTGGCGCCCAGAGGGGATATCGAATTTTGAGACACATCGGTCCATAGTAGAAAGGTATAGAATATTCGAGTCGTCTGGACACAGTGTCATCGACACGGGGGAAGCCTTTTGAGTGATGACTCTTGAAATGAGGTAGGCAACAGACGTACCGCAATCCACCTCGCGTGTCGCACGATCTCTTATGACAACCGTGCGGTCTGCGGAGCACGAAAGCAGCTTTTCGCCTTCGTTGATGAACATCAATTTTCCAACAGCTCCGACGTGATCGTCCATGGTTTGAATCAAATGCAACTCGGTATCTCGTTTCTCAAAGAGTTGCACCATCCGATCCCGCCCAGAACTAGCTATCAACCAGGTATCGTCCATGCCTTGGATAACCACATCTGTGATCTCTCCGCCATGGGCACGCGCCTGGTTGAGGCAAGTCCAGTCGGAGTTCGAAAATATTCTGCATCAGAGTCAGCTGAAGAGCTTGGCCCATATCTCAAATTTGCACATACCTTAATACACCAAACTTGTCGCCAGAGACAAACCAGTCGACATTTTCAGCGGTCCTCAAAACTTTGAGTTCGTTTGCCGCATCGTCTTCTTTTCCTGGAAATTGGTCGAGATCGATATTTTTCGATCCTCGACACTTCCCTTGGGCATCCCAAAAGTTCACCGAACCATTACGAGACCACGTGAAGAAGTCCGCGGACAAGTCGTTAGGAAAATCCATGCGGCAAATACCAAGAATTGGGTCCCGGTGGGCCGGCATCGAAGCCTCGCCCTCCTCCTGCTCACCATCTTCGCTTAGGGTGTCAATCGGATAGACATGGATCGCGCGGGTGGATTCAACAGTGACAAGATGAGTATTAAGAGACCCCATGCAAGTAATCGCTGGGGTCTTGCTTTTCTTGTCAAGAGCACTCTTGTCAGGTCTGGCAGGAGACATCGACGTGGATGAACAAGATGATCGTAAAACCTCAAACGGCACCCGCTGCATTTGCCTTCCTCGTCCACCTAGCCATATGGACTCTTGGTCAAAGTCGACGGCCAACGAGGTGATACTGAATCCAACTTGTTTTACTGTGATCATCTTCTGGGATCCTTCGCGATCATCGAGGAAGCAAACTGCGCCTGAATCGGTGCCGATTACAGCCTCGTTGTAGGAGATACTGTTCACACAGGTGAAAGTGCTGTCGCCCAGTGCACCTAAGAGACAATTCCTGCCAGAAAGTGCTTTGGGGGCTGGATTGGGCGAGGGGCCAGCTCCCTCGATATTCAAACGTGACTTGGTTGGCGAAACAGGCCGAATCACTGTTGGAAGGCGCCAGACCTTAACATGTCGCACACCGGTCCTGGACAAAGACATTAGTTGACTGCTAGTTATCGCCATCCGATCAAACATACGTGACCAAGCTCTGGCCGACCCAGCACATATCCTTGATAAATGAGGTGCATTTATTAGCGGAGTGTAGCTTGGCCGACCCATTCTTGAGGTTGATAGTCCAGATAAAAAGAAATCCATCGTTTGGATTGCCGAGCGTTGCCAAATACTGAGAGTCCGGGCTAAACGCCAGGCTTCGAACACCGAACGTATGCTCATTCAGAATGGACAGAGGAACATCCGGCAAAGCATCTCTTGCTGTCGAAAATATCAAAACTCGAGGATTATAACCAGTCTTGACATCGTCAGCTGCTGTTGTTGCAATTCTTCGTCTCAATCTCCCTCACTTACCTCTCCCACTGCAAGGAATCTTCCATTCGGACTGATCGAAACACTCGTCACTGCTTTGATTCTTTCCCTCGAAGACCATCCACGTGGACTGCCGCTGTCGATAACTTCGCTTGACGGAGATCCATTGGGAATATTGAGGTGCGGATTGGACCGAATATGGGAAAGAGATCGCGATCTCGGGTCCGGGGTAGTCGGAGGAGTCGATTGGTAAAAAGAAGTTGATGGGTTGACACTTGTCGCGGAGGGGCGGGCTCGGAAGAAGCGCTGTGTTATGTTGTCGTTCTCGTCTAGTTCAGCAAGCACCGCTGCCGATCCAGCGCATAGCGCAAAGCTTCTGCTCTGATCATGGCTTGAAAAGCCATTGGGAGTGGTTGTTGTTGTGCCAATAACGGTTTGAAGGGACAAAGAGGATTGATGGGCAGTTTTGCTAGGGGATCGCGTGCCAGGTCGGAGTATTGGAGAATTTGAAGGAGTGATTTTCAATGATGCACCGGGTCCAGCAAGCTTGCTTTTTGCACTGAGGGGGGCGGTGGTAGCCATGTCCTCGGGAGGAGGCGGTCGGTAATTCAAGGTCCGCTGAAGGCGCGGGATATTTGCATTTCAATACAAGTTCATCAGATAGGTTCGTCGGTGCCAGTCAGGCTGTAGTACGCGTTGGAAATTTTATCGCGGAGGGTGGTCAGGAGAGAGTGTGGAGGGATGATAGATTTAGTGGGGGCAAGCTGAAATGAAGCTCTAATCAGCCAAGTCCGATCGATCTCTATGCACATACAAATCGAAGAACTCACCAAAAGAGTGTGTAGGAAGAGAAAAGGAAACAAACACGAGGCTCATTCCGCGCTAAAGCAGATCATTCCAGTCGATCGGAGGAATTTGAACCTTTTGGAAGCCCCTGGCTCCATGAGGTTATATGGGCTTCAGCTTCGCTTCTGATTGGCCTCTTGGACTCGAGGGATTGTCGGATTGTCACTTTGTCAAGAGCTTTGAGATCGTTGGACTCCCTTCGATCTGAGAAAAAGCGTGAAATGAACGGTGGTTCGTGCACAGGTCGCCGCACTAAGGACCTTCGGCAAAAGGTGAGCTTTGATGGAAGTACGGAGTATGTACTCCGTACGGTGTTGGACGGCGGTTATATCACAGATCAGATCAGAACCTTGGAGGGCCCACTGGAGGTCCACAGGTCCGATTGTGGATTTGCTTTTTGTCTGAGACTTTGTATGTTGTACACCTGGACTAAGTTTCACGTGCCTCGAATATTGATCTCGTGCTCCCCCGATGCCCTAATTTCACACAATTCGACCAGTCCATTCCGATACCTATTCCTTATGTAGGAATGTACCAATCATATAGATCAACTACAAGTCTCATGCAATACTTCAACTCCTAGCATCCCGCGTCTATTCTTCCACACTACAAAGTACACAGCTGTAGCTATTCTGTTGCACAATAATTGTGACTACTCAGTGTTTGCCGCATCTCACTGCCGTGAAAAGAAACTCCATACGCATCAATTCTCAACTTCAGCCCTCGCGGTTGATGCGGGGCTATTGAAGTCCCAACAGGTCCATGCAGCCACTCATCACATATGTAGCGAAATCTACTTCGCAGGCTCTTTGCCTTTCTCGGCTCGAAGAATTAATATATATTAATAATTGAAAATCATAATAACTATTTAACTAGTTAGACAACCCTGGAAGCATTCTGCTAGTTAGCTAACAAAGTACTCCGTACGTATACTTCATATCTTTTATTGCCATTTATATATCTAATATTAAATTGTCCCATAGACATAAAGCACTCAGTCAGAATCCAGTCTCGATGAATTTTAACCCAGGGTCCTTTGCCGAGCGCAAGATCTACCAGTCCGAGTGATAGCTAGGGGAAGAGGGCGAGTAACTCAAAGAATGGGAGATTTCGTTCAGCAAATGTCGTTATAGCTGCATTGGACCTTGATATATATTTCCAAGCCTTTTTTCCCCCGACATATGTTGGTGGGTCATTCTGGTCAATCAATTCAGCAGTATTCACACGGACTCCGTGGTCGCTCTCGATCCCCCCCTGCTGTCTCGTTCTCAGTGGTAAATATCCAACCGAAGCTGTGGAGCTTCCGGCTCGACATGGCTTCTATCGCCTGATGCAATCGTTGCTCTTTGCTCTTGGGTATAGATATTTACTTGCAAGTCCACCGTGGGTAGGGTCATTCTCTCACCTCCTGATCCACTGCTGCAGGAGATGGACCATGCTATATTTGACTTCGGTATGACAAAGGTGCTGAAGGCGGGCCGGGAGCATGTGTACCTCCTGCCATTCGGAGCTTACCTATCCTTGCATTCGGTAGTGCCAGCAGTTTTGAAGTAGTCACTCCGGGGTATGGCTATGGCAATGAAGGAGAAGGCACGTTGGAAACAGGGCGAGACAATTCAGGGAGTAGAGGGAGGGAGATGAATGCTCAAGTGCCACTAAGATCATCGCTCTCAGAATAAGGCTTATCATTTAAGAAAATTGCTAACTTAATATCTTAGATGTGGATTTGTGTCCTGCTAACACGGTCACCAAATGTGGATCTATTCTGACTACCTCGAGTGCCTACTACAAAGTGGACTCTCCCATGAAGACGAGAATACCACATTCTTAAGGCTCAAATTGCACGAGCCATTTGATAGAAGCACATATTGCGTTGTAGACCCTTATTGCTGGCGTTAATCTGCACCGGGATATGGATTATAGGGCTAGCATATGCTCCCTTGAAGTGCTGTCTTTCTAACTCATCCAAAGAAGATAGGCTTGTGTTAGGTCTCTATTTCACTTCCTCTTGTTTGTCCTTTCTTTTTCTATATATCCCTCCCTACGTCCTGTCTCTCCATCTGTCTGGCTGTTTGTTTCTGTATGTATGCTTTTATAGCGTCTTAAGCACTAACTCGGAACTGTAGTATCCGTGGTTTAACCCAATATCCAAACTTCTGAAGCGATATAACCTAATAGAGATCGATGTACCACTGCTGGCCAATGACGAAAGCAATATGGAGCTTAATCTAGGCTTAACTCTCGATTGAAAATCGTCACCGGCTGATATTTAAGCCTCCTTTACTAGTATCTCCTTATACAGCTATCCACGCCCGTTTTATCATTTTATAGAATATAGGGATACACTTTCTTTTCGTATATATCATTCACTGTATATATATTACATTCAAGCTGACGCTTGAAGTCTTCTACTTACAACGCATATAAGGCGTGGATTCACCATTTAAACCCGGCCCAGAAGGATAAACATTTTAGAGGACATCTAAAAAGACTACACGAGGCCGCACAAGCGGCCGACTATTCTTCTAGAGGATATCGAGAAGACTTAACCATATCGTAATTTAGCCAAAAAAAACTTTTGACAGAATCTAAAGTCCAGGCAATGAGATAATGGAAAGAATCAGATATAAATATGCATCCTATTAGGGCTTTGTTGTAGCCCGGAAACTAATTCAGGTGTAGATATTGAAAGTTCGCTGGTTGCTATAGCCTGATATATATTGGTTTGTATCTGCCGACGATAGCTATTTTGTGAGGATACCGACGTGAAGGCTAGAATAAGATATTACATGAGTTCATGTCCTATATAAAGCTACCAAATTCCAATGATTAAGTTGGGCTTCGTTAGTAAAACTGTCTTGTACTTGGGTAGACCTTGGGACGACTATTGGAGTAGGTACACTTAGTAGTTGGGGCATACTATTTGGGATACCTAATATTTACTCAACCACACCATCATATAAACAAGTACAGCTGGAACTAATTAATGTTAATCTACCTGGCTCCATAGTATAAGCATATGTAGCTCGAAAAACCGAGGTTCATGTTATAGTAAACTATGTACATACCAACAGTGATGCCACATTCCTCAGGCCACAAACATTTGGTAATCTTATCGCATGTTTTCTTATCGCCACCAGATATTTTCCCTTCACTGAACTTCCAGATCACATTTATCCATTGTCAGCTTTTCTCTGATCGTTACTCTCTCTTTTTCCATCTATACTTCATTTCTAAGATGGCTACAAAATGTGCTGCCTCATCAAGGCTGGCCCTGCCTGCTGTTCTGCGCAATGTTTTCCGCTCTCAGTTCACCAGTAACCTGAGCGCTTCTTCAATAATCCCCTATCACCGACCTCTTGCCTCTGGTCCTATTTTCTCTTCGAATATCCAGCTTCAACGATCCTTCAGTTCCATGCCACGCTTGTGTGATTCCCAGAATGACCAACCAGTGCCTGCAGCCCCTGAAACCCCGGCCGCCGCGGATGACACCATGCCTTCTCAACACAAAACAACGAAGAAGAAAGAATACGACTCACTCGGCAAGAAAAGCGGATGGAACACCCATAAAGGCCATCCTAAGGACCAGCGAAGGAGCTCAGAAAATAGCAAGGGAAGAACCGACAGAGAGCGTAGAGCTTTCCGCAACGAGACTCGCAAGGAGGCCGACAAGGCACCTCGCAGGTGGCAAGATAGAGCCGAAAAAGCGAAACAGTTCTCAGAGAGCAAGGGAAAGAGAAAGCCTGAGACCTGGCAAGTGCAAAAAGCGGCTTTGAAGGACAAGTTCGCCGGTGGTTGGAACCCACCCAAGAAGCTTTCGCCTGATGCCCTCGATGGAATTCGTCACCTTCATGCGAAAGCCCCCGAACAATTTACGACCGCTGTTCTCGCGGAGGAGTTTGAGATGTCCCCGGAAGCCATTCGCCGAATTTTGAAGAGCAAATGGCGCCCATCGGAGGACGAGATGGAGAGTCGGCGCAAGCGATGGGAGAACCGACACGATAGAATCTGGAGTCGTATGGCTGAGCTTGGACTTCGCCCTTCAACCGACCGCACAAGATCCCTTTCAGACTTCCATGTGCTGTATGATGACAACAATCGCGAGCGAAGATAGTCATCTCTGTACATTATACTATGCTCAATACGTTTTAATTTGCGCTTGTACAATAAATAATATCATCATGACATTCGCGGCTTTAATTTTTGGAATAAACAACATATTTACTACGAATACGAAGTATACATCGATGTAGTAGTTAGTTGCAGTAGGGTGGGTATCATATGTCATTTAACCCGTAGTTCGGGGTGGAGCTAGGAGCAAGGATATCATCGCCACGCATCTCCCTCGGCAACACATCTTCAACTCTACAGCCAGCATGGTTCATTCAGGTTGACAGAATGCTAGTGTCGGCACATTTCACCAAGCTTCGACCTAATTACAGCTCATCGCGCCGGCAATTCCCCCTAGGCTTTGGTCCCCCTCGAACTGCAGCCCACATGCTGACACAACCGCCATGCCATCCAACATCCAAGTCTTCGTGAAATGGAAGGATCAGACTATATTTGCAGGAGAAGATGTGGAATGTACTATAACATTCAAGAACGTGGCCGATACTGGCACCGATGCCAATAATGCGGGTGAAGGAGGACATTCACGGAAGGTCTCTCGAGTCGCGAATCACACATCCAACAATTCGGAATCCTTCTTCGGATTCAAACCACCCCAGGCTCTCTTTTCTGGTCGGCGATCATATTCCATCAGCTCGCAACGAAAACCTTATCACCGAACAGCCTTGTCCCTGAGCTCTCCGTTGGTCGGCTCTCATAGCTTTCCTCCGAACAACGGCTCCTCCACACCGCGAGGATGGCAACCAGGTCACAACCATAAACGATCCGTCTCTATCCTCTCCATTGATAGCGAAGGCCAACCCGACCCGACTCCTTCTCCCTACAATTATAATCGACACCAGCCAGCCAGGGGTCATGGGCGCTCGGCGAGTCTCCAGGTTCCGCCGCGAAGGAACAATAGCTCCGAGGATTCTTACAAAAAAGGTAGATGATGGATAGTGCAGGCATCTACCTAGGGCTCTTCAGCTAATAACTGTCTCTCGTCAGCGAGATCCCCCTCTCATGCTTTTCCATTTCCATTGATAGAGGCTCCCAACGAGCATCCCAATGGCAGCCTGAGAGTCGATACCTCCCATTTAAGGCGAAGCAGCCGCCCTGACTCTCTAGCGACTAGTCCGACAGGCGCAGTAGAGCCATTGCGTCAACCTTCCCGACGGTCCCAACCACCTCCCCTCGATTTTAAATTTCCAGCTACGCCTTCGACAGATTCAACTAACAATTGCAATGTGCGCACTCCATCGCCGAAGTCGGCAACAACGAACGGTACATCATCAACTGGGGGAAGATCCACTGTCAAAGACACACAGGGTCTGACTGGGCCGGCACACCAGCAACTAACCCGGATTATATCAGCCACAAGTGCGAATGGGAGTAGTCGGAGCAGCGGGGAGTTCTACTCCGTTAGCGACCACTCCACCGAGACTCTCGGGTCTGAATACACAAGCTATTCGCTACAGAGTGCACGAGCCCCCCCTCCCATGCGGCATGCGCGGCATCATTCGGTCGCAGTTGCATCCCCAGCCACAGCCTCCAATAGCCAGGCGCTGCTGATGGGATATGCGCAAGTTAACGCATCATTTACGGTCGATGGCTCATTAGTGAACCAGTCAGCCTTTGACGAAGTGAAGCGAAAGGGGGTTGTTGGTGGTCAACCCGGTTCAGGCGGACTTCCTGGCCGTCCAATGCCAACGGCCGAGAGACCACGTAAAACTGGTGGATTCTGGGGCGCACTCAAATGGAACACTATTGAGGAATCTATTAATGGTCTTCTTTCAAATAACGAATTGGATGGGCTACGAGAAATGCGTGGTGTCACATCGTCAAGATCAATTCCGCTGTTGTCCACCTCACAGTCACTGCTTTTTGTTGACCTCCGACTGGCACCAGGGGAGGAACAGTCATATTCCTTCTCGTTCTCCCTTCCTAAAGGACTCCCCGCGAGCCATAAAGGGAAAGCTATCAAGATCTCATACAATTTGGTCATTGGAACTCAGCGGCCTAGCGGGCCTAACGAGCCCCAAAAGGTCAACCGAATCAATGTACCCTTCCGCGTTTTCAGCGGAGTGAATGGTAAGTTAAATTCTTCACTTTGCTTCTCACCCTAAGTTCACACGTTCTTATAGAAAAGGGAGATATTCTTGGGCATGACTTGATGTCACCTTATGTACTTCTACGGGATGAAGCGAAAGTGCAAAAGGTCGGGCCAATGACGCCTGTGACAACAAAAAGCCAGAGTATCAGCAAATCTCACCATTCTGCGGCTGATTTCCTCGGTTTTGTGGATGAGATTTTGGAGCAACGTGCACGTTCCAACACGCTGTTCCCACCTGGTGCCGCGCCCTCGAGGCGACCTAGCGTTGAGGGATTACCCCAGATGCTTACTACCAAGGATGTCATCGACTTTGCTATCCTTCGCAGCAACCAGGCCGTGAACTCTCGCCGCAGTCCCAATCGCTTTGAGATTGCCCGCGAAGGTAAACGGATCGCAGTGGTTGTCTTGAACCGACCAGTTCACCGACTTGGAGAGACAATTATCGCCACCATGGACTTTGGAGATGCCACAATTCCATGCTACGCTGTACGTGCCTCGCTAGAGACATCCGAAAAAGTTACCCCTACTTTGGCCATCCGGTCAAATGCCAGCATTCACCGAACCACGCGGCGTATTCATGCTTCTCTGTTCGAGAACACACTCCATGCCACCCGAGTGGCTTTCAGCCCTGCTATCCCTATCACAGCCACGCCTTCAATCTTGACGAGCGGTGTGACTCTTGATTGGGAACTACGATTCGAGTTTGTGACATCCAGTGTTCGAGGCGGGCAAGGGGCCCAACCCTCGGGCACTCGCTTACTCGAGGCCTTGTCATCGGATGATCGTGGCACAGTACTGTCTGCCATGGAGCATTTGAACTGTGAATCATTCGAGATCGCTATCCCGTTGACGGTTTATGGAGAGACTGTTCGAGAACGACTGCCCGAGGAAAATGAAGGATACCAAATCTAGAACTCTGGATGTACACTATATGTACACATGTGCTTGCCTGTCGCACAGGTCATGCTTGATTTTCTTTTGTTTGATTCAATATTCCCCTTGTGTCATCAAGGGAACAGTCGCCGCAAATATAGGCCCCACCAGGCCCTGGATTCCCATGTATAATTGAATTAAAATTGAATTGGAAAATAACTACATAGTACTGCTGTATGTAAAATAATCCCTTATGTCTGTGACGTAGATGTGGTAACTGGGGCAACGTGGTCATCAACGGATCGGATCTCACTTTATCAGCTTTAGAGCTGAACCCCAATAACATCTCTCTCCTTGCGCATCTCTCTCAAACATATCATCCAGAATCATTGCCAGGTACAGTTCATTGGATCTAACCGCACGTCAGTCCATCCGCACATCTGATGGCATTCCTTAAATCTTGGACAGCAACTGATATATGATATTGGAATGTAGGCACATCGCGATCAGCGCAAACCCCGCCGAAGTACGCCCCTACCGAAAGGGATTGCTTTTTATTTTCTCAAGTCTGAGAGAATGTCTTCGTTCATCACCACCATGTTTGTTCCCGCTACCCATCCCATTGCTCATTTCCCTTCCCCTGGGGAACCTTGCTCCCCCGCAATCCCACTTCCCTTCCGTTATCAGCCCTTCCGCCCTATACCAGACGACTCGCACTTCCCATATACCCCCCTCAGAGCCTCCATCCTATCTATCGCCAGCGGTGCATGCTCTCAAACAAGATTGTCTTGGACTAACACCTCCCAGCAATGCACGCACACGCGCCCCCTTCAAGCCCCGCTCGACCGCCAAGGGTACGAGTAGTTATCAGCTACGACAGTTCGCCGAAGCTACACTTGGAAGTGGCAGCTTGCGCAAGGCTGTGAAACTGCCCGAAGGCGAAGATCAGAATGAATGGCTGGCCGTCAATAGTAAGACATATTTTGCAAAGTTGTACTGGGTGCATCTGCTAATGTTGTGGTCGTCTAGTTGTCGACTTCTACAACCAGATCAACCTTCTCTACGGCTCAATAACTGAGTTCTGCTCACCACAGACATGTCCCGAGATGAAGGCCACAGATGAGTATGGTGCCTTCTTTAGTAGGTTGTTGATCCCTGGCTTACAAGTTTGAACAGGTTCGAGTACCTCTGGCAAGACTCGGAGAATTTCAAGCGACCAACCAAGATGTCTGCCCCCGAATACATTGAACACTTAATGACCTGGGTTCAGAGCAATGTTGACAACGAACAAATGTTCCCTAGTCGGATCGGTATGTCTCATGAGTCATCTGTTAGATAGTAGGTATATCGCTCACCCATATTTTCCTTCTAGGTGTTCCGTTCCCCAAGACATTCCCCAGTCTTCTCCGCCAAATCTTCAAGCGTCTATACCGTGTATATGCCCACATCTACTGCCACCACTACCCAGTGGTAGTACACCTCGGCCTCGAGCCCCACCTCAACACCAGTTTCAAGCACTATGTCTTGTTTATTGATGAGCACAAGCTGGCTAGTGGGAAGGATTTCTGGGGACCGCTGGGTGATTTGGTGGATAGCATGCTACGCAGCGACTAAGCATTGAATCAGGAAATTGGGTAATAATTGTGTTCTGCATCTGATCTCCGCAGTCAGGGTGGCTGGTCTACGGAAAGGATATCTTAACGGCGTTTCGGGTGTGGAGGATGCATTGCAGTGTTTTACCTTGGAATTTTTGGCGTTTGGGGCTTGACCTGACGCAGAGACCGAAACGATGAATGCATGGATATTTCTTTATTTCTGAATTCCTTTTGTGAATAGGTCGGTTTTATCATTATTGCGTAGGCTATAGCACTACGCAGTGTCTAGGTGGGATTTTGTACGGAGTAGTACTTCCATGCTCCTACAATCAGCATACATGCTATATGTATGACCCTAAACCATCACTGGATTGAACCCTATCATGTTTATTTCGGGGTAGTTGACCCCCGAAACTCAAGCGGATCTCCAAAGTCATGGGAACTGTTTGTCGAATTCGACTCATAATATTGTATGTGTGGTGATATCCATCTGTCAACGTGAGATGAAACCAACAAAGCACCAGCGGCCAGTAGCAAAGAAGGCACGATCAATTACCTCCAAATGACCTCAAAGATGCGCCCAAGCTGCCAAGCAATTGTATATTCACGTGATGTTCTCATTGTGTGCGTCCACGTGACGACGGGAACATTCGGCCCGGAGGTCTCAACCTTGCATCCTTGACGAAGCAAGCACTCCGAACGTCGATATCACCTCCCCATCCAACCCTCTGTGTCCCTCCTCCCTCCTTGAGGCCCTCCTCCAGCCAATTGCACAATGATGTCCGCTCGCTTCGCCCGCGCTGGCCTGCGTGCCACCCAGTTCTCCGTTCCTCGCACCGCCGCCGTTAACGGCATCAGGTCCTATGCCACCCCGGCCCAGGAGACCCGCGCTCCCGTCGCCCTGTTCGGTGTTGATGGCACCTACGCCTCTGCTCTGGTATGCACCTCCATTGCCCCGTCTTGTCGCGACTGTGTGTCGCCTTTCGCGACCAACTCCGTCTTTTCCCGACCCCTCCCACAGTTGTGTCCACTCTTCAAAACCAATCTTCAAATCATCAAGATGCCACCAAGCAAGCCCGGAATGAATTTCCAATCTGACCCTGTTCTTCAATAGTACACCGCTTCCGCCAAGTCCGCTGCTCTCGACCAGACTGCCCGTGCTATCACTACCCTCGGCGCGATCCTCAAGGCTGACAAGAAGCTCGTCAACATCATCAGCGCCCCTATGCTGACCCCCGCCGACAAGAAGTCTATCGTTGAGGAGCTCGCTAAGGTTGCCGGTGCCGATAAGGCCGGTATTATCCAGAACTTCCTCGAGACACTCGCCGAGAACAACCGTCTCGGTGCCCTTGAGGGTGTCTGCGAGAAGTTCGGCACCCTGATGGGTGCTCACCGCGGCGAGATCGATCTTAACATCACCAGTGCTCAGGTACGAGTTCTTTGAGCTATATTTCGATATATCGAAAAAAAAATATGACCTGAAAGCTAAAACTTCATCCGCAGGAGCTCGATGCCAAGACCCTCGCCCGTCTTGAGAAGGCTGTTTCCAAGTCTCAGTTCAGCCAGGGCAAGAAGCTCAAGGTTGTTGCCAAGGTGCGTTGTAATGGATGAATTTATTGTTTTGTGGTTGTTTACTAACTATGTTGATCAGGTCAACCCCGACCTTGTTGGTGGACTCGTTGTTGAGATTGGTGACCGCACCGTTGACCTTAGCGTTTCTTCCAAGATCGCCAAGATGAACAAGGCTCTTTCCGATGCTTTGTAAATGTAAATTAGCCTCTGCGTTTGAGGGGATGGTTAAACTATAGCATATCGTCCCGGATGAACGGTAGCGTTCGTAGGGGGAAGGGGCTCCAAGCATTCCCTTTTCTCCCTCATCTTGTTTTGTTCTCATTACTTGTCAATTGCACAAATTCATCTATAGTTGATGTCTTATAGATTGTTGCTTGCCAAAGTCTCACAAGGTACGGTGGACATCTTGGTCTAGCGGGTTGATACTAGTTCGCTGTGTATTTTTTATCCCTCAACCTGCTTGCCTTAGTGTCTGCCTGCCTTCCATATCGCTTGGACCCGACGTGCGGTTCTGACCACCGGTCAATCCGGGTGATGGCCCTCTATTTCTTTTCTCTCGACCTTATATAAATACCCCGACTCTCGTATAGGTGTGGGAGGCAAGCGGTTTGTGATACGCCTAGGTACAGAACACACAGGTCCCTTCTGTTGGAGATGCTGATATTATTGACATTTACTTCGCTGTCAAATGCACTAAAAATCAAGACTATACTTCGAAAATATGAATATATATGTAGGGTGGAAATGATATATAGCAGATGCAACATGCGTAAAAAAGGAAATAGGGGGGAACATGGGACAGATTGCAAAGAAGATCGTCATTATCGAATCGAGGAGCAACCAAATGTGTAAGAAAATGACCAGGAGGAAAGAAAAAAGAGAAACATAGGCCTAGACGGAAGGAACATCGTCGAATGGAAGGAAAACATCAACCATCCAGAGCGGAATCAAGACTGTCCGTTCTGCTTATTCTCGTTCTCAGCCTGCGTCTCAAACTCATCCTCATACGTAGCAATTGAAGCCGAGCTGCGAACCCGCTGCAACTGACTCTCCACATAGTGATCAACATGATCCTGGCTTTCAGGATCCACAGTGCTACCTCTACGACTGACGCCACGACTAGGACCGCGGCTCTCACCATCGTCATCCAAGACCGTTGACGCAGCAGGCGTAGCTGCGCCAGAGTAGAAGTCACTACGGTTCCCGATAGAGCGTGTAGTCGACGAGCGACGGATAGACGGACGGCCCGAGCCGCGTGGTCGTCCGGAACGGGAGAAGATGTCGTCGAAGTAGTGCGATGCGGCAGCGAAGGGTGATCGCGGCGTCTGTGGTAGACGACAGTTGATGCCAGTGTCGTGGATGATCTTGGCGATTAGGCCTGTCCATCCGCACTGGTGTGATGTTCCCAGTCCGCGTCCGCTGTCGCCGTCGAAGAACTCGTGGAACCAGAGGTTGTCTTTCCAGTGCTCGTCGAAATCGAGGAGGTCTGAGCCGGCGTTTGTGGCGCGGCGGCCTTCGTCGTTGCGAGCGAAGAGATGCTGCATGCGGTGCTGCAGTTCTTCTGCTACGTGTCCTAGGTGCATGTAATCTCCTGAGCCTGTGGGACACTCGACTTGCAGAGTGTCACCGTAGAACATGTGGAAACGGAGGAGGGACTCAACAAGGAGGAAGTTAACGCAGAGCCAGATGGGGCCGCGCCAGTTGCTGTTACCACCGAAGAGAGAGGAGTCCGAGTCGCCAGGGACGTAGCCGACTTTGAAGGTTTGGCCCTTGACGTCCATGGAGTAGGGGTGGTCTTTGTGGAACTTGGACATGGAACGGATACCATGCTCGGAGAGGAACTCTGTTTCATCGAGCATTCGCTCAAGGATCTTGATGAGACGGTCTTTGCTGACCAGGGCTAGGAGGAGTCGGTCGTCTTTACCGCGGTTCTTCATGCTAGCGATGTTGCGCTCGGCCACGTCTGGCCTGTTCTCGATGAACCAGTCCACTCGTCGCTTGAACGAGGGGAATTGGTTGATGAGCTCCGGCTCTAGAGTGAGAACCGCATACAGTGGGATCAAACCGACAAGGGATCTGATGGGCAGCTGCTGGGTCCATGGTCCGCCGTAGGAGATGGCATCGTAGTAGAAGTTGTCTTCTTCGTTCCAAAGTGACTGTATAGTGTCATCACCCTCCCGGTAGGTCATTGCATCACTGATAAGCAGGAAGTGCTCGAAGAACTTGGATGCGATGTCTTCGTATGTGCGTCGGTGCTTAGCCAGCTCCAGAGCAATGTTAAGCATGGTCAGAGAGTAGAAGGCCATCCAACCAGTGCTGTCAGCCTGCTCAAGCACACCACCAGTGGGCAATGGCTCCGAGCGGTTAAACAGACCGATGTTATCGAGTCCCAAGAAGCCGCCCTCGAACACATTCTTGCCGCCGAAGTCCTTGCGGTTCACCCACCAGGTGAAGTTCAGCAGCAACTTTTGGAATACTCGTTCCAGGAAGTCCAAATCTTGTCGTCCGTACATCTTCCGCTCAATCTTGAACGTGCGGAACACAGCCCATGCGTGCACGGGAGGGTTCACATCTCCGAAGTTCCACTCGTACGCAGGCAGCTGACCGTTCGGGTGCATGTACCACTCACGCGTGAGGAGGTCGAGTTGCTTCTTTGCGAAATCGGGATCCATCATAGCCAATGGGATACAGTGGAATGCAGTGTCCCATGCAGCGAAGAATGGGTACTCCCACGAGTCCGGCATCGATAAGATGTCGTCGATGTACAGATGACGCCACTGCTCATTACGAATGCCCTTTCGGCCCGGCGGAGGAGGAACTTCACCCGGGTCGCCGTTGCTCCATTGATCCCAGATGAAGTTGTAGTACTGCTTACACCACATCATTCCGGAGAAGGCTTGACGCTGGATGTTGCGGAGATCGTCGCTCATGGGAAGAGGGTTGAGATGGTAGTAGAAGTCATCTGCCTCGGCGCGGCGCTGTTCAATCACATCGTCCAGAACTTCTTCATCAACGAATTCTTCCTTCTTACGGGACACTCTGAAACGGACAACGGCGCATTCGCCGGGAGGAACTCCCTCGCCGTCATTGAAGGCGTACCAAGCAGCGAACTTGGAACCTTCCTCATCTGGGTTGATAGCACCTTTTTCTTCATTGACAATATGACGGTGGAATGCGTCTTTAACATAGGGTGTGACGTTCTCGGTACCCCATAGGAACTTGTTATTAGTCTCATTCTCGGTGAACATCATCTGAGGCTGAATATCTTCTTCGCCAGATCCAACTGGAGGGGACGGCGCAAAGGACACATATCGCTCGCCAATTTTGCTGTGGTTTGATTTGGCCACCATCGGACCCTCTCTTTTGATAGTTGGTCTTTCCTTTTTCTTCTCGTCGCCCCAGGACCAGGTGTTTCGGAACCAGACATGGGGGACGATGTGTAGATGAGCAGGCTCCGGGCCACGGTTGTATGCGATGACACGGAAGAGCAATTCTTCCTCATCATCGGCGTCCTTGGCAGTCTCGATAAAGATATCCCAGTAGCGGTCATCTTCAAAGATTCCAGTATCAAGGATCTGATACTCTGTCTCCAGGCGGGAGCGCCTTGCGTTCTCATCAATGAGGTCCTGGTATGGGAACTTTCTCTGGGGGTATTTGTAGAGGAATTTCATGTAGGAATGCTATACTCCGGAGTTAGTATGACCAAAGATGAATTGGATTGGATCGATAGAATAGGTTACCGTTGGAGTGTTGTCCACATGGAAATGTGCCTCCTTCACACTCTCGCCATGATTACCCTGAGGGTTCGACAAACCGAACAGGCGTTCCTTCAGGAAGTCGCTGTACTCCAGTCAGATTCCATGTGGGAGGGAACTGCAAATACAGCGTTCAAGCAGAGATTCAACTTACTCTTCGCCATTCCAAAATGCAAAGGCAATGTTCTGTAGGCCGTGTGTATCAGATACACCGGCAATTCCATCTTCACCCCAACGGAAAGTTCTCGATCTTGCGTGGTCGTGGGTGAAGTAGCTCCAGGCATCACCATCTTCACTGTAATCTTCTCTGACTATACGACAAGAAAGTAGGCATTAGCCTTCTATTTCTCGATATGGTTTATGGATTTGCAAGCTCTCACCTGTGGCCCATTGTCTTTCTGCCTATATCAATTCAAGAGCTTTTAGCACTGCCAGTTTGTATATTTCAGAGCTTTCCTCCATCTTGACTTACCACGTAAGGTCCCCAACGCTGTTTTGTTCAATTAGCTGAAATGTTCTTGAGAGCTCTAAAGTTAGAGATATCTTACCTTCCAATATTTGGTTCTCTCGCGGTCTTCCTTTAGGCGCTTCTCTTCCTCTGTAATGACTTCTTTTCCATCGATTAAAACCATAATGGATAGGTTTGCAAAGGCCAATGCAAAAAAAGGGGGGGAAAAGTATATGAAAAGTGAGAAGAAGATGGGAAAAAAGAATCAAAAATGGAGGGGAAAGCAGTCCGTGCCAACCTGGTAACTGAGATGACGTGAATAATCACCGGGTCCACAGGTTTTGTTCGGGTGGATAATCGGGTTGGATTGGAAGATACAGGGCTTTGATTGGTTAATATAGGAAATGTTCGGTTCGGGCCTGGAATATGCACAAAGCTCATAGACCTTGTTTTTGCCTACTTATATATAGCATAGGTAAGCTAAAATATATTATATCAATTGACTTTATATTATATATACCTGCTTAGATTAAGCCTGTTTATATGTCTTATTATATTGTAAGTATAAAAAATACCCTATTCAGGCTATATATCTAGTACTATCTAAGATCTCAGTTATCTCCCCCAAAAGCGGAGACAAAGAAAATATTACCTACAAACACATTGTCATATGGATATAATCATATATTCCTTCCTCAGGCCCTATCTCCCGAAGTCGTTTCTGATTATCCGGAAACACATATGTGCCTAAAGATCGGCTTCTGCCCGATTGTTCTATTAAGAATTGCTATCGGGAACGCCACCTTTCTTATCATGCCGGTCCTCACCGTTTCTAGTACCTACATATACATATGCACATGTAGGTGGCGCTGAGTTGAGACATTTATGACTTCGGGAATGTCCTAGCTCTGTGCGGTGGTGACATTTAGCTACGCCTACCAATTCAAAATAACTGCCTATTAGAAGTTAAGGAAAATATAGGAACTTTGAAAGGGTTTAGAAAGAATAAGGGTGAATCTCAGGCCCCACGATTATCCTAGCTCCACCTCCATATCTCATCTCCACTTATTATCTTCGACATACACCTCCAACCCAGACCGGTCTCTAAGCTCAAAACAACCCTAGATATTGCATGCATTCACTCATGTAGAAAAGTTGCTTGATACCAACAGGCTGCATGTTCTAGCTACGCTCTAGTCTAAAGACGCAGTCTAAGCTCTACCAGACGGCATTCAACGGCTATCTAAAAGAATGGCCTTAGCTGAAATGGAGCCTTATAAAAACAAGGATTTCATTATATGGTTCATACTATTGCAGTCCAGCTATATCTAATACTTCCAAGGATACTTCAAAAGATCCAGAGACAAATGACATCCAGGGCAAGAGACCATGTATATTGTGTAGGCATCCTTCTCCACCGAGGATTATCTTCCAGACATAAACGAATTCATAAGCAAATATTATGCCCCACAACTAGGACCGTGCCCTTTTTCCTGCACCTCAAGTCAGGGAAACAGGGACAATGACGGAATCGAGTGGATAATTGGGCGTTCAATTTCTGAGGACATCTGATTGGACGCCATATAATACGCCCATTAACAACTCACCTTATCGTTCGGCACGGACCTGAAGATATGGCACCTAGGAATTCCCGGAACTATATATATCTACATGTAAGTCACTCCGTACGAGAGATGTACATATATATGCATTATCCCCAGGGCATAAATATTCAGATATCCCGGGTCTGGTCAGTCTGAAAGAATTTCGATTTCAGTCAAGGCAAAAACAAATTACGGATGAATCGCAGTGCCGTAGCAGTGCGAACAAGGAAATGGCCTTCCTAGGCCAGACCCATACAATAGGGGGGTTTCTCAAAGGATGCCAGAAAAAAAAAAGATAAAACTAAAAAAAATCATCCCAAAAAAATAACCATGACTGGGAACATATCGCGTCTATCAGACGCGGCGCGGGTCCAATATCACGGATCGTAGAGAGAATTTCGCCCTGATGCGCTTGTTCCAGCCTTAATCTAGTTCCGACTTCCCGGACCGGACGGCCTTTTGACTTGACCTTCCAGATCTAGAAATTTGCAGTTCGGAAACTCAGTTGTTCCCCCGCTGCTCAGACTGCTCCGGCTGCTGCTCGTTGTTGGATCCTCCCTGGGAAGCTGTTACACAGTCAGATCCCGCTACAGCGCAAAATCCAGGCCAGCTATATCAATCGGCCCCGCAAAATAGATCAGATTGAGCGCTCACCAGCTGACTGGCCTTGTCCACGGGGTTGGGACGAGGTGTTGTCCCTCCCGAAAGATCGGGACTGGAGGAGCCTCTCGGCCTCGCGGATCCGATTCTGCAGCTCTTCCAATTCACGGCTCTGGATCAACACCTGTTGTTTCCTTTCGGGTTGAGGTTAGCACCATGAAAACGAGAAATGAGGATCGTGATAACCACGAGAGTCGCGTGCGATATCGAATAGTAGGGAATTTCTCAAGTGCCACTCACTTCTGGTCGATGGTTTGCGAAAGGTTGTTGACGTCAGAGTCGAGCATAAAGGCGCTGTCCAACGCGGACGAGAAGGCTTGCGCCATAGTCCTAAGGTCACGGTTAACGCCACTATTCAGATATCCGACAACAATATAGGGAAACGAACGACTGAGGCCGGCCGTTGGGCTTCCATTCGCGATCCATGTCAGACATCTTGTGTGGATGATACGAGCTCTCTGGTTTCTGTAATCACACTGGTCCCAACGGCTGAACAGCGACAGAGGGGTGTGCGACCTTGAAGCAGGCGGGGCAAGAGCAAGTCACAGAATTAAGGTATTAGGCGGTTTAGGTATCGTCGAGACCAGGGCCAGCCAAGAATCAAGCACAAATGAAACTGAATCAAGGATTCTGATGCTATTTCGAAAGAGAAAAAACAAACAAACAGTGTCAGCTCTCTATACTACTCGACAGATAAGCCACAATTTGGTGGGAAGGTGAAAGAAATACCGAATATCAATATCAAAGTATGAACAGATTGGAGAGTGATAATCAAAGGAACTTTGGAGACCTGCCAGGAAGCTAAAGGGGGGGAAAAGAAGGGAAAGAGATGATCATAGCCTGTTACTAGTCGCGGTAAATTGGTCCCCATATAATAATCCACCGGCAAGGAGAGAGCTCGTAAATGTTACAACTGTATTACAGGGGCTCTACGCCATTATTTGTCGTTTAATAAGGGGGGTTTTGTTTCAGGGGTTGATTTTTATACTTCCATGGTTATATTTCTTATTTTACTTACCTTATATTACTTAGTTATATTAGTTACTTACATTACTTATATTTTTGATATATGTGTAGGTAGAGAAAATAGGGGTTGAGTACATATATATGTACTTCTAAGGTAACTCACAAAGGAAGATTTCCTCTCTTTCATGAGAAAAGTTAAACCCCTGACATGGGTTTGAGCGCTATTAGGGGATTTTCATTATTTACCTATAAATACTACAATACATACTCAGATTTACGGGAATATAAAGGATGTGAAGATATAAGGTTGAAAATGTGCATGCTTTCAGATGGTAAACAATATAATCCAATATCTTCTAGACTTATATACTTAGAGTAATATGTACTACACATATACTCATCCGTACATCGTACGTTGCATTCCGCATTCTGGCAGATTCCTCCCTGGCAACTCGTCACATGACCTATACCATACAGTACAATCGTGAACTCTTCTCCAATTCCCAATCCCGATTTCTATTTCCATCGTCGTTTCAATTCAACTGGGGAACTTCATCTCTTTGCTTGATATAACCCTAAATCCGACGCGTTTTTAACTGGACCGTTGTGGTCGCCGTTCATTTTTTTCCCGCTTCGATTTTTCGCGAAGGGCTATGCGTATTGCGTTTCAAACCTGTCGCGTTCGCTATCTCTAAATATCAGCCAACCTAGCCGACGTAGCTAATAAATCCCCGAAACTCGCCGTTCAGCAACACCCGAAATTTTCTGTGACCACCCTGATCGCCGACCACCGTGGCCCCCATCGTCAAAGCATTTCCCCCCAGTGGCCGACCGGACGGGCAATGGGGGATGCCTCCTCTGTCGGCATACACTTCGTTTGAGTCCCTTTTGTTCTTCCAGTCTCTAGCGACGTTAGATTCCCGACCGACAAGCTTCGGCTCAATTTCAACCCTCCTGCGCAACAATCAGCTCGTGCGCGAGAATGCCGATTTCGATGCCGATCGCCTGACTCCGGAGGCGCTGGAAGATCTTTATGCGAAATTGATGCGCGATGGATTCAGTCGGGATGGTGCGCTCTCAGTCAATGGGCGACCCGCAGATACCCCTAGTCCACCAAATCCGAAGAAACGCAAGATCTCCAGTCCGCGACCAGATGGATTGACCGGCGGATTCACACATGCCACGCTCATCCCAGAGCTCGTGGCACACCTTTACGCCAAGTACAGAGACCTAGTCACCAAGGAAATTAGGGACGATGAGAAACAGTACACAGAAATCAGAGCTGAGCTGGAACGGCTGCAGCAAGAGGACGAGAAATTAGCGGCAGCGGCAGCTACAACAGTCACGCCGGTGAAGCCAGTGCCCATAGAAGTGAAGGATGCTGGTCTAAAGGAAGAGACGCCGCGTCCAAATATACAAGATCGGACAGGTAAACCTCTCGCGCCAACCATCCCGCTCGCCGCCCAGGAGAAGGCAAAGCCCGAACCACAGCACATCGTAATAAATGTGCCCCCTACGACAAACGAGCCTCCGAAAACACACCCCCCTCCTGTGATCCAACCTCAAGCTCCACTTCCTCAAGCGCAAGTCCCTACGCCAAAGCCGCAAGAGGTAGTTGCGCAAGCACTTCAACCGCAACCGACCACCACTCACCCCCTACCAAAACTGCCTATCCAACCTCCACTTGCTCCATCTACCCAGAAAGCTCCTCCAACCACACCTGCCGGGCCACGAGTCACACCAGCGCATCCGTCCCAAATCGCGCCTCGTGCCAATCCTGTCCATCCTGCGCCCATTGTTACGGGTAAGGCTGGCCCGTTGGCGCCGGCACTCCAACGAACCCCCGCTCAACCGAGTTTCCAACAGTGGCAGCTGGATCCTTCTCCTCATTCGCCATATCCTGGCGTCTCCCCAGGTGCTGCTACACCCCAAGCAGCCCAGACCACTGCTAAACGACCTATACCACAACCTTGCACCAACACGCCTTTGCTAGGGCCACAAGTCCAGACTCCCTTCCCACAATCTGTTCCGCAAACACCCAGCGCCATCCCCTCTACAGCTCATACGCCTGTTCCAATTGGCCGCCCGCGTGTTTCCCAAACCCCAAGTGCCACGTTCCCCTCTTTCTCCGAATCTCGCGCCTCTCATCCACGCCTGTCAATTGACACACAAGGCTCCTCCACACCATGGAAGAGAACTCCTCGACCGAGGGCTTCGCGCTCTCCAAGCTCACCTCCACGGCCACGGCCGGAGGACGTCAGTCCCATCAGTGAACGAGGTCAATCTCCCGTCGATGCGATGGAAATGTCACCTCCCCCCAGAATCAATCTAGGCCAGCGAGCTCCATCTACAGAAGACAAGAAACCACGACGCGGTCAGCCTGAAATCAAGCCCGGCCCCGTCATCAAGACCGAGAAATTAGCTCCGGTTCGGAGGACGCGTGCCGCAAGTTCAGCTTCTTCCCGGAGTCGCGAGCGATCCATGGCTTCGCGCGATGGGTCGGCTGCGCCCTCAGAAGACACTTCACGTGAATCACGAGCAACGGGCCGCCGAAAGGGTGCAGCTGTTACAGCCGACGAAGAGACTCCCAAACCGCGGACAAAACGTAAACGTGGTGCAAGTGAAGCATTGGAGCTTGAACCCCACCCTGCAGATATCCCCAGATTCGACACAACTCGATATGTCATGGCGACGCGCAACTTTCACCGGACCGCGGCACCGATTATGAACGATGTAGCCACCCACAAGCTTGCCTCCATCTTTGCTAAGCCAATTGGCGAGCGTGACGCCCCGGGCTATCACGATCTCATCTATCGGCCATCTGACCTCAAATCAATCAAATCTGCCATCCACCAGGGAAGCAAAGCCGTCGCCACCGCAGGAGAATCAGTCAGTACCCCAGCCGGGGATGGAGAGTCTCCCGTTCCTGGTGGCACACCCTCCAAAGGCGGCGTGCTAATGTTGCAAAAGAATGAGGACTTCATACCACCCAAGGGAATCGTGAACTCTGCACAATTGGAGAAAGAGTTGATTCGCATGTTCGCCAATGCTATCATGTTCAACCCCATTCCCCAGCGAGGATTTGGACCTGCCTTCCCCATGTCTAGCGACCGTGGTTCGCGGGAGAGTACCCAAATGGGTGATTCCGACGAAGGCGGAATCATCCAGGACTCGATGGAGATGTTTGAGGATGTTCAGCAGGCTGTTACTCGATGGCGGGCTGCTGAACGCACTGCTGATGAACTGGCTAATAAGAATGTCCTCTCTCTTCGGCGTGGAAGTGCCAGTGATTTCAACACTGACAGTACTGATGATGTGAAAGGGTGATTGATTTGAACAACATGGATCTTGTATTATGAACTTTGTATTTGATTAGAACCGGTTTATTGGATTTGGAAATGAAATGCCATGATGTCTGTCGTCGGTGCCTTCGATAGCCCGGCGGTTATTAATACTCCTGCTTTTCTGTGCGTATTCCAAGGTTCTCTACGGAGTATCCTCGTGATAATCTAACTGAAGCATATCAACGTGTATATCATTGTCATAACCTTTCAGCCAGAGCCAGTCCTGCTGCCCGGAGTCTAAAATGGGGTATATATTTTCTATGTTTCAACACCCGGCCTCTTAAGCCTGCTCCGGTCTCGTCCGTCCAAGGCCCTCCTTCGCATAAAAGTCCATCGGATACACGCCCTTATTCCCCGTATCCCAGTTCTCCCGCACCCCCAACGCGACAAGCGCTTCGTACGGCGTCAGCAACGGTCGCGTAAACGCATATCCCCAGTCAATACTCAACCGCGGACAAGCAATCTGTACCCAGCACTCCACATCCGCCATAGAAGCCAGCTTTCCAGGGAAGATCTCACTCAGCAGCAAGTTAACAACCGGGATACCGCGCTCCTGCAAGTGTCGCTCGATCATCGCCATAGTGTGCGGGTTACCCTGTCGACCAAGCGAGCCAAGGATAATACCCCATTTGCGCGCGGTCTTGGCTGAGGCAATCGCGTCCCGGCGGATCGTCTGCATCTCTTCGTGCTCGTAGCTCTCGCGTGTCAGCGTTCGAGAGTACGGATCGTACCGGTAGGCTGGGATGGAGGGGTTGTGGATCATGGCGGATTCGAGGTGGAAACGGCCGTCACCGAGGTAGAGGATTGCATCGATATCGGTTTCGGAGAGTTGGGGCGATGTGCAGCCGAGGATCTCGCCTTTGGAGAGAGGGGTTATTTGGGGGATTATGACGCGGAAGCCGGCGCGCTCTAAGACGGGTTTGAGTCCGTGGAGCGTTGCGTTGAATTGGATCGTGCCGACGGTCGCGATCGATTGGCCTGGCTTGAAGTTGCGCTCGAGTGTTGCGAGGAGGTGGCTTGTGTCGATGCTGATGTCTACGAAGATGTAGAGGGTCTTGATTTGGGTTACGTCGACAGGGATCAGACAACTGTGCGCGTAGTGTACTAGCAGATCACAGCCTAGGGCGCGCGCTGTGTAGTCGTCGATGCAGCAGGCGCCGTAGGTGACGTCGCCCATGATGAGGGTTTCAATTCCGGGGCAGAACTGGGTTAGAATGTCGGAGATTGTTGTCGCGAAGATGAGGAGTCCTTCTGGGAATTGGAGGGCTACTCGCTTGGCTCCTGATGTGCGGACTCGGTGGATTGTCTTGGGGATCTCAAATGAGTAGTTCTTGGGGAGAAGCTCTATTGCTTCTTGGATCTCGGGATCGTTTAGGATCTCTGGTGGCACTTGGTTGAGGGTGCGGGGGGTGCGTCTGGGAGCGGCTGGAGGAAGTAGAGATTAATATATGTATCTCAGTCGATCGAGAGGACGATATGTACCTGTTTGCACCGCTGTGGACTCGACATCTTTCTGACTGGTCGTATCCTTCTGGGCTTGGGCATCTGCAGTTCGTCGTCCGACAAATCTCTTCTTTGGCTGCCGCATTTGGCTAGCGGATTGTGAGACATCCTCAGTAGAGGGAGTAGGGACATTTGGCTCCATGATGGTCAGCTAGAATATGAGTCAAAAAGATCGAAAATTGGACTCTTCACTGATCTTGATAACCTTCAGATCTTGGAATTGATATTCATCCCACTTCCTTTTTCTGCCGACTGACTCAGCAGTAGGTGGGGTGATTAGCTAGTCCGCAAGGGGTAAAGCGCTCTCCGCATCTCGGCTTCCTACTGTTCCATTCTCAAAGCTTGCCTCCCTTTACCTGCTATTTCCCTTACAATTTGGATTGTTCTGATCATAAAAAACTTGCCTAAAATTTATCATGATGACAACTCGCCCCAGATTGAGTCTGTTCTCAGCCCTGCGGTCTCCATATTCGGCACGCCGCTTTGCAACCGAGTCGCGGTTAACCTCGGACCATGTCCGCATCGTGGAGGTTGGCGCCCGAGATGGACTACAAAACGAGAAGAAATCTATTCCAATGCAAACAAAGCTTGAATTGATTGAGCGACTGGCTAAGACAGGTGTTACCACCATTGAAGCTGGGTCATTTGTGCCCGCAAAATGGGTACCCCAGGTATGACGTGCAGGACGGCGTTTTCAAGCCTAGGGAACTGACGAACTGGTTATATTGTAACAGATGGCAAGCACAGCCGAGATTTGCGAGCATCTTCTCACAAAACCACCACAAGCACAATCTACAATCGCATACAACTACCTTGTCCCCAACATCAGAGGACTGGAGAGCCTGGTCAAGATCCTTGATGAAACAGGGGTCTCCGCGGACGCAACTGGAGAGACATCGAAGGCAGCGACGACTACAGAAGTGTCTCTTTTTGCAGCAGCAACAGAAGCGTTCTCGAAAGCTAATACTAACTGCTCCATTGCGGAATCACTGGAGCGCATCAGGCCGATTGTTTCATTAGCAAAGACTAAGAATATCCGGGTACGCGGATATGTCTCTGTTGCACTAGGGTGCCCCTACGAAGGACCGGATGTGGATCCTGTCAAAGTGGCTGATATCACGGCCACGCTGCTGGAGATGGGAGCGGATGAGGTCTCAGTGGCAGACACAACGGGTATGGGCACTGCCCCCCGGACCATGGAGCTTCTGCAAGCGCTCAAGGCTGCTGGCATTCAAAATACAGACTTGGCATTGCACTTCCATGATACCTATGGACAGGCCTTGGTGAATACAATCGTTGGCCTGGAGCATGGTGTCCGCATCTTCGACAGCAGCGTGGGCGGGCTTGGTGGTTGCCCGTATTCCAAGGGTGCGACGGGAAATGTAGCGACGGAGGATCTCGTTCACACGATCCACAGTCTGGGGATGCATACGGGGATCAGCCTCGATGAGATGTCGAAGATTGGTGGTTGGATTAGTAAGGAGTTGGGTCGACCTAACGACAGCCGGGCTGGAAAAGCGACTCTCGCTCGTCTTGCGGAAGAAAAAGCGTCGCTTTGATCAATATGTGCTATAGCCTGTGCTTGTTATTGTTTGGAGTATTTATTAGTTCCCAATGGGTCTCATTTGCCAACACCACAATGACCCGCAAATATGCTTTGCATTGTCACTTCACGCCATTTTGTTATGTACACTGTAGATGTGATCAACCAGAACAAGACACCCACTTTTCCGTCTCCAGTTATGGAGATATTATATCCCTAGGCAAGAAACACCAACGCCAACATGATGCAAATCTCTTTAGTCAAGCTGAGTTTACTCAGAAATCAGTGACGCGACCACCATAGCTCCAATCGCCCGCTGAGCCCCAGCGCAAGGGCTCGTTCTTTGGGCCACCAACTTCACCAGTCTTTGGGTTTTTCTCACCCTCAAACTCAGGCTGCAGTCCCTTTGGCGCATCGGGGTGAAGCTCGCCACCTTTGCCATCCGCCTGAATCTCAGCCTGTGGGGACTGGTTGACCTGGGGTGTACTGAAGGCACCAGTCGAGCGCTTTTGGAGCTGTTCAAAAATCTCCTGTTCTTCCTTCGGGAGACGTGGGGGAGCCGGGGAGTCTGAGAACGGCATAGGCTTGTCGTCGCTCTGGCGCAGGAATCGAGTTGTGGAAAGTGGCCGAATTGCGCCGCGGGCTGCGGCAGCCGAGAGGATTGAGCGGCGAATAGTGAGAGAGAATACCATTGTGCTTGTGGATGAGGGGAATGATATGTCCAATGAGGAAAGTTTGAAGTTGTACGTACGATGTACGGCGAGATCTCGGGACCTCGGGTTTATTGACTCACTCCACCTATGTGACTAAGACTGCCGATCCCCGATATCGCCTTTTTTTATTTCCCCCAGCAGCTTGACTTCGATCAGACGGTTCTCTTGCTATTCTTACCTCTCTTTTGCTGCGAATTGGCCTTTTGTTTTCCCTTGTATTTTTTATAGATCAAAAGTTGGCCATGTCTGCCCTCCGTGTGGCCGCGCGCCGTCTGCCTCGCGCCTCCAAATTTGTCCCTGCTCTCGAATCTCCACTACAGCGCCGATTCGCGACTACGGTCAATGCCCCTCAAAATGTGAACGCCCAGGTCAAAGTATGTGCGATGTCAAGGGTCCAGGACGGTGTTCAAATTAATCAACTAACAACCGCATAGAAAGAGACAACTCTGCCCAACCCCGACCCTTCAGCGGACTCAGTCACCGCGTCCTTCATTAATGAGCGAGCTCCTTTCATGGTCACGACTTATGTTCGCCCGGCTCCGATGATGATGAAGGGACAGGGTTGCTACTTGTGGGATATGGAGAACCGACGTTATCTGGACTTGACCGCAGGAATTGCAGTTAACTCTCTTGGTCACTGTGACCCGGAGATCGCAAAAATTATTGCGGAGCAGGTATGAGATGCTTTTATGGACTGTATAGCGATCACCTGCTAACAAAAGCACTCATTATAGGCTGAGACCCTTATCCACGCTTCGAACCTTTACCATAACCCTTGGACCGGTGCTCTGAGCAAATTGTTGATTGATTTGACCAAGAAGTCCGGTGCTATGCGCGATGCCTCGCAGGTCTTTATCTCCAACTCCGGAACCGAGGCCAATGAGGCCGCTATCAAGTTCGCCCGCAAGACTGGTCGCACTCTGGATCCTTCGGGTGATAAGCACGAGTTCGTGTCCTTCAACAACTCGTTCCACGGCCGCACAATGGGCGCTCTCTCCGCCACCCCCAACCCCAAGTACCAGACTCCGTTCTCTCCCATGATCCCCGGATTCAAATACGGAGATTTCAACCAGATTGAACAGCTCCAGACTCTTATCACCGATAAGACATGCGGTGTGATTGTTGAGCCTATCCAAGGTGAGGGCGGTGTTAACATCGCTACCCCCGAGTTCCTTGCCGCTCTCCGCAAGCGCTGTGACGAGACCGGCGCCGTCTTGATCTTTGACGAGATCCAGTGCGGTCTGTCCCGTACTGGTACTTTCTGGGCCCACGCTCACCCCTCTCTCGCCCCAGCTTCTGGTGAGGCTGCCCACCCCGATATCCTGACTACTGCCAAGGCTCTTGGTAACGGTATTCCTATTGGTGCCACCATTGTTTCTGGTAAGACTGTTGCCCAGAACATTAAAACCGGCGATCACGGCACCACCTTCGGCGGTAACCCTCTGGCTTGCCGTGTCGCTCACCACATCGTCGAGCGTCTTGCGGAGCCGGAGCTCCAGCAGTCCGTCCAGGCCAAGTCTGATCTCTTTGTTTCGGGCTTCAAGGCTATGCAGCAGAAGTTCCCAAGTGTGATCTCCGAGATCCGCGGCCGCGGCCTGATCCTGGGTCTTCAGCTCGCCCCAGAGTACATCGCTAAGGCTGGTGATATTATCACTGCTGCCCGTGAGCGCGGTATGCTGATCATCACTGCTGGTGAAGGTTGCATCCGATTCGTCCCTGCCCTGACGATCACCGAAGACCAGATTCAGGCTGGTCTGCGGATTTTGGAGCAGGCTGTGGATTCCGTTGTGGCCAAGTCGTAAGTGTCTTGTCCTGAACGCCAATTATGATTTTGTTTTCCTTATATACCATATTGTATTGCGTTGGATATGACAAGACATATTTTCATAGAAACTAGAGCAATAAAGGAAAAGTGTCGTGTGTCCAATCTTTTTAGTGGAGAGGTCTCAGGTATGTACAAAGCAGTAGGACTGTCGACCTGTTTGACTCTTTCCCTTTTCTTTTTGCCCCTTGTTATAGCAATTGCTCGAATGCTATACTTATATCTTTCAGCAATGCTCAACACAAGCTGCTAAGCTGTTAACTCAACCATACCTATACGGCAGTTGGTCTTCCGACAGGGGTAGTTCCCCCCATGCCACGTGTGGGGCAGAAGGCGGTGGATCTCGTGGAGACAAGTCGTCACTCTTCGCGCTTGATTCGATATGACCCCGATATTCTTACCTGTTTCTCCTGAATATTCAAGTAGAATAAATTATGAACTGAACATCTTTTCTTGCTTTGCTGTAGCTTCTTATCACACCCCCAACGCAACAACGAATGCCTCTCACAGCATCCGATGAGGATGCCGCAACGCTTTCCTCCCAAGAGCAATCTTCGTCCATCTGGAAACGTTTCAGCGCCCGTGTTAGTGGTGCCTTTAGTGGCGCAGACCCCCGGGTCTGCGTCGCTTTCTGGCTCTTCGGTGCACACCCTCAACTAACCCAGTTGATCAACTTAACTAACACGCGTACTCGACAGGCCTTATCAACAATGTCCTATATGTGATTATTCTCTCCGCAGCTGTAGATCTAGTCGGACCCGATGTACCCAAAGGCGTCGTTCTCCTCGCAGACGTGGTGCCGTCATTCGCGACCAAACTCATTGCCCCGTACTTCATCCACCTGGTCCCATATTGGATGCGTATCCTCATCTTCACCTTCCTGTCATCTGCGGGCATGCTGGTCGTTGCTATGAGTCCAGGTTATACAGATGGGGGAACAATATCCTCCAAGATCGCAGGAATCGTCCTGGCGAGCTTTTCTTCCGGTGGCGGGGAGTTGAGCTTTGTGGGTCTCACGCACTTCTATGGGCAGTTCAGTCTGGCTGCGTGGGGGAGTGGTACTGGCGCCGCTGGGCTGGTTGGAGCTGGTGCTTACGCCCTTGCGACTTCGGCCCTGGGTTTCTCTGTTCATATGACGTTGTTGGTTTCGGCTTGCTTGCCAGCTGTTATGATTTTGAGCTTTTTTGTCGTGCTACCCATGTCCCCCCTGAGAACCGCCGAATCCGGTGCCGATAGATATCGCGTCGTTGAGGGTGGGGGCCAGATAGAGGAAGATGAAATGGATGATGGTGCTGGCGGAGAAAACGAGGGGCTCTTGGGAGTGTCACACAATTCCCCTGCCCACAAGTCTATCCATGTTCCCTGGAAGGACCAGGTGCGCATTGATCTACATCGCGTTAAGGAACTCTTCATTCCTTTGTAAGTCTCCCGGATTTTACAACTCTCTCAAATCTAGGCTGACAAGTATCTAGCATGGTCCCGATGCTGCTGGTCTACATCGCCGAGTACGTGATCAACCAAGGTGTCGCTCCAACCCTGCTTTTCCCACTGAGTGAATCACCATTTGAGCACTTCCGCTCGTTCTATCCCACCTATAATGCCATCTACCAGATTGGCGTCTTTATATCCCGGTCCTCGACCCCATTCTACCGGATCCACAATCTGTACCTGCCGTCGCTCCTACAGGTGGTCAACCTTGCGTTGCTGAGCCTCCATGCTATATTTAATTTTATCCCTAGTGTATGGCTTGTGTTCATGATTGTTTTCTGGGAGGGACTCCTTGGTGGGGTAGTATATGTCAATACCTTTGCTGAGATTGCCGATCGTGTTCCTAAGGAGGACCGTGAGTTCTCATTGGGGGCTACCACTGTCAGTGACTCGGGTGGTATTTGTATTGCGGGCTTCCTCAGTATGGGGTGGGAGGTTTGGTTGTGCAGTTGGCAGGTTGCACATGGGCGTGATTATTGCCGACAAAAGACATAGAATAGAGTGGAGCTCTGTGATGCACATATTTCCACAGACACTTCATAAAAACATAAATATCCCAGGATATAAAAGCACAAAATATAAAAATGGAATCATAATCCTCTGTGGTCAAGGTCCTAAGCCCGCTACTGTTCTTGTCAATATAGAGCTCAAGTGATCTTGGATTTGGATATGACAATGGCTACAGGTCACATATTCTTGGATTGACATTACCAAAATGTTGTTTGGTCATTTTATTTATTTTTGTCTTACATTTTAGGCGCAAAGCACCTGATTTGAGTATGATAGGACCTGGCGTTGTTCTGGTTGAAGAAGTGTACTACGAAAAAGGGGAGACTTAAATTCAAGGACTAAAGCCTAGGAGAAATTATGGGATGAATTGCTTTCGTAGTAAATCTAGGCTTGGATAGAAATGATGCCTTTTTCTGTCACCTAACATCCCTGTCATTCTATGCACTATGTAGTTATGTAGTTGGGCACTCCCAAGGCATTTCATGAGAGCATTTAGCCAAAACCTTGGAAGATCCTAACTAGTTAACTAACAAACAGAACGTGTTTCTGTCATTGGAGAATATATTAACTAGTTAACTAACTAGTTATGCCCTAATATTCATTGGAGGGCACATCCCCGGTCCGGGGAAGTCAGCTGTCGTCACTGGCATGTGAAGGTGGGACTTTGTTGACATGTGATTCAGCTTCCTCCAGCTTTTCTCCAATGACAAGATTGCATTAATTGCATTACTCTGCTGATCCCCCGTTATGTTCATCATGGCTGGCTGTCTAAAATGGCCTCTTTGTCTCGAGTCTTTTGTTCCGTTTGACTTTCATTATCCTTGACAACCTTCATTCTTATCCCTTCACATAGACTGCACATTACACGAACTGGTTAGATGGGCTAGACTCAACCCTAATTTCGAGAAATGATAGGTATGCAATATGCATCCATCCTCCTGGCATGCTACATGCGATCCAAGCTAATCGATGCGCAGACCACGTTTTGGGGAGACCTTCGACCCGCTTCCGGAAGATCCAAGTATTTGCAGTCGTCTCCTTCTGGTCGTTGTACTTACTAAGGTACAGTATATCAAGTCCACATATCATTCCAAGGAATTCAAACCCACTGAACGTCCAACAGAGCAGATAGACATGGCCCACCATTTATTCGATCCCTCTCATCCCGCTTCACAGGAAAGTTGACAACATGGCAGACAACTGTTATCATATTTCTTTGGCTCTATCTCAGCCGGAATTTCGCTAAGATTGTCGGGCTCGAATGTCCTGAACCATTGGCAAATATGTACTCGCGCTCCTTCTTCCGAGCAACATGGATCACCACCGGTCTGGATGCTGGATTTTGGACCGCGATGAACATAAAGCCAAAATGGCTACGAGATATAGCGTCACTGGTCTTCACGGCTTACTATCTGATTGCCGCTGAACAGGCCGACGAGAAAGTTCGCCGGGTTCGTGCTACCCTGACACTGGAGCATCTGCGCGTGTCTTGGAACAAAGCCACCAGCCCCTATCTGTGGTCATTGGCGAAATTACTACGGCCACGAATGACTCAGTTCCCGGCTCGAGCGATTCGCATTCCTCGCCCGGCGCAGTCTGTTTATACCGAACCAGTGAATGCGTGGCTGTATTTCGACGGCCCGTTAAGTGCGCTCCGAGATCAGAGTCTCATCGTGCTGGATGTACCTGGTGGTGGGTTTGTGGCTATGAGTCCCAGACACTCAGAGGATAAACTATTGTCTTGGGCGGGACGGCTCAAGGTCCCCATCCTCAGTATAGATTACAAGAAGGCACCAGAATTCGCATACCCGTATGCTATGCATGAATGCTACGATGTGTACCATAGTATCATTTCCACGAATGGTCGTTGTATGGGTCTGAGTGGTAAGACCCGTCCTCGGATCTTTGTCACTGGTGAGAGTGCCGGTGGGAATCTCGCAGTGGGTATGACCTTGATGGTGTTGCAGTCTGCGATAGCTCAGGGCTGGCGTGGAGAGGATGTCCTCCCAGCCCCGGATGGTCTTGTTTTGGGATACCCTGCGTTGAACATGAAGGTTGAGAGCTGGATGAGCGATGAACAGATGTCATTGATCCAGGATAAGAGCACCCGTCAGACAAACCGCAGTGTTTTGCAACGAAAACAGGATGAATATCGTAAACTCACACCATTCACATCGCCAGGGCACTCGGTTGAGGACCTGACCGCTCTCTCGCCACCGGAGAGGTCAAAGGATAACAAAGAAACCAATGTGGCTGCTGAAGCTGCTAAAGCGTTGGAGAAGAAACTCCAAAAGAGCGAGGACGTAGCCCCGAAACCTGTTGCCAAAGCAGAAGGCGACGTCAAACCAATCAAGACTAGACTAGCTGTCTCGTCGATGATCACCTACGTCCACGACCGTATCCTCACACCTGAAATGACGCGTGCGATGATCATTCTATATATTGGACCCCACCATCGCCCCGACTTCAACACCGATTTCCTTCTGTCTCCCGTCCTGGCCCCAGATGCTTTACTTGCCCGCTTTCCGAAAACATATATCATGACCGGAGAGCGAGATCCTCTGGTTGATGACACGGTCATATTTGCAGGCAGACTGCGTCAAGCAAAGCTACATCACTTCCGTGAGCGCCAGGACCTGGGATTGGAGAGGTCTAACCGCCCCTTCAACGAGAGAAATTACGTCGAGATCTCCCTGATCCCTGGCATCTCACACGGATTCATGCAGATGGCTGGTTTCTTCCCTGACGCGTGGAAATATATCCACCGCAGTGCAGACTGGCTTGAGGCATTGTTCCAGAAGATCAAGACCGACGACTTGGAGGCTGATTTACTTTACCCTGACCGGGAGGTGAATGCTTTGAACGCCAATATTTCCCTTAAATGGTCCAGCTCTGCAGAGAAAAAAGCAAACTCTTCACACAGTGGGCGCAACCACCATCGCAAGTTCACTGGCGAGTCTTCTGGTGATGACGATAGACCATTGGAAATGAGCATGAGCAAGATCACATCTGCTGCTAGTAGCGAGGATGCACTTGCATCAAAGTCCGCACCTCGCACGCGTCGGAGGAGATCGCATTCCTCTTTTGCTTCTTCACGAGTTACTGGGTTTACATCGTTGGGAGATGATCGAAATGCCAAGGAGGATTTCATCGCTAAGCTTCGGCACTTGGAGAGAGCGGGTCGTTCTCAAGATCCTTTTGATCCCGATGAGACAAATAGTGCGCCTGAAATTCCGCGTGCGGTGCGTCCGAGAGGACGTAGTTTTGCTTCTCTTGATAGTGAAGAGGATTTGTTGGATCGTCGCATGAACGGGCTTGCTGGTGGGTTGATGGGCATAGGGGAAGGGGCTCAGACTCCTGGACTTTGAAATGAGGATATAGAAGTTATGATTTATGACTGACATTTGGATATATTTTTGGTTTAGATTAAGATCAGGTATTTGTTGTGTGCTAGAAATATATGGCTATTGGCCAAAGGCCGTAAATACGTACAATGGTAGTCAATACTAGATGCGCAAATCCTACTCGAACCCAGAAGAGAGCACGAAGCATATGAAACTAGATTCAAAAAGTTGAAATAGCGAGATAAGTAGCGATCAACAGCCTTATGGGGTAAAGCAGCCAAGATCTTGCTGCGAGACGCCATCCTGCTGCACCCATACAAGAGTAGCACATAGCTAGACTTGTGTCGGGACGGATCGCACCATGGATCATATACGAGTTGATATGGAGTGTTAGCTAGCCGAAGTTGCTCGTCGTGGTCAAAGTGGTCCTTCATCGACAATCGCTGCCCAAATCACCACCGACATACCGCAGCTCGAACTCACTGATGCGTACACCGCCACACTCAGAGTGCTCGCCGACAGACAGTATCATTAAACCATCCATAACGGGGTTCCTTTGTGAAATCGAGCGTGCAAAATCTGGAACTGAGGCAGCATGGCTCTTATTTGCCAAATCAGCGATCAAAGACACCTCCAGTAATTCTAGCTGAGCCAACCAGTCGTGAACCCTTGGGGCTGCAGCCGCAAGCTGAGGTTTGAAATGCCTGTGACGCCCGAGTTATCGGTATATATGGAGACCTGCCTTCGGCTAGAACAGCACGAGCATCACTGTCATCTTTGTCACTTTTATCATTGATAAAGCTTTGAGCAAGACTACCGCTCGAGTTATGGTCTTCCAATTGATCTTAGGATGCGCGGGCGGCACTCCAATGGCACTAGGCGGGTGAGCCATTGTACTAGGGTGTAGCAACGGGCGGTCGTCATGACATTGTTTGGGTTCACTTGCTGGACCAGTAAGTACTATCTTCTCTCTGAGTTTGGTAAAGGCCGAACGCTCACTTTATTTACGTCCTTGTCCCTGTTATTGGTGGCTTTTTGGCTGCCGGTAAGGGCTGGCGCTGGTTCCCCGGTTATCAGCATGGTCATTTTCAAGCTGCCGAATGGTATCATCCAGGCGGCAAGAATAAAGGTTGACGGCATGCAGCAGCCCTGTCCTGAGCATCGCCCCCTTCTCATAACCTGCTTCAGCCCCTTCTGGCTGGACGGCATACTCCAAGTTACACTGGATTGCTCCCATCCTTGGAACAAGTTTGATCGGCTTTGGGTGCTTCTTTGTCATTGTAAGTTATCTCTTTGTTTGATACCCACATGTCTGCTGGTTTGTGTTGCTGATTTATCCCCTTCTAGACGCCTGCCCAACTGTACCTTGTCTTCAGATCTGAGGCTGCAGCATCGCCTCTAGAGGCCAACAACCTGCCCTGGTACATTTCTAGTACATTCTTGCCTCTTGCGGGGCGGAGTATGTACAGCAGTCTGAACTATGGATTAACATTTGCTCCAGCCCCTGTCCTGCTCTATAAGTACGGAGAGCGCCTTCGTACTAATAAGGTAATCGTTTAGATTAAGAAAACTTAAGGCTCAACATCGCGCTGGCTTGATGTGGGTCATATCTAAGCCGTATATTATGAGTTGATCTTCTATTTGTTTGAATGCGAGAGCAACTACGAAGTACATACTCTGTATTCCACTCAGAGAAAGTGGTGGATTAGGTACTCCTTTGTTCGTGTGTAACAAGGCACAATTTGGATACTACACAGCGGTGTTGCATTTGTAGGTAAATTAGCATTGCAACATAGGAGCGTTGTATCTTCCGCGTCGCGCTTGTTTGGTCTACTATGGTTAGAATTGCTTCAGGAGATGTAGAGATAGCGAAAGAGCGGAGAGGTTCGATTTGTTCACTTGGCTTAGTAGACATTCCGCCAAACAGGTGCAGGGACCTATAAGCTGATCTAATTCAATTCCAGTGCTTGCCAAAGAATTCCAGCACGGTCTTGTAGCCGCGGCTATACTCCTCCTGTACACGGGCATCAGACAGATCAGCACGAGCAGCCATCCAGCCATGGACTTGATCCCCGAAGATCTCTACATGATTGGGTACTTTCAGGTTGCTTTCGAATCTCTTGATATCTGTAGGGCGTTCTTCCCCGGATGCCAGTAGAATGTATGGCACTGGAATCTTCTCCGCGGCGGAGGGATCAACCATGGCTGGGTGGCAGGTGGCAGCAACCTTGAACGGGTTGTCCTTGCTAGCAGTGACGATCTCAGTCACCTTACCTCCCCAGCAGTACTATATATGCCAGTCAATCTTAATACATCCACTCAGTCTCGCGTATTATCCAAGTAATCAACTCACCCCGATAAGCCCCCATGAGTTGATAGAGGGATGCGCAGCCTTGAGGGCAGAAATATAATTAGGCAAAGCAGCTGCGACCCCTTGTGGCATGTTTCTACCAAACCACTCACCCAAATCCTTCTGCTTCTGTTTGGTATTGGGAGGGTACCTATTTCCAGCTTGGTGAGCGGTCGTTCCGTCGAGAGGTGCAGCAAGTTTTACCATTCTATAGGGCACGGGCTGCCGTTGAACCAGTCAGGCATGAACACCTTGTAATTCTGGTGATGGTCACCTGTTGCCAGGATATCGGCGCCCTGTAGGGTCTGATCAAAGTAGCCGAAGATATCGAAGATAGATACAATCCCTCTGGTGGCTTCCTCTGGGCCGGTCACATCTGCGTTGAGACTTTATTAGCTCGATGTGTAGGAGACATGGTGGAGAAGCTGTCATCATGTACATGTTTTCATTCCACCAAGTTCCTCATACAAGCCCTTGGGGACATAGCCCGATGAAACAACAGGTGGGATGTTGCAGCAGGCCTGGCTATGACCATGAGTTGCCTGCATTGTAGACATGGTTGCAATTTGGATTCCAGTTGGCGGTGAAGGAATGTTCCCTGACGAACAGCTCGAAAGTTCGGAGGAACATGCCGGGCGAGATGTTGACCTTATACATGCCTGTGTGGTCAATGCCAACCCGGTCGAGCCGGTTCTCGGCACATTCACAGATGCGACCGGAGCACGGCGCGGCAGACGAAGTGGGGGAACCATTGAGCTAGAATGTGAGAGTAAAGAGAGAATAGTAAATCCTGATTTCAAATGCAATAGTTGATGGTCTTATATCGTTTTCCCAATGCGGCAGCGGAAGGATCGGAGCCTCGGAGATCCCCTTTTGATTATCTAGGCTTCCATAATGCTCGTCAAATAGTCGGTCAGTTTTCCTTGCTAGTAATCAACCCTTGTTTAACACCTGTTCTTCTCATTATTTCTTTCTCCAGTTGAAATCTAAGTGAATGCCATTTACGGACCATCGAGAGAGCTGCTGCTCCAATCACGAATAATGGGACCACCACTCAGCCCCCTTCTCAGGTTTCATCTCAGCCTACGCGCGCGCATACTTACAGAGAGCTAATAGATCACGTGCCGTTTTCACCAGCACAACAGCACGCCTTTAGCACATATGTACCTAGTCCTTCCCGTAAAAAGACTGAGCACGATTGTCCTGTGAAAGTATACCATGTCTTTGCTCGCTCTACCCTCTGAGATCCATCAACTGGTTATTTCCCATGTTCACTCGAACCAAGATGTTGCCTCTATCTCAATCTCCTGTCGCACTCTTCGGATCGTGTGCGATATGGAAACCCGCAAAAAGTTTGATCGAATCCGCATATCCGGTAACGATGATAGTAGGAATGCGGCATTTGCCTTGCTTATGGCCATTTTGAGACGGCCTCGCCTGGGTCATTATGTCCACCATATTGAGTGTAACGACCCGACATTTCACCTCACGGACTACCTCGAAAGAGAGCACCAACGTGACTTGAGCGGTGATGATATACGCCGTGTGGAAATTGCGACTAGAAAAGCTGGATTCACAGGTCCAAAACAGGATCGCATCCTCAACATGCTTATGCAGAAGACGGCTGCCAATACTAGAATCATGGGAGGAAAAGCCAGTGAATATAGGTAAAGATGCCCCAAACTCTGAACTTGGGGGTAATCTCAAATAACCTGAAATAGAGACCACGCAACGCGTGGCTGTTTTATTTCGCAAGCTTTGGCAGCCATACTTATCACTGTGTCCCCGTACTTGGTATCTATGACGATGGTAGAACCAAACGGTGGCCAGTATGATTCTCCTGTTGAATGGCCGCTCCTCCAGCTTCTTCGCCAGACAAACGCCGACCCTGAAAGCAAACCATTTCTACGAAACCTTGCCAAAGTATATATTATCAATTTCAATTTTGGTAATAGGATGTGGGATGGTACTGTTCATCCTCATAACATGGACTTTATCCGCTGTTTCCATTTGTTTGATGACTTCTTGTCTATCGAGTCCATAAGGACATTCGGATTAGACGAAAGTGACGTTGGGATACCATCTATCAATGGACAAGGGCCATCCGCCATCTCCAGATTGTCCAGAATTAGCAGGATCTCATTACATCGCTCGACAGCTAACAGTACATTTCTTGCGGCATTGATATCGTCATGCAAAATTCTCCGGGAATTCGAATATTTCAATGGGGGAGGAAACTGTTCTATGAACCCCAAAACACTTGTTAAAGCGATATGCCTACACAAAAAGACATTGGAGGTCCTTAATATTGATGTTGATGTTGTATGCGAGCGTCGATTTCAAAAGATGGAATCTAATATAGGATCACTGGATAAGAGTGGTGGTCCACTTGGTTGGTCCAGGCATGGATCAACTCGAGACTTTCTGAAATTGCTTTGGAAAAATAAGGGGTCGCTAAAGGATTTTGTGGCGCTGAAACGATTGAGCATAGGGATTCAAACTTTGTTATACTTGATGAAAGGGGTGAATGAAGGTCTAGGCGAGAATGAGGAAAAGGCCATGCTTGCGGATTCTCTACCCGGTGGTCTAAATTATTTGTGCATTCGTGGATATGAAAGGGGCAAGAGCAGTGAGCGCGATGTACAGATGGATGCGTTGAAAGCCTTTTATGATTCAGGGTTGTCCAATTTGAGAGAGATACGAGGCATTGACGAGTATATTCCTAATTCACCCCCTCGCAGGCCCGGCTATGACTAGCTAGAAGCGCTAGATCTAGGGTGAATATCAGTTTAGATTAAATTAAGCAGAGATTAAAATGGCATTCGCTACTTGATGTTGGTAAATAACACGCCTTCAGATAGCCTTCATTGTAGCTTTCCACCAATGAATACTGCCTTGCACAATATGGCGGATTAGATGTTTGGAACAAAGTCTTACATTATTGCTTATTGCTCTCCAGGTTTAGATTGCTCGTTTTGCTTGTTTCGTGCTTCAAGGGTAGGAAATATACCAGGAATTTGCTGGTGTTTGAAGTAGTAGGTGTGATGGTTGATCTCGCAAACCGATTCATCCTTGGACTTATGGGCTTCGCAGAAATCACGAGCACAAAGCACGCAATGTTCGGTCTCATAAGATTTTGGATTTTCTAGTAGATCATCATGCTTGGCTGGGTTCCTGAGAGCCATCCGTTGACAAACGAAGCAGATGGTCATGTTGATGGTATGGTTGTAAATTATTGTGAAAGTGGGCGTGCGATGGGAGGAATGCTTGGGATTGGGAAAACATAAGAGATGACTGGGGACTTCTAGAAAATATATATAACCGTCCCACTAAAGGTGGCATGGGTCTTTTTTAAAAGAGGGGTAGCCTACGGAGACATATATACATGTCTACTAATGTGTCCACGTTTCAAGCCATGTATCCTCCATGGAAAATTCGTGGCAGTTGCAGGGATTTCGGTTCTAGTCATCTTGTTTCCAGTAGTTGCAACCTGCATAATCATACCATTTAAGTACAATATTTCCCCCTTGAATTTCTGCGTGGTGGAATATCTACATTAACCACTTCATTCTGCGCCCCACTGCAGCATCAAGGGTAAGGGTGGCCTCAAGTCGCGCCCAGACCACAGCTAACGTCGCCACAACCAGTAGTACACCTACCATAATGCTGGTATTCTCATAACTTCGCGGGCCAATACTCTTCTCGGTATTCCCACGGATCAGTGCACCTGCAACTGGGGTTCCAACTAATGTCGCAAAGCCTCGTACCATATACAGCAGACCATTAACACTGACAAAGTTTTGCACACCGAATAACTCTACCAGGCTTGTCGGGAAGAGAGCAACGTATGCTGATGCAAAAATGCCATAGAAAATCGTGAACGCGATGAAGAGCGTACTCCCGGTAGATCGTGTAGTAGATAAACACGAGGGAAGCCATAAGGCGAGCACAGAGACGGCTGAGATGAGCGTTGTTAATACTAGTGTGTTGAGTCTTCCCATACGGTCCGCTGCATGACCGATGACAACCTTGCCTAGCGCATTTGCAGCGTTCGAGATGGCAATGAAGTTCGCCGAAGTTGCCTGTGAGTAACCTAATGTACGGGCAAAAGACGCGAAAAAGAACACCGGTGTATAGTACGCAGCCGACTGCAACGCTGAACCAAGAGCATGAGCGACGAATTTGCGGCTTTGAACGACGCGCCAGTCAACCAACGGAAGGCGGAAAAAACTCGACGAACGGGAAGAAGCGGCGTTCTCGGCTTGGATACGAGTGATTTGGCTAGTAGGCCAGCGTATAAATGTCCCTGGGCCGCAAATGAGTACAAAGGAGATCCCCGCGGTGACCCGGAGTGTGTTGCGGAATCCAACGGACTCAATGAGATATCGAAAAGCAAGTGGCCATGCGACACCGCCGATTCCGGTTCCTGCGAGGATTATCCCCATCGCTAGTCCGCGGTGCAGAGAGAACCAGGTTGGCGCCACGGTTACGGATGGCATGTAGGTCAAACAAGTGGCGACGCCGAGAAGAAAGCCTTGTGTGAGGATGAATTGCCACAGGTGTTGACTGAAGCTTGCAAAAAGCAGAGCGCTTGAATGAATGATTCCGCTAGCCCAAATTACGTATCGAGGGGGATATTGCTTTGTCCATGCGGTTGCGAACGGAGCGCCGATTGTCATCAGTGCGATTGAGAGAGTGCCGATCAGGTCAATTTGCGCAGGTGTTGCGCCGGTGAACGGCGTGTTTGGTTCCTTTGACATGGAGTCGTAGAGCTCTTGAAAGACACCAAATGCGAAGTTTATTCCGCATCCTGTAAAGACGAGAGTCGTCGAGGCGATGATGATAATAATGGGTTGTCTGCGGCTATGTTAGTCTAGTTCTTATGGTAGCGACTGAGATACGTGCAGACGAGTTTGTGAAGTTCCCAGACTGCCTCCATCGACATGCATCGGCGTTAGAGTACGTTCCATTTTTGATGGGGGTGGAGGTGCATGGGTGTTGAAATTGCGAGATTTGGAGTTTATATGAAGCTTGCCCAAACAAAGTCAAAGAAAAAGAACATTCAAGTCCTTGCAAACAAAGTTGCCCAGGTTTGCATTTAAGCTTATATCAACCGTGGACCCGGTTTAACCCTAACCTTCTGAGTCATCGCGGGGTATACCTAGATACCCGAGGGTGAGAACTAACCTGGATGATCGAGGGTATCCAATTATTTGCAGATGTAGGGCATTGCTGCTACTATGAAGCTATATAAATAACTTCATAGATTCAAGCAAAGAACCTAAAAGAACCCCCAAAACTTGCCTGTGCAACCAATGCCTTAGTCTAATAGTTTAGCCATTGAATTATCATTGAATGAGAAGATTGAAAATTTGGCTGGACCTGTGATTTAGATTGCATTTTAATCCATGTCATGTAAATCTAAATAAAATGTTATTCCATAGTATTCAACTGTCTTGCCATAATTAATAAGTGGTAGTGATGGGACGGGGCTCCGATGGTCTGCTATGTACATTATTAACACCTTTGCGAGAAAAGGTACCATTTGTACCCCAGATATCATCGTGCGGGTATCGTCTATGAGAAAATAAAGAATGGGTTGCTCGGTTTGAACTTGACTGGGGACTTTCGGTCTTTCTTGTCTCCCTTGGAAGCACGTTGCCTCAGTTAGTCTGTCGGATAAAGATGACACCAACGGGGCATAGTCGGATGGGCTTTTCAATCATCGATTGTTCGTAGACACAGTCTATTAGAGCTTTCTGGGAGAAGAACCTTTTATATACTCTCCTCGGAAGAGATTAGGTGAAAGATAATGCTCCCCGGTTCGAGCGCCGCATAGCATTCAGTGTTGACCGCCACAACGTACGGCTGCCAGGTATTAGTAGCCAGCTATAGTTGTTATACAACTGGTCGTGGGAGAATGAGAAAAAATCAGATGCCTCGTCAAAATTTCTCCGATCTCATCCGCACGCTTCATTAGGTGGAACCAACAAATGGGACGTATAGGGAATTCGAACCCGAGGAATTGGATATCACTAGCTTCGTAACCCCTTAAAGCTACCATCCCACTGATCAGAGCCACTGATTAAGGGGAGAGAGAGACACTGTCTTCTTACAACAGTTCGGTACTCGACTAATTCTTCAACCACTATTTGGAAGTGATCAGACCATCATTCCAATAGCGGATGAATATGTGTACCGAACATTACAACAACTATATCCTTATATAGCGACAGCAATGGTGCCATATTCAAAAGAAGAACCCTAGTGCTTGAAGGCGATTCGTTCGCATTCAAGTTGTCTCCGATGGTGAACTCTAGATCGAACGTATGATGTGTAAGAGATCCACCTGTCGCACTCCACCTCTGAGCTAACATCGAGGCATGTTGAGCTTACTCCGAGGCTCTGAGTATTGTTGGTGAGGAGTCCAAAATCCAGAAGAAATTGCGAACTTGACCATAGCTGGGAATGTATGCATTGAAGTTCAAGTAACGCATTTAGTTGTTATTTACGGGGTAGATAGAATGATACTAAAAAGGATTGGATTTTGCAGACTCTTCCACAGTTCCATTTTTGTAATTTTAAGACAACGTACGATGTTCCGCCAACATCCATATTAGCCCTAGTTGGATCTAGACTCACGAATGCGCGTCAACCCCCGCAAAATGGATCCCTGTCATTCCAAAATAATCAAGAAAACAAAAGATTGTTAGAAAAGTGTTCATCTCAATTTAAAAATGAATTAGGTCATTTTGTTCCTTTTTAATCTTTGTCAAGCGTCTGAAAGTGCGGCAATGCGGTTTGGATCCACTCGGGCTTTGTATAGATGAACTCGGCCCCACTGGGAGTTGGGAGTGGGAGTACTCCGTACGGAGTCCATTGAAACTATTTGATTGGATTTGATTGTTTTAATTTAATTGGGTGAAAAAAATCTGACATTCTCGAATATGCTGAACATATTTAGGTGCATACTAGTTAAAAAAAATCTTCCGTGCGTTGACACTGAAGGTTTTTATTATAGATCTGACACTTAGTCTAATATGATCTACTCTGTAAAAAGGTATCTCATATCCCCCTAATAGATATCAATATGTGTATATTTAACCTCGGAATCTCTTCCTGTTTTCTTCACCTCGGGAGACCTGTCAGCCCCATATATACTCATCCTTGGAACCATCTTCTCTAACGGCTGTCACACTAACCCGATATGGATCTAGTGTTTTATATTTAAATAGTAAATCCAACCCCCAATATCCAGAGATATTTCGACTGGAATCTCCGGGGTTCACAATTCACATAGGGTGTGTTTTGTTCATTTCAATGCAAGCCACCGGGGATTTTGGGCCTGCGCCTGTGGGCGTTGACCTCGCTGAGAACCAGCAAAGCCAAATGCTCGGTGCAGTCATTACCTTGATGACTATTGGAACCCTGGCGGTTCTTTTGCGTGTATACACACGAGCAAAGACAAGTCAGACAAACTTCGGTCTTGATGATTTTTTAATATTTGCTGCTTTGGTGAGTGTGAATACAATTTATATTGATTATCCCTTGGTCGCGTGACTCACTTGATATTCTAGTGGTTCGCTTATGGCACTGGTATATGCGTGATTATCAGTGAGTAAAAAGAAATATATCTAGCATCCCAACGTTCCTTACTGATACAACTGCCTCTATACAGGTATTAGATACAAAAATGGATGGCATCAACAAGCTCTCACCAAGTCCGAATTCGTCTCGCTCTGGAAGCTCCTTTTCGCACATGTCTTTCTTTATTCGGCAACGGTTACTTTGACCAAATCCTCAATTCTTATGTTCTATGGTCGCATTTTTAACCTACGCTGGTCCTTATATTACGCTACGGCGATCATTCTAGGTTACTTCGTGGCTGTCGTTGTCACCATTTCGGCCGCATGCCGCCCTACATCATTTTTCTGGGAACAATACACGGACCCCACGGCTGAAGGGACATGTATAGATGTTCCTCAATTCTTCTTGATCAATGGCATCTTTGCTGTCGTGATTGATGTTATGATTCTGTGTGTCCCAGCTCCTATTATCTGGAGACTGCAAATGCCCAGATCGCAGCGCGTTGCAGTTACCAGTATCTTGCTGCTTGGTGGATTGTAGGTTAATCTTCCATAAGATGTCAGGGATTTTAGAGATTTTACTAATAAAAACTACTATATAGCGTCTGCATCGCCGGTATTGTTCGCGTTGTCTTCTTGCACAAAAACACACAGTCTGGAGATCCATCCTGGACAATCGCCCCCGTCTTCGTGTGGTCTTGCGTTGAACCTTTCATTGGAATTGTCTGCGCCTGTCTACCGACCTTTTCACCTTTATTCCGCCGCTGGTGGGCCATTCTGGGAATTAAGAAGTCGACCACCAAGAAACGGGAAGAGGGTTATTATGGTTCAGCGGGCACTCGCACTCACCGTTCGATGCAACACACATCTGAAGATGAGGAAGATGAGCCTCATGGTGATGAGGTTCAATTGACTAACTTCCCTGGTTGGCCACTGAGCTTCTTGCGTGGGAAAGGTAACAAAGGCGATGTAGGAGACACTAGGATTGAGATTAAAGATGAGGTCACAATCTCGTTTTCGGTCAATCAAAGTGCCTGAGTCCCCAACAGAAGCTATGGCGTTCCGGTGAAGTTTAAATCAGTTTAATATATCCTTGATTATATATCTACAAAAGTTGTCTGCATAATTTATATTTTCTTCGGGCCTTTTTTTTTTTGGCTTCAACCTATAAACTAGAGAAGAGAGACCAAGTATCTAAAAGAAAAGATACATAAAAATGGGGGTTGAGAAGACTGTCAAAAAGACATCACAAGGCATATTTGGCCGGATATTCTTGTTACAGTAGTTTCACAAACTAAACCTACTAGTACATTTCACACATGATAGCATGGTAAAATCATCCATAAAATTCCAACATCCAAGCATGAGCCAAACATCTGTTGAACGCTGTTTTCATCACCGACAAGAACCAAACTCCTTTTTAGGAAATGGTCATCTTTCGCATGCTCAGCATCAACTCAATTTCTCTTTGGTTCACTGTGGGCGGGGGTGCATATCTAAGATCCTCGACTCCCATAAGGTACTCCACGATCCTGGTATATTATTAGTATGCACGTCAGGTTTGATTAGATAACATATCGCACCTGTTGTGAAACAAGGTTGGAAAGTAACATCTGAATCCTCCTTGTCGGGCTTCTTCCATATGCAGCCAACCTTTCGTTAGGCACGATAGCATAGCTTCACTGTGTGGGTCAAACAGAACGCCTTCATGATTTGTTAACTGAACCTGGCGAAGAACTTCAAACTCCTGTTCGGGAGGGAAGAAAGTATCGGGAGAAAGTGGAAGACCTGCGAAATTTACTGTTCTCGCGATTGTTGCTTCCAGAATGCCACGAACTCGAAAGAATTGATCAATTTCCAAGTCATCATATCTCAAAACATCGAGTTGGTCTTCCTTGTAAAATAATTCATACCACTGGCAAGATGTCAATATCACAAAAAGATACTAGAAATGCTCCAGGATGAGGATTACATACCACGTCGCAGAGATCCATGAACGCATCCATCAATTCAGGGTGGCCGTCAGTTAAGGTGTAGATGATATCCCTCAAAATATCGCAGATTTCATAATCTGAACCTCGACCCCGGAGATGCATTTCCACATACTGATCGAACTCTTCCCGGGTGTAGCAAAGTGTGATCTCTTGGGCAAAACTCAGGGACAAGAAAAGACGTTGACTTTTATTGAATACCAACAGGTCACTCCCCATGTTGTGTGGCATAACACCCTTATCTGGAGTACCGAATGCAGCAAACATACAGAAATGGGCACCTGGTATGTTGTTGAGCCGATCTTGGTTCATCGAGTTCAGAAGTAACCACAGTTCGGAGTTATTGTAAGTCATGTGTGCATCATCGATGATGAATACGAATCTGTTACGCAGGACGCTGTGGTCGAATGCCGGAAATCCTTGCATGTTACAGGCCTCAGCCAGGTACTGTAACGCGGTGGGACCACCCTCTAAGCTAAGGGGAAAGCGTTTGATATAAATCGACTTGACTCCCTGTCCACGAAGAAAGGTATGAAGACATATGGCGAGAAAGGTCTTTCCCGATGATGGGGTTCCACGGGCAAGGACAACTCTTTGTTCATGGATAAGATTGGAAAGCTTTCTCACGGTCTTGTGCCTTGGTAGGAAGACCTGGCTAGCAGTAGGATCCTGGGGGTGCGCTAAAATAGTCTTAAGATTATATAATTTGAAAAGGAGTCTTGGAAGGAAATGCCTTACGCGCAATTATGAAATGATTTTTCAGTGAATGTCCACACTCCACGCACAAGGTCGACAAAGATTCGGCCACATCGGGCTGTCCTTGGCCACTGCAAGGGCAGCAATAAGAGCCGTTGCCACTCCAGTAACAGGCTCCAGTTGCCATGGTAGGTATCAGGGTCGAAGGCTCATTCAAGCAGTGTGTCAGGTGGCGTGGCAGTGAGCGAGAAATGAAAGAATAACGAAAGGGCGACGAAAGAAGCACCGAGTCAGAAACAGGATTGACAATAAAATAGAGAGAGAGAGAGAGAGAGAGAGAGAGAGAGAGGAGGGCAGGTGGCATAAATATCTACGGATGTAAACAAAGTATGATGTGGCAATGGAAGGCGCGTATCTCGTTCTTTCTCTTTTGAAGATATTATGTATATAAGGATCAGATATTAAGTCCTCTCTATGTACTCCGTATTGATTCTACTATATTGTCTATATTGTGCTTGAGTATACATAGAAACCATCACCGGACCGACTATTCTTGTACAATATGGATTATGCCCGTTTTTATACTTCGCCTACGATTTGATTGACTATTATTTACCCTGAATTTATGCTAAGAGACTAGAGCCGCCTTCTTGACTCTCACCAACCATACAAAAGGTACATGTGTAAATGCTTCTTTTGCTCAACAATACCACATTAGGACCTTTCGTTTTAACTATAGCAATAATATTCTAATGCTATCCTAGTGCTTTTATAAAAGTTTCAAGGGCAAGTTTCAGGGACTCCTTCAAAGTTATGTATCTTACGTTAGGTGTGTAGTAGGTTAAAATTTCAAATCGTAATACTAGAAGAGGGCTCTAAAACCTTTTCTAAAACTTGAATTTCAGATTTAGATAGACAGCTTTATGATATATGTTAGGTTATACTAAGATTTCAGAAAAAATTGTGGTACTAAATTTCTATTTTCTATATTTCTCACATCGTCGAAGTCGGCGATTAGGAACCACGAATTTATATGTAATTCTTACTATATCGCACTTTTAGTCTATAACTTCTTAATATAAGCTTATCTGTATTTTATATGATTTGAGGCATAGTGGGTGGAGTGGTTGATAGTTAAAGAGAAAGTTGTCAATTGTCAAAAAAAAAAGTGTCATATGGGTGGCAGACCCTCATGCGAGGGTCTGTAATTTTTGTAAAAATATGTAAGGGCCGGCTAGGGGTAGTGCTCATGTTGTTTCCTAGTTATTGTTAGCTGCCTCAAACTAGTCAGGTTAGATAGCTCAATGACCCTCAATTCCACGAAATAGGAGGAGAGGGCACAGGAGCCTGTGCTCTCCCGAAATGTACCTATGGCCCAGCATAAGTTTACCCCGCAAGGTCCGCATCTGATAAGAGATAAGGACCATGTCCCTGTTTCTTCAGATCTGTCTCCTTAATTTTCACCCTCTTCTAGCAGTTATCTACTCTTCCATGACTCTCGATCAAGAACCAAATCATGGCAAGCGTAAGCGCGGGGAGAGGAGACGCGCTTCCCTAGCGTAAGTACATTATTGCTCGGCCTTGTCCCGTGCCTCATTGACAATCCTCAACAGTTGCGAGACATGCAGAAAGCAGAAGGAAAAGTGTGAAGGTGGTCCACCCTGCTGGAGGTGTCAAAGACTCGGCCGATCATGCCATTTTCAAGGCCAGCCGATTCCGAGAACGATATCCCCTTGCTCCTCGTCCGTCCCTGTTGCGTCCATTCCGCGAGACGACAAGCGGCGAATAGAAAGCCTGGAGCATATTGCTCGCCATTTTCTTGGCGATGTGCCTTTGGACGAGGAGAATATTAACCGCATTGCGGACAAACTACGAACCTCGACGAACACCCCCTTGCCAGAAACCGCTTTGGATATCAATGAATCGTTCGACGTTCATTTCGTGTCAAATAATGTGGCGCATTATGCGGGGGAATTTTCTCACTGGACTTTCTCCCAGAAATTACGCCGCAAAATGAGCTGCCAAATAGATCACCTTGATTCGAGGGTTTGTGTCTCTCCCCCGCCAAAGCTCAAGTGTATCTGACAATTTATAGCAAGTTAAAGAATACTGGCGACCAACCCAGCTTCAATCCTCGCCACAAGTGATAATGGAGACAATGACACATCTACCACCGAGACCTATTGCCGAATTTCTCATCTCCATGTTCTTCAAGTACGTTGAGATCAACTCCTTCTACATGGAGCGGAGGTGGATTGGAGAGAAGTTAGCCCTCTGTTACAGCTCAACAACTACATATACAGCTATTGATTTTCCCTGGGTTTGCTCTGTTTTTGTTGTTCTAGCCATTGGAACTCAGGTAGCCCATATGGAAGACGAAAAACCAAAGCTCCCTTCAGAGACCACCGAAGAACTCAACTGGTGCTCGGAGGACTCTGTCGGGCTAGTTTTCTACCATGCAGCATGCAAGCTTATTCCAGATATTCTTTTAGTTGCTTCTCAAGAAAGTGTGCAGGTCTTCTTGCTTCTTGCCACATATTCACTGCCTGTTTCCACAGGTGGGCTTGCATACACTTATTATGGTCTTGCGATGAAAATGGCGATTCAAAATGGGATGCATCGCAAATACCAAGGCGGCAACTGCGACTCTAGAACTATCGAAATCAGAAATCGATTGTTCTGGACGGTATACACTGTTGAAAAGTATGATATCCAAGAGGGTATTACAGAGCAAAGCTAATCTTCTATGCCTCATAGATATGTCAGCATCTTGCATGGACGCCCTATGTCAATAGCACGATCGGAAATAAATGCTGATATGCCAAGGGAATGTTCTTCTTTTGAGTCCCCTCGATTTGCCAACTTAACCGCCTTTCACACTTTGATTTCATACTTGGGAGAGGTCTCTGAAACACTGTAAGTGGCTCAAAATATGGAACCAGATGATTGACCACAGACTGATACTTCGATAGTGCACAATTCAAAAGATGTCCCAAAAGACTTCTTTCTGAATATTTAGAGCAGCTCTTACGACTGAGGGCAAGTATCAAGCAGTGGTGGGACTCACTTCCGGCCACTGAAGAATGCCGAGACCTATGTTCGCAAGGCCCAAATTTCCGACAAAACGCGCATCTCAGGCTGTGCTATTTGCTTATATATGTCTACATGGGTCGTGCATTCATATTTGTTGATGACAGAAAAGAACCAGGTGAAGCTATACTTGGCGCAGTTCATGATTCAGGACTGGAGCGTCGGTCAGTTTTGGTAGATGACTGCGTATCCAGTGCTTTGGACATTCTCAACACTCTACAATGCTTATCGGATCATGTCGGTCTATGCCGCGCTTCATATAATGAATTTGGCGCCTGTCGTGCGGCCATTTTGGTCATCCTTGCGGAATGTCTCAACTCGGGGAAGTCCCAGAGACTCCAAGATAGCCTACACCGTGGAATGGGTTTTATACGTCAGATGGTTGGAGGAAGCTCTTCAGAATCTGAGTTATCATACCTCGAGTCTATTGAAGCAGCCATCGGCCAGTTTCTAGCCGTCTCTGAAGATGACTCCGTTTTGCAGCTAAAAAGAGGCCAAAATCCTGTCTCTGCCTATTCCAAGTTCAAAGACTGGACGCAGTCAATGAAGAAGGACAAATCTACAAATGGAAATGTGGAGCTGTCTTCCTTCAGTCCATTATCACTTCTCGCACCTGGTACAGAAGGATTTGCGAATCCAGAGCTAAATGATATGACGGCTTTCTTTGACCCTGATTGGTCAAATGGTAATTTCGAGTTTGATGCATACAATATTTTATCTCCGTCAAAATGATTTCACATTGAGGCGTATAGAACTAATATCCTTGGCCATGGCATCCCTTATCCAAATACCATATATTGAGCACGTTTTATCCAGGCTTTCTGCTGGTTCTTCTCTGGGTCCCTTTCCGCATCTTCAGCTGCAATAGCATTGATAAGGTCCTGCTCATCAAATGCTTTGGCAGGTCCAAAATCCATTTCAGTCGGCTTGACTATCTTTGTTTTGAAATACCACTGCTAAAGTCAGAGATCTTCGATCGTCAACCACAATTGAAGTACTCACTTTGTATCCAAAGTAATCAAAGAAGAACAACGGAGCTGCGAGATAAGAGGAGAAGAAGCTCTTCACTGAGCCCTTTTCTCCGAACGGCCAACAAGCTAGGTAGAATTGACAACCAAAGATAAACAGCACAATGGTGAGACTGATGTATTGCGCCCAAGGGGTGAGAAGGCCTTTGAATGGAAGTCTTTTGAGATCCTTGCCTTGGGCTCGAAGACCTTGCCGGAAGCGAAGATGAGCAATATAAATCGAGGCCCATTGGAAAAGAGTTGCTATTGCCACCTGGATCAAACTGTCAATACCTCTTCACAAAATATCTGTCTTTTAGGCTGGGTGGGTGCACTTACCAAAGCTGAAAACCAACTATATACCATAGTGCCCACACTATTGCAGTTGAGATACCCCAGCCCACCACCAAGACCCAAACTGATAATCAGGGACACATAGGGCCGGCCCTGCAAATCCTTTTTTCCGAAGAACGGATGGATAATCTGCAAGTCAGCGAGTGCTGTCAAACTTCGACTTGCGATATAAACACTGGTAATGCCACAGCTGATAACACTGAGGAAGATGAACCCGTTGATGGCATGTGCTAAACCGTAAACATCTGACCGCTTGATTGCAATGACAAAAGGACTTCCCATAGTCCCGCTGGCGTTAACAAGATCGATGTCATTGGATGGAACACACATCCCGACGAGCCAGATATTAACCACGAAGAAAGTAAACATTCTCCAGAAAACGGGTCGAACTGTTTTCTTAATAGTGCGACGAGGATCGGCTACTTCGCCGGCTATAACAGCGATATGCTCGCCTAGCTTCAGTTAGTACATCCTCCTCAAAATTGTGCTCGGACATCTGATATCATACCGCCGCCAAAGCTAAAGGCTGCCTGTACAAACGCTTTAGCAATACCCTTTATTCCATTATTGAAAGCTCCGGGGTTTTTCCAGTATCGGAACTCGATTGGGCCATTCGTTGCTGGTATTCCTCCCGATGTCATGATGAACATGAAGAATATCATCAAGATGACTGCAAAGCATTTCACGAAGGACATATAATACTCGATGTAGCCGTAGACCCGGACGTGGAACATGTTTGCGACGGCGAATATCACCAGAAATATGGTGATGTACCCTGCGAGTGGTACGACATCGGTTTCTGGCCAGTATTTTAGGACGGATATCGCTGCGGTTATCTCTGCTGGGATAATCATCACCCACTTGATCCTGCGTCAGTATGTATTACCTTCACATTTTGGTGAGCTGACATACCGCAAACCAAAAGTTAACACCAATGGCAAAGCCGAATGCTGGATCCACATATTCAGCGCATTGTCGGATAAAGCCACCATGGACAGGCTTGTATGTAGTCATCTCGCCAATTGAAGAATATTGGGCGTACACGATCATCCTTTGCAGACAGTGTTAGCCACAATAGTAAAAGATCGGAGAGCTGTGGATTACCCTACGCTGTGATAGTATAGACGAGTGCTGTTCCGGCAGGACCAGCTGTGTAATATCAATAATTGCATCTTGGAAGGCATATTTGGGGCTCCACTGCTTACCATAATGCAATGCTTGTCCAGTCCCCACCCAGAGACCAGTGCCAATGCCAGCTCCAAAGGTCATCATCATGATTTGGCGCCTCGTCAGGGAACGATGGTACCCAGCATCGTCTGCTGCAGACAGGACGAGAATGCTGCCATGACGCTCAGATCCTGAGCTCGCAGAACGCTCTATATCATTTGTTTCACTTCCTTTGAGATCAACTGTGTTCTTCGCGATTTGCATGGGAGGTTGGTTCATGTTGGTGACTACGCGAGTCGTAGATGAGGGGTTTGCTGCGACAAAAAGGCAACAGGAAGGGTACAGTCCATCGATGGATATATCTAAGATTTAGCCAGGGCTAAATGTATCCTTATCGCTATCTAGTATCTCTTCGCCATGCATAGCCATTTTACATTCCCGGCGGCAGCACTTGGGGACTTCCCGCCGGCACTAGTGTCTTTAGGGCTACATATGTAAATAATAACCACGCTCGTATCTGTAATTACCTAGTACTGGTAGATTAATCTCAATTACATACAATTCAAGTCTACATAATTTATAAAAGTCTAAAAAGGTAGAGAGATTTGTGCAAAATCGAAGCTTGGATTCTTGATTCCTAGAGACGTCTCCCCTTCACCTGTCAATCTACCAGTTGAACTAAATTATATTCCCGCTGTCTTGTGATTCAAATCTGATAGAATGGAGCCCAATCGCAGAGTGAGGGTATATTATCTTTTTAGATTCGGTGTCTCGATCACCGTCCGAAGCAAAAAAACATCGATGCCAAAATGCCAAAAAAGAGACTGTTGGGGATCAAACCAGCCGACTCGCTATAGTACAAAGTACATGTACTAAAACTACTCGTAATGACTTGTAATTCTATGTATTACTAGTGGCTTTTGGCTATTATCTTCTATTATCTACATATGTACGGAGTACATTATCTAGGATCTACTTTGTACACTGACGATCATACCCGGTGCGGGGTCCACGGGTACTATATGATTCATCGTCTCCAAATTCACCTGGGCAGAGATAAGTTCAATCAACAAAGGTGAGTCACTAATCCCTACTTATCTGGTATATCTTTCCGCCTTGCTCTATCTATCTGAAGATAAACCAAGATCCTTGCTCTTACAAGAGGTGCTTCAGGATAACGATTGATATCAATTCTTCTCCAAAACCCCGATAAACAGCTCCAACTTCAATAGCCAACCATGTCTTCATCTAAGCACGTTGTCTTCGACATTGTTGGCACCCTCGTCTCCTACGATCATGTTTTCGATGCCATCGACACCCGTCTAGGAGACCGATTGCGCGCAGAGGGAATCAAGCCCCGTCTACTGGGATATACCTGGATGGAAGCAGCCGAGCGCGAGTACACCAATTTGAGTCTTGCACAAAGCTATGCCCCCTTCGGTCAAGTCTTCCGTGCCCTTTTCTACCGCATGCTCTGGATGGCCGGCATCGCTGAGCCGCGGACCTGGGCTACACCCGAAGATCTAGAGTACATTATGGCGGAATACCAACTTCTCAAATTCCGTCCTGATGCGGCCGAGTGTGTTCAGAAGCTACGTGATGCCGGTTTCACAGTCTGGGCTTTTACTGCGGCAGATATCAATCGTGTCGGGGGCTATTTCAAGAATGCGGGTGTTGAGTTGCCTGCAGAGAACCTGCTCTCTTGTGATGATGTCGGTGTCGGTAAGCCTGACTTGGCAGCTTATCGTCCCTTGCTGGAGAAGCTGAAGTCAGAGAATGATGGGAAGACGCCTTGGTTTGCGGCGGCACATATGTGGGATGTCTCTGCGGCGAGGAAGGCTGGGTAAGTGTCTCGTCCTAGAGTCACGAGCTGCCAAGGCCTATTACTGACAATGCTGTTCTACAGATTCAAAGGAGCATATTGCAGTGTGTGGGAGAAGGAGTCCTTGTCAGAACTCTTCGGAGAAATGGATGTTATGGACGATACTTTGCCAGGGATGGCGGACAAGATCATTGCCCATCAGGCGTCGTCTTAATCATTTATTTCTATTTAGTCTAGCATAGAAAAACCTGAATATCGTATTTTTTTTCAAACTATGTTAACTATATTATTTCATGCGCAATCAAAAATTTATATCTTTGCTCTCGTTATTATGATATGGTGTTATATTCTACGTTCATAGATATTTTATTTATTGTCTCTCTAATAATTTCAAATCACTAAGGTCAACTCCTCATTCTATAATCTCGAAAACTCCAAGTTGCCTCCTCAAATGATTAGATATCCCCGCGCTATTGAAGCGTTATCACTACCCTTGTACTTTGTACAAAGTACGCCTATCGTTGGTACCTGGAGCTGTCCAGGACCGGGAAAGTTACCGGTGGAAAAGCCGCCGGGAGACGGACAACTCCCTACCCCCCACCCCCTAGTCCAGATGTTCTGAGAATTGAATTTCAATAAATAATCCCTTTATCATTTCCAAGCCCGCTAATTATCTTGGAGTCTCCAAAATGGAAACAAAACATACCCCGGTCCCAAATGGGATGACGTCATTCTGGCGGACAGAGCCTCACCTTCTCGACAGCCATCGATCTACCGAATCTCTCCCTCGAGAGTGCGATATCGTGGTTATAGGAGCGGGATATGCAGGGGCATCTTTTGTGCATAATATTCTCGACCAAATTACCCCCGGATCGAAATCGCCTTCGATTGTGATTTTGGAGGCGCGACAGGCTTGTTCTGGTGCCACTGGTCGAAATGGTAAGATTTAGATGGCCACAAATGAGGAACTTCACTAACCAACTTTTTAGGGGGTCACATGAAGCCTGATGTTTATAATGGTATTGCTGGCTTAGCCGCTGAACATGGTATCGAGGCTGCTGCTGAGGTTGCAGCTTTTGAGGCTAAACACGTCTCATTTCTCAAAGAGTTCATCGAAAGAGAAAATATAGATTGTGAATATTCGGTCACAAAGGCTATCGATGTCCAGCTGTCTCTAGATCATAGTGTGAGACTCAAGGAGGGATACGAAAGATTGATCAAGGAGGGATGTGAACCAACAACAAAGGCAAAATATATCTCCAGCAATGAGGCAGAGAAGGTGAGCACTTGTTTCAAACACCGTATGCACATATACTGATCAGTAATATCTCAGTTTTCTGGAGTCAAAGGTGCGCAGGGCTGTTTCACATATGACGCCGGCCACATTTGGCCATACAAATTCGTCCTGCACCTTTTGGAAAAAGCAATTGCACAAGGTGTAAATTTACAGACTCATACTCCGGTATCTGAAATTGCACAGTCTACTGCCTCAATATCTGGCCACCTCTGGACAGTCAATACTGCCCGAGGTTCTGTCGCTGCCAAGACAGTGATTTTAGCAACAAATGCCTATACCTCGGCTCTGGCCCCTCAATATAAGGAAAAAATCATCCCTGTCCGGGGAACATGTAGTCGAATCATCGTTCCTCCAGGCAGTACTGCTCCTCGCCTGACGAATACCTACACTCTACGTTGGAACAACTGGAACTATGATTACCTGATCCCTCGCGACGATCAGAGTATAGTCGTCGGCGGTGCTCGCCCGGCTTTCATCAATGATCTAGACAGCTGGTACGATATCAGTGATGACAGCATAGTACTCGAGCCTACTATTCGATATTGGGATAATTATATGCAGCGGAACTTTGTTGGTTGGGAGAATAGTCATGCTTATACGGACAGGGTATGGACAGGGAGTACGTTGTCCGATCTATGATGCCCCGTCAAGGCCAACAAACTAACGCAGCTTCTCAATAGTTATGGGCTATTCGTCAGATGGATTACCCCACGTTGGCCATGTCCCAGGACAGAAGAACCAGTACATTATCGCTGGTTTTACGGGACACGGAATGCCCCAAATCTTCCTGGCGGCTGAGGGTTTGGCAAAAATGGTACTCAATAATGTCAATTTTGCTCAAACGGGACTCCCACGGCTGTTTGAGTCTACCGAATCCCGGCTTGAGAGTCGCCAGAACAAGATATTAGCCAGCACCCCGAATGGGAAACCACAAGCAAGACTATGAAAAGGACTCAAGGTTTCGATGTTCAAATATCGGCTATTTCGTAATTTATATTTAGCTCAATTAAACGTTAGTTTAGGCATGAAATAAAGGTGATCGAACTCATTGTCCTCTGTTAGGGTATTCACCCCAAAAGATCTAAGCCTTCCCGGCCTTCAGTCATTCCCTGTCGAATCAAGTGCGAAATTGAAAGCTAGTGTACCTATTGCTATTATTCGTTCGATCTTAAAATACCATTTCGGTCTCTCTCTTATTCGGTAAAGCTTAGGTTCCTTTGGCTTGCTACATCACAAGTTCTTGAATTTTTATTCAAGCGGATCGATCTCTCTATTCCTGAAGTGCTACTTCAGTGCTTCAATCAGAGTTATATGACCATATCAAAAATATCCACACAGCTCTGCGGAAAATGGAAGGCACGCAAATTACCAACAAAACTATGCAGCATCTAGGTATCTCAATCGCCGAGATGGAGCTATATACTGGAGCTAAATCTCCTTGCTTTTTCATGAAGAAGATGTGACTATTGATGTTGGTATCAGTATTGCTGGTTGTTCTATACGGGTTGTGTTCGGTCGGAGCCCTTAATAAAACAAGGGTTTTCTATTAATTCGAACATAGCTGAAAGCAGTATAAGCCTTTTTATATTAATTGCTCTAATGTATAATCTGTGATGTTCATAATATCCGATCAAATCAGATGTCTTGGCGATTTGTGATTAGGCTGGTGAGTTGTGAGATGCTACTCTTCATATTGTGTGTAACCCAAGGTCATATATATGTATTGCAAATGTACTCTGTGAAAATGCATTTATTGCCTTGTGTCCAATCATATTTACCACTGTCTCTTGATTCTATGAGTCTAACAGACCTCATCTTCTTCCGACGATCATGCAAATGCAATCGCTAATCATGATTGCGTGCTTCGCGTGAGTTCCCTGCGCAATTGCGCGACGCCCCCTCCTCTAAAATACCTTGGCAATTATACTATAATGATACTTGAACTATGATCCTTGCACTCCTGAATTTTGAGCACTTGGCACTCTGCAATCTGATTCATCCCCTGAATAACCAGAAGAACTAGATCGCACCTGAGAGGCTTCGCTCTTGAAGCTCGCTATGGAAGCTACTGCCATTGTCATGGAATTATCGAAGGAGGCTCCAGATCTTGAATCAAACACCCAACTCGAATATGATCCATGGCTTCTCGATGATCATCCACTACGATCATATCCGACAGAGTGTGTTCCAGGCTTGTCACTTTATCTCGATGAATACTACGAATCCATCGGAAAGCGAAGAGCCATGCTATTTCGCGCTGGATGTCTTATACTCGGATGCCTGGAAGTATTGCGGTAATATCTACCAAGTTGTAGTCTCCGAGATACACCTACCTAACAACATTCCTTCCCCAGAGCCGCATTCCAATGTCTCAGATTGCTCCCAATCAACATCAAACGGACAACCCCGCCTCATGCATCCACATCATACACCAACATTCACCCTCAGAGTGGTGAGGGTACATTCTATATACTAGACACGCGACCACATGCTCTCAAGTCATCTCTCGGCGAGGGATGCAAAGGCCTGCGAACTGCCGTGTGGATACGCAACGGGGAGCTGCATATTGGAAATGCAGTTGCGGAAATCGAACCTGAGGCCTTTCTGCAGCGACTCAGTCTCGACCATCTTCTGGCGAAGCTTGACGCAGAGACCGATGCTACCGCCCGAGCATCTCTTGACACCGAAACGCCACTCAACTTTCACGCTGATCTAGCGTACACTTTCCTTTTGATGCTTGATGCCAAGACATCACTTCACGAGCTCTACCCACATCTCGTGGAACAGCTCGATACTCTCCGGCAAAGGGGGTATTTGTCTCATTGGGATGGACAAAATGTTGTTCAGCGCCCTATGACTGTCGTGGTTACTGGGGAGGAATTTCCTGAGAGTGACTGTGCCAGTCATTCTTATTCTGACGTCTTCTGGTCTGCTTTACCGGAAGGGCAGGTTATAAGGGATTTTACGCAGGATGGCCTCCGAGATCTATCGCCGGTGTGTATAGTATGAATGTTGCTGACTTTGTGATACCCGATTTCTGTTTCTTCCCATAATATAATGATAGCATTTTCAATTAATATTGGGTTCGTGCTTTTAATACTCCGTACATATCTGCAGCTTGCCATATCTTCACTGCAAGGAGGTTGATAAGGTGGTAGATCCACTCCCAACCTGCAGCCTCGCGTGAGCCCGTGATACTTGACCATAATCGACTTCCGACCATAATATAATCTGGTTATACTACTTTGGAAAAGTACCCAGACTATTCAAAGCATATTAGTATATGCAAATATAAACGGAACTTCCCTTTATGGATCTCCCGTAGGATCCCAGTCAAGATCAGAACTTCCTGATAATCCACAAAAAGCAGGAATCTTGAGAGTTGCAGAGCCAAAAGCCACAACTGCATGCCAATCAGACATGTCAATTAGCCGAGTTGATGAGATAAAGAAAAAGAAAAATGCACGATGACATGCAGGGTCAACTTCCCCTCACAGGATACATACAATACAGCAGCAGGTCCTAACAAAGGCAAGTCAATCAGTTATCCAAAGTTCCTTGATAGAGTCGAAATACTGAAATTGTTCAATGGGCTTTTATGGAGTTCACATGGATCAAGACATGAACTGTCAAATGATGTCAAGTTCTGAAACAACTCATTGATCGGGAGGTTCTGATATGCTGAGAGTATGCTCCACCTCTGGACGCCAATTGAGGAGATCAATGAAGATCCTCGAGACATTGCGTAACTTCTGTACAAAGAGGATGGGTTGAGCTAAATTCTTAAATTGTTCTCATCTTGTTCTTTTTTGCCTTCTTTCTGTTTCTCTACTTTGTTCAGTTCTGTTCTTGGCAGGAACGCCTTTTACCCACCAATTTTACCGATTGTGCAGGCAGATTGTCTCGAAACAGAGCTACTATGGATGGGGAAAGTCGTCATCCGCGGGCGATAGTGAGTCAGAGCAAGCTTATCTAAAAGAAACTATCATCTAACAAATTTTCTAGTCTGATACCCAGTCACAGCAACCAGCCCGAATCAGAGCTGCCAGTGATGCGGACTATATCTCACCCACGAGAATTCTCGTTGGGAATGGCAGTGGCACCCGGCGACATAGCTCAGTTACCTCGAGACGTAGTAATGGCAGCGGAGTACCCAGTTTGGTTCCCCACAGTACTCTCGCGCAGCGCACACAGGGCAGATTCACTCTGGCTGGTCCGGATGGAACCCCCCAGCTGAGGCTGGCTCAGGAACCCTTCGTCCAGCCAGGGTATGCGGATCTAAACCCGTCTTATGAACAGGCCTCCAATGCCAGACCAGTCTGGTCTCTGGCAAAGCCGCTGCCCCGTGTGTTGCGGTCAAGCATGGTGCCAACAAAGGACGAGCTCCTGCAGAACCTGGCAAAAGCCCAGCATCCCACGGAGAATTCGCAGAGATTTGGCCTTGACGTAAACCCAAATGATATCGAGCAGGGTCGCATTGATAAATTTTCTGATCCGCGCAAAATGGCTGCTCAGGTTGAGGATGCTCGTTTGCAGCGTGAGAATAATTTTATGAATAAGATCCTCATGGGTGATGGCATCTCTACAAGACAGACTTCGCGCATGTCGCGTACCTCTTCGGTCAGGGGAAGACGCCCTTCGGCCTGGGATCTTCCCCTGGATCAACTGTCCACTGTGCAGGAGGGAGGTTCTCCAAACAACGATGAACCAGAAGAGCGACCGGAATTTGATGATGATCAATTAGGCAATCAAGACTTAGGTGCCCGGTTAGACTCACTCTTAGATATTCCTGAATTGGAGAAGGCAAGCTACCCTGAAGACCTGCACCCGCTCGTACAGGAACTGGTCGAGGATGAAGTACACAACAACCACACCACCTGGTCGGTCATCCGTACACACCACCGTGAGGCTCTTGCCGAGGCTCTAGGTGTGTTTGTTCAGCTCACCATGGGTTTCTGTGTCGACTTGTCCGTCACCGTCGCTAAGCAAGGCAACCCTAACACAACCGCTTGGGCCTGGGGCTTGGCAACTATGATGGCTATTTACATTTGTGGTGGTGTTTCTGGTGCGCATCTCAACCCCGTCGTAACCACAGTGTTGTGGTTATTCCGTGGTTTCCCCAAACGCAATATGCCCGAATACTTCGCTGCTCAGTTCCTGGGCGCCTTTTGTGCGGCCCTCGTCGCGTATGGGATCTACTACGAGGCCATTCAGAACTACCTCTATCTCAACCCGGACACCGGTATTATCAACAGCTTTGTCACGAATTCGCGTGAGGTGTGGCTTGGTTCTACCACAGCGTTCTTCAATGAATTTATCGGTACTGCCTTTTTAATTGTCACCATTCTGGCTCTTGGTGATGACCAGAATGCTCCACCTGGTGCTGGTATGAATTCGCTGATTGTTGGGTTGGTGATTACCTGTCTGAGCATGTGCTTTTCCCACCAGACCGGGGCGGCATTCAATCCGAGTCGGGACTTTGGTCCTCGGCTTGCGCTTCTCGCTCTCGGCTACCCTAACACTCTGTTCACTGATCCTTACTGGTTCTATGGGCCTTGGGCTGGAGCTCTGAGTGGTGGGTTTATGGGTGCTTTCCTATATGACTTCTTCATCTTCACTGGTGGAGAATCCCCTGTCAACTACCCGCTTGAACGCACCCAACGCGCCATAACCAAGAGTGGGATGAGATGGAAGCGCCGACTGCAATTGAAATAAGAGTGAAGATTCATGGTCAAGTGTTGAATATTGTCTTGTGACGTTTGAGGGTCACTGATTGGTTCCTTTTATGCACTCTCTTTGCATTTCGTAGCTCGGTATAATGGGACAAATATGTCCGGTTGAGGAGGTTAGACATATATGAAGTATACCCAAAGCCTAGCATAATAGGAAATTTTCACGTTTCATGCCCAAACAAGGCCATCCTGGCGTATTTCCTGCATATGCAAGTTTCTAAATAGGCCTAGCACATACATCCTAGCCCACAAGGAACAGGTAATACAAAACTCCAGGATTCAGAGAATAGGCATGTGGGTTGGGCATGAATCCCCAATGGATTTTTTTTAAAAAAATTAGATGTTTGAAATACAACTCTTGACCTTTTTATATACATTTTCTTTTAGTTTTAAATATAGATGCATGCTAAATGTATGTACCTTGGCCCACAACATCTCGGATGTACACAATCCCCGCATGCAAGATAGAGAGGTCTTGGCCACGCTAGAGACACTGAGACACCGTCATCGCTCACCGTTTTTTTCTTTCCCCCCAACTTTAGATGAAATTTCGGTAAAGCGAAATCCATTCATTTTGTTGATTGTTTGATTGTGGACATATTTCCACCCTAAACGCTTGTTTTTCTGCACGTTCCCATCGTCTCGTGCTATCTTCGGGTCGCGCGATCAACCGCTGATCCTGCAGCTCTAGCCCATTTCCATTTCCTTCTCTCTTTTGCAACGGTTCCACCGCCATTCCCTTCTCTTCTTTCCTATCCCTCTATCTTACTCTAGTTGCTGCCCAACTCATTTTTCGACATGGACTATCGACGACTACAACATTCATACCCTCCACGGCCCTCGCCTTTGGGGGCCTCGCAAGAACCTCGCGATCCACGACAGTTCGCTGCGCCTTTTACCGAGTCCCATCAACTAGAGACTGACAAGCCTCGTCCATATCCTTCTCCTGCTTCAAATACCACACCCTCTCCGTCGCAGCTTTACCAGTCAACTGCTTCACGGACGTCGAATACTTCTCGTGGAGATACTTCCAGCGCATACTTTCCTAGGAATGGCCCAACACAAGCACACCGGCGGCATGGGAGTCTCGAGACAAGAAATCATGAGCAAACACATCGCAGGAATAATTCACAACCTCAAGTTGTTCGATATCGTGAAGGTAGGCAAATCTCTCTACTTTTTGTGTGTTTACTTTTCCCTTCTGGTTCCGATGCCCCAGATTGGAGGATTCCAAGGATCGGACTTATGCCGTGACCTCCACTTTTATTGTCCCCTTTCTGGATATACGCGACCGGAGGAATGGGGTTTCTTGTAGCCATCGGATTCAAAATGGTCGAAAGCACGCGACACATAAAATCCCATTTTTCACAGCTTTTCCTCCCCTCTTCCCCCTCAAACACCACTGCCCCTGATGGATTTTCCCCGGTGGCGCAGATCGACTGGACGACAGCTCGGGAGCGCTAGTCCAGGTCGGGTCTAGCGTGTCCAGAGGAGCCCCTGCCTTTTTGGGACTAGCGTGGGAGCTTCCGGAGTCACGGGTTCTCCTCGATCTGGCCCTTGCTTTCCTTTTTGAACTATTGCTCACTCGTTCACAGGGCTCTTAGGTGCTTCAGTTATGAATCATACGCCATCACAACACGAAACAGCGCGTCGTACTTCACAGGGCAGCAGTGGGAGTCCTGTATTTCCTGGTGAGGCACCCGACTTGGGCCCGAGAGCCCCGTGCAACCCGTCCTTGTCGCGATGCATTGATTTCGTCACTCATCCGATCGGGACATGCGCGGTCATCTTGGAACCCCCTGTATCAACAAATATTTGCTAACTTGAATTTTTCTGATAGGTCCGAACGAACAGTCCGCACCGGCATTTGGAAATCGCCAAATGCCACCCCCATCCCCTCCACACTCATATTCCTCGCGAGCACAATCAACCCACGCGCCTGGGGGGCCTTTAATGTCGCGCGATGCACCTAGCAATCAGGCGCACCGACCGGGTAGCAGCATGTCGATTTCCGCCATGTTAGGCTCGGACCCGGATCGGTCTGCGCGAGAACCTGCACGAGAATCAGCACCATTCTTTTCGCGCCCACCTGCATCGTCGGGTTTCGGCAATGCACAACCATCATCTTCTTCCGCCGCCATGTCCCCACCCAACGCCCCGACAAGACCCTCGCCTCTCGATAACTCCTTCTTCCGTCGTTCACATACACCGGAAAAGCCATTCTCCAAGCCTCAGGGCGCCCGTGCATACCGGTCTGGGTCCGGTGGAGGTTCTAGCCTTCCCGGTGGAGAGCAATCGGGATTCGGGGGCTTGACGCGCTCGTCGCTCTCGCAGTATCCCGAGAAGCCACACTCGACGCATCCTTCACCTCGAATGTCCACGGCAGAGCCACCGTACAACGAACCTCGTCGCATGAGTATTAGCGGTCCGATCGCTCGCCCCAGCAGCCAGCCACCCCATGCAGACGCGCCCACACGACCCCCCGGCTACAGTCCGATTTCCCAACCTGGAGGGCTCGCGGATCGCCCCTTCGAGTCCGGCCCTCGGCCTGCATCTGGGTCGTACGGAAGTCATGATCCACAACATGGTCGATTTGCAAACATATTTGGGGAACGGCGCTCGGAGGATACTGCGCCGCGGGAGCGAGAACGGCCTCCAGCTCATGGATCTGATGCCAAGTTGACCCAGTCCGGATCATATCGGTATGGCTCCCACTACGGTGAACGCGACCCGCTCGATCGTCCCCAGAGCGGCTCTACATGGGACCACGGTCGCTCTCACCCCCCATCGCCGGAGAGTAAGCGCTTCCCTGCACCCGAGCATGGGTCGGGTTTCGGATTTGGGGCCATTCAAAGCTACACTAAATCACTGGGGTCGCAACCGGGTGGCAATAGACAACCTCAGATCTCGGTTCAGTCTCGAAACAGTCAACCAACTCCTCCGCCATCTCATGATCCATATCTCAGACATCAAGGGCAGCCTCCACGGATAGGATCAACCCCTGCTCTCAGCGCATCGACAGCTGCCGCATCATCGGGTCTAGCAGCCCTGGCTGATGAGGGACGACGTAAAGGAAGCGAGGAACTGCTCCATCATCGCAGCCTACTGGCCGTTGGTGCTGATGGGAAACGCGGTGGCCGTGCATCGCCGCTTCCCCAAGCTGTCCAAGGCGCTCAAGCTCCATACATTGGTCCCGCTGGAGAGCCGGCGATCAAGAATGAACTTGGGCGAGTCTTCTCCGGTATTGGCAGCGGCGTTGGTGGTGTTACTGCGGCCACCGGTGGCAGTGGACCATCGACACCATTGGGCTCTAGTCCGTTCAAGCGCGATAGCCTCACAGGTCGGCCGAATGGAGATGGGATGGATGAGGCGTCCAAGCTCGTTCGACCATCATCTGCAGCCGGTAGACGGTCGAGAAAGTCGCGCGACGAGGAGCAGATGGAACTTGAGGCTAATGATGCTCGAGGCATACTATCAGCCCGTAATGCCCGTCGCTCTCGGCATTCCCACCATCATCACCATCAGTATGTCCTACCCAATCAGATACAGTTCATGTCATCCGTATGCTAACCTTTCTCTAGCCACCACCATCATCGCCACAAGGCAGACGAAGAGGCGGCTACCCTGAGCTCCCTTCAACGTCCTACCTTCTTCCATCGAACATCCCCAGCGGATCCTACTGCCGCGCATCATCATCACCAACATCACCACCACCACCATCACCATGTTCCTCGACCAGCCACCATCCCAGCTGCGTCTCCTATCCGAGAGCCTCGTACTACGGTAAATCTGGAGCCGTTGCTTTCGAGCGTGGCCCATCTCCCTCGACACCACCTCGGCTCAACGCTCTACACGCCTCGCATCGGTACCCCCACTGCCAAGTCCTCATTGGATAGCTCCAAGTTTGGATATACAACAACCCCCCAACCCCTTCCCCGCTTCGAACAGCGGGAGAATTGCACATTTACCGTCCGAGTTCCCCGTTTCCGAATCAATCAATCTCACCGAGAGGAAATTTGCGCCCGGCGCGCCCTCTGGGGCACTGGTGTTTATACAGACGACTCAGATCCTGTCGCCGCTGCCATCCACTCCGGCTTCATTCGAGGCGCGTGGGGCGACGACGTGGACGAGTCAATGCTCGATCTCGAAATTAAAGATACCTACCAGCACGCACCCCCGCCTGAGCCCACTACTAACGGCGACTCCCCTGCCAAGGGCCCCCGCCTACCGCCGATACCCCCCACTGACAAGGACTTGCATATTACCCTGCTTGTTCTTCCCCGCGTGGCCCAGTATGACTCCACTCTCATGTTCGGGCTGAAGTCCCGCAAATGGGACGGTCGCCACGACGGCATGAGCTTCAAGATTCATGCAGTGGACTGGGTGGACGAGGGCGTGGCTCGCGGTGAAGAGCGCAGCGGCGAGGCCCGTCGCAAACGTCTCCGCACGCTTATGCAGACCGGTCGCATCTGCACCGGGCCTGCCATGGCTAAAATGGATGAGCTACGTCGCAACGGGGTGCAGGTACCTCGAGCTATCGATGACCAGGATCAACCGGCAGCCGTGCAGCCAGTCTCCTAACGTGTACTAAGTACATGTATTGGCTCCCAATACCTATGACCCTTTTTTTTGACTTGTTATTTCCTTTTCCCCGTGGGCCCTATTCGGTGTATATGGTGTTGGCTGGCTTTTTTCTTGTTATTTTTCGTATGAAATTTGTTGGATTTATTTTATTGGCCGGGTCAACGGGATCGGATGAAAGGGAGATTTCCTTGATTGTTCCCATCTATACATAATCTAACATTATTTTTTTTTATATTTCTTTCTCTTATTGTCACTATATTGGGAATGTCCGTACCCCGTACATTTACGCTAGAAGGCTAGAAGCTCTCCCCACATAGTGATCGCCCGGAGAACCGGAGTATTGAAGTTAATAGGGGTCTTTTTGGGGTGTGTTCTACTTTATACACATATATATTTTATATATGTTTTATACAGTCATCCCTTTAATTAAACAAAATAATAATGACATTCATATTCTCATCTATTCCAGGTGATATCCATTTCTCCCTTGTGACTATGAAGATCAACATATAAAACGGACCGAGGCTCATCGGTGGAGTGAGTATTGGTATTTTCCGTATTATATACATCATCGGCTTATAAGCCGAGTTTAGATACACATAGTTAGCACACATATAAACACAATAATAAACTAAAAGACATAAAAGAACCAATTACCCAGTAAATTTTCAAACTACAGTTCAGTTTCTCATCTTCTATCTGTTTCCCGTGGAGAAAAAAAAAAAAAAAACCAACTCGGACGGGACCGACATCTGAACTGAGATACACCGAGACTTGCCAGCTACCCCGTACCAGTTTTACCGGCTTCCCCGCCAGCCGAGGTCAGTTGACTCTGTTGTCAACTATTCTTATTCTCCCTTTCAGCTTCACGTTCACTTCTCCTTATACCAAAAAATTCCATATAACCAAAGGGATGTTCACTGCTTCTGCCCGAAGCCGTCTCTCCACCCTATCAAGGCAACGCCTTCCTCCGAACCCTCTCCTCGCCCGCTCGGTAAGTCCGTTTCTGGTTACAGATGCCGTGGATTGTTGCGGAATGCAGCGAAATCTTCTGGAATCAATCCATTGACATGCGTATAGACTCTTACAATGGCCCCCCGACGAGCAGCATCTTCCGTCCCTGAGGGTGAGTGGCGCATGCGTCCGGCGCAACGCGGGCTATTCCTAGCCTATCCATACCAAAATAAAGAAGAATCAGACTCGCTGACAAACGAATAGGATACAAGGAGGACCTCTCCAAGGGCAATATGCTTCGTTTTGAAGATTCTCTCCCTAAACTCCCCGTTCCCTCCCTAGAAGAGACTAGCCGTCGGTACCTCAAGTCCGTCCACGCCGTGGTCTCCGAGTCCGAGTTTGAGCGCACCAAGAAGGCCGTAGAGGAGTTTGTCCGCCCCGGTGGTGAGGGCGAGTCCCTGCAGAAGCGTCTCTTGGCTCGCGCCGCCGACCCTAAGATCAAGAACTGGCTCTCCGAGTGGTGGAACCAGGCCGCCTACCTCGCCTACCGCGACCCCGTGATCCCTTACGTCTCCTACTTCTACTCCTACCGGGACGACCGCGAGCGTCGCAGCCCGGCCAAGCGCGCTGCTGCCATCACCACTGCTGCGCTCGAGTTCAAGGCTCAGGTCGATGATGGTTCTTTGGAGCCCGAGTACCTCCGCAAGGAGCCTCAGGCTATGAGCTCGTACCAGTACATGTTCAACTGCTGCCGTATCCCCTCCGAGGGCGCAGATTTCCCTCGCAAGTACGCCGCTGCTGAGAACCAGCACATCGTGGTGGTGCGCAAGAACCAGTTCTTCAAGCTCCCGCTCGTCGTGGACGGCCAGCAGCTCAATGTCTCTGAGTTGGAGAAGCAGTTCGAGCGCATCTACCAGGTTGCACAGCCCGCGCCCCCCGTTGGTGTGCTGACTGTTGCAGATCGTGACCACTGGACTGCTGCTCGTAAGACCCTTGTTTCTCTTGACCCTGCCAATGAGCTGGCCTTGCAGGATATTGAGTCCGCTGGCTTCGTGGTCTGCTTGGACGATGCCCGCCCTGTCACTCTGGCTGAGCGATGCTCGCAGTACTGGCACGGTGATGGCTCCAACCGCTGGTTTGACAAGCCTCTGCAGTTCATTATCAACGATAACGGTACTGCTGGTTTCATGGGCGAGCACAGCATGATGGACGGCACTCCTACCCACCGCCTGAACGATTATATCAACAACGTCATCTTCAACAAGAAGATCGACCTCTCCGCTAAGTCCGTGCGCTCCCAGCTCGCCGACCCCAAACCTATCAACTTCAAGCTGGACGATGCCGCCAATGAGGCCATCGACGTCGCAACTCAGTACCACCGCAAGCAGATCGGCTCCCACGAGCTGGTCGTCCAGGCCTACCAGGGTTACGGAAAGGGTCTGATCAAGAAGTTCAAGTGCAGCCCCGATGCCTTCGTCCAGATGACCATCCAGCTGGCCTACTTCAAGATGTACGGCAAGAACCGTCCCACTTACGAGTCCGCCTCCACCCGTAAGTACGCCGAAGGCCGCACGGAGACAACCCGCACTGTCTCCGACGAGAGCGTCGCCTTCTGCAAGGCCCACGAGGACCACACCACCCCCCGCGAGGAGACCGTCAAGCTCTTCCGCGCTGCCCTCGCCCAGCACACCAAGTACACCCAGGAAGCTAGCTCCGGCCACGGTGTCGACCGCCACCTGTTCGGTCTGAAGAAGCTTCTCCAGCCCGGCGAGAAGCTGCCCGAGATCTTCCAGGATCCCGCATTCACCTACTCTTCCTCTTGGTACCTCTCCACCTCCCAGCTGAGCTCCGAGTACTTCAATGGATACGGATGGAGCCAGGTTATTGACGACGGATTCGGAATTGCCTACATGATCAACGAGAACAGGTAAGCACCAAGCACCACCTAGTCTCTTTTTTATCCTCGTTTTTGCATATCACTAACTAATCCTTTCTAGCCTCAACTTCAACATCGTCTGCAAGCGTCTCGGCGCCGAGCGCATGAGCCACTTCCTCAACGAGGCTGCCACTGAGCTTCGTGACCTCCTCATGCCCGACCTGATTGCTCAGGCCGAGAAGCCGAAGCTGTAGATGTGTGTTGCATATACCCGGTACTTTGTTACTTTTGGTGCTTTCGGATTTTTGGTTCCTTACTCCAGCGCCTGATAGAAATATATCTTTGTTTTTCAACTTGGGATTTCTTTGTATCTACACTTGTTATTGTACCTACACAACGTGGTTTGTCTCTAGCTTTACGTTGGTTCTTCTTTGGATAGATAGAATTGGATCACAGATTAAAATTCCACATCTACAGTCTTGCGGTATTCCCACGCTTGAAAATAGAAGTCCCAACTCCGAGAGCGGCGAAAGAGCCACACCCAGATCGGGGAATTAAGGCCGCAACTACGACTCCACCACTACATTCCTCTCCAATCACTGCACCACCACTTTATCAATCAGTCGTTTTTAACTTAAAATAGTCGAATCAATGTCGGTGATACGATCACGGGCCGGCACCTATAAACGAGTTACGCGTCCATAGCAAAATGTCTCTACAGGTCAAAACGAGACCCATGCCCACCTCAATCTCAAGCCAGTGTCCTCAGTAGAGAAATATAAATACCCATTAAACAATGCGGTACGCAGCGAACTGTCTCTGGGTCATATCCCTCCTGGGCTCCCCATCACAAGCAGCACACTCTCTCAATACCAATACTGATACAACCCCGGCAAACGCAAACCACATCTTCAACTCTATCCAATCAACCCTCCGCCACTATGAATCGTCCATTTACCCAAATGGCATGTCCTTCTTCCTAGCCACTGTGCAAAAAGGAACACGCTTCTACCACGGCACGGGGACACCAGACCCCATCGTTGGCGTGGAATGGCTAGCCTTTAAACCGCAGCATTCGCTGGGTTTCGCACATCGTGCACACCGCAGAGAAAGAGGGAAGAGATCGTTCCAGGATGATCAAGATTACGATCAAGCTCCCCTCGTGGATGTCCCTGTCCATCCCCATGCCACCGCAAACACAGACAAACATACAAGTGAATCAAGCCCTGTCAACGCGGGATACCTCCACACCTACGCCGCAGCAAAGGACCTCCGTCTCCTCTACATCGACGGTATGTCCGCCGGTCCGGGCGGATCCCTCGAGTCCCAGGATCGTATCCTCTTCAACGATACAATTTCCAACCCTCCGCCCGGCCCGCGTCCCCCTGTTGGTGGTCCGCCTGCGGAACAGGAGCGTGCATTTCAGACTTGTCGGATGGTGAAGGAGGTTTGGGGGGATCGGGTTGATGGTATTGCGCGTACGGAGGGTGATTTTGAGATTATTCTTTGTGCTTTTGAGCGTGATCTTGAGGTTGTTAGTATTACGCAGACGAAGCCGGGCGCTGGTGGTGGTTGGAGGGGGATGAAGGGCATGAAGGGCGATATGAAGGGGATTAATGGTGGGAGGAAGGGTGATATGAAGGGGATGAAGGGTGGGAGGAAGGGTGGAAGGAAGGATGGTGGTGTTGATTCACGTGGTGGTCCTGCTCGTGGTCCTCGTGGTCCTCGTGGACCTGGTGGACCGCCACAGGGTGGTGATTGTTGCTCGATCGATGCACGGTATGATCAGTTACTTGGACAGAAGATCCATTTGGATTTCGATCACTTTGTTTCGGCGTTTGAGTACGGACTTGATCTTTTCCCTGGTGGTTCGGAGATCCCCTTGTTGGATCACATCCCCAGTGAGCAGTTGGAGCCTGTTCGGAGGGATATCAACGATATGGTTAATACTCTGGAGCTGGCTGAGCATCCGTTTAATTGGCAGGCTGTTGCTGATATGATTGTTTTCCGGTACTCGGATGAACTGAAAACTTTGGCAGCGGGCAATTTCTCGTCTGTTGATGCCCTCCGGGGAAGGATTGAGGGTGTTCTGGAGCCTTTTATTGATTATAGGCACTTTGGAGCGAGAGAGGAGATTGTTGGGTTGTGTCAGAATGAGTTGATTCCTGCTTCTGCTCCTGTCGAGTCTCTTGGTGGCCGGGTCGTGTCTTCGATCTCTCGAAAGGTCTGCGATACTTTGGCATCGGGGCTGTTGGATGAGAAGGATTTGGATGAGATTGTGGCGAATTTCAAGGAGCTTGTTTCGTTCCTGGGCTGGACCACGTGGAAGAACAATGATCGCGCTCTCTAGTGAGCAATTTCTACTCGAGTAGAATATAGTGCTATTTAGATATCGCGCAAGGTTGCCTTGTTAGGATAGTTAAACTCATTTGTGCATTAGCGCAGAAGTCTACTATATCTTAGGTTCTCAGTTATAGCGCAGTGAATCAAGTCAACATGGATTGTCATGGATTTCTACATTTCGGTGTATCGAAACCTCGACACTTCCAACGGGAAGTTTTGCTAGTAACAGCAACAGGCCATACATGTTGAGTGCATAGGATCACACTGGTCAGAACTGCAACTTTGAAAAAGCGCTTGAAGTCGCATTGCGTATTCCCAGAAAATAAATGGAAACATCATCGAAAGATGGGATATCGATGTAACTCAAAAGACTCGGCCCTAAAAATCCAGGTGCCGAGATTGCAAAATCGTGCAACGTCCATTGCTTGGGGGGCTGAGGGGTTTTCTGTGGTCATTTTCCGTCATGGTATTGCATAGAGTATTGAACAACTAGGCTGACATCTGGACTATTATCGCCTGTATCAATCATATCGTCCTGTGGGGGTTCATTTCAACTAGTCAAGACATCGTGCCGAATGCGCTTTTCAGTCTTTGCCGTCTCGCACGGCAGGCGGGTCCGCGGTTTCGGCCCCCGCTTGCCCGGACGGAATACCCGAAGTAGTTGTTGCAGAGGGAGTTCTCTGGGAAGTCGTCAGGTCCCCGATTTGTCTCTCTGTGGAAGAAAATTAGTATATGCGCTTAAATCAAGATCCACTCTCGGGGCGGGGTTACTCCGCGGGATTACTGCCCGGGTAAAAACACTGGCACGGGGTTTTTCTTACCTAGTTCCCGGATCCGCTGCCGCAGGAGCACATTTTCTCGGCTTAGGGAGCTCGCTTCGGCTTGGTAAAATGCACTCTCGTCCCGGCTACCGCGCCGAGACGGACTATCCCGCAACCCTGGGAATGGCTCCACGCCCTCCGGTCCACGCGAGTCTAGCGGCCGTAGGTTCGGCGACGTTGCTTGACTTGAAGGTCGCGAGTTTCGGCGGTTTGAGAATGAAGAAGAGATCGATAATCTGTTGCCGGCCGGTGGTGCTGGGTTAGGAGGGAAGAAGGCCGACCGTTCTGATGCGGGGGTTGTGTCGTCGATTGCAGCAGATGATTGCGGGTTCTGTTGCTGCTGATATTGCTGCAATTGGGCTTGTTGACTGCGGATCATCTGAAGAAGACGGTTCTACATTTCATCAAGGTTGCCTGGTTAGCTTATTACAATTTGATTTTCGGGGGATGAAGAATGAACCCACCACTTGTGCTTCCTGTTCTTGCTCCAGCTCTTGGTGTAGCTCTCCCAACGATGGTGCACGCTGGTGGTGGGGATCTGCTGTCGCGAAGATGGGGCTTCCACCGTGGCTAGACGGGCTGGCTGTGCGGAATGCATGTCCGATTGAGCTGCGATGGTCGCGGTGGTCTGATACAGGTAACTCGCCGCTAGGTCCTGGACTAGTGCCCTGGATCTCGTTTGTATTCAGATTCACGCCGGCAGCAGATCGACGTCGCTCGGATACCGATAATCGACCTATGCTCGAGCCACGGGAGGGTCTTGGTGAGGCAGTGTTTGGGTTCACGGGCGCCGGACCAGTTCCAGGAGCGGCCATATTACGTGGAATCGAGGAGGAGGTTGAAGATGAGCGGGATGGAGGAAGTGAATTCAAATCCGGTGGCATCTTCAGATAACAAGGCGTAGATGTCGAAGTCTATGATGATTGCTGAAGCTCTAATCTGTAGGTAACGTCAGGCATCCGAGGATCTGCTGAGTCATTATCTTTCTTTCGCGGGGTTAATCACGTGTTTCTAGCTGTTTATGGAAACTTATGCCTGAGGCTAACATGGCCCCAGACTAGTGTACAAAGTAGCTTGCTGTCAGTCACACTCTCTCTTTACACCCCGAGTGAACATGTACAACTCGGATTCCTTTCTCTCGGAGCTTATAGGATTCTTCCGAAATATGGGCCAGGCCATAGGTACTAAGGTTGAGCCACCGCAAATCAGACCTTGGCCCCTGGTTGCGCGCAGAGCCAGAGGGGAATACGCCGGTTTCCCCGAGTGGCGCTCAAATTTACCAAGTTCTAAGAGTCATCCATGGATGATTTCTACCCGAGTATATTTATTATGTACAAAATGTACAAATGTAAACAAATTGCGGCCAGAGAATCGCCGCAAAGATCATCCAAGGGTCGCGTGGCGTTTTAGATGCGATTCTGTCGATCTCAGCAATGTGATTTGCCATGTGTAGGAATGTACCAGAGTCCGGGTTCGGGGGATGGGGGGACGTGCGATGTCCTGTTGGTTGATTCCGGACAATGTATATGGACCTTTGGAAGCGCACTCTTTGGCGATGTGACTTCGAAAACCTTCTTTCTAGTCTTTTTACCCCAGTGGGCAATGGCGGTGAGGTCAATAATCATGGGGAAATGTAACGGTAGAGAAAAGAGAAAGTCTTTCACCTGCAAGGGATTCCGATCAGACCATATATATGTTTGACGCGTAATTTGACAGCCTTCCGACACCTTCTGGAACGGAATATCACCGAAGGGTAAGTTTTTTTTTTTTTCTGTAGATCTACAATCGATTTGATAATGGCCGGGATTAACAAGGAAGAAAAAAATATCCCCTGTAATTAGAGGGTAAGCATAGTCCGACCTTGATGACGCCTGAACGCCACGCCCGTAATGAGTGCCTATTAGCTGATTTCTTAGTTTTTAGCCGCAGTACCTCCAGGGCTATCCGTCCTGGATTGACGTCACTTAAACAGCCCGAGGCAAGTAATGGGCGACTTGGCAATGTCTTGTTTGAACAAGATCAAGTTCAATGGATCCATGGCTTTTTTTTTTAAATCCTACTTTTTCTTTTTTTCAGCTTGTCATTGTTCATGTATAATTCCTATATAGTACTCCGTACAGTATATAATATGGAGAACCATGCGGGCACGGCCGGCAATAATCCTCCTTACTTCGCGGGGCACATGGGGTTTTGATATCCCGATCGTTCTGGAGTATATCTGGAGTAATCTGGAGTAGACTTGATGTTGCATGCAAAAAAAAAAAAAAAAGAGAACCTAAAACGGACATTCCCGGCTCAGAGCGGCAACGGGGAAGTTCCAGACTGGAGATTTTGGGGAAAATCCCATTTTCTTTTTAATGTGGGACTCTACCCCAATGCGAGCTTCCTATTCCGGTTATTTGAGTATTAGAATCAAGTAATATGATCGTTTTTTTATTTTTACTGATGGTAGTAGAAGTAGAGGCAATTGGATCAAGTAGTAAGTCTATATAGTTCTATAGTTCTATAGTTCTATAGTTCTATAGTACAGTACACATATACATGTAGTACTAGTAATACTCAAAGGGTAAGGGAAAGACAAAGTCTGGAGAGAAAAGTGGAGTCCGACTCATCGGCATCCCGTCTGGAAGTATAGTATGTATAGTATGTATAGTATGTATACTACAGTATCAGGTAATTAAATAAAATACTATCGCTGATCATAATAATTAGGAACAAAAAAGTGACCTACGAAAACACTGTACTAGTAATATACTAGCGATGTACTAGCAATGTAGAAAATGAAAAATGTACTGACATGGTTGAACCCTGGAAACATCTAAAAAGACTCTTTCCTGCATTGGGCTCTTACCCCTTTTTTTTTTTCTCTCCGTTTCTGTATTTAATTTCTCTATTTTCCTCAATCCTTTTTCTCTCTTCCTTTCTCTATATATCCTCTGCTTCTGTCCTCATTTCTTGACGTTTCTTCTATTCTGGTGCTTCATACCAGATTTACCTATCAGATTCGGATTTTATACGTCACAACAATGACGATCGATCCTGAAAAGCCCGTGAGGGATATGAGGGATACCGTGCAGGCAGCAGAAGCTGCCCACGCCCAAGCTGTCGTCAATGCCGCGACTGAAAAATTGGAGGAAGAAGATCAGCTCGAGGAGACCTTGGCCTCACCCTCAGACCAACTCGAGCTCACCGAGGACATGTGCTACGATGAACTGGGATACTCCTTTTCCGAAAAAAAGAAGTGGACCATTATCACTGTCATCTTCCTCGTGCAAACATCTATGAACTTCAACACATCACTCTATTCGAACGCTACCCCGGGAATTTCAGAGGAGTACGGTGTCTCTATGCAAGCCGCGCGCTGCGGTGCCATGATCTTCTTGGTTCTTTACGCTTTCGGTTGTGAACTCTGGGCACCATGGAGTGAAGAGCTGGGTCGCAAGCCCATTCTCCAGGCATCTCTGTTCCTGGTCAATGTCTTTCAACTGCCCGTGGCTCTGGCCCCCAACTTCGGCTCCATCATGGTTGGCCGTGCCCTTGGTGGTCTTTCATCCGCTGGTGGCTCGGTTACCCTAGGAATGATTGCTGATCTATGGGAGCCCGATGCGCAACAATACGCCGTGGCCGCCGTCGTCTTCTCCTCGGTTGGCGGATCTGTGCTTGGCCCAGTGGTTGGTGGCTTCGTCGAGGCTTTCCTGCCATGGCGGTGGAATATCTGGATTCAGTTGATCTTCGGTGGGTTCGTGCAGATTGCCCACTTCCTGCTCGTCCCTGAAACCAGAACTACTGTGATGATGGATCGGATTGCCAAAAAAATGCGCAAGTCCGGCGAAAACCCCAACATCTACGGTCCTACCGAGGGCGTCTCATTCCGTCAGCGTTTCCCGCCTCGGGAGCTTCTGGCTACCTGGATTCGTCCCTTCAAGATGTTCCTAACTGAGCCTATTGTATTGGTGCTTTCTCTTCTGAGTGGTTTCAGTGATGCTCTTATTTTCATGTTCATCCAGTCGCTCTCCCTAGTGTACGGTCAGTGGGGCTTCAACACCTGGGAGAAAGGCCTGGCCTTTATCCCAATTCTGGTTGGCTACTTCATCGCTTGGTTCTCCTTCTTCCCGATCATTGAGCGCAACATCAAAGAGCGACGCAACAATCCGGAGAGCGAACGGGCACAGTATGAGTCTCGTCTGTGGTGGCTGCTGTATACTGCCCCTTGCCTGCCCATTGGTCTGATCGGATTCGCATGGACCAGTTTGCCCCAGTGCCACTGGATTGGATCTATGATCTTTGCTGCCATCATTGGTATTGCTAATTACGCTATTTACATGGCTACGATTGACTACATGATCTGCGCCTATGGACCATACTCTGCGTCTGCGACTGGTGGCAATGGCTGGTCGCGAGACTTCCTTGCCGGTGTCCTCACCATTCCGGCCACGCCGTTCTTCACGAGTAAGTGGTCAGATGTAAATAACTTACGCATTATCATCACTAACGGATTTTTGACAGATATCGGTGGCGAGCACCATCTTGAATACGCCTCGACCATTCTCTTCTGTATCTCCATACCACTTGTCGTTGCGGTCTATATCATTTACTGGAAGGGCCCAGTATTGCGCAAGCGTTCTCCATTCGCCCAGCAGCTCGAGGATGCTCGACACGAAATGCAGGTCCAGAGCCGACGAGGGTCCAAGATCCCCCCGGCATCTCGCATCAACTCGTATGCACGCTCCCAGCAAGACCTCCGCATCCGCCCGGTGATCGGCAGCCGGGGAAATTCCCGAGTCAATTCTCAAGTGAACTCTCGCGCCAATTCGCGCCGTAACAGCATCATTGTCAATGTTTGATTGCTGTTTGTTTTATTTTTGCTATGAATACCCAAATTCAGTGGAAGTAGTGATGGGACTAAGCATCACTGTCATAGGAATCTATGAGCATCTTCACATTTCTTCTCCGAGCATGTTTTCATCCGCATCAATTGTACGCTGCGCGTGACTTGCTCTAATTCTTGCTCCCAACGTTCGGTGGATATACCGCCCCCGGTCTGTGGCTTTTTCTTCCTGTGCACTTCAAGTATTTGGGTGGGGGGATTAAACTCGGAAACAGGCGCAGATTCTTAAAACTAATTGTTTTTTTTTTTTGTTTTTCTGTCTTCGGTTTGACTCGAAAGACAAGATTTACGATCTGGGGGCTTCATGTATGCTATGGGGTTTCGCGCGACTGAACGATCCCAGTTATGAATTATACCATTATTATTGGCTGAACAGATTGTTCTACGGCTTTATGGCTAGTAAGTATACGACGTAATAATTTCCGACAAGTAATGATATACAATGTAGAGAGATATTGCCTAGGCACGAGAACTGCAAGCATATTGAGTTCGACCTAGCAATAAATTAGTACATTCCAAAGTACAGCATTTAAGTCTTTGATCGGTCCCGGCACCCGGGACACGGGATCAATGATCTGGCATTCTTGCCGGGGGTCTGGGCTAATCTCTTGTCCGTTTCCGGCCAGGGATGGACATAGTCAATGAAGCCGACAGTCTTTGGTTCGAAGGAAAAACCCGCTTTTAGTATAGCCGGTGAATTCACTATACTCTTTCTTAACGCTTGGGTCACATCAACGGCTTGTGGCTTTGTCTCGGTTTCTCGGAAGTAACCCCCGCCAGACACTTGGGACCGATTGGGGCTAGTGCTGAATGTTAAATGTAGTTTAATATGACTCTATCACTTTCCAAGGTTGTTATATTTTAGGTGCATACGAGTTTACATATGTACATATGTATGCCGATGAGCCGTTTACATAGTACATGTCATATGTATGTACATGTAGGTAGTATACATACCATGTACTAAGACAGGTCAGAATCATTGTAATTCCAATGTTGTTGAAAAGGAAGTATTACTTCGGAAGAGTCGGTAAGTCCTCGGATTTTGTGGATATTTCTCCAGTTCTTCGAGTACACGTGTGTATGCAATTGTTCTTCAAATCTCACATTGTCCAAGGTCGCTCAGTAGATCTGACATAAGCCTTTCCCTGTTCCAAAGGCAGTTCTTCAACTGCATACAAGTTCACCAATTCCATACCCGGGGTCTCAAAAGAATGAGAATTTCTATCAAGTTAATATTCTACGTTGAAGTTCAAACTCAGGAATGGAGTATGAAAAACACTGTATTCCTCTGGAATCCGATCCTCAAATCTTGACGAGTCTAATACAAGATATGCTTCTGATTTTATTTATATCTCGTCGCTAGAAGTAGATCAATTGGATAGCATTCGTTTCGGCATCCAGAATTATGCCGAAGTCTTGATCCTTATTCTATCTAATTGTCCCGTGTATCCAGAGCAAAAAAACGAACACAGTGTTCCGAAGGGAGACCGACATTCTCCGGCTGAAACAAAGTATAAACAACATGCGTGTGTAACACTGTAGACATTAAGGATATTGGTATAATATTCTCTACTTCACCCCGCATAGCATATAATCTCTGAGTTTTGCCGGCAGTCTTTCTCACACTTCTATTGGACTTTGTGTGAGGTGGCTTGTGAGCTTAGAATCTATAAGACATTGCATCTCAACCCACTAGCCAAGATTCATAGATTGAGAATGAATCTCAATTCCAGCAGTTCTATGGCAAATATTCCAAGAATAAACAAGACATATACATATACATGATGTACGAACAAGAATAGCATTGAAGTCTCAGCCATATGATTCCGATAAGATACTCCTCCCTGGTCCGTGCGCCCAGCACTAGCCAAGCACTAAACTCCTCCAAGGCTTGCTCCAATCTTGGTATCTTCCTACCTACATAGAAAATGAATCGTCTTACTTCCATGCGTCTCTGTGCGCGACGCATCTCGAATACCCGACCTCTCAGCCGACTCCCAAGCCTGCACGCGCCCGCGTCCCCTCTCACGCACGCGTTCCCGAGAATGGCATCCACCGCATTTCAGTTCGCCGAGGGCGAGGATGTGCAGCAACTTACCCGCCATGCCGATGCTTTATTGCAGCAAGGCTGGGCTCAGGATGGAGACGGGATGGGAATTACCAAGACGTTTCATTTTAAGAGTTATTTCAAGGCTGTGGTGAGTTATTATTATTTTTTTCTCTGTTTTGTGGTCTGGACTGGACTAGAATTGGGGCTACCTCTACTTCTGGTTCTGGTTCCTGTGCTGAGACTGGACAAACTAACAATTTTATACTAGGCATTTGTTAATATGATTGCGGCCGAGAGTGCGTCCAAGAAACATCATCCCACCATGACAGTGGTAAGTGGGACGTTTTGATTGAATTGTTGGTGCCTGGGTACACAAAAGAAATTAAGGCTGACGCCTCATTAGCGGATTGGTTCCGTCGATGTGCACTGGACAACCCATCGCCCTCGCGGATTCACACAAAAAGATGTTACAATGGCGCAGCATTGTGATCAGAGTGCTAGTTTAATGGGTGCTGTTGATCCCGGTCAAGGACTAAAGTGTGGTCCAACTGTCTAGATTATCACCGTTAATTCGCTTCTCCGGCTCTCTTGGCAATTGTTCTTTATTCCCCGGTCTGGCCCTCGTCTGGCCCCTCGACGCACGCTATCACCAGTAGATCCCCCCACTGGCGGTTGGAACTAGTCTGAATGTGAATTTCCCCTTGAAATCCTGCTTGGGAGGTGTTTTGTTTTTTTTTTTTCTTTTTTTTTTTTTTCTTCCTTTCTCTTTACAACATAGATGTTTTCTTTTCTCCCGAAAGGGTCGTTCCTCGAATTTCGATTTCAATTTCTCCCTATTACATATAGATATATTTCAACGGCTATTTCCTGTCGGACCCTGCCATGACGTCGGATCAGTCCATGCCCACGTTCCTTTTTCGATGATCATTTCCTTCTTTATTAAACCTTGTCGCTCCTTTTTCTCCAATGCGCTCAACGTCCTGAAGTCCTCAACTGTCTGGAACTGTCCTGAGCATGCTCGACGATATGAATCCAGATCTGCCATCAATTGGCGAACGCAGAGGTCATCAACTTGCCCCCTTGCAAACCAATTTTAGTCGACCAGCTGCTCAAAAACGGTTCCAACGCCCTCGGCCAACCGACTACCCCAGTACCAATGGATCAGAAGGTCCCATTCCGCTCCAGGGCCAGGGCCCCGTGAAACGGCAATCCTCCAAAACGAGTCTGCGCAATCTATTTGGTCATAAATCTTCGCGTGCCGAACCAAAATTAGAGGAGATTATAGAGACACAGCCAGAACCCCAAACAGCCATTCTGTGGGAAACCTCCATGTCGCCCTCTGTAACGAGCCCCCACACTATAGACACCAACCCCACCATGACCTCCCCGACAGCATCATCGCGCGCAAACGTGAAGACCCCTCGTCCGAAACCCGAGCCCAAACATGCAAACCAGGAACAGTATGGCTGGAAGCCTCCCCCGTTGTTCCAGGCCTATCCACAATCCACCAAGCATGACTGCCTCCCGGCACCTGCTATCTCTGCAGATTACATTTTGCGCCTGCACGCCACGACCGCGAGGAGCTCTACCGACGAGAACCCTGTCAATCCATCAGAGCAGGACGAGGCCGCCGATGCTGCTCGTAAAAAGCGGGAACAAAAACACAGGAAGCATCTCCGGACGCTATCTGGCACCATCAACAAGGTAGAATGGACTCAGAAAATTTACGTCCTGGCAACTACTGGTTACATCCTCCAATATGCAGGTGAAGGGAAGCACGACCGTCTTCCGGAGAGGATGCTGCTCCTAGGACCCAACTCTGTCGCATTCGCTAGTGACGCTATCCCCGGGAAACATTGGGTAGTCCAGGTCTCTCACAATCCGACAGCTGATAATTCCGCCATACCGGAGGCCCCCAAGCCTCGATTCGCACGCTTCGGCTTCCACAAATCTAATGCCCGGCGGTTTTCGCGCAACTTTCTTCTGGTGTTCGACAACCCCGATGCTATGATCGGCTGGTTGGCCGCCATTAGAGCTGAGATCGAAAAACGGGGAGGACGCAAATTCACGGAAGAGAAGCACTCGGATGAAGACACGATGCCTCAGTTGCGAACCAAATCGAGCGTTCGACAAATGGTGAAGAAAGATCCAAATCGCATTTCCAGTCTTTTCCTTCAACCCCAGGCTCTCCAATCTCCCACCGAGGAAGATAGTCAGTCTGTTGGTGCTACAAAATGGCCATCTCGCCGCAGTTCATATGTGTCGATTAACCGCCGCTCAATAATTGAATCTCGATCTGGATCCGTGTCAACTGGCCGAACCGACACCACAAACCACACCACTGGCTCTGCTTCTATCGGGTCTGACATTCATTCCTCATCACTGACTTCTTCCAATGTACCCAACTCGCCGCCAATTGGCACTGGCGCTTTCGGGGCTGACGAGTCTCTGCCAGAAGAGCTTGACCGGATCTACACGCGCAGCCCGCCTCCTTCTAATCATGGAAAACGCCAATCCTCATTTATGCATCTGCCACATCAGCCTCCCCCCATTACCGACTTCACAGAGGAGCCACAAGCGAACCACCCACCTATTCCCGAAACTCTCCTCCGCTGTGCTTCGCCTCCAGCGCCCAATTTCAGTGTCCCCTCATTTAGCAAGAAATTCGTTCCGAGACCTGGGCCAATCCCCGTCTCTCATTCCTCTCCTCCTTCGTCACTTAATGGTTTTGCACGCCGCACCGAGATTGACCCAAATATCTCCGCCCTTGCATCTCCTCCACTATCTCCCACATACAGCATGGCCAGCTCGCGCTACACAGATTCGTCAGAGCCCATGCGCATACTACGACCCTCGAATTCAGAGGATGCACTGACTAAAGCCGTCCGTTCAGCACAGAATGCTCAAAACTTCTCCCGGGTGCCCCAAACAGCGCCCCCTACAGGCCCTCTACCTGATCCCATGGCATCTTCCCGTCCACTCAGCCTCATCAGCCGCCCTAGCACCGGTCGTAAAAGCGTCAATGCGACCCAGGTCCAACCTGTTCCTCCACCGGCAGAGCCAATACCGCGCAAGAGAGTCTCCACTGTGAACCCTGACAATCAAGCTCCTTTGAGCATGTCGCGCCGCAAGAGCATGCCCGGCCTTGGGCTAACAATCGGGCCTCCATCTGCACCACCCCCGAACTGCCCACTTCCTAAGCTCCCCTCGCTCACGCCTCCCACTCCCACTGCCACTACCCCTGCTACTTCCACCGGCACTACCACACCACAAATGCTATCCCCTTGGTCTGCAACGTCTTCAACGCAACGATTCTATGGATCCGAGCCAGTCCGGGATCACGTCGAAGATCGGAAGAGCGGTGCCGATGCCGCAAGCATTGAGCTAGCAAGCAATATCTTACGGACTAATCGACATTCAAAACTGATCAAGAGTCCTATGGTCTAAATCCACCCTCTCCTGCTGTGACTCAACATCATATCTATGACACTTCATCTCGCTCGAACACCAATACTCCAATACCTCCTCACATCCTCCAACTTGACCTTTCCTACGATCTATCTCTCACGACAATACCTTGAGATACATTCCCTATACCCTCTTCCCTTTCTCGCATCTGTCATTGCTACTATATTTGGCATTTGTGCCTCGGCTTCACTCAGCATCAAATACCCATTTTGCATCTATTGCATATCTGAGAGCCTATCATATCCATTCTCTTGCTGTACACATCGGTAATACCAACCCTTGTGTACATACCTCAGTTCCTCTTTGTCTATACTACCTACACATTACTTCTCTTCGCTTCGACTGTGTTTTTATTGACATTTGTTCTTGTATATACCCCATTTTATCCTATTTTATTGGTCTTTGCATCTCTTCTGAACTCGGTATTTGCCGTCTTCTATTTTCTATCGGTGATCTATAAGCCACGGAGCATGGGTTTGCATGGAGCATAGAGCTGAGCCTGTGTATTACCAGATTTCCTTCTTGTCTACTATCTGCAATACTCAAATACAAAAGAAGCCTATATCCATTTGATGTTGTAGCAAACTTAGGCATGGTATCAACATCTACATACAACCCAAAGATAAGTCGTGAAATGAAATAAGGCAGAAACCGAGATAAATAAAGGCCTTCCAATGATATCAATTCTTAGGAGCGAGGCCCAAAACGCCAGAATGAACATGGAATAAGGATCTTGAAAATACAAATCTCACGGATTATTGAAATAAGCATCCGTGTTAGACTGCGTTCAACCAATTCTGGTCTATCGCCGTTGAATATCGTTCAGAACGTAGCAGCACTACTCCTCCACCTCTTCCACACTTGCGCTCAGAACTCGGCGCGATGCGACTGTGGATGGGGTAGAAGTGGGCTCGGTGGAGGTTGTGGTTGCCGAGGGGGTGATTGCTGAGGGAGCAGCTTCGGTAACGGTAGCGGGAGCAGAGGCTGAGACCTTGGATTTGCGAGACTTTTTGCTCTTTTTTGTCTGTAGAGTTGAACGGTCAGTTTTACTATTTCCAAGAATATGAAAATGGGGAGATATATACCTCTTGCCAGCCCCATAGAGGCTTGAAACTGTCGAAGAACCCAACATCCTCGAACAGATTGGGGAATAGCCAAAGACCAGGGGCCACAGTGAAGACGGTGATACAGAATAGAATCAAACGGAAGATAGCCATGGCGAAGAACAGACCCAACAGTCCCATCATGCCAACACTCAGATACCACACTCCCTGGCGCATAATCATAGGCCACAATGGGAACAGGACAACGGCGAAAATACCCGCAACTACGGCGGCGGCCATGGCCTTTTGCTTCCACTGCGGGCCGTCATACAACCAAACATAATGCATCATTGGGTCGGTCTCCTGATGCTGTTCAATCTTCACGGTCCATAAACCCTTAGTGCGGTTCTTAGGCTTGGCATGGTTGTGGCCTTCATGAGGATCAACCTTGCTCACTCGGAGAGCCAAAAGAGAAAGTGGAAGAAGCTTGAAAACGTTCTCGGCGGAGGCGCGGTCGGTCACTGGGGGGAGGAGAGAGTTCTTCTTTGAGGCAGCTTTGGCATAGGCGGGGGATTCAATAGCTCGGATTGCACGTTTGACTGCATTGAAGAAAGCACTGTTAAATGGGGATTCCTTGCAGTCTATTTGGGTATTAGTCGCTGCTCACCCTTGAACATGTCCTTGCGCTGTCCATCCATGATACATGTGCGTGGTTTGAGGTTTTGCGACCGCAGCCAGTTGGCCACCGCGATGGCCTTTGGGTCTGGGGGATTGTTGGGGTTCACAGGAACCTGTTGTGTGGTTGTGTGTTGGTGCTGCTGCGGCGGCGGCTGCTGCTGCTGTGGTGCGGGCGACGGAGCCTGTTGTCCTTCTGCTGCTGCTTGAGCCTGTTGTTCGGCCTGGAGCTTCTGTTGCTGCTGGTGGGCTTGCATTGCTCGCATGCGCAACTGCGCAACATATTGCTCAGTAGTTAAACCGAGCTTTTCAGCATCGGCAGTCAGCTGTTCACGCTGCTTTGCGGCGAATTGCTGCGGCGTCATCCCTCGTTTAGCGGCTTCGGCAGCGAACTGTTGCTGCATGGCCGCCATCTGCTCAGGACTGGGCTGGCCGGGAGTGGCCATTTTGAATTAAAATTGGAGAATAAAATGCAAAAGAGAGAAAAGGAAGTTCAAGGGAGTTGTGAAAGAAGGAAAGAGAAGTGGCCAGATTGACTCAGCTGATTCGTCCGCCCTCCCGACTTCCAACCCCGGCCAAGCTTAATCTTCTTCCCTTTACATTCAATCAATGTCGCGTTGAATATCGCACTGAACAATGCTCTGAGCATGCGCTTCAGAGCTATTTTCATGTCGATTCTCAATGTCTGTCCAATATGACTCGACAGCTACTCTTTTAAACGCTACCTTGGTGGCCGTTCTGCTGGTATGTGTCTTAGTTCGCAATTAATGCTCCTCCGCTCATAATATCCTAGAGCGAACGAGATGTAGCTGGTCAAATTCCACTTAACTATGTGACAAACCCCGGCGTGTCGCTGTCAGCTGCCTGCTTCGGAAACCGCATCTATGATCGAGAAGGCGCTGCAAAATGTTTCTCCAACCTCCTAGCAATCGGATACCGACGTCTTGTTGTCGATCTATATTGGTCAGTCAACCGTAGGAGTTGGTCTTTTTGTCCGGTGTCTGTTCCAGTCGGATCCGGAACGACTGCATCCCCGGAGACTTCCACAACCAAGACATCTGCGAATATCTCCGGTAGGGACGATGATTCACATGGACTCGCTCTCTACGAGCTAGGCTCATACAAGTGCACTGACGACCTCGATCCCTCCGTCTTGTCGGATGTGCTTGTTGGTTATTTCCGAATCACAAACAATAAGTTGACCGTGTACACGACCTATCTTGTTCTCAATCTCCACGTCGCCGCAAGTGACTCCACGCCAGATGATCCTGCTTCTACCATATCAGGAGGTCAATTGCCATCGGAAACTGAGCGGGCTGGCTCAATCCTCGGCACGGCCCTTAGTGACTTTACCTATACCCCGGCTCAACTTGCCTCGGACCGAAGCAATTTAAACCAGTCGTGGTATAAGGTTGATCAGGGCTATATGCCCATCACAGAGTATTTCACCGTTCATGAAAATGAAGCGGGCGAACAAAGCACTCCAGATGGCTGGCCATCATCAAAATTCATTCAGCTCGCGAAACGCGATCGAGTGCTCATTGAATATGGCTCTATCGATTCCCAATTGACGCATTACAATATATCTACCGAAGGAAATTCCGTCTTTCCTCCTGGATACCTGACTTCCGAGGTGAAGGTCTCCGCAACCAATAATGGCACTCTCACTTCAGGCTGTCTGTATGAGCCTGGGCTCACACGCGTGTCTCAAACCCACTCGTCATGGGCTATATCCAATCACATTCCTGTTCCTGATGGTCTTTCCACGGATGAAACGATGCATTCGCTATCGAATGTTCTCTCTGACATGACAGCTTGTGGTCTCTCGCCAATGCTCAACATTACCCTCTTTGGCCAGACTGCAGATCAGCAAGTTGAATATTACCGTAATCTCTCTATCTCTTCTTCCTGGGCTTGGGCAGTTGGCGAGCCACACGATGCAAACTATGCTGGTGGAGGTGACAATCCCAAGTATGATCGCTGTGCGATCATGGACCTAACGCTCAATGGCCACTGGCGGTCCACGAATTGCACTGACCAACGACATGGCGCTTGTCGAATTGGTAATTTACCTTTCTCCTGGGTCCTGTCAGAAGCGTCCGATCATTTCTCAAACGTGTCGGACACTTGTCCGCCAGGATCGAGCTTCGCTGTACCACGTACCGGTCTCGAAAACACGTATCTCTACAAATATCTTCTCTCTCTGCCAGAGACAAAGGTTGACTTGAATTCCACAGATCCTGCTCATCGAGAGGTCTTTATAAACTTCAACTCGATGGATATCACTTCTTGCTGGATACCTGGTGGCTATGCGGCGAGCTGTCCCTATGCCTCTGACCCACAAGAACTCGAGCGGGAAACTGTGCTTGTTGCCGCAATTGCGAGTATCATCATTCTTATTATCGCGGCCTTGACTCTATTCGTCAAGTGCAACGCCAACCGCCGCAATTCCCGGCGCAGAAAGCGTGTCATTGGAGGATGGGAATATGAAGGTGTTCCCTCGTGAGACTCTCTGCACTTTATTTATCTCAGCGATGGCTCGCTCAGCACACCCTGAAGGCGCTGTCTCGCGAGGCCTTTTGGGTGTGATATCAAGACTGCATATCTTATATACTATGTATATTCCCTGTGCGTTCACTTCACATTTGTAATTTTGGAGTTCCTACCATCTCCGGCGTCAGATCTATCTGAACGCATTCCCCGCAACACCCTCAAGTTCAAGTCCAGTGACAGCCTATTGGACTGGATTGTGCAGCGGCTGGGGGTTTCGTCCAGAATACTCTTTTTCTCACAGAGTATGGTAGCTATGGAAACATGAGCACAATCAGCGATTTCCCAAGATGTCCCAGGCAACTGGCATATTGTTCGTTCGGCGGTTTAGCCAAGTTGTACGCTCGGACAGCATGGAACGTCATCAATTTCTGCTGATGCTATCTTCAAAGAATTGCCAGAAATATCGGGCATTTTGTACTATATTGGGCTCTCCTTTGGCTCGTTTCTCTTTGTTGTATCTTATACACACGAGAGAATTCTCCGAGCTTTTTTTTCAAACGCATACCCTAGAGAGGCGCAGTCAAAAATCCAGCAAATCCATACCTCATTATTTTTTCCATCAGAGACCACCATAGACATCGATCTAACTCTTTGACAATACATATGTATCTACAACCTTGGAAATTAAATGAGTAGTAATCATACACGAGTTAAATGTCCAATTGGGATCCAGAACTACGTACATATAAAAATGAACCCATAATACACCAAAATAATTCCAATCCATACATATTTCCATGAAAATCAAACTAATAGAAACGGGATATAAAAGTCCCAAACAAAATCAAGTCGCTACATGCCATTCATGACGACAACTCGTAAACTCCTGGAAAAGAAAAGACCAAAGGTATCACATTCAAAGCCCGGCGAATCGAGCCCATCCAGCAGCCCGATTTGGTGAAGAGGTCTGAGCCTCTCTGTGGCTTTCGTTCTGATCGAAACTGGGTTGCTCATCAAGAACGTTTTCACTTCGCCCTTCTTCAGCGACCTTGCCACTCACATCACGGCGGCGTCCAACGCCCAGACCAGCGATGTAACTTCCGTATGAGGATAAGGATGCACCAACTCCGGCTGCAACGGCAGGCCGCGCAGTGTCTGCACCGGTGTTGCTCACAACGCGGCCCTTGCGGTCGCTTTCGGTAGCGCGATGCGAAGCACGCGTCCTGGCTGAGAGGTATCCATTTTCTTCATCGCTGTCGTTCTTCTTGAGAGACTCATAAGCAGATATCTTGCTGTTGCGTTTCTTCGTAAGCTTGTTAGGCTTACGGGGCACCTGGATACTTGATTCGCGAGAAGCGGCCAATCCAGGCTTACCATCCACATCCAGGTCGCCATAGAACCGGGTCTTGGGCGAAGTGGTTTGGGGGCTCTCATGTGGAACAGACACCGGCTGTGCTCGTGGATTGTACGATAAGTTGGGCCTATCGCCCAAGGCAACCCGCCGCACGGGATCGGTATTCTCGGGCTGTTCGGTCAGAATAGGTTGCGGGGTTGGCGGGTTAAGCATGAGGGGGTTAAATGGAATACTGCCATCACGTTCGTCGCCAGTGTCCTCTTTGTGATCTTCTGGGTCTGGGAATATGTCCATGCGCTGATCACCCACATCTTGTTCACGATGGTTATCATCAAGGCCATAGAATTCGTGAGCGGAAAGCGACGCATATTCCCCGCGTACATCTTCGGGGATGACACTTCCAATACTTGGCTCCGGCTTGGAATAAGCAAACCAATCTCGAATGCCACTACTGGCGGACGGGATGGTCTTGTTGGTTTTTCGGCTGTAGACAGAGGAGGACTGACGGAGAGTGTTTTCGTTATCGTTATGAGTCTCCCCCATTGGCGATAGAGACCGTTCAGAGTATGCTACCCAATTATTGGACACTGGGCTGACGGTTTCCGATCGATCAGCGGTACGTGATGACAGATGACGCATTTGAGCAGTAGCATCGATGATTTCAGGAGCGTGCGAGGCAACATTTCGATACTCTGGGGCAGGTGTCTGTGAGGTGAAATCATAGGGCTCGTTCGCGCTTTGTTGGAATAGAGTCTCGGGGCTAGAGGGATCCATGTGAGGTGAGGTTGGAGATTCCAAGTGGGATAGGCGATGCTGATAAAAGGCAGGGTGTGACTGCCGCTGCTCGTCGAGCAAACCTGTTGATCCACGGTTCGAATCACCACCGAAAGACTGTTCGCGTGTATGCATGAATGGCACACTGCGAGGCGATCCCATGAGCGGATCTTCAAAGGTGGAATCCAGGGTGGATTGGCTGAGGTGTTTCTCCTCCATTTGAGTCTCCTTGTGACTTTTACGGGGACGTGCAGTCAGATTATCTTCAAGTGGGTTCATGTCAGGCGGTAGGCGCGAGATCTTCCGGAATATGACCGCCAAGAAAATCGATATGGCAAAGGAGATGAGATGTAACGCGCCATTTGCGATAGCCAAGATGAAGGTGCTCTCAGACAATTTTCCAGTCATGTCATCGTCATTGAAGAGATTTTTCCAGTGGTATGCATTGGAGTTCCATTGACCATACGCAATATACGCAGTAAACACGTAGAATGGGATGAGTCCGAAGTCGAGAATCGCAGCGAATATTCCATAGCTGGATTGGGAACCTGCGGGCCGATTAAGAGAAGATCGGGAATTATGATAGATGCCATAGACCGTGTGGAGAATTGCAACTATGGGCTGCAATAGCGGTCAGCGAGAGAAAGTTTTCTTGGGTAAACTGTACTCACACCGGCGCGAATGATCCAGATAATGCTCGTTGCAGCTCCCTTAATAACAATAGAGCAGAACAGGGAGCCCAGGGCCCCCAGGAGATTGAGTACTCGAAGTACAAGCTGAGTTGTTCGTGCATACTTGACCCGATCCTTTGTTTTGTAGCTCATCGGTGTAAATGAGCTGGCCGTATTAAAGAAACCCCACTACACCCACCATTAGCAGAATCCACAACAAATTTCCGAAAGGTAGCACATACCGTGTCAGGGTGGCGGTTTAGCTCCACTAGTGGTCCTTTTTGTTTGGGTTTGGCTGCTGGACGAGTCCAGCTCGCCTCTGTCGCGGCCCTCGGGTTGAAGCCGCGGTCGGTGGGACCTTTGAAGCTGTAGGCGGACGGTCTCTCATAAAGGAATGGAGGCGACGATCTCCCCATGGTAGCGACTAAAGGCCACTCGTGGCACCCACGCGGAACAAAAGAGATGAATTTTTACGGAGAATCTTGGAATGTGGAATGCGACCTGTCCTAGGATGTGGCGGGCAGGTAACAGTATGTTGTACATCTTCCAAGCCTGCAAACATGTGATAGTAACCAGGGGCAACCGATATAGTCACGTGATATATATCATTATCTCCGATCACCTCCGCGTTTTCTTGAATAATCCATACACCATGCGCTTAAAACAGGCCTTCGTATGTGGTCAATGCACTGTGCGGCTTAATCGCCAGCCTCATCTACGGTATCAGAGATTTGTATCTCAATTTACATCCAAACGCTTCAACAGTCATGTCGCCCAAACCGATCGACCTGTCCGTGTGGCCGTCGTGGGCTCTGGCCCAGCGGGATTTTATGCTGCCTATCGTCTTTTGGCTAAACAGAAAGATGCAATAGTTGATATGTATGAGAAACTACCTGTGCCATTTGGTTTGGCTAGGTATGGTGTTGCCCCGGACCATCCAGAAGTCAAGGTGAGTCACGGTAAATTGCGATTCATTGATGAGTCGACCAATGAATACTGTATGTAGAAATAAGCTCATGATTATATGAAAACTAGAATTGTGAAGATAAATTCACAGAGGTGGCCGAGTCCGCGCGCTTCAATTTTGTTGGCAATATCGACCTCGGACATGATCTGCCGCTCGCTGCCATCAAACCACACTATGATGCCATCATATTCGCCTACGGCGCCACAAAAGATAAGGAGCTGGGGATTCCTGGAGAAAGAGCTCTGCATAGCGTGCACTCGGCACGTGCCTTTGTGGGGTGGTACAATGGTCTTCCGGAGCACAGAGATCTCGATCCGGACCTAAGCGGAGAGAACGCCGTGATTGTCGGACAAGGCAATGTTGCACTAGATGTTGCCCGGATTCTTCTTTCGGACGTCAATACTCTCCAAAAGACAGATATAGCAGATTATGCTATCGAAAAACTCGCGACAAGTCGCATTAAGCGAGTGCGAGTTGTTGGGCGCCGCGGACCGCTACAGGTGAGTTACAATGAATCGACTGTTGATATCCAGGTTACTAAATTATTTGGCTCAGGCTTCCTTTACTATCAAAGAGCTTCGTGAAATGCTACAGCTTCCAGGTGTATCATTTGATCCCATCCCAGACGATATATTTCCGCCAGAAGAAGTAGTATCGGCACTGCCCCGGGCGCAGAAACGTTTAATGCAGCTCTTGGCTAAAGGGTCATCCAATGACCCTCTAACATCCCCAAAGTCTTGGTCTCTAGACTTCTTACTTGCGCCAGATTCTCTTCACTGGTCGCCCGATCACCCATATCATCTATCCCATGTTAAGTTCTCTCGCAATGAGCTCGATCCTTCCGATCCTTACAGTCCCAGCTCCAAAGTGTCTCCAAAGCGCTTATCAAGCGGGAAGCGTGCACTTGTCAACATACCAGCTTGTGTCTTCTTCCGCAGTGTGGGCTACAAATCTCTCCCTCTTCCAGGACTGGAAGATCTTGGTATCGACTTCGATGCGCGACGTGGTATCATCCCTAACGACGGATTTGGCCGTGTAACAAGCTTGTCGAACAAGGGCGAGCCTGAAAGTTTACCTGATAGATCTCTCATCTCCCACTTACCCGGCCTGTACTGTGCTGGCTGGGTAAAGCGAGGCCCAACGGGTGTAATTGCCTCAACAATGACCGATGCATTCACTACTGCAGACAGCATTGTGCAAGATCTGGCAAAGCGTGCAGAGTCAACGTCCTTGCTACATGCACCGAATCACAGTAGTGGTTTAGGCTGGGACGGCGTGAAAATCGAGGCACAGCGCCGTGGTCTACGCCCCACATCATGGAAAGACTGGCAGAAAATCGATGCTGCAGAGCGAAAAAGCGGCCAACTAAAGGGCAAGCCTCGGGATAAGCTTGCGCGTGTAGAAGAAATGCTGAAGGTGCTTGGTTGAGTATATTTAAACTATCTGTATAACATCCACAGTCTGAAAAATCTAATTACATACTTCTGGGGGTTGGTCCAACACTCTCATCTCTACCCTCACATCATCCAGCGCCTCGGTATACCATTTTGTCCCTTCATTATTACATTCCATATAGGTGATGTATAACGCTCACATCCCACACGCACTGTCCTCCACTTCAACGTAAGTGGCGTCAACACGACCGAGTTCCTCCGCCAGCCCGTTGGTCAGCGTGTTCATAGCTTGCAGGCCAATGTTGAATCCACTGGGAGCTGCATCGACAGCAATGATGTTGATGGTCTTGTCGATCTTCCCGTTCGAGTAGTGCAACTCGTAGCATTTGCCACAGTTTGGGCTATTCCAGCCTGGGATGGTGATCGCACCACCAATGTTTGGGAAGTTTGGCAGCGATGCGAAGTCAGTATAGCCTTGGGTGACCAGGCCGTAAATTCCATTGGAGCAGGAGACGGTGTTCAGAGAAGATGTTCCAACGTCATATTTGGGGTCGAAGGAGACGGATACCGTTGCCGCTACAACGGGAGCCGGAACAGCAGTCACGAGGTTGAGGGTTGCCAGAAAGGCAGAAGAAGTGAACACGATAGTAGACTTCATGTTTGTGGAGGATTTGATGGAGCTTTGAGGGAAAGTGTAGTAATATTTTGGTTGCTTGTTGTATAGATTATGCATCCTTCATAGCATGGTTTATATATCTCCACCTGTCAGGCGCCCCTCGATCTAAGATTTTTGTATTCCTGGTTGCTGGCAGGCTGCATCCAGCGCAGGTCTTTGACAAAGGTCTTGCTTGGACTTACAGGTGACACGGCCCAAATTGGATGTCTTCATATTGAGTCCATCACCCGATATTCCCATAATAGATAGCCCCCCAGAAACCGGCGCAATAAGCTCGAGTACTGTTTAGGAAGCATGCAGGCAGGCTGAGACATGGTATATCTTGGCTGCTATTTTCATGCGATCTGCAGAGGCACTGCATAGTCGATCCACATATAGCTCACGCGAGACTCCCTATGCTACGAGACAGGGTGGCTGCATTCGAGGTTGCATTGCAATACGGACGGAATGGATGACCATAGCCACATTGCATTTTGATACGAGTTTGAATCACAATAATATTAGAAGTAGGCTCATTAAACCTAAAAACAAAAAAAGAAAATGAAACTATAACTTACGCAAGTAAGGTGAGTAAAAACAAAAAGAAACGTCCCCGGGAAGGCTTGAACTTCCAACCTCCCGATTAACAGTCGGACGCGCTAACCAATTGCGCCACGGAGACGTGCTTGTGGCGGAAATCAGCAGAAACGAAATCCATGTACTTTGCATCGTGTATTCTGCAAGATTTTCCAATATGCAGTCACGTTATTATCTATATATAGAGTAATGGTTTATAATTCAGCACTTTCTATTCTACCTGCTATAATCGAAGACCTAGGGTTAGGCCAGTATGACTATTTGGATAAGGGGTAGTCAAGGAAGCGCTGATACTTATGGATCATTACCGTACTATAATATATTTCTGATAGTCGACGTAGGAGTAGCAAATAGGACTATGTACGGAGTACTCCGTATTCCTAGTTATATTTTTTATTACTTCTATAGCTAAATAGTATCAAGTAATCAAATAACACAGGTCTATTCAACAAGCACGTCTCCGTGGCGCAATTGGTTAGCGCGTCCGACTGTTAATCGGGAGGTTGGAAGTTCAAGCCTTCCCGGGGACGTTTCTTTTTGTTTTTACTCACCTTACTTGCGTAAGTTATAGTTTCATTTTCTTTTTTTTGTTTTCTTTTTCTTGTAGGGCAATGGGAGTTTTCAATCTCAACCAGCCTCTGCATCTTAGGAGAGAGAGAACTTAACACACACAGTAAATATATGACTTGACTTCATGAACAGGGGGTCCCTGCCCAAAGCAAAGCTCATATCATAGATACATATTTTAGTCTATGTACAACATACAACATATTTTCCTGTGTTTCTGAACTAAACTCAACTTAATTTTATATTGTTGGCTAATTCCTGAGCATGAAACGAGCGCCCCTAGGCTATTATCTCTGACGTTTCATTTCTTTTTATCTTCGACGAGGTGGTCAACCAGCAAAGAATACGCCGCGGCCAACAAGAAAATCTGCAACGGCTTCCCTAAGTCATCACCTATCCCCAGGTCCCAGCGTCCATCGGTTCCAAGGTTGTGTATCTCGTCCTGCTGTTATCACTGGCCGAAGGTCGTATGGCCAATTCCCGTGGTGGTACGCCTAGTGAGAAGACATAATGCGGTGTCGCCATAATGGCGCTAGCTTCTTCGATGTGATAATTTATAACTTGATACGAACCTAGATTTCGTCCCTTTCTATACTGCTCTGTGTACAATAACAGCAAGGTAATTGAAATCGTCGATGCTCCAAGGTTTCTGAAACGCCCAATAACTGGAATGGGCTTATGCTATCTATACCTTGTGTGGGTGACTTATGAATTCACATAGCGATTCTTTGTACACTGTGTATTTCTCTGCTGTCTCTGCCGCCACCGTACAAGTACATCGATTCCATGATTTTAATATATGCAGGAAGCAGGGACAACACGGTGTTACTTCGGGACGAGTCTCTGGACCTTCATTTCGGCAGGCAACCGCGATCCACTTTGTCTTGGTTGCTTTGAATTTGGGGTAATTCAAATAGGAAATACATATAAGTTCAAGGGATTTCAAAAAAAAATCCAAAAAGAAGGGCCCGAACCGCGATTTGAACGCGGGACCTCGCACAGGTTCACCCGAAGCACGAATCATACCTAATTATTCATTAGTTGAGATTCGAAGGACAGCATATATTTAGTGGAACATACCACTAGACCATCCGGGCGTTTGTGTACTTAATTTCTCTAATTTGGGGTACTCGATGTATAAAGCCAAATCTATTTCAAGATGCCTTGTGCTGATCTATACATTTTCACTATGAACCTAAATTATGATGATATATTTCATCTGAGAATAATTATCAATTTATGTTGCAGTGGATTGTTGAAAGAGAGCACATGGGTATTCAACAAAAAATATCACATTTGTTTAGCAGTGGTCAACATGGGCCGAATATATATAACGCTACCCTAATCTGCAGAGGAACCAGTGATTGACAGCTCACATGATGCGGCGGATATATAAGAGAATGGCGATTGCATCCCATCTTTCATGCGTTCATTCTAGCGCTAGCGCCATGAAGAAACGGATTGGAGGAGGCCCCGGTGGACCGAGATATTCCACACAACTAATAATTCAACATTGAACTTTCATATATTCTTATATACAATTCCCGGGCTGATTCTATATCGACTTGAAATGTTATACTTAGTGCGTTTGGACTCATGCAGGATACATCATTGACCCTGTGCTCACGGGCTTCAAGATACCCGACTGTTCCAATTCCTCAATGAGATTGACCAGCATCAAATCACAGCCCCGGGCTGCGACGAAACTCATCGTAACAGGCATGAATTCTGTCTTCAGCGAGATGGTGGAGTAATAGGGGACCTCTCCAACAGGAACCACCAGATCAGGGGTACCGGTCAAGACGGCCATCCGACCATCCGAAAAGCCCATCGGAGGACCAGAAGGGGCACTGTAGATATGATCAGCGATAGGTCATTTTATCTCTTCAAGGGATTTTTACTCACGCAAAATAGGCATTCCGATACTGCGTCCCACCCGTGCTGTAAGGATAGATATAGATACCCTCGGAGCAGGTCCTTTCGTCTGCCTTTCCGTATCCATCTGATTCCCACCAGTTTTTGAAGATTGTCTTGTTATGGAAAGCTTCATCGTATATGGCATCGCCGCCATTATTCTGGCCCCAGGTCCATCGAGACAAGGGACCTGGGTTTATAAATGGTCGACGACCGTCGTGCTCTGCTGCATAGTCTGCGTAAAACGGCACAGCAAGAGAGCGATATTGATCGACAGATACCAATGCAGCATATGTCTAAAAGATATTAGTGTCTGAATATGTATTTCAATATCTCCGAAACTCACCATATTCAGTAAGTCATTGATTTTCGAGGGTGTATCTGAAGGGCGGCTTTGCTCCCAGTGCGAAGCAATATCAACAAATTCTCTCTTCGTACCCAGGAAGTCTTCCACTTTCATAACGAATTCCTCGAGCAGAGCACCGGATGCTGTGTTGGATTTCGGGAAAGAAGAGTTCTGGTAGAACAATTTTTTCGGATACTCTCTATAGTCCGTGAAGTTCTGGTACCACGCATGCATAACCTTCGACCAGGTGGCAGCATTGCGAGCAAAAACGCCCGCTGTATCCAGTGCGTAGCAAAGGGGAAGGACATTGTCGAGAGATACGGCCCCGGTAGAAGGGCGGTTGGCGTAGAGTCCTTGCATTCCACCTGGGCTGCGCATAGAGCCGCCTGTGTCACTTCCCACGGCAATGTCGAGCCAGTCGTAAGACGCGATACCGGCACCAGGTCCCGAAGAAGAACCACCAGGGGCTTGGTAGCCATCACCCTGATATAACGGTCAGTAGAACCCCATCGACTTCAATAGCCGGACTTACTCGAGGGTTGAAAGGACAGTGGAAGTCGACCCAGTCGGCTGTGGGATTGTCTCCATTTGCAAATTGCACAGTGCCCATTTTTCCTACAATAATAGCACCCGAATCTATGAGTCCTTGCAGGGCGGGACCGGTGGTGTTTCGCGGAGGATATAAGTCGTAAAACGCCCGATTACCACCGCTAGTCCGCAGTCCCTTCATATCAAAGATATCTTTCACACCGAGACGTAACTGCATGTTGTTAGTTAGATTTGAAAACATAGCGGATTATATTGCTAAACGTACCCCTGCAAGTGGCTTCCTTGATGTTGGCGTATAATATAGTCTAGATGGTACCGCAATGCTCTTCGTCATTGCACCCTGGGATCGATGAGCAAAAGCTTCCGAAGATAGGTCACAATTTTACTCACCGATGAGATGGCTGGCAAGGGCTTGAATCCTCCGGCCCCGTCACTGAGGGCAGCTTCAGTGAATGCTAACTGATGATCGGAATAGAGACGGAAGGCTTGATAGACCTCTCCAGTCCGTGGCGAGTAAAAGTAGGGCCCCTTTGGTATGTCCTGACGCAGTTTGGTGGATGTGAGATGCTTTCCAGATCGATAGCTGGAAGAAGCCATCAAAAGTTTATTCCCAAGTCCCTTCAGAGTTTCTTGAACAGCAGACTCGACCTGGCCCCGACCATGTCCATCATGGACAAGGAAAACCGCTATATTCAAGTTAACAGAAGTCCCATGGTGACGGGTTGACTTAGTTAGCACACACCTTCAAGAAATCCTGGCTGAAAAACATCATCGGTGGCCGAATAGTTTGAAATGGTTTCCTTTACAATGTCCGAGGTGAGTAGAGCTTCACCTGTCCGAATGACCGTCAGGGGAACGATTGCATCGAATCGACGTGAATCAGAATCCGAGATAACTATTTTTGAGACCGCATCACCACTGTAGTAGTTGATGCCATTGACTGTAAACAGTTTACCGTTATCAACACTTGAAGTGGCAGAGATAGTCGAGGCACCCAAGAAGAGAACAAGAGAGGCAGAGACACGCCAAAGGCGGGAACCAAGGCCATTAGGAGCCATGATGTGCTTTTCTTGCAGCCATATTTGAAGGCAGATATGGGCTTTAAATATGCCAGCCCAGCTCACAATCAGATACTTTCAGGCACATCCGGCTCGACCTTCCGAGTGTACCGGAATCATAGGCCCCATTAGTCCTATAAACTTCAAATAGAGAGATAAAGGGCATAGTTGGCAGCCATTGGCCCTTCTTCTGTTAATGTTTCATGATAGATAAGATATGAAGATATGTTCTCCAATACTTGGCACTGACAACTCGTCTAGGCCGGTTTCGGGACTTATCGGTACCTGCATATCTTGGCGTAGGGGAAATTGGAGGAGATTGGAAACATCTTGGCGTTTGTTGCCTTAATGCCTCGTTGCCTTAATATCACTTTGTACTCCGTACTTTGTATGTACAAAGTACATACATAGAGGGGAACATGGTCCTCCACTAATCCGTACTCATTCGCCCTACCTCGCTTTTTCTTCTTTTCCAAGGTTATCAGTTCAGTTTTATTACATAAGCAAGAGAAGACGCTGGGGCGGAGGTTAGGATACCTATGTAGTTATGGAGTATATAGATTGAAGACACACACTCCCCTCTCTGATCTCGCTTCCTGGACAGTAGTCCCAATTCCCTTTGTATGCCTCGGTTAGTATGACATGGACTTACGAGTGCTGGATCGACCCGTATGCCTCAGAGAATACGACGTAGAGCGTTCCCCTCTTCACCAGTTAGCCATTTAATGACTATATATGACAATGCTGGCAACTGTTGGCATGATGAGTTAGTTAGTTAGCCCTCATTGGTCCGCGTTACATAAGCCCCTCGGGGCCAAGCATAAAACAAGGGGGCACATTGCTTTCTTCTTTTCTTTCCTCTCTTGCTTCTTAAACCCTCCTGTTTCGTAAATCAAAAAGAGTCCTAGTTATATCAAAGCCACCTACGATAATGGCCTCCACCACAAACAAAGTATACGTCGTGACAGGCGCAAACAGAGGCCTCGGTCTTGGACTCACCAAACGGTTACTAGAACGCCCTGCCACCACCATCGTGGCCTCAGTGCGCAGCCACGATGCAGCCACAAACCTCATGTCAGAAATTGAAGGTACTACTATTGGCAAAAATAGTGCCCTTCATATCATTGAGCTGGATTTTTCAACCGCAAAATCTCCCGAAGAGATTACACAGGCCTTCGCTGCAGTTAGTACAGTGACGCATATCGACGTGCTCATCTGCAATGCCGGATTCGCAACACCCATGACTCTCGCCTCAGTAACTTCAGCAGAAGACCTCCGTAAATCGTTTGAAGTCAATACCATCGCTCCACTTCTTGTGTTCCAGGCCTTCTGGCCACTTATGCAGAGGTCAGCCTCTGCGCCCAAGCTCGCGGTCATCTCCTCCTCCGTCGGTTCAATTGCTGGGCAGGAGCCTGTCCCTGGTGGGGCATATGGCCCTAGTAAAGCAGCCTCAAATTGGCTTACCAAGGCTCTTCATGTTGAAAATGAGAAAAATGGCTTGGTTGTGTTTGCTCTGCATCCTGGTTGGGTACAGACGCGCGCGGGGGAATTTGTTGCAAAGGAGTGGGGGTATCCTAGTAGCCCGCCGGTGACTGTTGAGGATAGTGTCAAAGGAATGCTCAGTATTATTGATAGTGCTACGAGGGACAATATGTCAGGAAAGTTCGTATCGCTAACTGGCGATATTTTGTTGTGGTAAAGACGGTATTTGAATGACTATAGTGAAATGACACTGCAACAGTGTTTTTCCGAATTTTATACTACGCTTAAATGATTTCTTCTGATGGGATCATGCTATAGTCCAGGGTTACCCCCTCATCTTTGGTATTTTGAATTAACTGCACTCTTTATTTAAAGAACTAACACGTAATATGCCCTAGTTATTTGGAATTACTCAATAATAATGTAGCCTTGGATGCCTATGTGCGCACTGGTCTGACTGAAGTTGCACGAGAGAACGTGAGCTGAGCAGAAATTCCTGCTCACGCTTATGGCTAGGAACCCAGCACCAGAACCTTTTAATCGCATCTCTTCAAATAGTCACCCATGTCTCGAGTTAATCCACTCAGATGGCACCAAATCTATTCTACCAACCTTGAAAGCCGACAAGATGTCTTTCATGTCACGCCATAAGTAAATCAACCCAAAGCGCACCGACACTGTGAACGAAACCGACCAAGACAGTCAGTATATTAGAACACAGGCGCTTGAATCATGGATATTCACGACCTCCAGTTGTGTGCTAGCAACGATAGTGATTCTTATCGTAAATATTGTCACTCTTGTCACGGCTTGTGTCAAATACCCAGTGAAAAACCACAGCCTCGCATTCTTCACGGGTAGCTGCCGTACTGCAAGTATGTTGACGACGATGGTACACATAATTGTCAATATTCCCAGTACGACTTTACTGGCCTCCGGCAACTTTGCTATGCAGTGTTTGAATTCACCTACGAGACGCGAAGTTGATGCGGCCCATGCGAGACACTGTTGGCTCACCATTGGGACTCCAAGTGTTCGCAATTTTTTTTTCTATATTTCGAAGTCCAAGATGTCTCTATGGCTCATACTTGCTACAAGCTCCTTTCCATTACACATGATATGGAACTCGGTTGTTCTTGAAACCCACCAGGCCAATGCTTATGTGGCCATCACAATAACCGATAACTTCACCGAAGGAGCAGATTGGACTATTCCACCATTCGCCACTTACACTGGAGGCCCTCAGCTTACGGTCTCGCATGATGGGGTGGAACGCCTTCAGCAACAGGCACAAAATAAAAGTCTCGAGTGGCTCAGTGCCGAGTCATGCATCAAGAAATATAGCGAAGATTTGACTTACGAATATGGCGATGTACTTATTGTCGTCAACACATCCACTTATGTCCCTAGCGATCCAACATAGACGGCCAAGGGCTCTTCGGTTCTTGCAACTTACAGCCAGGGGATTTTCTTTGGAGCCCTGCACTCCGAATTTGATGACGACAATTGAACAGTTTCTGAATTTCCAGACGATGGAGATCAAGCTGGTGCGCCTGTCATTTATTGCTACTCAGAGCAGGTTGTAGAAAATTGCATGGAAAATCTAGTACCGGCTTTTATGGCTGTTGTAATACAACCCAGGTAGAATACGGCAGAAAGCACAATTCCCACAACACAAACTGTTCCATATATAACATCTATGTGACTAGATTATTCAATTAATTACTGTGCTATAATAACCTCGAAAACCACGTAAAGAGGTAATTTTTTGCTGGTAATAAAAGCCAATAAAAGCCAAGTCCCAAATGGTCGTTATGCACTGCAATGTAGGTGTCAGGGCGCCAATGTCAGAATCAGCACATGGAAAATGAGCTTAGATCACCATCTTTAAAGCTAGGCCCCTCACTCATTATCTTATGATGTGAATGGATTTTTCTACCTTTCCCAGAACTGGTAGGAACTTTGAACCATGATCACCACGGCGTGAATCAAAACAATTTTCTCTGTGTAAGTTAAGATATCTATTATTCACACTAATCAGTCTAAACTATCATACAAAGACACGTGGAAACTGCGAACCCCCCTCTGCTGTGATATTCTGATCTGGACAGATATCAGTTGTTGTAGCACCAGTACTTGATAACACTACATCATAAGTAGATGGGGAGAATGCCATATCCATACATATCGATATGGTCATCTTATTATTCGAGCTTCCTGGGATTGACATAGAGCTGGTTCGCTGACTGGGCTGCTTCGTGACTCATCCTTAGACTCTTTGAGTGATACTGAATCATTGCAAGTATAGTTCTGCCCTTCGCATTCGTCGCAGTCAGCTTGGGAGATTCCAGGAGCTCCCGGACATTGGAGCTGACCAAAAAAATGAATAAGCCAACCTTGCCTACCCTGCTTACGACGAATCGATAATACTAATCATACCAGCGTGGCAATGACCAATCTGACCACAGTAGTACCAAATTGGATTTGTGTCATAGACGAGTAACCAAGGCTTTATTGTAGTATTTACCGGTTTCTCTGTAATTGGGGCAACCCCGCTAGAACAGAGCCAATTATAGAATAGCAGGGGTTGCAAAGAGAGGCTGGGGGACACCGAATGACTCTGCAGGTCAAAATGAAACTCGACCTTTTCTCGGGAGACACAAAGTTGAAGCTGTTTTCACTAGTAGGTTCAGTTGTCCTACTGGTATCGTCCGAATTTCCATACTAGGCATCGATGAAGGGAAACCCCAAGAGCCAAAAACAACCTCTTCATTGCGGTTGAGGATTTCTGTATTCGACATATTGAGTCAATGCTATAGCTGTCTTCTTTCCACTTCCGATAATCTTAACCTCATGTAGACACAGACATAACCTTGAAACTATGCATAACCCTATTTCCCCATCATCTGCATCAGCTTAGCCAAAAAAATTAGATAGCACACCGCAACAAGGTTGTATAGATCTTAACCTCGGGATGACTTCTTGCTGTGAATTGACCACTCATATTTCCCCCACAATAATAATTAGAAAATGCGGTAGCCTGAATATTTGATGCGATCGGCAATTCCAGACACTGACATGGATCTGACATGGTGAGCCCTGGAGGCGCAGCAAAGTCGTATTACCTTTTGACATTAGGTAGCTTGATACACAAAACGAGATCGTCAGTTTAAGCTACTCCAATAGGCCTTGTAAGATAATATTTCAACTCTTTCAAAGGTATTCCAAATTTCTATGAAGAATTTCAAAGGTCCATGGCCACAAAGACTCTGGGGTCTGACGTAGTTCAATTGGGATGTCAACCGTGCAACAAAGAACTGGAAGGTATTTATTGAGATGAGTCCCTGTATGAGACAAGAATAGTCAATCTCAAATTTTACAATGGTTCGACATATTTTTTCTTGGCTCTGGGCCATTCCTGCTCTGGCCCAAGTTCAGAGCTTTTATCCTCAAGGCCACGATGAGATCACTTATAGCTTCAATGTTCCCGATAATACTTCCAAATCGGGGTCGGGCCCCATATACTTCCAGATGAATTCTACTCGCCAAGTGCAGTGGTTTGCCTTGGGCCAAGGAAGACAGATGGCAGGCGCCAATATGTTTGTCGTATATACGTCTGGCAACACTGTTACCGTTTCCCCGCGGTCGGGTGTCGGGGAAATTGAACCATTGTATAACAAGGATGCTCATATTACAATTCTGAATGGCAGCGGTGTGCACGACGGAGTCATCACTGCCAATATCCAATGCGATACCTGCCTGAAATGGAATGGGGGAACAGAAAATGTGAACAGCTCTTCAAGTCCGTGGATTTGGGCCATTAAATACGGAGAATCCCTAAATTCGGCCAGCCTATCCGAGGATATCACGCATCATGATGATCATGGTGTTATGACCATCGACCTGCAAAAAGCGACGGGTGGCAGCTCAGTGAACCCCTTCGCCCAAATGGCCCGACCGGCAATCTCGCCCAGCAAAGAAGATCCACATGATGCGGCGTTCCGAAACACAATCCATAGGAAAAAGACGGCTCATGCTGTGCTCATGGTTTTGGCCTTTGTGGTCATGTTCCCTTTCTTCGCACTTGGACTCCATGTTTTCCCATCGAAATGGACGGTGAATATTCATGGAACGTTTCAAATCCTCACTTTGGGCGTGGCAATTGCGGGCCTTGGAGTTGGTGTTTCAATGGCACGGCAGATTGAATTGATCGATTCTTACCATACCATCCTCGGGATGGTCATTGTCGCATCCCTTGCTCTTTTTCAGCCTGCTATGGGCGTGTTGCAGCATATATTCTTCCGAAAGACGGGTAGGAAAGGACCTTTCGCTTATATGCACCGCTGGTTTGGACGATTGATGATAATACTGGGTATCATCAATGTTGGGCTTGGGTTTAAACTTGCCAACGGACCGCGTGAGGCCATCATCGCAACTTGTGTTGTTGCTGGTATCATTGCGATAGTTTATATTTTGATCGTTACTTGGATTGGAAGACCTAGCAGAGACAATTTGTAAAAGGCAAGGTGTTATAGGTATATGGTATACAAGGTAAGTATGGAGAAGAGAGATCGGAGGTTTAACATCCACCGCAGATCCCGAGGTCAACTTCCCCGATGACATCATCCTCCCCCTGTTCGTCCCCGTCGCTTCTTTTTTAGTCAAATATTTTGAATATTCCAAGGTTATTTCTCCTTTCTCAATCCTTTTCTCTCCTTTAAATGACGTCGGGCCATTTTGTGATCAGACTTTGCATTTTGTCCTTCATTTAAATTTAAGCGATTCTTGGTTTTGGTTGCTTTGGTTGATTTGGATTTGGATTCTTTGGATTTTGCGGCATACTACTATTATCCCCCAACAGAAGAACCATTATGACATTGCATACAATCGCACTAGGGGTGGCATTGACCCCCACTGTCCTCCATACTCTCATCAGCCACGTAAGTTCTTGTGGCATACTCTGATACAGCTAGGGATTGTCTAACTGATGCTGCATGATCTATAGTACCTGCATCGCAAATCGCTACATGACAAACCCACCGTTCATGTCACCTACGATGAAGGTATCCAAATCGTTCGCCAATTCCTATTCTATGCGTCTAAACACCCCGTCGAAGATCTCCAGGCGTTCACTCGCCAATGGGTCCCAAGCCCACATTGGGTGAAAACTGAGACCGTCACAATCCCCGACGAGTTCCTGTCCTCTGCTGCAGATGCTGTCACAAAGCAGCTGGGCCCCAAGGGTGTCATGCGAGTGGGGGGAGAGAAATGGTGGCAATGGCGCGGGCCGTCTGAACAGCTGAAGGGCGAGTGGATTGAGATGCGGAGCCACTACAATCAAACGGATGGGGCCGGCAGGCATTGTAACCGTGTGATGCTATATATTCATGGTGGGGCCTATTTCTTCGGAAGTGTGGACACCCATCGGTACATGATGCAGCGCCATGCGCGCAAGCTGAAGGGACGTGTATTTGCACCAGAGTATCGACTATCGCCACAGTTCCCTTTCCCATGTGGCCTACATGACTGCATGGCAGCTTATCTCTGGCTGCTCAAGTTCCACGAGCCAAAGGAAATCATTCTTGCTGGTGATTCTGCGGGTGGTGGCATGGCTCTATCGATGCTAGTCATCATGAGAGACCAAGGTATTCCCTTACCTGCGGGCGCCATCTTGATCTCACCTTGGGTTGATTTAACACACTCTTTCCCGAGTATTGTTAAGGACAACCCAGGCGATTATGTGCCTGCTTATGGCTTCCGACATAAACCCTCGTCTGCTTGGCCTCCTCCCAATGCCGATGATATCCTAGAAATGAAAAGAATATCGCGCCAACCAATAGTGACTGCCGAGGATGTTAAAAAAGCCATTCCCCAACCGAACAGCACTGCTGAAGAGACTGCCATCCGTGGCTATACTGTCCATGAGAACACGCCACCCCCAGCCGAACCTGCCTACCCTGGCCTGCAGCAAGCCCCGAATCCCGCTAGTTTGCATGCCGAACCCGATAACATTCATGTTGTATTGGAAGGGGAGACAGTCGAACTCAAGGACCAAATCCAGTTGTACACGACGAACCAGCTCATGTCCCACCCTCTTGTTTCTCCAGTCCTTCAACCCTCTCTGGGTGGCCTGCCCCCTCTACAAATATTGAGCGGCGGTGGTGAGGTACTTCGTGACGAGCAATTCTACGTAGCCCACAAAGCAGCCAATCCGAAAGCATACCCACCAAGTGACGTATATCTTGATGAAAATGATCCCACCCGGGAGACCTTGAACAAGTATGAACCAACTTATGTACAACTTCAGGTCTGGGACAACCTATGCCATGTCACTCCCACTCTGAGCTTTACACGACCAGCCAAGTACATGTTCCGTTCCATTGCCCAGTTTGGCTCTTGGGCGTTGGCGCGTGCACAGAATGGCGAAGTCGAAATTGCGGATGATAGTGCTCTTTCGGCTGTTTCGTCCAGCAGCTCAGAAGATGAAGGTATGCCGGGACCCCAAACCGCATTAAACATTCCGCCTGACGGGCCTGGGCCTTCGTCTGTTGGAAAGGCCGGGGATCCTCTGCCAGGGTTCCATGAATACATGATACGCCAACGAATCGATAAACGGGGACATGTCTTCCCGCTAGATCCTCCCTCTTCCTACCCATTGCTAGATATCCCCCCTGCAAAAATTGGAGCAATCAACCCCGTGCTCATCCAAATGTGGTTAGACGCAAAGAAGGAATGGGATATTAGATTTGCAAAGGAGAAGCTTCGGGTTCAGAGGCGCCGATTGAAAGAGCTGTCGCATGGATTCCAAGACTTTGATGGCGAATGTCCTCCCCCAAGCTCTTTGGCCGCCCGGCGAACTGCTCCTGGCGTGCTACCAAAACGACATGCGAAGAAGAACTACGGCATGATGATGTGGAGCGGCTGGGGAAGCAGACATGACGAGCGCAGAATGGAAATGGAGAAGCAGGCCGAGGAATCGGGCAAACGTCCCACCCGTGTCAGCGTTGATGCTGGGCAGGCTGGAGCATGGTCTAGTGCTCCGGCGACGAATCCTCAAACCGAAAAAGCCCTAGATAAAGGGCCTAGCAACAACAATCCGCAGTCTAACGGCTACACGGCAGTTAGCAAGGATAAAAGCGATGACTCTAATAGCGGTCGTTCTTCTACTGAGCGCATATCCACAGATCCTGGGACTGTCTCTCGACCTCTCTCGGAGAAAGGTGCTGGCCCGATTCTTATCTTGCCCGAGGTGAACAACAACAAATTCAAAGATGAGAATGCCAGCACGAGGGGTCTTTTTCATGCAGCAGGAACTCTCCCAATGAAATCTGATATCTCACTGGCTCACAGTAGATACCGGCCATCATCTGTTGCAGGATCCGCTAGCCGAAGCGAGGTGATGTCTGAAACTGGCAGTACTGTTGGTGGCGAGAAAGACTCCGTCGCCTACATGAACATGGCATCAGACACCGCTAGCACCCGCGCTGTGCTAAGCGCGCGGGGTGTTATTGCCCCAATTATGGCTGGCGAGAATGGCCGTCGCTCTACAGATACTCTATCTGTGCTCTCTGTGGCTGGTCGAGACTCCATGTCGCACCGTCCTGAGATGGTGGACAGAGATGCTTTCAAAACCGCCGAGTAAGCCTTGTAGAATTGCTATTTATGAACATATCCTGCTATTTCTGTTTTTGAACTGTCGTTTCAAATCTTTCCAATTTTTTTCTTCAATTTCTGGCCGGCCATTTTGTTGAATTTTTATGCGGTGACTTCATATTTCTGTTGATTTTGTGTTTTCTTGTGTTGCATATACCCGATTTTGGCAGCCAAGCTAGGCCTCTGGTAGTCGACCATCATTTGCAGATGAAAGTAGTTCCGAGAACGAATACAGTCTACACTCCTATTTGGAGTTGCACCAGTCCTACTTGCCCCATAGGTCGGTTATGAGTCTACACGTACTGATGCAGACAAGTTGATAGCGAGAAGCCCAAAGGCCGAAGCACATAAATAGCCAGTAGCCACCGGATGATGGAAGCCTAATATAATAATATACAATATTTATAACCCTACGTCTAGGCAAGATGTTTTAACCTTTTAATGCCAGTCAAGACCAATCTTCCGAGCCACCTGTTCAGCAACTCCAAGGAAAGCCTCACGCCTCGCGCTACGCTCAACATTCTCCTCCGCAACAACAGTTGGCATCCCACGATCAGCATCCTCGCACACCCGAGCATCAAGAGGGATGTCACCAAGGAAGTCCACTCCGAGCCGCTTGCACTCAGCCACGACACCGTGGTTCTCACCGTGCGTGTGGTGGTGACTATCACCGTGCGAGAATATGCGAGTCTGAGTCCCGCATTGTGGACACGCGAAATATGCCATGTTGCGCACCATTCCAAGAACGGGTACCTCCATTCGCTGGAACATCCCGATGCCACGCACGGCATCGCGGAGTGCGATGTCTTGCGGCGTTGATACGATCACGGCACCGTCGATGATGATTTCTTGGTTGATTGTGAGTTGCACGTCGCCGGTTCCAGGGGGTAAGTCAAGGATTAGGACATCGAGCGGACCCCATGATACTGAGTGGAGGAGTTGGTGCATGGCTTTTGTTACCATTAGTCCACGCCATGAAATTGGTGTTGTGTCCATGGGTAATTCGCCTGTTGTGCTGTCGGCTTGTGTTTGGGGGAGGAGATAGCCCATTGACATCGATTTGAGGCCATAGTTTGTTAGAGGGACGAGGCAATTGTCTGGTAATGTTCATCAGCATATTGATTGCGCTGCAAAGGCGACTAACCTAGAAAAGGAGACTGACTCACTTTCGTCGAGGCGGGGTTCGCCGGAGAGATTTAGGAGAGTGGGGATAGAAGGACCGAAGATATCGGTGTCAAGAATTCCAGTCTTGATACCACGGCGAGCAAATGACAGCGCGAGATTGACTGGTAAGATCTCTTAGCGATTGTATGTTCCATTTGCGCTCACAGGTATTGCACTTTGGCTGCCTGATTTGAGACATAGATAGGAACAAAGAGTATCAATGTACCTGCTATGGTAGACTTTCCAACTCCCCCTTTGCTGAAGAGACCGCAACGACTTTCTTGACATCTCGAATCTTGCGCTTTTCGGGCAACCCCCGGCGCGAACGGAAAGTTGGTGGGGTACCAGAGCGTGGAAGTCCCTGTTCATGGTCAGTCAATACAAGTCAGAATAAAAATGTGCGCAATAAAAATGATTATTAGAAACAATCAATGACCTGAGAGAAGCTCCAAAATGTAGAGTAACGACTGACCAAAGGATTGTCATGCCGAAGAGCTCGAAAAGTAGAAAAATGCCTTGTGCCCCTGGCAATGGGGCCAGAAGGGGAGCACAACATGATAGAAGGCCAAATAAGACAGATGAGAAGGAAAAATGCAAGACTAATAATCTATGAGTAACAGAAGTAGTTCCAGAAGATGCAATGCAAGATATCCACTGCGATACTGCCGATATAAGGGCCGACCGCCTATTTTGAATGAAGCTCCCACCTCGTACACCGCTCACGTGAATCTATACCGCCCATGGGTGCTAAGCCTAGATAGGTGTAATAATCCGTTATCCGGAAAAACTACCAAAAAAAAGTTGCTCGTTCACCTCTCTTCTCTCCCCATACCAAACAAGATGGGCAAACCACGTGCAGGTCGTTCCCTAGTTGATCAGCTTGCTGATTTTGAGGACCCAACTCCTAAAGGTATGTCTGAATGATGCATCTCCAGATTCTCTTGGGTGCCGGACGCTCAATGCTTACTTGGCGCATAGACTTTGACCCCGAAGATATCGATAATGGCCAACAATCAAGTGATGATGAAGGTGAAGACCAAGAAGAAGTGAATACAGGCAGAGAGCATTATCAAACTGTTGGGTATGTAAAAATAGGTGTATTTGGTATCGGCAACTCGCTAATAATCAAACAGGAAAGCAAAGCTCCGCAAAGATGACCCCCTCCTCCTGGGGAAACAATATGATGGTGCCCGTGTCAGCCGGGCAGCGCTAGGCGCTGAAAGCAATGATGATGACGAGGACTCAGATGCCCTGTCTGGATCTGAAGAATCTGCCAGCGGCGACGATGCCCTGGCCCAGAAGAGTTCCGATGAGGACACAGAGGGAACCGAGGAGGATGATGAGGATGAGAGTGACGAGGATGACGAGGATGAGAGTGAGGATGCCAAGGAGGTAGCCGATCGGCACTCCAAGAAGACTCGCCAAGATTCCCGGCATGGCGACACAAGCGGACCATCTGGTGACCGCGACGAGATTCGGAAACTAATGGCGACGGATCAGAAAACCATTGCTGCAACAATCTCCTCGGCAGCCAAAGCCGATGCTACCAAGGGAAAGGCTGTCAAGCAACAACGTACCACTTTTGATGCGCTCCTCAACGCGCGGATGAAGCTTCAGAGTGGATTGATGTCTATCAACAGTATTGCTGCTGTCTTGGACTCGAAGAACGAAGCAGATGGGGAGAACGCGATGAACGACGAAGAGGAAGTTGTTGATGAAGAAGCAATTAAGTCGGCGGAGTCCGCTGCTCTTGCGCTATGGTCGACCCTCGAAGGTTTACGTACTGCCCTGGCCGATGCTACCGCCAAAGAAGGTAGCAAAAAACGCAAGCGACCCTCCCCCGCCTCGCCTACTACAAACTCTGCCTCGCTATGGGAACGCATGTCTGAATTGGAGTCTGAGTCCATTTCCCACCGTCGTTCTATTCTCGACAAGTGGTCCTCGAAAGTTCGTGGCACTTCTGCATCTCTCCCCAATGCTCGAGGCAAACTGCTCGGTTCTTCCTCCAGTCGCCAGCAGACCATCACAGCCGTCCTCGACGCTCAAGTCGCCACAGAGATCGGAGAACGATCTTCCAAGCGTTCGCGCGCATCTGATCAACAAGAACCTCTCTACGATGATGGAGCTTTCTACCAGTCCCTTTTGCGTGATCTTGTTGAGCAGCGCATGTCCTCATCCGATTCCTTGACCAGTGGCTTTGACAACCTGCATCAGCTGCCCTCACGCCTGCCCATTCACCCCATCACTGGTATGCGCAACGATAAGGTCAAGCGAGAAATTGATACCCGTGCTTCTAAGGGCCGCAAGATGAAGTACACTGTGCATGAAAAGCTTCAGAACTTCATGGCCCCTGATGACCGTGGTTCCTGGTCTACACGCGCACGAGATGAGTTCTTTGCTTCTCTGCTCGGCAAATCAGCCAGTGGTTTGCTCGGTGAAGGCGACGAGGGTGCCAGTGATGAAGAGGATGAGATTGACCGAGAGGAAGGTGGCTTGAAGCTGTTCCGGAACTAGCCTCTTATACATCTACAAAACGCATTTCTTGTATATATAGTGGAGTACGAATAGTGGATACGGCCATCAAATTAAAAAGGCGAAGCCTCGGTGCACTTTCCCACAGTCTATATAAAGTGTACTGCGGTTTGTACCCTGCTCACATGTACAGGCTGTCCAAATAGGGAATCCAAGGCTGTGTCAAGACTGCATATCCAAACTGCACTTGACATGACATCATTTCCTCTCATCTCGGGGTGTATACGGTGGTAGTTGTAGTTCTTTCACAGTTCCTGTAGTTTCTGCAGCTTCTGATGTGGCTAATGTTCCTGATGTTCCTGGTGTTCCTTGGTGCCATTCAAACTTTGTCGTTCGTGGTAACCCTAACATTTTCTCGCGTACCGCTTGCTGCAGTTGACGTTGTCGTTCTACCTCTTCCTCTGGTGATAGGAATTGAGGCTTGCCATCTTGGTCTATGATAACGGCGCCGCTCACATCATTGTAAGAAGGCGGGGATGCGCCTCTAGGCGGAGTTGGTGAAAGTGATGTGCTCTCGTGCTCTTTTATTGGGCTCATTGTGGTTGCGCTCATAGTCCGGCAATTTGGGCTTTGCATGATGGGTATATAGTAGAATCTCCTCAATCCATCGAACATTGGAAAATCGTATTTCAGGAGACTTCTTGGGACCAGCCCGAGAATTGTATTCATGTTTTCGGAGAGGGAGAGTGTGAAATCAAATGACTGAATGTCACGCGCGTCATGGACTATCCGAGGCGATGGATCCGCTTTGCGCTAGCGTGAGGTTGAATTTGCGGGGGTGAGAAGTGCACGGGTGTTTTGTGAAGATGTTGATATATTGAATAGTCTGTGAATATCAGGAAAAATAGATGTTTTATTCGAAGAAAACAAAGTGCAACGGCGATTTAAATGGAAGGAGTGGGGTGTGACTACGTACTACGTTCCCCTGAGATTGAGATCTTCCCCTTGACGCATCCCTTTGGTATACAACCAGTCCACATGGGCAGTCTTGCCAATCTTCATAAAAAGAAAAAAAGGCATCTTTGGGCAAATGTTACTTAAAAAAAAGGATTTCTAGTTCGTTGTTGGCTGATCATTTTATTTTATTTATCATATCAAATTTTCATTCTCAACTTCTTGCCACTGTGCGCGCAATGTCTGGACTAAGGAATCCATATTCCAACCAGTCCTTGCATGCATGGCTTGCAATAATGACTCCGCAGCCCTTTGGTCGAGGGGATGTCGAAGGACCCAGCCCCCTGTTAAGTTGTTAATTCAAATACTGATAAACCTTATAACTCGAAGCATATGCAACTCACATGCGACTAGACTATGACGTGCAGTAAACAACGTGTTCTCAGCCTTTGTGTTGGACTGTGCCAATCCCAAGATTGTAAGGAGATGGTGGCGTATGTTTTTCTAGATCCATTGTGAGCTCCGACCGAAGGATGTTGTGCGTTCAACGAACCTCCACTGTTCGAGAATGTCGCAAACTCTCATAGGCGGAATATGACCGTGAAGTCTCAGAAAGCGCTAAAACAATCTTGGCAATATGGTAATATTGAATGCCAATAACTGCCCACGCATTTGAGCCAATGTCAGCCTCGAATATGCTATACACATATGTTATGGGGACCAATTACCGTGCACAGGTAGCAGCATCCAAATGATAGGGAGTCGTTGATCTGGCCCGGGTCCTTGTGGGATTGATCTAACCGGATCAAATGTGTGCGGTTTAGTGGAATACCACTCTTCGATCTCATGTTCTGTGCTATGTGTTATAGTAGAGTCTGTGAAAGCCCCCTGAAGAACATTAGCAAGTAGGAAAACCATCCTGCTTGACCACGCAAAGTCGTCATTTCTTTGAAACACATCTGACTGGTAGAAGCTTTGTAAGTTGGTCCGCAGAGGCCGTTGACTTGTTAGCGAGATATAGATATCCTGCCGCAAGCAAAGCCAAGCCGCAGCTTCGCCCAGGCCACCCGAAGAGCCAAATGTTGACACTGTATTCAGGATATGAGTTGTACCAGTGAGATGAAATTGATTATCTTCCCCTGGTATATGTGAGCATTTATTTGGCGACTACTTGTCCACATCAATGACTGACTATCCATTTCCTCATGCTGACGGAGTATAGCGACTGCTGCTAGTATATCCTCGGCGATGTTCTCACGAGACCCAGAAAGCGCTGTAATAAGCAGTTGAACACAGCAATTATGATACTGCAGTGCCTCTGTTACATCGCTAGTGTTCTGTCGGTCAAGATGGTGCGAGGAAAATGCAAAAATTGCATAGCGTAAGACAGGCTCTTTCAATGCCCGAACCGAAACCTCCGTTTCAAAATGGCGTTGGGGGTCCGTGATATCAGCCTGAAGTTCTAATCAGTGGCTACAAATGGGGGTATGTCGTCGGCCATACACGCACCCAAAGCGCCATATTCTCGACGAAGTTCCTCAACAGTATGGCTTCCCTTTCGCTTAGCGGTTGTGAGGGCTTGTAGGATGTTCTTGATTCAATTGATCTCGGAGAAGATAATGATATAACAGATGGTGACACGTTTTCTGTAGTAGGAGCTGGGAGTCGGGGCCAGAGATCAGCTTCACTGGCTCTATTAGCTGCATATGGTTGTTGTGCAAGGAGACCGCTTGGACTGTCGAGTTTCTCACTCGGCCCGACTGGTGACCTGAAGCCAGGGTCGTTGGTAAAAGCCGGCTGATCAGGCTTTATAGTCGAGTACAGGCTAGCAATCTCAGGTGTTTCGTCATGAAAGCGCACTAGAACGCATGGTTAAATTTAGATAATAGTGAACTCATTCGTTCGCCTACCTTTGCCACACAATTGGAGCCAGCAGTTCTGGTCTGAGAAGGAAAGCTGAGCTTCTTTGGGCAGTGAAAGCCCATTGCGAAACCGGATATTGGTCCTGTCACAATCCACACCAGCTTGTTGACAGTGCTCGCAACCAAGGTCATCGATGTCGCCTACAATGCTTGATCAGTCCACTTCATTGTTTTCAAGTCGACAATACTTACATTTTAGGTGCCGAACTGTGCAATTGTCTGCATTTCAGCAACTTTCCCTGTATCTCGGTCTCTACTCCGCGGAGACTTACCCCGACATCGTTGGCTGCGCAGGGCAATCAAGTCAATTAACAGAGATCTTCAAATATGAACGTTTGAATATTGGCTAACCCACCAGCCAGTCACTAGGCGATTTTTTCTTGGAGACATGTAGCTCTTTCTAATGTTGGGGGACATTTGCAAAAAGGAAATTCTTTCCGTTCGTTCCCCCACGGGGCTACATACATGATCCACTTTCATGTTAGTGGAATATCAGGTCTCCAAAACCTCTTGGCATTACATAAACAAGCAAAATACAGATCGAAGTAATGAAATAAAAAAGAAAATCGTCTAAGTGAGGTACCGATGCGGGGAAACCAAACACAGCCAAGACCAACTTTCCCCTTTCATCGCATCCAGCGATTCTTTCCGTTCACCCCTTACAATTTTCCAAGATTCTACTTATTCATGACGAAGACTATCACCTGAAGGTGAGAGTAAAAGTAATATACTGATAAAAATACAGATGGAGCTGCTTCTTTTTCAACTATTTAAACCCTCTCGAAGACCCAGGAGATTGAAGGTTCAGCAAGACATTGATCATTCCCAACTCTTCTCTTCAATCCTTTCAAGACAATGGCAGTTCAGAAACTCCAAGTCGGCATGGCCGGCCTTGGTCGAGTTGGCAAGCTCCATGCTATCAACTTTCTCCAGAAGACTCCCCGTGCAGAGCTTGTCGCAGCATTCACCCCAGACCCTGCAGAGATTACATGGGGGAGATTGAACTTGGAACCCCATGGTGTGACATTGTACACCAACTACGATGAGATGCTCAAGCATCCCGGTCTTCAGGCTGTTGCTATTGGTACAGCGACCTCCGTACATGCGGAGGAAACAATCAAGGCCATTGAGCAAGACTTGCACGTTCTCTGCGAGAAACCCTTGTCTACCGATGTCGAAGTGGTATGCGTCTCTGCCTCTTTTAAATTTACGATGAATGCTGATGAATATCTCTTTAAAGTGTAGAGCAGTGGTCGAGGCTGCTAAGAAGAAGCCCCATCTGAAGGTGATGTGTGGCTTTTCCAGACGCTTTGATGATTCGTACCGTGATGCCCACGCCAAGATGGAGCAAGGTCTCATCGGACGGCCGGCTATCATCCGCAGCCAAACTTGCGACAAGTTTGATCCCTCGGGATTCTACGTCGAATATGCTGCCTGGTCCGGTGGTGTGTTTGTCGACATGTCTGTGCACGACATTGATCTCAGTCTGTGGTTCTTTGGAGATGAGGTCATGCCAAAGAGCATCTCCGCCCACGGTATCACCGCAGTCCAACCAGAGCTGAAGAAGTACAACGACTATGATAATGCTGTGGGTATCGTGGAGTTCTGGAATGGCAAGATTGCCAACTATTACTGCTCGCGCATGATGGCGGCCGGCCAGGAAGACACCACTGAGATCATTGGCACCGAGGGCAAGTTGACAGTGAATGGCAACCCTCAGCGAAACTTTGTCAACTTGTACCACAACGGTGGCATTACTCGCGAAATTCCTTACAATTTCATGGGTCGGTTCAGCCCTGCCTTTGTCCAGGAGGCTAACGACTTCACTGCTGCTTGCTTAGACAACACGCCGCTTCCCATGAAGTTGAGCAACGCTGTCAAGGCTGTTGAGATTGGTTCTTACCTCCAGGAGGCACTGGTATCTGGGAAGCAGATTCATTTCGATGAGATTGGCCGACGAATTCAGAAGGCCCAATTGTAGATACATGTAGAAATAAAAATGCATGAATTTTATGAAGTTCTTTACATATATATATATATTGTAGCATATGGTAAACAAAGCGTAGTGCCGTGCCGAAAAAGAAGAAAAGAAAAAGAAAACTCCCTGCAGAGACCATTGGCTATGAGTTAGTCCTTTCGAAGCTTATCAATCTATTGCTATTTGCATCAACTCGCCCACAGATTGCACCTATGACCATAGGTAGGAAGAAGACCGACATGGGAGGATGGAATATGTGTATACAAAAAAAAAGGAGCGGGAAAAATACCGCTTCTGGTTCCAACAGAGAATCATGATTTGCATGATGTATGACACTACACTGGATCTTCTCCTTGTCGAACATTTCCGCCCAGCCACCCGGACTAAATGATATCCACGGTCACCCGGCATGTGTAGTCAGCTTGGGTCGATTCTTTCTTGTGTTTCTGGTCTGGATTTCTTCACCATCCCATTCCCTTCAACTAATGCGGATGAAAGCGGTCCATAGTCACCATGCCCAGCCCATATCACAAACAAGGTACTTGATTTGTACTTCCGGGAATGCTGGTTGGACGGGGCCAATTTCCTGCCCTAGCATTGACGGAATCAACGCTGTGTTGCTTCCAGTAGGCAGGGACTTCCATCTCGGACGGTCCTTCGTGATGAACTAGGCCATAGAAGCCGATACTTTCAAACAGTTTGACTGTGGCTTTGTGATTTCGAGGTCTGGCTAAGCAAATGGTAGATCCTGATTAATGATCCCCATAACCCATCACCCTTTGGCCTTGTTGATGAACTTGCTATGCTATTTTGTAGGAAGTGACCCCGCTAAATGACCAGCCTTCAAGTGAGTAGTGCCCCCGAGGCTGATGACTGCGAATAGTGTTCATGAATATGGCGGATACTTCCTTCACTGTCCAGATAGCTTCTAAAAATGCCATGAGGAATAGATAACCTAAGGTATAGACTGGTAAATCATTGGCAACTTTGGGAAAAGTCTCATGAACAAAGGCAGATCCAGATCCCAGTGGTGTGAGAAACAGGGGATTCCTAGTTTTGGTGTGCCCTGGAGGATCACTGAACAAGTTGCTTATACTTAGACATGCATGGCTTAATCTTTGAGACAAGCATATGATGACCTGTCCCGAGAGGGCTATATGTGTGCGCCACGTGGCACGTTCCAGCTCGCCTTTTGACTTCGCCATTGCCGGTTTTATTTCCACTATATTTATCGAAAGCTACAAGTTGCGATCAACTCTTGAGAAGGAAACATTGCGACCCAAGGCCAAAATAATGCGAATGATGAGCCTGTCAGTATGATATTGGTATTATTACTATTAGTTCTGCAATCGTATCTTGGCTGAACTATATCTGTTTTGTATATCTAATTCGAAATGAGTATGTACTTTGTCCTTCCCCTTCATGAGAAATGTATAGCTACATATAGAAGAATAGCCGACTACTTATGCAGCCTTGTGATGTAATGATGTAATTTTAGTGATTTGGTCAGATATTCTTTTCAGATGTCTTTTTAGATATTTTTTCCCCGTGCTCAATTTCATAACTAGACGGCAAGAAAAGGGAGATAGCGTAAATTGCGCAGGCAACTTTTTCTAAGCATAACTAGGGCAATACTGTGGGGCTTCAATATGACGCAGGAAGATCGGCAGGGCTCTACTCTGTACATTTGGGCCTCGGCAATCATCGCCTCCCGACCTTCTAGCTTCAGCCCTCTCGGGAAGTCTCAAGCATGTACGGGGTCTATTCGTTGACGGTGGGCTATCTGGCGAGGACGATACCTGGGGCGAGGGAAATGTTGTCGCACTGGCTCACAATCTTGGTAAAGTCAGTGGTAAGCTGTCTGTGAACTTCGTGGTCGGGTACGAGAGAGAGGCCGCCATCAACTATCTAGGAGGGTACACAGGTTTTTATCAGTGCCCTCTCATTCTTCTTGGACGACTACAACAGCGCGTTGACAGAATCCTTAAAGCTGGATCAGGAGCTAGTCACCTTATCTGCCGTAGCTGCAGGCTCCAAGTATGCGGATATCCTAGCTCTTCCGACCCGACAAGCATACAGAGGCATCGACTTGTTTATTCCCAAAGGCTCTCTCGACACTGACGAGGTGCTGGCTTTTATCAAGGAGATTTCCAGTAATGGAAATATCAATACCATCGATGTGATAATGCCCATCTTTCCGATATACTATGTCATGGATCTGGATTACATCCGACTGTTGCTGGAGCCCGCGATGAAGTAAGTACCTAGCTGCTGGTCGATGGCGTTTGCCATATATGATCCATAACCTTGGTACTCCTTATCCCCATGCTATTGGTCAAGATAGCCGGGGAGTAGAGCCAATGCCCATCAGGGAGTCGAAATCCGCTTATCTTGACGGCTGCATATGTTTATGCCACTGGTGATAACGACTGGACTTCGCAGTACATAGAAGCTTTTTAAAAAGTATGCAGATTATTTGGTGGACAATAATGTTAATATTGCCAACCAGTTATCGTCGAATGATGCAGCTGGACCTCTTGCCAATGAGACAAACCTGGCAATCAAGGCTGCAGTTAGCCTCAAGTCGTTTGGGAAGACGAGTGGAGATGCGTTTTACTCCCTTGGGGGCGAGGAGCATGCAAATATCTTCTTCCAGCAAGGCCTAGGAACAAACAAAGATCAGACGCATTTCGTTCTAGAATATCCTGACTAGGCAGATACTTGGAAGATCCCATATAATCTCTTTCCTGATATATTGCTGGGCCTGGAGAAATTTTCCAACACTGCCTATCAAATGGGAAGTAACTTTCTCAGATCTGTTCGTGGAGAATATGGAGTCCCTCTCGATAGTCGCCAGGACGGCGCCTATGTGGCTAGCTAGCACCTTTGGAACGAGCGCCAGGGACGAGTTCGTCAATGACCTGTGGTCGTTCATGAACAACAGAAAGTACAACTGGTCTTTATCTGATCGGTATATTGCAACTTCTGCGCACGGAAACGAGCCAGGAGTTCCTATCTTGTGTCGAGCCTGCCCGACTATCAGTGGACATTTTGCGTTGTTGGCGCTTATGGGCCCTCGATCCATTCAATCTTTATCATGTTAGCATGGAGCAGTGTCAGAACACGTCGGATAGAAGTTGGATAAGCAGCAATATGTGGCTGGGAATCATATCGAAGAGCTTTGATACATCCATGTTGTCGCTGTGTCATCTGCGCTATATCCTAGGCCAGTGTGAAGGGAGAAAAAAGAATCAAATTCTAGCGGTAGCCAAGAGTAATAAAATGTAGTCAAATCAGTCAATTAAATTTAATTACTTGGTTCAAAGGCCCCCATACATGAATATAAAGAGTGTTGTTTGAGGGAAAAGTGCCCCAGGGGTGGATTACCTAATCTTCATGTCACGCCTGTTGCTTCATCGATGAGAAAGTGAATCTTCGACATCTTTTTCCCCTCGACGCATCTCCATCCTTTTCCTTCCTTCGTTTCCCTTCTTTCTCTCCTCCTTCATCTTCATATCTCACATATCCTCCCATTCACATCCATTTAATTCAACAACCCCATGGCTTCTGTAGGTGGCTCCTTAACCTTACCTCCCCTCGCATTTGCGCATTTGCTCCAGCTTCTAATCGCGCATGAATGCTGTATTTTGAGATCTTGGAGAGCTTGGCTAATATCATCACTTCCTTTTCATTCATAGCCCCGCCCCAACTTCGGTGCTCAAGGCTACCCTATTTCAAATGGTGCGGCTGCGGGCCCTGTCCCCGGTGCCACGCCGCTGCTCCCCAACAACGGCCGTGTGATTCAGAGCGGTCCGACACGAATCTTGTGCATTGCAGACGTGCGAGGTAATTAGACCCTGGTGATATTTTTCTTGGAAAAGTGACGCAATACTAATTGGGCCCATAAAACAGGCAACTTGAAGTCTCTTAACGAGCTTGCGAAGCAGGCTCGCGCCGACCACATCATTCACACAGGTGACTTTGGTTTCTACGATGATACCTCCCTTGAACGGATTGCAGACAAGTGAGTATTCTCCCCAAGCTTTTCGGCGCGTGTTTGCTGCCCAACACATTCGCCTCACCAGGCACCGAAATCTACTGGACAGCATTAGCTAATCCCGGATCTACGACCAGGACATTGAAGCATGTGGCACAATACTCCCCCCTCCTCCCTGAGAACGTGAAACGGTCTATTGCGCAGGTATCTCCTCAGCAGTCAATTAAGCAGCGCTTCCCCCCCGAGCAACTGCCCCTCTCTGAGCTCTCAATGCTCCTCGACAAGCGAATCACCCTCGATGTCCCGGTTTACACAGTTTGGGGTGCCTGCGAAGATGTGCGCGTGTTGGAGAAGTTCCGCTCAGGTGAATACAAAGTTGATAAGCTTCACATCATCGACGAGGCCAATTCGCGCCTTCTCGATATCGGCGGTGTGAAGCTCCGTCTGCTGGGTCTGGGAGGTGCCGTTGTGATGCACAAGCTTTTTGACAATGGTGAAGGAAAGACGACTATTGCTGGCGGTCAAGGTACTATGTGGACGACACTTTTGCAGATGGGCGAACTCATTGACACCGCCAATCGTGTCTACGATCCCTCCGAGACTCGTGTCTTCGTCACCCACGCTTCGCCTGCCCGAGAGGGCATGCTAAACCAGCTTTCCGTTACCCTCAAAGCCGACTTTTCCATTTCAGCTGGTCTTCATTTCCGCTACGGCTCCTCATACAATGAGTTCTCCGTCAACCCGTCTTTGGACCACTATCGCGGCAAGCTTGCTGCATCTAAGGCGTCATTTAACGATGTTTGGGAGACGGTCCGAACTGAGGTTGAAGCAGCTATCTCCTCTAATGATGGCCAGAAGACCCTCCTGGAGAATGCCCTGGATGTTGTTCACAAGATGCCTTCCATTGCCAATGGCGGTAATCCATTCGGTGGCCCTGTTGCGGCTGGTAATGCTGCTGGACAGGTGGACGAGAGTGCATTCAAGAATATGTGGAACTTCAACTTGGCAGATGCCGCGTTCGGATATCTCGTTCTAGAGGTTGAAGGAGGACGCATTGCCACGGAGATGCGGGCCCAGGGATTCAACTTTGCTCACCGCACTGGCAAGCCCCAGGCAGGTGGTGCCCCTCAGCCTGTCTCCAGCGGCCTTCCAGCGACCACTGCCTCACCCGCTCCGACAGGCGCTGCCCGAACTCCCGTCGTGGCTCCCCAGTTCGGCCAAGCTCCCCCCGCGCGTGCACCCATTCCTCAGGGTCAGAAGGGACCGAGAGCCTCCCCTGTTCCCGTGATTCCCAAGTCTATTAGCCCGCAGCCACCTGTTGCCGCCTCTGCTCAGCCCGTCGGGGAAGAAAAAATCGCAGCTGTCGACACTAATGGTACCACCCCACACGAAAAGCCAAGTGAATCGCCCGCGCCTCGGGGCGAAAAGAAGCCTGCAAATGCTCTTTTCGTAACAAGCGCCGAAAGCGAACAGGCCGTCCGTGACCTTATCTCCGAGGAGGATAGGTCGAAGATTACCAAGATCGAAAAGCTCGGCAAGTACAATCACGTTGTGACATTCTCGGGCGTCGAAGAGGCCAAGGCTGCTCTGGACCACCTTCCCATTGAGCTGAAGAAGCCTGGTCCCACTCCCCATGGTCAGCAACGTAAGCCTAACTTCAAGTTCTTCGAGGACCGCGGCCCCCGTGCTACTGTTGGCAATGCCGGAACTTGGCAGTCCAGCACCCGGGGTGGCGTCACCACCGCCCAGCGTGGCTACCAGAGCGCCAGTGACAGCGATGGCAGTCGCCGTGGTGGATTCGGTGGCCGTGGCCGCGGCGGCCGTGGCAGTGGTGAGCGAGGTCGTGGTGGCCGTGGAGGTGGTCGGGGTGGCTTCAAGAGCGGCCCCAATGACTCTTCTGCCCCCTCAGGCGACAAGCCTGTTGCATCTGGCGAGGCTTGATCGGTGACATTGAACTTCTTTGTCTCATATTTTTTCCCCGGCCATCAACATTGCCTCGATCTTACCACTTGATACTCTAATTCTTTTGTGTCTTTTTTTATCTCTTCCCACTTGCAAATCTCTTTTTTTTCCCTTTTTGACTGATAGCGCTCAATCTTTATGTTCTTTGTTCTCAAGTCTGGTCAGAGACACAGGACACGAATCCGAATTGCAGCGTTGATCTGGACTCCGAAGTGAGTCCTTCGGTAACCCCCAGACAGTATTTCTTTTTTTTTGTTTGCAGAGGAAGGAATGGGATGCAGAAAATATCAGAAAAAAAAGAAGAAAAAAAAACAGAATACACCCTTTCACCTCTTTTCTCTTTGTATTTTAGTTTATGTCCGTGGACCACATCGATACCCTTACAGCTTTGCTTCTTTTGAAGTCTGTAGATCTACGAGATTGCTACTTCGTTTTCGTTCTCGTGTATAGAACTTCCTATCGCCGTATTCTCAATCTGCATTGGTAGATATAAGTCAATTGGGAATAGAGTAGAGATCCAGGAACAGATTGTGTACAAAAAAAAAGTACAGACATAAAGCAGTGCAAGCCAATCCCAGTGCATCGCAAAAGTATCAAGTTCGCCATAATTCTTTCCGTACAATAGGCATTGGAAGTATCCCCTTATTTGCTAAAATCCCATGGCCAGTGTGAGACGGTGTCTCCCCCATTCGCCAACGTCAACAAGACCAATCAAAACATAAAACAATCAAATAGCAATTACTGTTGCAAAAAAAAAGAGCGAGGTTCTAAAACAGAATAAAATCAGAGGATAGATTGGCAGATGTGGGTGTGTGATATGGGGGGGGGGGGGAAGGAACGTATTGTTCCCTTAAGATGGGATAGTGATAGATTGCCAACTATAGGCATTGACAAAAAAATTCAGTTTCAAAATCAAATATTCGTTGGATTGGATGTTATTTCTCCCTGCCATGAGTTTTCCTCTTTTTATCCTGTGTTGTATTCATGACGCCGAGCAGGATTCCTCCCAGAAATGACAATCGATGATGGGTATGCGTAGAAATCAAAAGAGCGCGAGTATCAGTGGGTGTTGGTCCGTGAATCGTGAATTAAGCCCGAGTATGGGTTGTGCTGAGGGCGATTATGAGCATCCTGGAAAGCAAGCTGCTACTTGGCTCGTCCCATAATGCTGTCAACGTCACTCTGGTTCACGACTACGCCACTCTCGGAACATCGTGCCTTGGTGCGAAGCTCGGAGCAGAGATTGTCAACATCGATCTCGCCATTGCGGAATCTTTCCATGGACTGAAGACGATCCCTAGAGAAAGAAAGAAAAAAAAGTGATGTCAGTAAGCTGGAAGCTAAATTGTTGGATAGTTATAGGAGCATGGACATACCAGATCTTGGTGCATGACAGCATCTGCGACTGGTCTTCGCCTGGAACGACCTCATCTTCCTCGAGCTTGCTATCAACCTGGGCAACAAGGTTTTTCTTGGGTGCGGCGTCGGTGGAGACCTCGGACAAGTTGTGGGAGGGACTACCCAGGTCCGGCAGAGGGAATGCTTCATTGAAGAAAGAGCCAAAATCCTGAGCCAGCACAGCATCCTGGGGCTCTCGCCAGTCACCAAAGAGCACTGGATCGAACTGGCCACCATTCTGATGAGCCAGCCAATCGATTCCAAGATCCTGAGAATCATCGCCTTGGGCTAGGCCATCAATAGGGGTCGGCTGGCTGCTTGAAACACTGCGGGATTTGGATCTGTTATCCCGGGCTGCCGGGATAGGATTTCGAACGTTACCGCAAGCCATACCAAGTTGTGCACAGAAGGATTTCTCGCCATCAATAGTGATATGTCCGCCGCAAGAGTCACCTAGTCCCAGGTCGCGGTGCTGCCCATCTGGAGAGTTCAGACTTGGTTCTGGGGAAGTTCCGTTCGATGACAGCATCTGGCTCTGGTGAGAGTCGGACGAAGACGACGGAGAATTCTCCGAAGTAGAGTTATCATTTACGGAAGACTTGAAGCCAGAGTAGGGTGCTTTAGCGGAAGCACTGTTGGAAGTTGTGGTGGACTTGGATTTGTTCAACTGGGCAAGAGAGTTCGATCGAGACGAGGGACTGTTCAGGCTGTCCCGACCCAAGACACCAGGGACCTGGGGGATGTCATTGGATCTAGATTGGTCGTTCTTGTTGGCTTGTCCGTTGAAAAGATGACCACCAGGTAAATCGCCAAACTTGGGGAAATCGAAGAGGAACTCATTGTTTTGGAGGCCATAAGCCCCCTTGGAATGGGCACTCGGAATGGAATTTGAGCTCATGGCCGAGATGCCGTTTCCTGCTCCCGAGGCCATCCAGGAAAGGCGCTTTCGATACTCACGGAGCTCGACCTGCAACCGCTCGACCTGGGCACGTAGCAAGCCATTCTCCTGATTTGTCATCTCCGATGTCTTCTGCAGTTTTTCCACCGAGTCCTCCAGATCCTTCAAGTGCTTCTCCTTGCGTTCGCGGAAAGCTCGCTGGGCAGCCCGGTTTTGGGCCTTGCGCTTCTGTGCTCAATACGTCAGTTCATGACTCTTTTAGTCCTAGCAACTTCCGCGTCCAACAAGAGTGGCATACCGTAGTAGGCTCTGAAGTCAGTGGCTTTCTACCAGGCTTCTTAGCCTCACTTTCCCTACGTTTCTTTCCCGTCTCTTCCCCTTCAATGTCCGACTTTCCATCAAGGGACTTTCGCTTTTCGCCGATATCATACTCTGCCGATCCCGGTAGATCACCAATCAGGTCGGCAGAACCCGGGAAATCAAAGTCCACTTCCGGGGTAAAGTCCAAGAAGGGGCTTTCGTCATCCCCAAACCCGAAATTGCTGGCATGAGGATTGTCAAAGCCACCCGAGGGAGGGGCGCTGAGACCGTTCGAGGAATTTTCGTCAGGGCTCTGAGAAGCCTTAATTTGGCGAGAGCCATTATGAGACTTATGGCCGGGGTTGTTGGAAGATAGAGCGGCAAGCAGGAGATCTTGTTGGTTCGGGGAAAGGTAAAGACCTTGCTGGTATCGTTGATCGTAATCACCCATTGTGACGGGTTATTTCCAATGGAAAGAGAGGTTGATGAGAGGCCAGAGAAGGATAATGATGGGAAATTCAATGGATTTCAATATAGAGTCCAGCCGGGCCTCCCGCCCGTAACAGATATTGATAAATGCTGTAAGAGACGAGGGGTTGGAGGATGATTCAATCCTCGCAAATATAGCTTCACAATTTGGCCAAATTTGTGAGTGAACAATCTCAACAAATCCGATTATATGTAAGATCTCTATCGGTTGCAGGTAAGAACGGTAGAATTCAAAAATTTCGGGGGTGGCGATATGAGGAGAAAGATATTTGGATATGGAGGGGAAATAGGAAGAAGAGTTTCTAGCGGCTCTCGAGAGGGGGCCTGAGGCGAGGACAGATTCCCCGCTAGTCGAATTGCGGTAGAAGTGTGGCTCAGGCAAACAGCGAGGCTGTTATGGTAAGATTGAAAGCCAAATATGCAGGTGAAAGTTGCAGAATCCAAGAGAAATGATGAAATGGAGAGTATGACTGGAGGAATGGACGACTGGAGGGGGGGGAACGAGAGGGCGATCAGGGATAGGCGGTGAATTGTTTACTGGATTTAATTGGCTGTCAATGTCTTTGCTTTGAAATCAGTTTTTTCCGTTTTTTTATCTTTTTTTTTTTTTTTTTATTTCTCCACTTTCCAGTAGCTTCTCTCAAGCCCTAAATATAAGATATATAATACTCCCAGAATTCCGAGTATATACATTCGTACCTACATATATATATATAGGTAAGGTACGGAGTACATTACTTGTCTGACTCATATCTTGGCAATATAAATGAGAAGATGTGAAACTTGCTTACTCTCCGGGTTCCACGGCCCCGGGGTTCTCATTCCCCGATATCCTTTTTAGCCTTGGAAGTATCAGCCCATGGAATGACGTTGCCACCCCTCATATCTAAGAAACAAAACAAAAAAATACAGAGGATTTTCTCATATATGTCTTATACTCCCTATATAACATAGTATACTAAATTAAAGATGTTAAGACTTTACCTAGGTAACATGCATATCCCCATCGATCTGCAGAAAGTGGATTGATCCGAATTGCTTATCGCACCTATGTACGGAGTAGGTCTATGATGTATGCGATACGGAGTACTCCGTTAGAAGTACTAGTATAGGCCTAGTTACATATCACAAACATAAGAATATCCAATCTACTGATCTACCTAAACAAATATAGAATATAAGCTTGATCTCCAGTCATCCAAAAATCCAAGTCTTGACTACAATACTATATTATGTATTCCAAGGTTATCACCTCGGTAGTTGTAGTGGCGTACAGTTAATTATCAAGGCGGAGAAGAAGGCGGCCAGAGAATGCACGTGATCTGATGGGATGAATTTGCCAATAACTACATGTAACTAATAATTATTTCTCCACAATCCACCTACACACTCACGTCCCCAACATACGTCAAAGCAGACTAAGTTCCTAATATCACTCTTTATCTTGCACAATTCTTTGAATCAAAAGTCTTCTATCATGGCTGATCTTTCTTCCCTGGAGAAAGATTTGACGGAATGCAAATCTCAGGTTAGTGTCCCCTCAAATCCCCCAAACGGTCACCACTAACTTAAACCTGATAGATTGAAACTGTCATCTTAGGGCTGGAGGTAGACCCTGATAATGTGGAACTAAAGAGTCTCAAAACCGAACTTGAAGAATACATTGCTGCGCTCGAAACTCAAATTGCCGAACTCAAGCCAAGTGCGCCCGCCGAACCAGCTCTCAAGCCTGGCCAATCCAAGCCCCATGGACAATCTACTGAGTATTCAAGGGAGAAATCGGCCGTAACTACCACTCCTGTCTTCTCAGTGAACGATACTGTTCTTGCGCGCTGGGTCTCTGGCGATAAGGCTTTCTATCCGGCCAAAATTAACTCCATCACTGGCTCATCGACCAACCCAGTGTACCTTGTCACATTCAAGTCATATGCAACTGTGGAAAATCTGACAGCCAAGGATATCCGACCCATCTCTGGCACTGACTCGCGAAAGCGCAAGGCTGATGGAACCCCAGGCAGTTCGGCACCTCCCTCGCCCGCTCTCCCCCACCCCAATGTGATCTCCGCCGCAGCAGATATCAACCCCGCATTGGCTACCCAGGCTCGCAACGAACCGAGCAAGGCCAGTGATGGACTAGCTCGTCCGGCCAAGGTGCCCCGAAAGTTTAAGCCCAACAAGGAACTCGAGGAAGGCAAGAACAAATGGCAAGATTTCGCTGCAAAGACCAAGGGCAAGGGCAAATTTGGCAAGAAGGAGAGCATGTTCCGCACTGGTGAAGGCGTTAATGCACGAGGTATGACATTTTTCTATAAATTATTAGTTTATTCGTCTCGACTCTGTGGATGCTAATTGGTCTCATCTCTTAGTTGGATTTACAGGTTCCGGACAAACCATGCGAAAGGATCCGACCCGAACCCGCCACATTTACCAACAGACCGATGATGACGGCTATTAGAGTGCATTTATGTTGCCAGGCACGGATTGTGTTGATACCCCTTGGGTGAATAGCCTGGCCAATTTTTCACATGTGACATTTCGTGATATCTCTCTGGGCTCTTCTCATATTTGTTCTCATCGCTAACTGAATCTCTGGGCGATGCAGACTTATCCATATTTGTCTCTCCTGTTTTGAGACTCGGAGTTCCTGTTCATAGAATTACAGATCGGAGTCGGCCATTTCTATGTTTGTATTATTTAACAAATGAAATCATGAGCATTCAAAAGTGCTTTTCTTAGTGTTTACGTAGACGCATATGTATACATCCATGGATATGTTGATATCTCTGAGAGCCCCCCCCCCTCCCAAAAAAACGCCTATTAAAAATCACTTGGAAATATTACATTTTGAACCATCTCAGGGGTCTACTTCTACTCAAGTAGATGCCAAGGAGAGAGATGTTAGTTCTGCAACATGATTCGAGCCACGATGTAGTCAAATCATCGTGCCTGACGTTAGCGCCAACTGGAAACCTTGGTACTTGGGCTTGTTGACTGACCGTGCGGGGAGGGATGTACCGCGGGTCTCCGCCTTCACGTCACTCACTTCAGTTTGCTTTGCTCTCTTCCTCTTCCTCCCTCTTTACCCTATTACATTTTCTATATCAACCATCGAGATTGAAATATCGATTTTAATCTGATCTTCGTACTGAATCCCATTGTCAAATTGTCCTTTAAATTCGCTTTCCCCCTTCGCCTCAGCTCCTGAGCTCAGCCTGCATCCTTCCCCACACGGACCAACGAGTGCATGGCCAACCTCCATTATTGAGAGTGTCGCCCCCCAGACAATTAATTGGAGACTGGTATAACGGGATTTTTCTCTCATAATACCTACCCTTCCCACAAGATGCGGTTACCTAGGGCTATCGCTGCAATCGTAGGGCTAGGCTCTCTTGCGCCTATGCTTGTCGGTGCGCAGGGCGAAACCAAAATCCACGAAAAGGGTCGTTGTGCTATCCGTGGCCATTGTGGAAAGCAATCTATTTTCGGGGGAGAATTACCCTGTCCCGATAATGGCCTGGCACAACAACCAGAAGACGCAGCACGCCAGAAATTGGTAAATCTGTGTGGCAGCAAATGGAGCGAAGGCCCAGTCTGTTGTCGAGAGGAACAGGTAAGAGATCCTGAACTTCGGTTTTAGAAACGTTACATTATTCTATCATGCTGATAACCTATAGATCGATGCGCTTTCAAGTAACCTCAAACTGGCAGAGGGAATTATCGCATCCTGCCCTGCCTGTCGAGACAATTTCTTTAATATTTTCTGTACCTTTACATGCTCTCCCGACCAGTCACTTTTCGTTAACATCACCAAAACAGAAGAAAACAGCCCTGGCAAAAGACTTGTGACCGAGTTGGACAATATTTGGTCCAAGGAGTACCAGAGTGGCTTCTTCGATAGCTGCAAGAATGTAAAGAACGGTGCTTCGGGCGGAAAAGCTATTGACTTCATTGGCGGTGGCGCCAAAGACTATACCCATTTCATGAAATTTTTAGGCGATAAGAAGTTTCTTGGAAGCCCGTTCCAGATCAACTATCACACAGAGCCCAATGAGTCTGACCCACAAGGAATGGAGGCACTGTCAATAAAGCCAAAGGCCTGCAATGACGAGGACAAATCATTCCGTTGCTCGTGTGTCGACTGCCCGGATGTGTGTCCGGAGTTGCCCGCTATATCTCCCCACAAGATATGTCATGTAGGACTTATACCATGTCTATCTTTTGCCGTCATCCTTGTTTATTCCATCTTTCTGTTGTTCGTCATTTCTCTCGCGAGTTATGTCACATACAAGGAACGCCGGTTCCGCAAGCCAGAGCGGGTGCGCTTGCTGCAAGATCCCACACCCAGCGATGACGAAGATGAAGGGGAAGTCGTGCACCGCGGAGGATACATGGAACGGCCTCAGGGAGCGTACAAGCTCAACTCTGTATTGTCTGATTTATTCCATCAAATTGGTGGTACTTGTGCGCGGTTCCCAGCATTAACAATATCCTTCAGCATCCTTGGAGTAGCGCTGCTGAGCCTAGGGTGGCTGCGCTTCACCGTTGAAACAGATCCGGTACGGCTTTGGGTGAGTCCGTCATCTGCAGCCGCCCAGGAAAAGGATTTCTTCGATCGGAGCTTCGGTCCATTCTACCGAGCCGAGCAGGCATTCTTAGTCAATAACCGCCCAAAGAACGATTCACGTCCGCTCTTGGACTACGAAACTCTCACTTGGTGGTTCGATGTCGAGTCTCGTGTGCGACGCGTGATTTCGTTGGACCAGGGTCTCAACCTCGATGACGTTTGTTTTAAGCCGACCGGAGAAGCCTGCGTTGTACAATCGGTTACTGGGTATTTCGGTGGCTCTGTCTCAAACCTTGACCCAGATACATGGGAGGACCGACTCAGCCACTGTACAGAGTCGCCTGGGGACCCTAGCTGTCTTCCTGATTTCTCGCAGCCCCTCAAGCCCGAAATGATTCTGGGTGGATACGAAGACACAGGGAATGTTCTGGATGCCCAGGCACTCATCGTAACTTGGGTGGTAAATAATTACGAAGAGGGTACGGAAGAAGAAGCAAAAGCTATCGATTGGGAGAATACTTTCCAGGCCGTTCTCGAGGTAGTCCAAGAAGAGGCTGCCGAGCGAGGCCTTCGCGTGTCTTTCAATTCCGAGGTCAGTTTAGAGCAGGAACTGAACAAGTCTACCAACACAGATGCGAAGATCGTTGTCATCAGTTATCTGATCATGTTTTTCTATGCATCAATGGCGCTGGGTTCGGTCACAGTTACCTGGAGGTCTCTCTTGACCAACCCATCCAATGCTCTTGTTCAATCTAAATTTACGCTGGGAATCGTCGGGATAATCATTGTTTTGATGTCTGTTTCTGCATCGGTCGGACTGTTCTCAGCAGCGGGCGTTAAGGTGACCTTGATCATTGCTGAAGTTATTCCATTCTTGGTCTTGGCAGTTGGAGTAGACAACATTTTCTTGATCGTCCACGAATTCGAGCGAGTCAATATCAGCCATCCCGATGAAGAAATCGACGAGCGAGTTGCTCGCGCGGTTGGTCGAATCGGACCTAGCATCTTCCTGTCTGCTTTGACGGAGACAGTGGCCTTTGCGCTGGGCGTCTTTGTTGGCATGCCTGCTGTCAAGAATTTTGCCGCATACGCCGCCGGTGCTGTCTTCATTAACGCTATCTTGCAAATGACCATGTTCATCTCCGTCTTGGCTCTGAACCAGAGACGAGTGCAGAGTCTCCGTGCAGACTGTGTTCCTTGTCTTACTGTCCGAAAAGCAAACTCGTTCGGCTTCCCCGAGGAAAACTACGACGGACAGGAAACGGAGAGTACTTTGCAGGCCTTCATTCGCCGGGTCTACGCGCCTTTCCTCTTAGATCGTCGGGTGAAAGTAGGTGTTGTTATATTTTTCTTCGGTCTTTTGACTGCTGGTCTAGCCTTTATCCCCGAGGTTCCTCTTGGCTTAGATCAGCGGATCGCGCTTCCTAGTGACTCGTACCTGATATCTTATTTCAACGACCTGGATTCGTATTTTGGTGTTGGGCCTCCGGTCTACTTCGTGACCCGGAATGTCAATGTTACCGAGCGAAGTCACCAACAGCAAGTCTGCGGACGTTTTACCACCTGCGAGGAGTTTTCACTGCCCTTTATTCTCGAGCAAGAGTCTAAGCGTCCGGATGTCTCTTATCTTGCAGGCTCTGCGGCTAGCTGGATTGATGATTTCTTCTATTGGTTGAACCCCCAGCAAGACTGTTGCAAAGAAAACGGCAAGCTTTGTTTCGAGGATCGTGTTCCTGCCTGGAATATTTCTCTCTCGGGGATGCCAGAAGGATCCGAATTTGTCCATTATGTTAAGAAATGGATCGATGCTCCCACCGATGCCTCTTGCCCCCTGGGCGGCAAAGCGCCCTACAGCAATGCTTTGGTCATTGATGACAAGCATCAGACGATCAATGCCAGTCATTTCCGCACTAGTCACACGCCCCTTCGGAGCCAGGATGAATTCATCGAGGCATATATCGCAGCTCGCCGGATTGCAGACGGCATCTCACAGGAGCACAATATCGATGTTTTTCCATATTCCAAGTTCTATATCTTCTTCGATCAATACGTTTCCATTGTGCGACTTACCGGTACCCTTCTTGGATCAGCTGTGGCTATCATCTTCGTCTTGACATCTGTGATACTGGGGTCTATAGCCACGGGCGCCGTCGTTACAACCACAGTGGTTATGATAGTGATCGATATCATTGGTACTATGGCAGTAGCGGGCGTCTCCTTGAATGCTGTGTCTCTTGTCAATTTGGTCATCTGTGTGGGCATTGGTGTTGAATTCTGTGCTCACATTGCCAGAGCATTCATGTTCCCCGCCCGACACATTCTAGAGAAGGTGCCCGCCGAATTCCGTGGTAAGGACGCTCGAGCATGGGCGGCCTTGGTCAATGTTGGTGGGAGTGTCTTCAGTGGTATTACTGTGACTAAACTTTTAGGAGTTTGCGTCTTGGCATTTACTCGGAGCAAGATATTCGAGATCTACTATTTCCGTGTGTGGCTAGCTCTGGTGATTTTTGGTGCTACGCATGCTCTTATCTTCTTACCAGTAGCTCTGAGCTACTTTGGCGGTGGTGGTATGTGCAAGTTGACCTATCACTATTCAAGAATGAGGACACTTACTGACCGATTTAGGTTACTTTGACCCTGCGTCCGACGGTGGCCTAGAGGCTAATCTCGCCTCCCGTGGCTACCGCTCGTCGCTCGTCCATGACGATTATGACTCTGATGAATATTAAGTGATGTCTCGGTTGTTTGGGGCTTCGTTAGTGTGTGGGTCTTTTTTGGAAATCACCGGATGCACGGCTGCCATAACAAAGCGCACTTGTCAACCAGCTTTATTTTCTTTTTCCTTTTTTTTTCCCCCTTCAGCACAGTTTGTTCTCTATGGAAGAAGATGGAAGAAAGAGGAGTTTTCGGGTGAAGGGATTTTTTTTTTTTCAATAATCTTCTTCTATTTTTCTATCATGGGAAACTTCTATACTTTTCTAAGGCATAGATGTAACAGTTCTATGTAGTTATTAGCTAGTATACTTTTTGATCATGTCCCAATTGCACCTTTTTAATAGCAGAAATCAATTGTGTGAATGATACAACTATAACCATGATAGTAATATCCTACTATAATATAGTAATATAGTGATATACTCCATATAAATGAAGTCATAAAAGAAATCTCTGCCCAAATTCCCGTGTGTTGACAATCCATTCCCACACTAAACCTAATTAGGAACCAGCCCACTCCCCTAAATTTTTTTTTTTTCTCTCCGTCTCTTTTCTTCTTCGTCTTCCCCCCACCACTCTCCTTTTTCTTTCTTCATCTTCCTCTCTCCTTCTTTTTTCTTGTCAATATTGATTTGTGATACCCCCTTTGAGCCGTTTGTCTGAGACAGGCTGCTCAATCTTTGTTCCTGTAGCCTGAGTCTCTCAGAGACGGGCAACTGAAAGCGTCAGAAAAAGGAAGAAAAAAGAAAATCACTTGAAAACCTTCCACATCCTCCCTTTCACCATGGATCAACAGCGATTCCTGCAGCAATTGCAGATTATCCTTGATCGTGAGTTCGTCGTGCAATCTCGAAGACAATATTCGTCTCACTGACCGATTCATGTAGCCTCCCAGGGAAACCTCAAGGAGGCCACCGGAGTCTTGCAGAAGGAGTTCTACAACAAGCCCGAATCCCTTGTCTTCCTTATCCAGATCTGTACTAGCCATGAGGATCAAAATCTGCGCCAGCTCTCTTCTGTGGAGTCTCGTTCGCTCGTTGCCAAGCACTGGTTGAAGGTTCCCGCTGCCCAGAAGCCCCAGATCCGCGAGCAGCTGCTTCGCTCCACCATGGGCGAGAGTTCATCTCTTGTTCAACACTCTATCGCCCAGATTATCTCTGCTATTGCGAAGATCGATTTGAACGACGGCGAGTGGGCTGACCTTCCCAACCTATTGCTGCAGGCTGGTAACAGTGGCAACGCTGCTGAGCGTGCTGTTGCCATCTACATTCTCTTCACCATCTTGGACACTCTTGGTGAGGGCTTTGAGGAGAAGTTCCAGGACCTCTTCAACCTCTTCAACAAGACCATCCGGGATCCAGAGAGTGCCGAAGTCCGCATCAACACTCTGATGTCTTTGAGTAAGCTTGCTATGCACCTTGACTCGGAGGAGGATGAGGCTCCTGTCAAGGCTTTCCAAGAGTTGGTTCCTGCCATGGTCGCCATCCTCAAGGACTCCATTGAGCGGCAAGAGGAGGACCACATCATGCAGTCTTTCGAAGTCTTTCAGACTTTGCTTGGCTGTGACCCTGCCCTGCTGACCGTCCATCTCAAGGACCTGGTCATCTTGATGAACCAGATCGCTGCCAACACCGAGGTAGATGAGGATGTCCGCACTCAGGCCATCAGCTTCTTGATGCAAACTATTCAATATCGCAAGCTCAAGGTTCAGGGCATGCGTGTTGGCGAGGAGCTCACCCGTACTGCTCTCCAAATCGTTACTGAGCTGGGCGATAGCGCTCCTGGTGATGACGATATCACTCCTGCTCGCTCTGCTCTTGGCCTCTTGGACATGCTCTCCCAGAGCTTGCCTCCTAGTCAGGTGGTTGTCCCTCTGCTCAACGCACTGGGTCAGTATTTCAACAACCCCGACCCTGAGTACCGTCGTGCTGGCATCATGGCCCTTGGCATGTGTGTTGAGGGTGCCCCTGACTTTATCAGCACCCAGATGAAGGAGATTTTCCCCATGGTCCTCCAGCTCCTTGCTGATCAGCACCCTAAGGTGCGCCAGGCTTCATTGCACACTGTCGCTCGTCTCGCAGAGGACCTCGTTGAAGACCTTAGTTCCGAGCACGCCCGCCTCATGCCCTTGCTCTTCCAGAATTTGGCCACCGCCATGCAAGAGTACAAGGGCGAGGAGGAGGGCCCGACTCTCGATATAATTAAGGCCGGCATTAGTGCCATTGATGCTGTCGTTGATGGTCTGGATGAGAAGGATGTCTCTCCTTACCAGGCTGAACTTGTCCCTATCCTGCACAACCTCTTCAAGCACCCAGATTTCAAGATTAAGGCCCTTGCTGCCGGTGCTCTTGGCTCCCTCGCCTCCTCTGCCGGCGACTCCTTCCTCTCATTCTTCGATGAGTCAATGCACCTCCTCCAAGAGTTTGCTACTGTCAAGGACAGCGAGGACGAGCTCGACCTCCGTGCCAGTGTCACCGACTCCATGGGTGAGATGGCCGCCGCCGCTGGCCCCGAACGTTATCAGCCGTACGTTGAGCCCCTCATGCGCGCCACTGAGGAAGCTTTGCACCTCGGCCACTCCCGCCTCAAGGAGAGCACATACATCTTCTGGGGTGCCATGGCTAAGGTCTACGGCGAGCACTTTGCTCCCTTCCTTGACGGTGTCGTGAAGGGCCTGTACGATTGCATCGAGCAGGACGAGAACGACCTCGATGTCGACCTCGGTAGTGCTGCCAAGGACCTTGTCGGCCAGGAGGTTACCTTCAATGGTCGCAAGGTCAAGGTCGCAAGTGCTGATGATGAAGATGATGACGATATCGAGGATGTGGACCTTGAAGACGAGGACGAGTGGGATGACATTACCGCCACCACTCCTCTCTCCCTCGAGAAGGAGATCGCTGTTGAGGTTATCGGTGATCTCGTCACCCACACCCGTAGCTCCTTCCTACCCTACTTTGAGAAGACCATTGAGCATGTGATGCCGTTGTGTGAACACCCTTACGAGGGTGTTCGCAAGAGCACCATCAGCACTCTGCACCGCTCATACGCCATGCTCTTCACCATCGCCGAGGAGAATGGCCAGATGCCTAAGTGGCAGCCTGGTCTTCCCCTCCAGGTTCAGCCTGCCAAGGAAGTCCAGAAGTTCGGAGAGATTCTCATGACAGCTACTGTCAAGATGTGGACCGAAGAAGACGACCGGTATGTTTCAACTGTTTTTCTTCCTTTTCTTCCCTTGCCCAATTATTTCTATGATGATGTTTTTCCGCTTAACCCAGCTCACTTTGATGCGCCAAAGGCGTACTTGATGTAAACGGCGAAGTCTACACTCTGAGATTTACTGCTACTATTGCTTTATTATTTATCAACTGTCGATCTATTGACTTGATTGCTGACCGATCATTAATAGTTCTACTGTCGCCGACATCAACCGCAACATGGCTGAGAACCTGCGCTTCTGCGGTCCTGCCCTCATTGCCAACGAGACCATGCTTCACAACGTGATCCAAATGGTTACTGATATCATCACCAAGCAGCACATTTGCCAAGTGGAGTTCGGTCCTGAGGAGGAGACTCTTGAGGCTGGTGAGGAATCTTCCGAGTTTGACTGGATTGTTATCGACACCGCCCTGGATGTTGTCTCCGGTATGGCCGCCGCTATGGGCCAGAGCTTTGCTGAGCTCTGGAAGGTGTTCGAGAAGACCATTCTCCGCTACGCTGGTAGTACTGAGTCTCTTGAGCGCGCCACTGCCGTCGGTGTCCTCGCCGAGTGCATCAACGGCATGGGTGCCGCCGTGACCCCATTCACCCCTGTCTTCATGAAGCTGCTCCTTCACCGCCTCGCCGATGAGGACTCTCAGACGAAGTCCAATGCTGCTTATGCCATTGGCCGCCTGATTCAGCACTCCAACGCTGAGGCTGAGATCATTAAGGAGATCCCCACTATTCTTGCCCGTCTTGAGGCTTGCCTGCAGATGGACGTCTCTCGTCTCCAGGATAACGCCACCGGCTGCGTCAGCCGTATGATCTTGCGTTACCGCGACAGCGTTCCAACCAAGGACGTTCTTCCTGCCCTCGTCAACATTCTTCCCCTGAAGAACGACTTTGAGGAAAATGAACCTCTGTACCGCATGATCTGCCAGATGTACAAGTGGGAAGATGCCACCATCCGTGAACTTACCCCAAGCCTCCTTCCTGTTTTCCAGTCGGTTATCACCGGCGATGAGGATCAGTTGGAGGATGAGCGTCGGGCCGAACTCATTGAACTTGTCAAGTGGCTGAACCAGATGCAGCCCGGTGCCGCTCCCTGGGTGGAGCAGCTGTAAGCTGACTGCTCTTTTATGGATTGATGAATACAACAGGATTTATATAATGGATAGACGGACGGCTTGGAAGCCCGAAATGACTAGACGATACCCCAGTCACTGCGGCGATGATTGATGAAACCCCTCAAAAAGTTGCTGCTGTACATGCTGTCAATGACTACATGCTTTGATCTTTGAACTATTTATTCTTGTAGAAGTATCTTACCTACATACATGTATGTGTACATTTGTACCTGTATCTCTGTATATACCCCGCCATCAAAACCACGTCATCTCGTAGCTAGATCGCAGTTTTTTCAAATCCGGCGAGTAAGCTTCACCTCGATGCCAGTCTGCCGCACAAAAAAGCTATTATGCGTCATCCAGTCCTTCTCCGGAAGAGCCAGCTTGATATCGTAGCGTGACACAAGCGTTGCAATTACCTTATACACTTCCACCAGACCAAGATGCTTCCCGATACAACTACGACTTCCACCGCCAAAGCTGAGGTCAGCCTTGTTCATTGATACCAAACGTTCCTGGAACGCATCTTCGGTCTCCCGCGTCTCATCGCGGAGCCATCTCTCGGGACGGAACTCTTCAGCATCTTCGCCCCAGACAGACGTATTGCGCCCCACAATGTAGGGGTTAATGCCAACTATGGACCCTGCAGGAACGAGGCTTCCATCGGGAAGGGTAAGTCCGCCCTCTGGTACGTATCGCTCTAGGAGCATGGCGACAGCGGGATGGCATCTCATTGCTTCACGTACCACGGCATCTAGGTATGGGAAATGCCTGGCGGATGTGTAGGATATCACCGTGCTTTCAGAGGTATGGTCATAGGCGGAAATCTCTGTTCTTAGTCGCTCCCAGACCTGAGGATGTTTCAAGGAGAAGTACAATGCCGCGTTAATAGTCACGCCTGCTGTGTCGGCTCCTGCAATCATGTTGATCATTAGATACGAGATGATTTGCATGTCATCCACCAGGTCTGGGAATTTCTCCTTAGCCTCGATGAATTTGTCTAGGTAGTCAGGTTTGCTGGGGTCATGGTAGTCGGTGTCTTTATTCTGAAGTCGATCCATGAGATGCTGGATTGATATATTGGTTACAGCCCCGAAAGACGGCGGGCCGATTCGGTACACGGGGTTTTTGTCCAACAAGTGATCCAGAATTGGTATTTGTCCCACTAGGGAAAAGTAGCCCATGGCGACATTCGCGATATGCAGGGTCTTATCAAAATCACAACCTTTTTTCAGATATCCAATGGGCTGGCTGAAAGTGACATTGCCAACCACGTCCCAGGTATCTGCACGATTCATGAGTCCCGAGAAACAATGATTTGTAGGGTTTCAACTTACAATAAGAAATCCATTCACCTAGGTCACATGTTTTAGTTGAGTTGGATCCGTTGATGAATTCCTCCTCCAGGCGTCGACACAAGTAAGAAATCGTATCATCGATATGAGGCTCCAGTGGAAGTACTCCGGCCAGAGAATAATGTTTCGAGATGGGCCGCTTTTGCTGTGCATGCACCTTAGGATTGCACTCGCTGAAGAGATTGTAGATGATTTTGCCGTCGTTTTTAGCGCTACTACCATGATAAAATTCGGTCTATCACAGACTATCAATACTAATAACCACTTGCTGTAAAAGACATACCTACTTTCAAATAATCCGATTTGATACTGTAAATTGTCTTGATCAACTCGGGGATATCTAGGTCGAGCACGTTGGGACCAATGCGCACCACTGGACCGTAGTTTTTGTGCAGCTCATGGATGACCTTGTGGTACTTTCCCTGGCGAACGTGGGACAGGCGCCATAGGTTCGTCCAGCCTATCAAGATATGGGAGGTCAACATGGAACTCGCTCGTTTTATCGCTCAATGACCTTTGAAAAGATACTGGTAGACTCACCTGCGAGAAAGGGACCAGGAAAACGGCGTAGCGGGGAGAGGAGATATGTTATTAAATACCAGGTCAGTAGAGCTACCAGAAAGGCGTAGCCAAGCATAGAGGCAGCGTCTCTATTCGAGTAACCAAACATTGCTGCAAAATGGGCTCTTTAGTAAGGTGTGTAATGATTTGGATATATCCCATGAACCCTCGAAAACCTGTGGTCTACAATAATATACGGAGTATATAGACAGCTTTTGTATGATCTATAACAATCCAATGTGGCCGGGTATAATTGGGCATGCGAATCAAAAGGTAGCGAGCTGTTAAAGGAAGGTCCTTCATACTCCATATTGCTGGGCCTAGATTTCACCGCACTCCAAAGTACGCCTCCATTAATACTAATATCTTGCCAATTAGAAAAGCCCGCGACGAACACCAATCGACTAGGAAACCCAGAACATAATTGACCCACCCAAAAGGGTCATCCTCCGGCGCTATTTCTGGACTACCACGTAAAGACATTGTGGGGAAAAAATATAGCCATTTTACCACTAGACCATAACAAAAACTAAGGTTCCTGTTTAGGGCCTAGAGAGGCCATCTCAGTCTGACAGAAATTCCCATTAAAATGAAAGGGCACCAAAAGCACAAAAGTACGAAATGTGGAACACATAATATCCAATTGAAAGTACGCTATTAACCCCCAAGCGAACGTTGCAGACGCTACTACAGGGCTCGCTAAGGTAACCGTCCCGATCCGATAATATTTAACTCTCGTTGGTCTTAATATATAATCTTGGCCTTGATATATAAGAGACGATCGCAATTACAACTCTGGAACATGCATAATTAGCTACATTAGTGGTATCGAGTTCTCACATTCCCTCGCTTATACGGAGTACAAAACGGCTAGATCTCGGTGGTAATATTTGAATATAATCACCGAGTCAGGAAGAAAAATACAACTTTATTCCAAAAATGCCGTCTAATTTCTTGTTCGTCCTAGCAAGCTCTGGACTCCAATTGGTCAGGTGTACTTGTTGTTTCTAATTTAACTAGCTCTCTAGATCTAGAAGATGTTGACTGGTAAAGGCGTTCGTGCCATTTCAGTGATGTGGGCGATGACTTTACTCTCTTTTAGTCTGGTCCCTCTCAGACTCCATACACAAATCTTTGAATGAGCTCTTTGTTGATATTCATACAATTTAGCCCGCTGTGCTGCTGTGGACTTCTACTTTGCCCTTCTTCCGTGGCTCTTCATTTGGAATCTTAACATGAAATTCAAGGGAAAGATGTCCATCGCATTTAGCTTGAGCCTGGGCTTAATGTGTGTTAGCCCACCCCGTTCTTTATGGAATACAGACTAACGTATTTCACCACCGAGTGGCCACAACCACCGAGTGGCCACCCTACCCAAAACGCGTTAATTAATTTAATCCCTTCTTCTTCAACCACCCACTATACCACCAATTCGCTCTCAAAGCTCGAAAAATTCAATTGAGCAAGAGGGTAGGCTTTTATTAGCTATCCAGGCTTTTAAAAATGGAGATATCAGTAATATTACTCTCGCTGCTCGCACTTTCAATGTGCCGCGTTTAACTCTCCGCCGCCGCCTTAGCGGCGTCTAAGACCGCGCGACTTCTCGCGCTAATTCGTATAAATTGACAGAACTTGAAGAGGAATCTCTTGAAAAATGGATTATCTCTATGGATTCTCGTGGAGCAGCCCCCCGGCCCTCTTCCGTACGAGAAATGGCGGATCTTCTTCTTTAACAACGTAGAACTACCCCGGTTCTTTCGGTCGGCGAAAATTGGGTTACGAAATTCGTGAAACGATATCCTCTCCTCTCCTCCCGATTCTCGAAACGGTATAATTACGAGCGTGCGAAATACGAAGACCCTAAAATCATTGGGGAGTGGTTTAATCTGGTTCAAAAGACGATCCTTCAATTTGGAATCGACCCCGATGACGTTTATAACTTTAACGAGACCGGTTTCGCGTTAGGATTAACCGCGACCGCGAAGGTTATTACGAGAAGTGATATAACCGGTCGGCGTAAGACTTTATAACCTGGAACTCGCGAGTGGGTGACAGTAATTGAATGTACGGGTACTTCTAGTTAGGTACTTCCTCTGTGTGTGATTTTTAAAGGCAAAGTCTTCCTCGAATCTTAGTTTAAAAGCGTCCCGAATAACTAGCGCTTTAAAGTAAGCCCTAACGGTTAGACTTCGGATAAAATTGGACTTCGTTAGCTCGAAAAGCTCTTTATTCCTTCGACTTCTTCGCGTACGAAGGGGAGGTATCGGCTTCTAGTACTCGACGGTCACAGAAGCTATTTAACACCGAAGTTCGACGAAATCTGCGAACAAAATAGTATTATACCAATTTGTATACCTCTGTATTCCTCTCACCTTTTATAACCTCTCGATATCGGCTGTTTTGCGGTACTAAAACGTGCGTACGGTCGGTTTGTTGAATTTAAAATACGGAGTGGGATAAATCATATCGATAAACTTAACTTCCTCGAAGTATACCCACTTATACGAATTGAAGCTTTTAAATCAGAGACTATTAAAAATAGCTTCGGAGCAGCTGGCTTAATACCTTTTGCACCCGATCGAGTGATTTCAAAGCTTAATATTCGTCTTCGAACCCCGACCCCCCCTCCGAGCCGGGGTAGTGATTGGGACCCAAAAACCCCTTCGAACTACGTCCAATTACAAAAATAAGCTTCGTCAATTAAAGTATTGCTTCGTATAAGATCAAGGAGCCCTCTAAGTCCTCTCAATTCCGCTATAAACTAGGTTTTAAAGGTGTACTAGATCACTATACAATCCGCCGTACTTCTTGAGAAAGAAGTAAGCGATTTACGCGCCGCCAACGAGAAGCAGAAGCAAAAGCGCACTCGATCCCGAAGGCAGATACCCGCCGAAGAAGGCCTCTCAGTTCAAGAAGTATCTGCATTAATTATGCAGCAACTGGAAGCAACTGAAGCACCTTCCCCCGCCGCCGGCATACCTAGAGAATCGGGTTTACAACCACGTACAAAGCCCCCCCGGGGATATGGAATATACAGATTGCCAGGGTATAGAAGAGAAACATATCCAGATAGACCAATTAGTTAGTTGAATTAATTTAATGGAGTTTTGGTTGAGAAAAATGCATTTAAATTTAATATGTAGGGTTGGGGTGGCCACTCGGTGGTTGTGGCCACTCGGTGGTGAAATACGTTAACTTTCCTTCATAGAGCCTGCATTTGTGGAATTATCAGAAGCATTGAACTGGGCGGGCTGTCTAGCCCCAATTACACCGGTAACCTACTTCATAATCTCGCAATCCCTATGTACCTCTAATTTCCAATTTGTCTCTTCTCTAGAGGCCACCGTTGACTTCATAATTTGGTCCGCTGTTGAGCTGGCTGTCACCCTTACCTGCGTTGGCATCCCCACCATCCGCCCTCTATATCGCACTATCGTCCATGGATCGCATCTGGAGAGTGCGGATGATAGATATCTCCAACATGGAGACTCTAATCATTACACTCGATTTCGTATGCGGAGCCTAGCGAAGGACACTACATCTTTTAATGTTGTACCGAGTTGTATATTACTCGTTATAGCTGGAGTGATGAAGAGATCCTAGTAGGTCAGCATGCAAACTGTGCTGATGATATTAGTATCTAGGACGAAATGCGAATAGAGAGAATAGCCACGGTCCCCCCGAAAGATTTATAGTCCATATACTTTATAGTATAGCAGAAGAAAATAGATATCTTCTTTTATAGTTCTAAGAGGTAGAGAAAATGAATAGAGCAATGAATATAACCTTGAAACTACCTTGAAACTACCTTGAAACTACCTATTTATATACAATGATATGTAGGTTAAGCTTAATATAAAATCTGACCAGTGATAATTTATATGGTTGCCTGCTGGGTCCTAACTTTCTCAATTTTCCATTTCCCCAACCTCCACTGCTTTTCAGCCCTATAGCCTCTTATCTTTGAAGGTAGGATGTCCCCTTTCTGAAGTTCTCAGGGCATTTCTTTTTTTCTTATCTCTTTCGGACTTGACTGACAATCTCCAGATAAGCCTCTGCCCTCCGTCATGGCTGTCACCTCTATTTCAACCCCATTCGACTGTACCCTTCCTTCTAGCCCCGGTAGCTCCGTTAAAAAGCCGATCAAATCGGTCTCTAAGCCATGCTTTGGTTGTGACTGTGGCGATGAAGAGTGCGACTGTTGTATATGCACTGTGATGTGAGGTGCCATTCATCTCAATCTCCCTTGATATGGATTTTCATTGGGAATTCCGGTGGTAAATGGTCCGGTCGCATCTGGAGGGATCAAAACAAGGAAAATAAATGGAGAATATGTGTGGACCAGGGTCTAAGGGCATTGGGAATACTGCATTTGATTTCATTCCCGTTTCTGATGATCGGGTAACCCGTGCGACACCCCAAGTACATCCTTGTATGCATTATTGTTCAATGGAGGGCTATGTTTAACATGCATTTTACATAAACCAATATATCTATAAACATCATACGAGACATCATACAATTCATATCCATGGATATATGCCTGAGGCGTATAAAAGCTGAGTCAGCAGTTGTTTTGTCAGCGGTCTTTTTGTCAGCGGCTTTCGGGACCCTGGGGCCAGCCATTTCCACCTCCCGAGGAATCTTAGGTTGAGCTTAATTTCCCTGAAGGCATTACAGACCATACAATGTACCCAGCATCAAATGCTTCGGACGATCAGCCGCGGACACGGACTGCACGTGCCTGTGATTCCTGTTACAAAAGAAAGGTAAACCGTTCATCATCAACTCTAGATCCCGTCACTAAACTGGTCCAGATTAAATGTGATGCCGCCCTTCCGCAGTGTAATTGGTGCAGCCACCATAATATTCCCTGCACATTCGACAGAGTAGTGCAGAGGAAAAGAAAACACGCCGATGATGACGGGTGAGTCTGTACCTCCAGCTTGTTTTTATATGTATCTGACGTTGAAGACAAGGCGCCCCAAAGTTTCTCGACTATCGGAGCGAATTAGTCGCATCGAGCAGCTTCTTGCAGAGAACTTAAGGGGTAATCAAATTTCTGGTATAGTATCTCTTCAATATGTAGACCTAGTAGCACCCCGCGACTAATTGGCAGCAGTGCCTAGAGACTCGCCTCAATCTTTAGAAGCTAGCACGACGACCAACACAACGGCCAGCAACTCCCCAGGCAACACTCAGCCTCACATTCAGCCTCCAGACTCATCATCGTCGGTGCGAGTTCACTTTGCAGGCAAAGCGTTGGGTGTCATCAGCTTCCTCACGGGCACGCCGTTCCTCTTCCCCGAGGGACAAGAATGGATCAAAGCTCGCACCGGGCAGCATGTTGCAATTGAAAAACTTTGTCCAGCGCGAGCGCCTTGGGATAAAGAGCGCGGACAAAGCTTCAACACTTTTTTGATGAACATGAACACTTGCAATCCCTATGAACTTCCTGACCGGGAAACAGTGCAAATGTACTTCCAGGCATATAAGAGTTCCAGAGTGATGCGGCGCATATTTCCTATTATAGACCCGGAGCTCTTCGAGGAGACCCTTCATACGGCTTACAGTCAATTTTCATCTACCTTCAAATATGATCAAGCTAGCGCCAGGGTTTGTGTCATTGCATTTGTTATCTTCGTTTCTCGCCTACCTGATCTCAATGACAAAGTCAGCGCGAGTACTATGTCTGCCACTCCAATCAATCATGATCAACTTGCAACCAAGGCACAATTTTTGATGTCTCAGGTATTACAAGAATCTGCCAATTTGGATGCAGCGCAAGCTATTACCATATTGGTAAGTGAGCCATTCTAGTGTAAAATTCCGATAACTGACCGGTGAATACATAGACTCTCTTCGAGCTATCTTCGGGAAATATGCGGACAACTAATTACTTCGGAGCGATTGCTACGCGACTCATTTTCATGCTTGGTGGCAATCTTTCTAACAGTCACGCCATCTTGACGGATAAGCGCAGCGAGCAAAAGCATACACAACTACGGAATCTATTCTGGATTTGCTACACGATTGATAAAGACCTTGCACTACGCACGGGTCAGCCGCCTACTATCATCGATGAAAATTGTGATCTGACACTTCCGCCGGGCTATCTCGACCGAGCATTCTTGGACGTGGAAAATGAGGACCCATGGTACGGTCCAGTATTTCCATTTGACTTGCGTCTGAGTATCATCAAAGCCCGGGCGCATCGAGAGCTATATTCAGTCAGCTGCCTCCAAAAATCAGACGCCGAGCTCCTCAAGTCAATCCGAGAACTCGATGATGCGCTAGAGGAATGGCGGCTATCAGTCCCTCCTGAATGGCGTCCAACCATGTCCTTTTCTTCAGAGACGTCCGATCCGAACATGGGTATGCAAACTGTCATGCTCCGTCTAAACTATCATCTATGTATGACCATCATTCATCAAGCGAGTGGGAGATGCAAGGCGTGGATGCAAGGACAAAGTGGCATGATGGATGGAGTGAGTTCAAGTATGGCACTTTCAGTAGAGGCCAGTCGATCAAGTCTTTGTTACCTCGAGGCTGCAGAACACGTGGTAGTCGACGGAGTTTTTTGGTATGTGATTCTTGTGCTATCTGGAACCCAAGCTAATTCGTCAAAGGACTCTAATCTTCTACCCAATTTCCGCACTGCTCACCATCTTCTGCAGCATTCTCCAGAACCCATTGGACCCACATTCACGCGAAGACTTGGGCCGATTGAATGTCGCCACAGTTATGATGGAGCGTATCTTCTCGCGGAAACTGCCTGAATCTGAGCTTGTACACTTCAAATTGGTCGCCGATTTCATTGTGGAATTGAAAAGATTGGCCGAGTGTGCCATTGACAAGGCTTGGGCGGAGCAGCGCGCCGCCTCTCATTGATTTGTAAATTGGTTTCTTCTATTGCTTTACGGGTCGAGACATTGGCTGCACTTTAGCGTGAGGAGTTTATTGGCTGCGATGCGATACTTAGAACTGACCAAGATATTAATATTGATAGAAAAAGGAACGGGTGGTCATTTAGATTGCATTCGGAAGAGATGGTCGGAGTAATGTTCAATAGGATGGTATCTCATGTATTCTGCAGTCTCTAATTGTAAGCAAGAATTCTGGTAGAGATTCACCGAAAATCGGCATGTTGCTGGCTCCTCGGGTGTGATGTAATTGGATTTAGAGGTAATTGATCTCAGTGTTCCAAAAAGCAAGGTGCCGTTGGTGATTGGAAATTGTTAGAACATCGGATAATGTCCCTAAGATATTGGTATAGTCAAATATCTGCCTTGAAATAACGCGAAGCGTGTGATGGTTCAATCGACACATCAGGGCGTGATATTTGACAGCCCGCTGAGCTCGTATTCCCAAAGATATTTGACCGAGGGATATTTTGTTGGATGCCGATGAGCCCTCGGTCTGAGATTCTTCTACATGGGGCCATTCCACGACGAGGTTGAGATTTGGTCATAGTTGAACACGTAGCCCAGGAAAATCCAGCCATTTGACACGGAGAGAATAATGCTGTGCGAATTCAGAAAAAAACAAGTCGCTGGTAGATTCAGTTTTCTTTGTCCAGTAGATCCCAGATTAACCGAGAATGCTCATCGGCCTTTTCTTTCAGCACTTTCGCCTGGTCGGTATCGTCTGCTGAGCCATTGGCACTTACGCGGCTGCCCTCCGCTTGCAATTGTTCTAATACGCCCTCAACTTCCGCTTTGACTTTGTCCATTTGTTTCATTTCCTCTCGGCTGTGATTGAGCTGCTCTTCCATCATCATGATGAGTGATTCACGGGCTTGGTGGGGACGGTAGAGGTTGAGAAGATGGTGCGCATTGATGAATAAGTTGCGCAAGTCTTCGACCTTAGATTCGAATTGTTCCGGCGAAACCGATAAGATACCAGCAAATTCTAGGAAATTAAGGAGCAGGGACTTGCTGATCTTGAGAAGATAGTATGCGTGATTGAGAGGGGGTGAGGGCTGCGAGTTCTGTTCGATACCGGCTGCGGGGGGTTCTGGGTAGAGCTGTTCAATTCCTTGCTCTTGTAATGATGGCAGTGCTGTAGATAGCTATTTCAGAGTCAGTATTGTCGGATACAGAGCTCAGACAGCAGGGAAACGAACGGTTTGCAATTCCCCAAAGACACAGTATTGTCCTTCAGGGATGTCGGGTGGCACCAGATACCGAAGCTCTGAGGGTAACTCTAGAGCGCGCAATTCCGCTGATGACCATTGCTTGTTTTTATTCAACCGTCCATCTTCACCCTTGGAAGCTTCAGCTTTGATCTGCTCCACCTTGTCGATATTCTCGCGCGTAAAGTGTTTCCATAAGGGCGGCGGGGGTGCAAATGCCGTGTTCACGGCTCGTTGTTGGCTCTCTTCAGCCATATCGATCAGCACGATGGTAATGGATGTGAGAAAAGAAACAAAAGTGAGCAGAGTTGGAAGTTATGTTTGCGAAAGACAAAAGTGGAGAGAGAGAAGCGGTGACGTGGTCTGTGCTTCCGCAATGTGTCGGATGTCAACTTGACCTTCTTCAATCTCTCGACATGTCCCCAGTGAGGATCTGAAGATCTCTCTGAAGTCCTCGGGAGCTGTGCAGGATGCCTCACAATAGTTCGGGGCACGGGTCGACCCCGATTCTACAACGCGTTGGACTCGCTGGTGCTGCAGCTCGCTTTGCGCAACGCACCTATGCCGCCGACTATATTGCATTGGGGTTTCTAGTGGTAGGATGGGTACTAGTAAGTCCAAAATGATATTAATAATAGATATACGAACAGTTCTTTTTGACGCACGAATAGATTCAATTATTCGTGAACCCGTTTCATCGCATGTTCTCGCTGGATAACAGAGCCATTCAGTACCCGTTTGCTGTCCACGAACGAGTTCCTGTTTGTAAGTCATTTTTAAAGGGTACAGTCAGCTCTTCGTGGTTCTAACAGGGAGTACTAGTGTGGTCGGTCGTCTTTGCTGGTCTGATTCCTTTCCTGGTTATTCTTGCTTGGTCTGCGATATTTCGCGCCGGCGTGCAAAAGACGCAAGTGACAGTACTCGGGCTACTCGTGGCTTTGATGTTGACCTCATTCCTGACGGACATAATAAAAAATGCGGCAGGGAGACCACGTCCGGACTTGTTGTCGCGCTGCAAACCCTCCCGGGGTACTTCGAACAAGGTGCTGGTCGCATGGACCGTCTGCACAGAATCAAACCAGCACATTCTGCAAGAGGGATGGAGGAGCTTCCCTAGTGGGCATAGCAGCTTCTCTTTTGGTGGTCTAGGTTATCTATATCTGTAAGTGGTTCTTCAAACGCACGGCGCTGGGGCGCTCAATCTGATAACTGTGACCCTATAGCTTCTTGTGTGGTCAAATGCATGTCTTCCGCCCTCGAACGGATCTTGGACGCTGTTTACTTGCGTTTTTCCCATTACTGTGTGCTTTGATGGTCGCCCTCTCCCGTCTGGCCGATTACCGACATGATGTATATGATGTGACGTGTGGGGGGCTCTTGGGCATGTTGATAGCCTGGTTCTCATACCGCCGCTACTATCCACCGCTGCGGTCGGTCATGTGTGACGTTCCCTATGACAAAGCCGATCTTGCTGGACCGGATGGCTTTGCTAAATTAGGCGATGAAGAGGATCTTGCACGGCCCTTCATTCCACGCGCTGGACCCTTGTCAGATGAAAGCTATCAACTCCAGGACACAGAGCCATCTCGATGAACGTACCACTTTTAGACACCATATCATATTTCTGCCCTGGTGTATGCACTTGCATGATTCAGAGGCTTTTGCTGCTGAACCCTTGTCTCAAAGACATTTGAAAGGGAACAACATCGGTCCAGCTTTGACATTGTCCCATTGCTCTCACACGTACTGTAAAACCTTGTATCACATTACGGAGGTGGAAAGCAACTCGAGATGAGTTCTTATAATATTATTATAGTCTATTGCTCTGCTCACTCTCTGTTTATATGCTATTCCTAAAATTTAGACATGGAACAAACGTATCAACATCATTTTACCACATAGCTTACTCGCGAGTTTCCTTGTTTTCTTGAAATCTTCTTCACCGTCACAGGTCCACACAAATCTGTCGTGTCGACATGCGTGCCTCCGCAAGGGTACACTTCGGCGCCGACGATATTGACAACACGGGACTTTTCCCCTTCAGGCACCAGACTGCGATCAGGAATCAATCGCTCCAGTCCACGTGAGCGGAAATCCTCCTCATCCCACCATTCAATTTGAACAGGCATCTTGGCAGCGACATATCCATCCAACTTGTTCTGAATAGATTCCTTCCATTTTCCTTCAATTGAGCCTTGGAACTCACACGCGGCCGAATCAGGGAAATGCGAAGCTTTCAGTTCATCGAAATTCCTAATCTCTTTCTCCAAGAGATGCCGGACTGCTGAGCCCAATACGTGGCCCGCAGTATGCAAACGGGAATATAGTAGACGCTTTTCCACATCGATTGCCTGCTCAACGGTCTCGCCTTTTTTTAAAGCGGATGAGCCCTCAAAGAGACCGAGGTGAAGCACCTGTCCCCTAGGATTCATACGAACGGCTGTGACTGTAAAAGTGCTAGATGGGCTCTTCAAGACGCCTGTATCAGAGGGTTGGCCGCCACCTTGGGGGTGAAAAATAGTTTCCTCGGTGACAATGACATGATGTTCCGTGGTGGCATCTTTGAAGAGTAGACGATTGGATTCCTCGAGGGCATTGAAAGGGAAAACATCAGTAACCGTGGTTTCAATAATATTGAGATTGGCATCATGCTGGAAGACTAGAATTGTGCGAGTTGAGGCCATATCAGTTTCAGTTGAATATTTGGATATACAAGGGAGAAAGGAGGTGGGGTGAATGCGGGGGGAAGAGGAAAAGGGGGAATAACAGGAATTGGCCAAATATTAAAGGTATCCTGCAAATCCCTACTTGTAAATAAGATCATACTCATTCTGCTTCTAATTGTATAAATAAATGATGCTGGGTTGTTACCGTTGAGTATAATACACTCATATAATCACATAGCATGATTCCCGTTCGTTTACAAGTTGTTATATATAAGCTTGGAGCAAATAATTCGAGTTCATGGATAACTCAGTACTATTTATGATCATATTAAAAGACTTATTGAAATCATTGCTTACTAGAGACCAAAATACTTCCGTTCTAACCTTAAGAGTTGAAGATAATCGTTACCCCGGCTATTCTTTACCTTAGCGATTGACCAGCCAATCTTTTCGGTTATTCTTATATCTTCACGAATAACGTACATTCGATTACCTTGGCTTGTCTATTGGAACTGGAATTATAAAAGTCAGAATTCATCACTCTGTCTTCATTGTCCTCATTTACTTCTTACATATTACTTCCATTATGTCTGATCCACACCCTTTTGATCCTCTTGGACCCCAGGAAATCACCAAGGTAGCTTCTCTCTATCGAGCAAAATTTCAATACTCTGCATAATAACCATATTGTAGGCAGCAAAAGTTGCTCAAGAGCTACTCCATGGAAAATATCTCAACTTTCGCGTCATCACCTTGAAAGAGCCACCAAAGCAGGAGATGATACCATACTTGAAGAGAGAACATCTTGAACAGCCCCAAGTCTCTCGACCTGCTCGTATCGCTCATATTCAAGCCATCGTTCATGATGAATCTGGGCCAAATAAACTCACTGAACTTCTGATTGATCTGGACCAGAGTGCTGTCGTTAAACAAGAGATCCTTGTGGGAAAACACTCGTTTATTGACTCGGCTTACATGAAAGATGTTGAGAATATTTGCATGGCAGATAAAAGGGTGCAAATTGAAATTAAAAAGTTGAAGCTACCTGAAGGAGCCTCGGTCGTTGTTGAACCGTGGGCTTATGCTACTGATGGGATGAACGACATGTCGGAGCGGACTAGCATGGTCAGAACATCTCTGACGGTATTTACAATATCTCAATCCCAGCTAACATAGATACATAGTGTTGGTTCTATATGCGACTATTGGACAATCCCGACGCCAACTATTATGCATACCCGCTTGACTTGTGCGCGGAGGTCTCTGAGCAACTCAAAGTGACCAAGGTCTACCATTTGCCTTCGTCGGAGAGCGAGAGACTTCATGAAGAAGCACAGCCATATGACCCCTGCAAAATCCATCCCACTGCAATGAGTGAATATCATCCCAGTCTACGGCCACCGCCACGCAAAACCACTAAGCCCTACCAGGTTGTCCAGCCAGAAGGGGTTTCCTTCAAGTCACATGGAAACCTGTTGGCCTGGGAGAAATGGACTATGCGCGTGGGTTTCAATTATCGCGAGGGTATCACCTTACATGACATCCGTTATGACAGTCGAAGTCTCTTCTACCGACTGTCTTTGGCAGAGATGTTTGTGCCTTACGGTGATCCGCGTGCACCGTTTCCCCGCAAAGCAGCATTTGACCTTGGGAACGATGGTGCTGGGATTAATGCAAACAACTTATCTCTTGGGTGTGATTGTCTAGGGCTGATCAAGTATTTTGACGGATGGCACAACACTTCCTCAGGTGAACCATTGAAATTGCCCAATGTTATCTGTTGCCATGAGCAAGACGATGGGATCTTATGGAAGCACACAAACTTCCGCACAGGAAATGCTGCAGTGGTGAGATCACGTATTTTGGTCTTACAGACAATCATCACAGTCAGCAACTATGAGTATATCTTTGCTTTCCACTTTGGCCAAGATGCTTCAATTCATTATGAAGTTCGGGCCACTGGGATCTTGTCTACCAGTCCTATCAGCATTGGTGATAAAGTTGGATATGGTACTATTGTTGCACCGGGTGTCCTTGCTCCATATCACCAACACTTATTCTCTCTTCGCATCGATCCTGCGATTGATGGAGTTACAAACTCATTGCAGGTTGAGGAGTCTTACTCTTTGCCTTTTAACGATCCATCCGTTCGAAATCATTTCGGGGTCGGGTACACAACACATTCAGAGATTGTGACGGAGGAGGGGGGGCTAGATCTCGATTTCAACAAAAACCGCACATTCAAGATCATCAATGAGGCGAGAATCAATCCTATAACTGGTACGCCTGTTGGATTCAAAATCGTTCCATGCTATAGCCAACTGCTACTGGCCCATCCGGAGTCTTTCCATGCAAAGCGATCTGAATATGGAAACCATGCAATCTGGGTGACTCGCTATAACGATGACGAGCTATTTCCGGCTGGAAAACATACTATGCAGTCCCTGGGGGGCGAAGGGATCAACTCGACTATTGCTCAGCGGAAAAATGACCCTGACTCCAAGTCAACAGTGCGAAACGAAGACATTGTTATTTGGCACACATTTGGGTCGACGCACAATCCAAGAATTGAGGATTGGCCAGTGATGCCATCTGAAAAGATGGTGGTTGGTCTCAAACCGGTCAACTTCTTTACAGGAAATCCGAGTTTAGATGTCGCTGTATCAAATCAACAGGATAACCAGAGTAGACTTGTTGAGTTGGAGTCAATATCAGCATGTTTTTCTCCATTTCATTCCAATTGAAAGTGTGAATTGACAAAGACAAAGTTGAGATTATCATAGGTAGGCGGGTGGATCCTGAAGTGTCGGGTCGTCTTTCCCCTCTTAGGTTCTCCAGGGCTCGAAGTTCTCTCTTTATAAATTCATAACCCCTTGGCCTTCACCTATTTCTTTCACTTAGATTACAATTTCACGCTTAAATCCAATTCAAATGGCCGCCTCTCGGAAACCAAATGTCAAAATTCTACTCTCCGTGGATTTCGATGCTGTTTCGGGCTTTCTAGGAACTGGTGCTTCGGCTACAACCAATCTGGCCGATTACAGCAGTGGCTTTTTCGCAGCTCAAGTTGGAGTACCACGCTTATTGCGCCTCTTTAAGAAACATGGAATCAGTTCCTCCGTGACTTGGTTTGTGCCTGGTCATTCAATGGAATCATTCCCAGAGGAGACCAAAGCAATTGTTCAGTCGGGCGCCGAAATCGGTTGTCATGGATATGCACACGAGGGCTCTACTCAAATGACCGAATCACAGGAAAGAGAAGTTATAGCCAAATGTGTGCAGTTGGCAACAAACTTGACTGGAAAAAAACCTCGAGGATGGAGGGCGCCATTATATCAGTTGCGAACACACACCGTTCAAGTTCTAGAAGAGTTTGGATTTTTATACGGTACACTACTTTGCTGATATAATATGTCTACAGGCAAGCTAAATTTAGACCAGACTCCTCTCTCACGCATCATGATTCGTCGTTGTACTTTGTCCCTCGAATGGCAGAGCCCAAGGCCATTGACTTCTCGCCTTCCAAGTCTGCTTCTACTTGGATGAAGCCTCTTCCTGCCCCTGCAGCTAGAACTCCCCAAACTCTGGTCGAAATTCCGTGCAATTGGTATATGGAGGATATGACGCCGATGCAATTTCTCCCAGCGGCAGAGAACTCGCATGGGTTTGTCAGCCCGATCACCATTGAGCAGAATTGGAAGTCGCGGTTTGAGTTCCTCTACAGTGAGGCCCTCGAAAAATCAATTGAGGAAGATGCTGAGCAAGGCTTTGTCTTCCCTTTGGTCCTGCATCCAGATACAAGTGGAATGGCTCATGTGGTTGGGATGATTGACCGAATGATTTTGTGGCTCAAACAGCAAGACGAGGTTGAATTTGTGACATTTGGCGAGTGTGCGGCAGAGTGGAAAAGGAATCATATTTAAGTATAATCTCCAAACTAAATATATATCCAACTATATGTATAGATATCATAGCCCTATGTAGATACATGTAGGTAGAACACAGTAAATGAGTTGGAGATTTGGCGGGGGTGGCCAAAGACCCTTATCCGCCACTTTGCCCCAATTTTCTTTGCACAACTTCAACTTTCACATACACTATCTTGGCCCAGATCGACTCATACCATGTGAAGTTCATATATCCATTGGAACTCGTATGCCACGAAGAAAGGTTGCAGACCGCACAGGTCCGGTGAAGACCCGATCTCGCGATGGCTGCAAAGAATGTCGGGCGAGTCGTGTCCGATGTGACATCAAAAAGCCGATTTGTACCCGGTGTTGGGAGAAAGGATTGCCATGCATGAAGAATCTGGTTTTAAAATGGGAGTCGGAGTTTATCAGTCGTGGAGTGGCTTTTGGGCGTGCAGGTGTTTGGAGCAAAACCGGCGCAAATCAACCTACCCAAGGCTCGCTTTCTTCGGAAATGCAGTGGTGCCCAGTGCCAAATATCAGCCCTTGGGGGTTCATAAATAGCGGCATTTCGACATTCGACCGTCCAGATGAAGTGAACGTCGAATTTGACGAGTTGAATGCACTAATTCCAGTTGCTCAAAGCTTCAATTCGCCATTTTTCAGAAACCAACTATGGTATTGGTTACAACATTTCCCAGATCTCAGTGGGCTTAGCACACATTTCAACCCAAGCCTTCCGCCGTCTCTTGCGTTGTTTCCTGAGCTATCCAAATCTGGGCACGGAGAGTTATTTGATTACTATCTTCAAGAAGTGTGCCCTCGCACAGCCGCCAGCTCTGCGTTTTCTTCGCCGTTTGCCTCTGTGGTTCTTCCATTCTGCTTATCAGCTTCTCCTACGCTCTTCAAAGCCATTCAAGCATTGGGGGCATGCCACTTATCAAGGCTTAATCCAAGCTATGGTGCAATCAGTCTGCGTTATAAATCAGAGGCTTTGAGGGACCTTCGTCAACGTCTTTCATCAGAGGGGAGTTTGATATGCTCAATGGATCCCGAAGTTCTGGTTATCATGATCATGCTATGTCTATACGAGATAGTGGACAAGTGCGATCAACAATGGACCATCCATCTCAAAGGCGCCAACGATTTAATTCGACTACGAAGAAAGCAGCAGATGATATTCGCGCAGCCAATGGCCCCATCGGATCCTGTGACAAGATTTGCAGAGCAATTCTTTGCCTTCCAGGATGTCATGGGTCGAACTGCTTGCGCCAAAGAGGTCTTGTTCGGTACAGACTACTGGAAACCGGACGAACGCAATATCGATCTTTGGATGGGATGCAGTCCTGAATTGGTCTCAATCCTGGCCAAAATCACAGATATGAGTCGAACAAGGAGACAAAATACATCTGATGCGGACAAGGCATCGTTCTCACTACGTGCGGCCTCCCTTGAACGCCAACTAGAGAACTTAGTTCAAGAGGTGGGAGAGGGTGATGATGAAATTCTTGCACTAGTTGCAGATTCTAAGCGATTGGCTGCAATGCTTTACTTGCATTGCTCTCTCCATGGGGCTAGTCCCACCACACCTTTAGTGAAGAGTTATGTGCGCCAGATTCTGCGACTCATATCGGACCTTCTTGATCGTAAATCACTGGTCAATGTGACATGGCCTATCTTCGTATCGGCAGTAGAGCTTGACCCATATGATGATGAACTCTTCCCGGAGCCAGGAATTAAATCAGGCTCGGGACGAGCGATTGTGCTACGTTCTCTAGCAACAATGGCCGATTCAACGATCTCAAACATTGCCAGAACACGGGCAGTGATCACCAAACTATGGCAGACACGAGATTCAGATTTGATCAAGGGAGCTGCGATGCAGAATCAGTGCAATGATTGGGAATGGTATGTGGTGCCAATCAGCAATGCCATGAGTCTAGCGTGAGGGCGTGCGCGAGGGCGTGCGCGAGAAGGAATGAGCATGTTAAATCTTCTGTACACTGGAAAAAACACTGAATGATTGATTCATTATATACCTTCTCAGTTTGTTTGTACATCCTATGCGCATGGAAAGGATATAATTGTACAATATATAGATTGCTCACTACAATCTTGGAGGAAAGCATGTAGAACAGAAAAGCGCGTCCGGATTAGGTTAGCGCGCTGTCATCTGATCTCGTTAACCACTCAGAGCCAGCGACCTGCAATGTAATGTAGACCTCACATCGACCCGAATACTGTGTATATCCTCTTATTACTCACATCGCATGTGCTCTCAAGGCATTAATTGTGATTTTGAACTCATTTTCTTGCCTCAGTGCCAACGAATGATGCCCTTCACTGTGCGCCCTTACTCTGTATTGCTAAATCAGACGAAAGCGACTTGAATATGGCGCAGGTGCGACCACCAGCGCCGGGGCGCAGTGCGTCGGCTCATGGATTTGAAAGCAAACTCAGTCAACAATTAGCTCAACCTCACCAAACAGACCTAGGACACCAACTTGAACCGTCGCGCTCTCCCAAGTCGCGTTCATTATCTGATGCATCCAGACCTACCTCCTCCACTCAACCATCCACTGGTGATCTCAGTCGGCCACCAAGCAAAGACGATAACGCAATACCCGCTATCCCTGCAACACCTCGAAGATCAAGTGCTTCTCATTTGAACCTCTCGCTAGACTTGCATTCCAAACCCGCCGTGTCGCCATCACTTACGAACCGCGCCCCTCTCTCTCCTAAACTTGACCCATCACATATCTACGGATCTCCAGGATCCGTTCTTCCTCGACGATCTCGGGGCCTCGATTTTTCTCGCGCATGTACGAACCTCCACCATTCTACTCTAGCCGAGTCATCCCCAGATTCGTCTCCCATCGTTGGAGGGCGGGGCATGGCCATACCCCAGCGACGCGGATCACTTGGAGCGACATCCGTCCCACCTTTCTCAACCTCAGGCCCGGCGGATCGTACGACAATCTCGAGTTCCATGTCAAGCGTGAATATGATGGAGTCGGACACAAGTAGTAGCGAGGAGGAAGATGAGTCGATGGCTGATCGCGACGATATTATGATCAATACGCCGCAGGCGACTCGTATAAGTGCGCCAAGTCCGTTTGCTAGCAATATTCAGAGTCCAGGCAACGAGTGGATGGGAGGATATTCGCAAGCTGCTGCCAGCTTAATGAGTTTCCAACGCGCGCGCTTTCGCAAAGGTCGTAGTCGCCACAGTTCTAGCAGTGCGAGCGGAAACAGTTCAAAGCATAGTCCTGCCCCTCACTCTCCACCCATAATGAAGAGTGTAGAGCATTCTAGTGGAGGCTATTTTGCCCCGCGACAGACTGCACATTCCCGCAGAGAGAGCCTCAGCTTCGGTGCACGCGACCTGCGTTTGTCCGATATGAGTGACGATGGCGAGAGTCGCACGACGCGGAGTGGAAGCCCAATTCCCATCCCACATCCGGAAGGTGGTGGTCCCCTAGGAGTAATTCGTCGCGCAGTGACCCGACGTGGGAGCTTACTTGTAAGTTGGTGCCTTTCTGCTCCAGTGATCTAAGAGCTGACTCCAGTGACAGCCCAAAACCAAGACATTTGCGCGTATTCGCGCCGCTCTGATGGAGGAGGGTGCTCCAGTTGATAGCGATATGAAACGAGAAGCAGAAGTGGTCCGACAGGTCCGCGACACCGAACCTGAATCAACCCCTGCACTCGGCGAGTTCCCATCGTTACAGCCCTCGGCCTCGTTTGATTCAACACCATTAGAAGATCCCGCTGTCAAAAGTGGAATGGACATAACATCTACGGATACTTTTGGTAAGCAAGCTAGTCGTAACTCGGGCGGTGTCGCGTTTTGGAACTCGTTTGATGGACGATACCGAACCCCTCCCCCAGTTCGTCAGGAAGGTCCCTCGTCTTTGGCAGATGAGGATATGTTTATGGATATGACTCCGTCCACAACCATAGGCTCTGTTACAACGGAATCCTTCAAGCAACGTTCCCGCTCTTCCACCCCCCATGCCCCAGGTATACCAAGTATTGGGGATATTTGTCGCAAGCGGCGTCGTGACGATGACTTTGATCCTAATCTTTTCAAGCGCCGAGCTGTTTCGCCCAGTGTAAGCGTGCAGAGTAGTCCAGTGATGACTCACTCCCACAATGTCAGTGATTTGGGCCCTAATATCTGGGGTCCGCCGCCAAAACCCGGTCTCGGCGCACCGTTCTCTGAACGACTCAGCGCCGAATCGAGCAATCGAACGATATCTCATGCTGGAGGTATTAAACGCGTTGGCCTACAAGGGATGACCGAAGCCAGCGATGGTTTTATGAATATGAGTATTGATTGAAAGAAGCTTTTGGATTTGCGCGGAATTTGATATTCTTCGTTATGCGCTCTCGGGGTTACAGGCATTGTGTTTTCTTTAGGAAGGGTTTCAAGGGCATGGTGTTATTTGGATATGGATATTTCAAGGAAGATGCACATTCGTTATTCCAGCGATTTTTCAGATACCTCATGCCATATTACTTTATGCATAATTTCACTGTACACAAGTTGATGTCTACATACTACTATGTACTCCGTATACGTACATACTATGTAGTTCCAGTCTGGAATGTATGAATGTATCTCCAGGGCTAGGCCACGTGCTTATCGCTCTCCGCCTCCGACAGCTCTCTTTCTCTCCGCAGACTCTAGACAACCGCTTCATAGGCTAGAGTAGTTCTTAAGGACTTCGATTGCGCTTGAACATCTTGTTCAATATCTGAATACCTTGATCGTATTTTCTTACGCCATGGCTTCCACTGTTGAACTGGCATCCTCCTTCATCGAGGGTGCCCCGCCCGGAGAGGTATGCACGTCAACAGTGATCCAGGATTCCCAATTCCCCTGGCCACGAAGCTTGAGAGATGATCGCTGACAAACTTAATCCCAGCTCGCCGATGTCGTCGCCGGTAAATAGCCCTCCTAATGCTACGCTGCCTATCCAGATCCCCGCAACACCGACTCTTACACGAATAGCGATGCTGATCCCTACTATTTGATTAGATGTGCAAGCCTTGACTTCCGAGGGCGAGGATATCGTTCCTTCCCTTTTACCTGCTTTCAAACGGTACAATGAGACGCAGCTTGCAACGGTCAAATTGCCGGGATCGAGCCAGGAGGTGGGTTTCCCTCGGGAGTGGTCTATGCATGCGATGAAGCTCACACCTTTACTGGGAAGGTCATTATTAGTTCATTTAACGAGCTCGAGGACAACCGCTACTTTGACCCGAAGAGCCAAACCTCGTTCGAGGTTGATCACACCACACAGGTAGGCTTCATCCGACCAACTGAGGCGGTACATTGAAGGCTTACGGGTTTGCACCATGGCAATAGACTGCCTCTGCGGCACAATCATACCCATTGGAGTCGGAACACGTGGATTTGATGTAAGAAATGATATCGGTTGAAGTTTTGGTGGTATCCCGCTTACCGTGTTTAGCAAATCGCTGATCAAATCGTTCGGTGTTCATGCCCGTGAACACTACCCCAACTGCTCGTATGGTGTCTATCCCATTGAGAATGACTCTGCCGTTGCCATCGTCTTGGTCTCCAACCGATACTCTCCCAACAACTTCTGGTGAGTTGTTACAATCTCTACAAATAATACCTCGGGTGGAAGCTAATCGTGATCGACGCCTCCCCTTCTGGGGTGGATTGTCTATTCTATCACAATAGGAATGGTCGGTTCCGCGCGATTTACCAACTCCCCGTATCCTCCTCGTCCTCTACCCTGACTGGCAACATCCACGTTGACGTGCACTACTACGAAGATGGCAATGTAGCCCTCAACACTACTAAGCCTGTTAACATTCCCATCTCCTCGGTATCCGCCGAGTCAATTGTCTCCCGGATTGCTGCGGCGGAGCGCGATTATCAAGAAGCGCTGAACCGGGCCTTCGTTCAAACATCCGAGGGCGTGTTCAAGGGTCTCCGAAGGCAGCTCCCCATTACGCGACAGAAAGTGGAGTGGGAAAAGGTCGGTGGATATCGTCTGGGTCAGGATATCTCGGGCGGCAAAGGGCGGTAAAGCAGACTTGGAAATATTATCGAGTAGTCTGATGGACTTGCTCGCGGTGAATAGCTGATGGGCTGATATATCCCTACTATTTTGCAATCATTGTCTCATTTTGCGGGTTGGCTATTTTATTTTCATGATTTGCGAAGACAATTATGTGTAATTTGTTTTTGTAATGCTGGACCTCCCGGGCTGTCGCTCTATATATATCTCCCACACACAACTACCAGCCATCTTCAATCACGGTCAGAGTACCCCTGATGAGGTACTGTAAACGATAGTTAGTACCAGATCATACGTAAAGTAATTTATATACATCAATTCTCGAACATGCCGAGGCTGAATAAGCAAATCTACTAGTGCCTAGAGGGGAGATTGGCCCGCCTCCAACCCTCTGACACGCAAGTCCCACCCTTATCCCTCAAGAGTGTATTGTCCCAAGTGCGTGTAGCAGTGCTGTAACGATGATTCAACAATTTTCTCGTTTTGTGAAGTCAGGCGCTGGACTTGAAAAGACCCTTCGTCTAATCCAATGCGTGTCGCAAATCGTCGCTGCACTCACCGTGAGCAGTACCCTGACTGTGCAATTGACTACGGTCAAGCTGCAATTAGCATTAAGTAAGTTGGCTACCATGTCCGATGGCTGGATATGCGCCCCGATTGATCTGATCGTTATATATACTGATTCTGGGGTTGCTGCGTAGCGCGGAGATATTTCCGCTTCTTTGGGTTCATTGACTCCTTCCAGCGCATGTCTGCGTTGTTGGGCAAGGATGGCTTTAGTTCTGTGACTGGGCTGCTTGAACTAGCTAAATGCACTTGCTTTGGCCTTTACTTTGTTCTGGAAGACTTGACCACGGTATGTTGTTTATCGCTTCCCCCGCCAGTGAATAAGACTGACGAAGGGCATAGCTTCATGCAATGGGTGTCTACGCCGTGCCTTGGAATGACCGTGTAATGGAGCAGGCCAATACTTTCTGGTTGTATGCACTCTCTTTCTCTGTTGCTGGAGGTATTTGGGCGCTGCTTGTCAGTCCTGCGGAGCAACCTAAAAAGAATAGCAAGAGAAAGAACCAGAAAACTGCATCTGGGAAGGCTACACTGGTCAAACCGACTGCTGCCTCTTCCCAAATGAAACAGATCGTGGTGGATAGCTGTGATTTGCTTATCCCGCTGGAGCTTCTGGGTTGGATGCCCACCGGGGACGTGGTGGTTGGATCGACCATGGTCTTGAGTACACTACTGACTGCTCAAGATATTTGGGCCCGAGTGTGATTGGAATGTACGTACATGATATAGTAGATACAGTGTGACATTGGTGTCAGATGATAGACATAGAAATCCTACTTGATCTCTCAAGTTGTATAGATCACGTCAATAATATAGTCAATAATGGCTATGAGCAGGACAAAAAAAAACAAAAAAAAGAAAAGAAAAGAAACCAGCAATCACAAATACAAAATTATCAGGATGCATATAGCAAAAGTCCAAAAAAATGGACTTGCAGGGAATCGAACCCTGGACCACTCCCATGCTAAGGGAGTATTATACCACTAAACCACAAGCCCAATTGAATGATGGAGACTGCCCATTAGTGACTCAAGACCGGAAATGAATATAGTTCTGTGCGGGTCTTCCAAGTTAGCCGAAAGCGCTTGCCTCCAATGATAAGGTATCAATAGTTCACAGGGAACAGATATTATGGCTGTGTCCACTATATACCATCTAATAGAATATATATAGAGTCCTCCTCTCTGGAGCAATCAAGGTCTATAAGATAGTATCTTTTTGGGATGCATTGGGCTAATCGCCCGGAACTAAGTTTAGCATTTGAATTGCTTCCTGTCCTGGAGAGACGTGTGGGCTATGCGAGCGAAGCCTAGTAGGTCTATGGTGCATGGAAAAGTAATAAGAAGACATGCCCTAGATATGTATGGGGTATATGTACAACATATGTAGGTCCTATGAACACGAGCGCCAAGAAATACAAGTTTTCCAAAGTTGACAGCCCAAAGCCTAAATAGGAAAGTCTCGTATCGAAATATATATTATGAATTGAATGTCTAGGTCTGTGATGGAGTGGTAATTCAGAGTCATCTACTCCGTCGAGCCAAATCAACCTCGATAATGACTACTCCGTACTACAGCCATTCTTGATCCCACAAAGGCAATGGAGATCCACTCAGCCTTGTCTACAAGGTCTAACAGTACTCTACGAATACTCATCGAAAATCCATCCTCTTTTTGCCTATCACGAATCTTAACCATGAATCCGCAAGGCATTGGCGCCTTTCGTCTCTCACTGCCATCTTACCAAGCTGAGATGATGATCTTTATCTACAATCCAGACGGCACCGAAGCCTACATACCTAATGTCTCCACACCTGGGCAACAAGCGTTGGTTAGGTAATGCCATCCTGTCCCTAGAACGCGGAAGTCTTATCCGAACTGAATACTTCTTTGGTCAGAGCTGTGATCTCGTTATGCACCTGATTCAACCTCTTAGTGATATCTGCGAGGAAGTGATTGTCGCTGGGAAATGGACATTCCGCAAAATGCACTTTGCTATTCCTAGAGGTAGACAGTTTGAATAGGAGTATGCCAAGGAAAAAAAGAGCAGACGGGCAGAAAGTCAATCTGATTGTTTGTTTTTTATGCAGTGGAGGTAGAAAAGGGCGAGTGTAAAGAGACCCAGAGCCACAGGATTGCACGATTAGTTCGCGGAGAGGATTATCGGACGCCCAGCACGTCGTGGTCTTCTGCTGGAAATGGGGGTGAATTGTAAATTGATGAAGCTATGTTACACTCTTTTGAACTGGAGAAGGCGGTTATTGTTGCGACTTGTTTGATGATGTTGAAGGAGATTGACCGATGATTCAATTTGCAATGATCGCGGGAGCTGTTAGTTGAAATTGGCAAGACGAGAATGTATAGAGTGCCTCTGTGTATATTTTAGTTATAGCTTCTTCGGGAATTTTATCCCAACGCTAGTATCTATTCTCTTTATCAGATGTCTGGATATTCTCCCCTCCCCCGCTTCCCCGCTACTCTATAAGCACAAGTTCTTGTTGCGCTCGTTCAATAATTCGGAAATGTGGTCATTTAGCCAGTATATATCCAACTCTTCGATGGACATGCTCTTGGCCCCAGAGATCCAGCCTCTGCAGGCCCCCTCACCTGCCCCGCAGGTACACTGGAATGCCTGGTCCATCTCCCACTCGGTACTGGGGTAGAAGAAGGTGAGGGCATCACCTGCCTTCAAAGGACGATCATCCACGACCCGCACCTCCATGCGGCCCATGTCGAAGACCACTGATGGTGCGCATGAATGATTGCAGTAGACTAGGTCGGAGTTGAGTTCGATATGGGTGTCACGGCCGGTTTGCACGCTCGTGTAGGCTTTCTTTCCGGGACTTGCCGTAGTGATCTTGGCGAAGACGGCGCCCGCGGGGAGATCAACGAGAGAATAAGCTCCACTTGCAAATGCTTTCGTACTGCGCTCAACACGCAGACATTCGGGATGGGTCGGAGGAGGAAAGTTGACAAGGGGCGTCACAGGAATGGGATCGGCAGATGGAGCCATACTGAAGGAAGGTATGGAGTGGAAGGGGGAGATGATGAAATAATGGGAGGATATAAGGATAGGAAGAGTTAGAATGAGATAAATGAAAAATGGAAATAATTGGGGTTTTATTAAGTAGAGATGTAGACCGGGAGATGTACGGAGCAGAGGATCACACATTGTTCCCTTCAACCGAGGTATTTCCACTTAGAAGACCGAGGCACAGGCATAAAGCATAATTAATTAGTTTTAAAAAAGCAGTACCTCCGGAGTACAACATAGGTAGATATTTAGACATTTAAACTCGTGTGGTTCGATCGTACGCATTCGTTATTCGGTGAGTGTCCACATGCAGAACATATGACCATATTCTCGGCTTCATAAAAGGGGCAAATGGGTTGGGTATACCTTGTACTCTGTGCAGTCTATGTATTTCATCCATTCAGGAGAAACCTGAAACTACTATCCAGCACAATTCTTGTTCGGAGATCCGGACTCTCGTAATATTCCTGATCTGCATGCTACATGGATATTATTTAGGGATTGTATTTTGATGAACCAACTCGATTTATGCATTTATATGTTTATTGTTCATCAGTTCATCTTACGTAGTAGCTCCTGTCCATTCAACCAACGCTCTAAATTCTCGGCTGTTTCGCGATACCACCCCCGTAGTAGCTCCTCCTCACCATATCCCATGTGAGGGGAAAGTAGAACTTCACTGCGTCCATTTTGTCCCCAGGGAGTAGTACGCCATGGGCTATCGAGAGGTAATGGTTCTAGATCAAAGACATCCAACGCGGCGCCACGAATGCGGCCCGCATTCAAGGCCTCGAGGAGGGCCTGTTCCTCAATCAAGGGCCCGCGGGAAGTATTAATGATAAACGCAGATGATCGCATATTTGCTATTTCAGCTGCACCAACGATTCCACGGCTTCGATCCGATAGCACACTGTGTACACTAATGATATCGACATTTTCGAAGAACTCCTCTTTGGATGCAGCAACGGCGAATGTTCCCGCTGGCAACCCTTGGGTGTGCGCTTGCTCGTCGGCCTTTTCTTGTGTCAAGTTTGTTGACCATGCCAGAACCTTCATCCCAAAAGCCAGAGTGCCAATATTTCCTACTTGTGACCCGAGTTTTCCTAAGCCAAGCAACCCCAGTGTCTTCCCAGACAAGTTGATCCCAAGGGAGCCTTGCCATGCACCGCGTTTGACAGCTGCATCATCGCGTGCTATATTGCGAGCAAGCCCCAAGATCAAAGCCCATGTATGCTGAACAGTCGAATTGACACCGGGTGGACGGCCCTCGGTGCCTGCAACGATTACGTTGGAACGTGTAAATGCCTCGAGATCCAGCGCCAGGTTGCGGGTACCCGTGGTCAAAAGAAGTTTCAGATTTGGGAGTGCTGCAATTGTCTTGGCTGCAAACGGTGTTCGCTCGCGCATCGTCAAGATAATATCGAAGGAAAGGAGTCGTTGGACAAGAGCATCGTGTTGTACAGGATCACGGGGGTCGAGGGTTTCGGAAAAACTGGAAATGTCAACTTGCGCCTCGAGGTGAGTGAAATAGGCAGGTGCAATGCCCTGATAATCATCAAGAATCGCAAACTTGAGTTTAGCCATGGTCAAATATGCATATGAGAAAGAGAGAGAAACAGAGAAACGTGCAGCGGGGAAGTGCGAGAAATTCCCCAAGAAATTCCCCCACCTGGGGAAATGACATTTCCGGCAGTTCGTTTATCCACTTTGAACTATGAGGTACGACATATAAAGGCGACGAATTGGCTATAGGCGATTTAATGTGTGCTACGTATTTACATCTTCTAGACAGAAAGGCACTTTGGTCCCACAATGATAATTCAGTTTCAAAGATCGAAGCAAGTAGCTGCTTAGCACAGAACTTCTTGGCCTGACACAGGAATCCCAACCTCTGATATCTACCAGTCGATAATAGTATCATCGAAGCCCCAGAACTCTCCCGCTCCGTTTCTCTTGGTCAAGCCATCGATTTTGGCGACAAGTGCATTCACGCTATCCTCAACTTCAACGAAAGCGCTAGGGTAGCCCGCAGCTCGGGCACCTGCATTTCCAGCATCGGTTTTAACGGCCCTATAGACAAGTATATTAGTTAATGCCCTAAAAGAAAGACCTAGGGAGTTGAAAGAAAAGGTAGCTATATACCCAGGATGGATAGCCAAGGTCGAAATATTTTCATGTTCAAAGTTGATTTTCCGGATAAAGAAGTTTGCTGCAGCTTTGCTAGCACCGTAAGGCGCAATTTTAAGCGGGATATCTTCAATACCTCTGATCGTTCCCATCATGCTACTAATTAGGATGAAGCGAGCAGAGGACGACTTCTCAAGCAGAGGAAGTGTAGCCTGGAAGAGGCGTACAGGACCGAGAGTGTTCACATCTAGATGGGTTTGGATCTGCGCAATAGTGGAATCGGCAACGGTGGTGAAAGCAGCTGTATCGAAGACTCCCGCATTAGCGATGACGATGTCTAGAGCCGAGATGCCCTGGCTAGATAATGTCTCCACTGCGGATTTGGCGTCGGTGTTAGAGCTGGCGTCAATTTTGACAATAATCAACCGACTATTCTTGCCCGTGGGAAAGTCAGAGAGAGAGGTTGCCTCCGATGAGCTTGGGTTGCGGACGGCTGCGATCACAGTCACATTATCGCGAGCTATGTACTTGGCGACAAGGCCGCGGCCAATTCCTAAGAAAATGAGTACATTCAAAAAGAATTAATTTGCGGGTTTGGTCTACCTTTGTTGGAACCTGAAATCAAGATGGTAGACATGATGACGATGGTGCTTTGTGTTTTTGTCTTTAGAAAAAGTAGCCTGGCATATGTTCTAATTCTTGCTCAGATATATATACTTTTTCTTACTCTTAAGATAGTTAATTAACCTGATTTGCAAGAATTGGTAATCTATATTCGAATTTACAAGCATTGGTAATCTCTAACATTCAACTCAAGATCAAATCTAATGCTGATAGCAAATAACTATGTAGGTATCCATATGGGTGCCGCTACTGCATTGTCATCTGCAAGATAAGCACGCTACTGCATAGTAAATAAACTATCTTGTATGAGCGTTAGCAAATAGACTAGTCCATAATGTCGGAAATGTATTCAGGATTACGACAATTATCTAGAAATAAAATGCCTGACCCTAAACTATCCATAGGAACAATCCACAGTTCATGATTAGAAAGACTAGAAAGCTCTACCTACGCTGATATCCCTCCAGGGCTGTCTATTCCCCCGAGATTAGTCATACAGTTTTAGCTCGCTAGTTAGCTTATCTGCTGGGTCTGGTAGTCTGTCAGATATATACATACATATGTATGTATTTAAGTTCATTGTGATATTTCCCCGGTCTTAAATTGGCGGCGACGCAATTGTACGAGACATACTACGTGACGTAAATGCATATATATATGTATGCATTATGATTTACATATGTTGAAAAGCTGTTGTATTTAAGGCATTAAAATAGTGTATTCGTACTCCCATCTTATCCCAATTGGTGAATGTGTCTTTTTTATTCATCAGATTCATACGAGCCTTGTAAAACTGGATCCCTCATCATCAGGAAAAATGACTCTTGCCCAGCATTACCAAATGGTGTAAAATCTAAAACCACCTCCTCCAATATCTTCCATCCGTGCTTGATGTAGATGGGAACACCTTCCGGTGTCGCCTCGATGAAGATGCGCGACTGGGAGGAATCCGCCTTTTCCGTGCCCCATTTCAAGATAGCAGAACCAAAACCTCGCCCTTGATATTCCGGCAGAGTTGCCAGCAGATCGAGGACTGATAACGCATTTGAGTAAAATATCCCTACTGGGAATGTGGGGGTCACTTACTGATATCTTTCTCTGTGGTGTGTCGCCTGCGAGCATCCTCTAGGAGCTTTTTGAAGGTATTAAAAAGCTCCTGATTCATTGGCTGGGGTGCATGTGGAATGGGATCCTTGGCCAAAAAGGCCGCCCTTTCACTTAGGGTAACTAGGCTCTGACCAAATGATGCTGGAAACTGCCAACGACTGTAGGTCGCTAGGTCCCCACTGACTGGATCATGGATCTTGAGGACGTGCATATTGGGGTTGGCAAGATGTTTCATTCCCACAATTATTTTGTATTCCTGCATTCTGGTCAGGCTGGCCTCTGGGAACAGTTCTTCGAGGAGACGGCGGCCTTGAAAGCTTTGGACGTTGACTTTAGCAAGTCCTGGGCCATCGGCCTCCGTGGCATATTTGACGAGCTCCATGGTTCTTTATATATTCAAAGAATGGAAAGCAAATGGTACAGATAATATCTAGAGTCTTATGACCCTGGGGAAGCCCGAAAAAGATATACCTGTGGGCCTCCTGGGGTCTTGTCTATGAGTCAGGGGACGCTAATCCCCATCGGTACCCCGAGCGGTAAGTCACTCTCAGTGATCTTCGATTTCGAGAAGTTGAAGATATACATATATACTATTTATATTATTATTGCTTCATATATAGTAATTCGTACTGTATTATTGGACAGTTCAAATGTTATTATTTGCTCTCCTTCCGCTTTCTAACCCCCAGTTTTGCATTTGGATCATTGAGCATTTCAACCCCCATTTCCACAATCTTGGGCGTCATCCCTTTAGGCATCCTGACCTCGTAAGTTAAAATAATCTTAGCTAGAGCTAATTTTATTTCATTACTAGCAAAAATTCTGGCATCTGACATGAATATCGACAGGGCCTTTTTCGAAGTTATACCACCGTAATATGAGTTCAAGTTGACAATCGGTGTCGTCAGTTCTTCTGTCCGACGCCATGCGGCGATAACAAAGAAGCTCAAGAGGGCTGTCAACAGAAGATGAACGAAAAGATCTTTCATAAGAAAGTCATTTAAATGGAAAATGAAACGCATCATTATTGCTTGAGCCGCTTTTTGTCTTTGTTAGTAGCAAATCGTGTGGACAACCTTGGAAGAAATGATTTAAATATACGAATCTATAGAGATACCAATCACGTGCACATTACGTTCGAGTCCGTAACGATGAATAAGAGTGACTCGCCATCCATGTACCTGCATATGTAGGTATAGGGTATGAAAAGTGAGTTAAAAGATTGCATAATAACAGATGATATCTATTTGATAGTGATAGGGGTTTACAGGACACACTGTAAGTCCTCAAATTCTTCAGTCTTCGCAGTCTAGGATGGGTCTAGTATATAAGGACAATCAATTCCACTGCGGTTCAATCGAAGAGGTAAAAACAGGTGATCTGCACAAAAACGAATCATAATCAAAGAAATATATATACGTCTTGTGGGAAGTTCTCAGACAAGTTCCTTTAAGCAGCGATCTTGGCAAATTTCTTCAGAGAGTCTTCGCTGCCATTCCAAATTTCCGAATCACCTCCGAAGCTATACGCGTCCGAGTTCTGCCAGAAGCTCTGGTAAGGCCAGCCAGCTGGCACAGTACCGACCGAAGTACTGTATCGAGCCAGAACCAATGGGTAATCCGCACCGAATGCCGTGCTGCCACCAGTGCAAGTGTTCCACCAGTCGGTGGTCGTGTAGATCATAGGGTACCGGCCAGCAGTGGCCTTGTAGGTCTCGCCAAAGTCTTTGATCCATGCAACCATGGCTGATTGGCTGAGCCCATAGCAGGTTGCGCCGGATGGGTTGTATTCGATGTCCAGCATACCAGGCAGGGTCAGACCATCATTGGACCAATTTCCACCGTGGGCGAGGAAGTACTTGGCTTGTGCAGCACCGGTGCTGCTGGCTGGCTGAGCAAAGTGATAACCACCACGAATTAGACCGGCGTTAGTGGCACCTGTGTATTGGCTCGAGAAAGAGCTGGAGATGTAGCTGGTACCCTCAGTTGCCTGATGAAGTTAGTATTATGACACAGAAAGGACTCATAATACACCCGGGAAAGCCCACCTTGATCATGACGAAGCGGGCCCCAGCTGCATAAGCACCGGCAAAGTTCACGGTAGGTTGATAGCTGGAGATGTCGAAACCCTGAACACTGGCGCTAGCAGCGGTGGCGAACAGGAGGGGTAGGGCGTTGAGCTTCATGGTGAGAGTGGGAGTGAGATTGGAATAGTCAGTAGGAGAGTGTATTTTAGTGAATGTAAGTGAAGAAGTTTTTGGGAGGGAAACTGGGGTCTATTTATGTGTTTTCCAAGGCAATGAAGCCTCGATACTCCCGTAATTTCAATGTACTTTGTAGTTGTAACCTCGGGTTCTAAAATAACCAGGGGATATCATGCACCAGTAACGTCGTATAGTGAAAACACGGGGGTCGATTTCTCTCATCCCACTTCAGGTATGTACAATGTAGATCAGTTGCTGGATGTTGTTTCAACGTTGGCTTATATCTTTGTAGTATCCGGAGGTTGCCGCGGAGATTTGGTAAGAGGAATAGTACTTACCTAGCCCCAGAGAGAGGTGTCAAACTGATTAGATATTGGGCAATTCAACCTTTGAACTTGGCATTTGACCACTGAGCATGTTCATATCATAGACCTCCTAGGAGATAGCCCCATAATTGGTCCACCTGGGCACGGTAGTTGCCGATATATCCTTCAGAGACGAGGATATGCAAAGTAACCCTAATATTTTAAGATAAGCCTGATGAAACAGGGATAAGATCTTCACAGTAATTAAACCATGGATATATCCATAACGTCTTCAAATAATACATGGATATATTCATGGATATATTCATGGATTATACGGAGTATAGAATAATAAATAAGAGAAAAGAAAGGTGATGATCTCGCAGAATAACAACCCTTTCGGCCATCCCCGCTTATATAAGCAACTGTAACCCGCCGGTCCCCCGAGGCTAAGCTATTTCTCTGCCCCCCCACTTTTTCATATCTTCCCTTCTGCAACAGTACTAAATTGCAAAGTACTATGAACGTCTGCTTTTTTCAATGACATTGGTGGATGTGTTTGGGAAATGGATAGCTTAAGTCGCCCCCGAACATGAGCACATCTGGAAATAAAGATTTCCGCGATCAGCTGGGAAAGTTTCGCTTGGATTCGATTAATACTTATACCCCAACCTGGCCTCAACCACCACCGGTTCATCATGAGCCTATAGATGTCTCGAGCCATGCTCGTAGCAAACGAGTATCGACTGCCTGTGACTTTTGTCGCAAAAGGAAGAAGAAATGCGACTTTCGATACCCCAATTGTTCAGCCTGCACCCGCGCCGGAGTCCGATGCACCATACCCCCGCCCGGTCCTCAAGTCGCTAGTGCCTCCGTTCCCCGAGATCAGCTGGAAAATTTGCAGAAACGAGTACGATGGCTGGAGGAGGTCGTCCACCGCAAGTCGGGACTCTCGGTGGCGGAATTGCCGACGGGGACACTAGTCGATGGCGAGGGAGACCCAGACTGGTGGTATCAGGTTCCCGCTATGATTGCGACCGGGGGTAATCGCCCTACCTCAATACCGAGCCCTGCCGGAAGTGGTGGTTCTTCTGTTACTGCAGGACCCTCGGAAGCGTCGACAGGAGTAGGTACCGAACTCCCCAACATTGGCGAGATCTTTCGCGATCAGCTGGAGCATCGCCGACCGTCGGTAGCACGACCTTCCTCCGCGCCGCGAGTCATGCGCTTGTCGTCGCTGGAGGAAGCAGAACGGCTAGCCGGACAGTATTTCGATAGTATGGGATATCAATACCCATTTCTATCCCGTCCAGAGTTTATGGCTCATCTGCGCCATATCTATACTGGTGGTGTTCCATCACCGGAAACGCACCATTCTTACCACATTGTCATTGCCATTTCGCTTCTGATTGGGTCTGCGGACCCGACCCAGGCAGCTGAATTTTACCATGCTAGCCAGGAGACGCTCCCACTGGCATTGCAAAATGAGGACCTGCCTGCTGTGCGTGCGCTGCTGGGATTGGCACTGTATACTATGTTTGCGACTGCTGGCCCTAGTATTTGGCATGTGTTGGGTGCGACGATGAGGTTGTCGATTAGTATGGGTTTGCACAAAACGCGGTCGTATCCTAGCATTGTTGAGGAGGAGATGGCTAAGCGCGCTTTTTGGAGCCTTTACAACCTGGATCGCCTTATCGCTAGCACCTTGGGTCGGCCATTAGGAATCGCCGACGACGATATTAGCGTGGGTCTTCCGCGAGAACTCAATGATGATGAAACCGAAGCGCCTGGCGCGAGCGCGATGACGATTCCCTTGCAGGTGACACGTCTGCGGCGGATATTTTCACGCATTTATCAATACTGTAGGTAAAGGCTTCAGTCTCATCTGCTTTCTTTTCTTGACTCTCCCTTACTCTCCCTTAGTATATAGCAGCCTGCCACGACTGTCACCCCAAGAAGCTGCTGCCACGCTTAGTCGATTCCGCCATGAGGTTGATGACTGGCGCATGGCGGCTCCAGTATATCCATCGGCACTACTCTATTCTACCTCCTATTACGATTATCTCTATTACACAACACTACTCTTGATGTACCGCCCAAGCCCCCGCAATCCGACACCCGACATAACCAGTATCATCAGCTGTGGCGAATCTAGCATTCAAGTCATCCGATCCTACTGGGACAGCTACTCAGTTGGCAAGCTGAAATGGATCTGGTTAACACTGAGCCAAGTTTATTTTGCAGGTATCACTATCCTGTGGTGCCTTGAGCAGAATGCGCGCTCATTACGCGAGTCTCAGCCTGCCCCTTGGAACCCGGAAGAACAGACGATGCGACGTGGTATTCAGGCTGTTATCGTACTCTTGGAAGAATTTGGCAAGCGTCGACCTGGGGTAGAGCGGTTGGCAGAGACATTCCGACACCAGAGCACAGTGATCTTCAGCCAAATGGCCTATCAGCAACAGCAATTAGAACAGCAGCAACATCACCATCACCCACAACTTCAACCCCAGCCACCGCCTCCGCCACCTGCACTCCTCCCATCTCATCCCATGTCTTTGGCGGCGCCCCCTCCGCCTCCAGTCCCACTCGCTCCAGTTCTCGATGATGTGTTACTCGTGGATAGCAGTGGAACTATCCCGATGATCGATCCACAGATGGCGGAACAACTCTTTTACTCCTACAATTGGTTCCAAGAGGAGATGGCATCATATTATACCCTTTGAACGAATCTCTTTCTCTGTATTTAAATCATTTATCGAAGGTAGACGGAGTTTTCTATCCGGCCGGGCCTTTTGTTTTCATGTTGATACATTGCTAGTATGTCACGATTAAATAAAGATCAGACTCATCAGATTAAGAGTAATTTCGATATATGCGACATAGTATTCTATATAGTTCATCGTCAGGTAGAGATTAAGATGAATTGGTATAAGCAATTAAGACTCCCGATTCATCGAGGGAAATATATTCTTTAGATTTGAAACACGGTAAGGTTGCTCTTGGATTTCTGCTAGAACAATAAGGAGCATCGCAACCACAGGTTGTTTCTGATGTTCACCTGCTGTGGAGGGGGGGGGGGGGGGAAGCACCTTCCCAGGTGCTCTCACCTGGGCAACATAGGCCGATTATTAATTCCCCTCACTTGCCCAGGTGAAGTCCTGGGCTCCAACACCCTTCAATCTCCATCTTCCTTCTACCTTTTGCCGAAACTACATCATTTTTTTAGAAGAAATTACTGGTGGTCATTGCTTTAGCTTCTTTACCTTCTTGTGTATCATGGAAGAACTCGACAAGAACGCCACTCCGGGTTCTGGGCTGCCCCTGGCCTTTTACGGCACGGTAATCCATTGCCGAAGTCTGGATGACCTCGAGATTCTAGAGAATTGCATTATGATTGTGGGAACAGATGGTAGGATTCAGGCACTACAGGCAGGTGTGAAATCGGATCGGATCAACTCCATTCTCTCAGAAAATGGCCATGTGCCCGACGTCTTTCCAGTGAAATACCTCAAGCGGGGGGAATTCCTGTGCCCCGGCTTTGTTGATACCCACAACCATGCACCCCAGTGGGCACAACGTGGTGTCGGGAGAGGGATTTCCTTGCTTGACTGGTTGAATAAAGTAACTTTTGCCCACGAGGCCAAGTTTCAAGATCCAGAATATGCTAAACGCATGTACGCCTCTTGCGTGACGGGCTTCTTGCAACAAGGCATTACCACCGCATCATATTACGGCTCGCACCATGGCCAGGCAACTCGAATTCTGGCCGACGTGTGCTTTGAAAAAGGACAGCGCGCTCTGATCGGCAAATGTAACATGAATCGGAATGCCCCGGACTGGTATCGGGATCCATCGGTGTCCGACTCGCTGCACGAAACGCGTGAGCTCATTCACCATGTTCAGCAACTTGATCCAGAATATCGTCTGGTGAAACCAATACTGACGCCACGCTTTGCGATATCTTGTGAGCCGGAATTGCTTGATGGGCTTGGTGCTATTGCTCATGAACATCCCGACCTCCCAATACAAACACACTTCAACGAAGCAAAGCAGGAGATCGAATTCACGCGTCAGCTCTTTCCGGAGTTTGACACGGAAGCTGATCTCTATCAGCGATATGGTCTCTTGAATAATCGATCCATTCTTGCCCACTGTATCTTCCTGCAAGAAGGAGAGATGCGCCGCATCCAGGAGCTTGGTTGTGGGGTTGCCCACTGCCCAATCGCCAATACCACTATGCAAGATTTTATGGTCGCACCCGTGCGCGAGTATCTGCGCCGCGGTATCAAGGTAGGCCTGGGCACTGATAGTGGTGGTGGCTACTCGTCATCTATACTGGATGCCATGAAGCAGGCATTCATTGTGTCGAATGCGCAGCAGATGTTGACCCAAGGACGGGACTCCGCTCTTTCTTTACACGAGGGCTTCTTTCTTGCAACCCTGGGGGGTGCGCAAGTGTGTGGACTCGATGACCGAGTTGGTAACTTTGCAGTTGGAAAAGAGTTTGATGCACTCGAAATCCATACCACGGATCTTGGACAACCAGGAGTGATGAGCCCCATCGAAGACGAAGATACCACCCACGTGATATTCGAGAAGTTTCTGATGACTGGGGATGATCGGAATATTGTTAAGGTCTATGTAGGCGGACGCTCGGTCAAAATTTGATGGTCAGTGTTCAGTTCAGTCTTGGATTATGAGAAATGAGAAATGATATATCTTAGAGTTACGATATGAGAATAAATGTTAAACCTCCCCTTCCTGTAGCCCAATTCGCAGGGATATTCGTGTTCAACTTCTGGATGCCTAAGGTATCGACATAAACAAGAGATGTAAAATGCACCTAAGATGCAATGATTGCCGGTAATACATAGAAATAGAAAAAAATGCCAAGACGAAATCCTGATCAGGTCACTCCCAAGTTCCCTTCGGGGGGCCAAAGTAGCCACGCGCTGGCAAGTCCATGTAGGGCGTGCCTTTACCATCGGCGGTAACTTTTGACACAGTATTACCCCACCAGCTCAGGGAACCAGCTGGGAGAGTTATGCAGAAGAATATGATTACTGTCGTGACTGCAACGCCGCAGTCTAGAGCGGCGGATAACACATAATCTGCGTATGATCAGTAAAAGAAGTAACAAGGAGAAACGACAAACGTACTATATTTTGACCACCATGCTGGCTTGCGGCGACGGAGTATGCCATTGAATATCAGGTTAACTATCCACCACGAGGAGAAGCTGATGCCTGTAGCGGGTGGCACTAAACTCATTGCGCCGCAGGCAACGGGCCACGAGATATAATTGACAGCTTTCCAACGACGACCCAGAAGATAGGTAATGACTACTACCGCGGGTCCGACCAGAAGAAACCAGAGCAGATTGCTATATATCTGCCCAGAAGAAAACAATCGGCCTGGACCGACAGCACCTAGAGGTGAAGTTTTTTAGCTATGACCTGGCAGAACGTAGGCAACAAAGTGGAACTCACCCCAAATGAGAGACGAAGAGTATGTGACCTTTCCATGAGGGCAGATAAAATTCCCCTCAGCCTCAGGGGTGCATACACCATCAATTCTGGTGATCATAAACACTGTCACGCCACATTGAACGATAGCTCCGATAAGTGTGGCAAGGCCTTGAGCTACGAACAGAAGCCGTGGGGCGATGTGCATATAATGGGCCAACTTCATATCGGCGACAAATCTAAAATATAGTGTTAGTCTATGTCAACTTTGTTTTGGAACACTGTATAACTCACTCGAGTCCTTGCTGGACGGCGACATAACCATAGAATTTGAAAGCCATGTTGGCCACTGGTTGACCGAGGAAGGCGTATCCGCCAATGAATTCCGTGAGCAGATTAAGTTGGTTACTGCTGATATTTGTTAGGGCCTTGATGACTCCCACAGGGACAAAGTAGACCACTGGTAACACGAATGCTACAAGCACACCCCATGCCGGTAGGCCTGTATGCCATGCCTCGTTGGTCACAATACTCAGAACAAACATCAGAACGGTTACTGCAGCAAACCACCAGCAGGGTACAGCTCGATATGAAGACATCAGTCGACTATGGACGTCTTGTTTGCTGTTACCCTTCCACTGTTGCCACAAGTCTTTTCCATGATACAACGCAACATGAAAGAAGATGCCTGTCAAGTTCGCAAAGGCAACACCGAATGTGATTGCATAGCCAGCGGGTAAAAACATAGGCGAATAGTTCCGATAAGCAGTTTGGTCGATACTCCCACTTGAGCCCATGATACGACTAGTGTTATAAGGAACTCCAGTATTATCGAAGGTGTTGGAGCTGAGTAGTGGCAGGTGTGCGGAATACCAGGTGTTGCAGTAGTAAACGAGGGGGCAGACGAGCCAAAAGAAGAACGCAAATGATCCCATCACATTAAGACCAGCCCAGAAGGGAACAAGTAGAGGGCTCTGATTAGCATAGACCACCTGAGCCCAGTCGAAGGTCAATATCGACATCCCTAGTCCAGTGGTTTGTCCAAAGAGCTGATTCACCACCACATTGGAGGGCGCAATCCAGCAGATGAAGGCGAATGTGCTGAGACCTGTAAAGAGATATCCCGGGACGAAGTACCATATGGAGCCACCGATGAAAACATAAAGAAAGAAACGGAGACGTGTGATCCGCCAGCCATCTGCGATAGCATTGGAGCGAGAATGGAGAGTGGTCAAAAGTGCTGCATTTGACAACACCTGCGGCCAAAGCATTGATGCCGGACCAACTAGCCAGCGTGAGGCAATGCCAGCTAAGCCAAAGCCAAACAATTGCGTAGTAATGCACAATAAGACTTCAAATCCGCCCTGCGATGGCATTTTATAGAATTTGACAAGCGCTTCGATAACTTGGGTGGCAGCAGCAGAGCCAATAGAGACCTTGGCCATGATTGTAATCAAGGCATGCTCCTTGATATTAAAATGCCGGTCGGGATTGCACACTCCGAGGGGAATCCATTTCGCCCAGGCGCATCCCAGAGGAAAAGCCAACAACTGCGCCACTAGAGCACTGATATTCACACTGGGCTGTCGTAAGCTGAAAAACTGGTTCAGGCCACTACCGACCTATGTCTTCGATTAGTATTATCTTCTCAATCATTCCAGTCGCATAGAACATAAGGCATACGATAGTAAACATAATACCAATAGTCCACATGCGGACCGTGTTGACAGGCAGCGTCAAGTCATCTACTGGCTGGATGACAGCCCGTACCTCCGGGAAAGGCGAATCATCGGCTTCATAGGGTAAGATTTTCTCGGCATCCCGATCGTGAAGAATGGCAATTCCATCTTGATCTGCAGGGGCGTTCTGAAAATATGAAACAGTTAATTAAATAAGATATGTGGGGGAGGATCAAACTAAGAACGGGCACCCACCTGGCTCCATGAACAACATTTCTCAGTCTTGTCCATTATATGAAGAGATCCCTCATATGAACGGTCCACTCCGATCTAAGACAAACACCCAATCCCAGTTCAGTGTTGAAGTCGGCTTGAGCCGAGTGTAGACCACGCCACCAATGGGTGCATGAAACTCCAGATACGGACTCCGTACAAGGATATGAGCTGAGAGGATGACCAATAAAGAAGGACTATGTCAACTACCACTTCCCGGATTCCGTTCTCTCGGATGGGATTGGGTAGTATGGGGTAAAAATGGATATACAGCAAGGGAAAATGTGACTGACAGGGGAGGCGACGTCGGAAGAGGCCGTTGTAGACCCACTTTATTATTGCCTGAGTAAGATATAGCTTCTGATTTATGTGGGAAACATCGTAATGATCGAATTAATCGAGGAATCTGATTAATCGAATGAATTTTAAACATATGAAGTAGCAATGCCACGTTGAAGCCCAGAAGTTCGAAACCATAAACAGTAACACCCCCCCCCCCCCTTTCCTTTTCCCTTGCGTTCGGGCAATTTGACACATTTCCTTTATATCAAATCTCCAGCTTTTTGATCCGATTGCCTTGGGATTATAAAGACTGTACTTCAGTTCCAATTTTACCAGCAACTCTGAACTACAAAGTAGTACCTGTGATATCATTCATCACCTGAACCTTGTACTCACCTCACAATGGGTGAATGCAGCCAATTTGATACTAATGAGGTACCCTTCTCTCAGAGACCCGTCGTAATCCTTGGTGCAGGGATCATTGGTTGTGCGACTGCCCGGCAATTGCTACTGAATGGATTTCCCGTGGTATTGGTGGCCGAATATCTACCGGGAGATCAAAATATTTACTATGCATCGGCTTGGGCAGGAGCAGCGTGGCATGCTGCTGGGGACATCACTCCTGATCAACGGTACCTTCAAGCTGTCACACATCGCATACTACTCAAGATGGCCCAAGATAGCCCCGAGGCAGGGGTGAGCATTGTCAACGCACGAGAATACGTGGAAGAAAAACCTGCTCCTGACTCGGCGATATGGGGTAAGACGGTAGTCTCCAAGGTATGTTATGCTCCATTTAATTCCTTGATTTGATGGACATGTTAATATTAACATACTATTATTTAGTTTCGTGAGATGAGTCCTGGTGAATACCCTCCCAATTTCAACTGTGCCTGGGCCTATGAAACGCTTGTCACAGATCCCACGAGACACATGCCTTATGTTAGGAAACAAGTGGAGTCTCTTGGGGGGCAGTTTATCCGCCAACGTGTCGAGTCTCTCCAGGAGCTGTATGAGATGTTCGCCAATTCACGGATATTCATCAATGCAAGTGGTTGGGGCAGCAAAACACTGACGGATGTGCAAGATGAGAGGTGTTTTCCGGAGCGAGGTCAGAATGTGTTTCTGGCCACTGATCAATGCAGCACACTCTACTTCCGAAATGGCAAGGAATACACCTATGTGATTCCTCGGCCTCTATCCAAGGGGGGTGGTCCTAGGTGGGGTGAAGCAACAAGGCAACTTGTATGGAATCCCCAAAATCTCTCCTAAAACTCCTCAAATCCCTTGATAACTCTTATGTCTAAATTTTTCAAATTTTTTTTTTTTCAGATCACCTGAAGTTGATATGGATATCGCGAGGGATGAGATTGCACGCGCACATCGGTTAGCTCCTGAGATTGTTCCCGAACACCCAGCTGCAGACAGGGTGAGTTATATTATTGGAATCCGACCATCCCGAAAAGGAGGATTCCGTCTGGACTCGGAGAAAAAGGGTAACCGGGTGGTTCTATCGGCATATGGATTTGGTGGTGGTGGTTATGCCTTTTCATATGGGATTGCCGATGCGTTAGTTAAGATGGTGGAGATGGCGGAACGTGAAAATGTGATTTCGTAGGGAATATACGGAGTACACGGAGTACTTCGTACATGTAGTTAAACAGACTATTAATATCGCCGAGTTATCGCCGTTATTAATACATATGTACTCCATATGTAGTATTAATATAAGATTGTGAAACGGAGGAATTAAGACATTACGTAGGATGTACAATAGTTAGTTACTAGAATATAATTACTAACTAACGTATTTCCCGGGCGAGCTGCGCACCCGGGCGAGCTGCGCACCCCACCTAAAACGTGTCAATTAATTTAACACTTTCTTCTTCAACCACCCACCATGCCACCAATTCGCTCCCGATCCTCTAGAAATTCAACCGAGCAAGAGGGTAGGATCTTATTAGCTACCCAGGCTTTTAAGAACAAAGAAATCTCTTCAGTTCGTGAAGTGGCGCGCCGTTTTAACGTACCCGAATCAACTCTCCGGGCGCGTCTTCGTGGAACTACATTCCGCGCGATTTCTCGCGCTAATTCGCATAAATTGACAGAAATTGAAGAGGAATCTCTTCAGAAATGGATTATCTCTATGGATTCCCGTGGATCAGCCCCCCGGCCCTCTACTGTTCGAGAAATGGCCAATCTTCTCCTTCAAAAGCGTGAAACTACCCCAGTCATTTCAGTCGGCAAAAACTGGGTCACAGAGTTCGTTAAAAGACGTCCTCTCCTCTCCTCCCGGTTCTCGAAACGGTATAATTACGAACGTGCAAAATACGAAGACCCAAAAATCATTTAAGAGTGGTTTGATCTTATTCAAAAAACAATCCTCCAATTTAGAATCGACCCCGATGACATTTATAACTTTGATGAGACTGGTTTCGCGATGGGATTAATTTCTACGGTAAAGGTGATAACGAGGAGTGAATTCTACGGCCGGCGTTCACTTTTACAACCTGGAAATCGTGAATGGGTGACTGTTATTGAGTGTACAAATTCGTCTGGCTGGGCGCTTCCTCCGTGTGTGATTTTTAAAGGCAAAGTCTTTATTGAATCATGGTTTGAAGGCCTACTAAACGACTGGCGAATCGAAGTTAGTCCTAATGGTTGGACTTCAGATAAAATTGGACTTCGCTGGCTTAAAAAGCTCTTTATTCCTAGTACTTCTCTTCGTACGAAGGGAAGGTATAGGCTGCTAGTTCTTAACGGACACGGGAGTCATTTAACCCCAAAATTCGATGAACTTTGCGAGCAAAATAGGATAATACCTATTTGTATACCTCCGCACTCCTCTTATCTTTTACAGCCTCTCGATATTGGCTGTTTTGCTGTGTTAAAACGATCATACGGGCGGCTGGTAGAGACAAAAATAAGGCTCCAAGTGAATTATATTGATAAACTTGACTTCCTCGAAGTATACCCCCTCGCACGAATTGAAGCTTTTAAACCAGAGACTATCAAGAATAGCTTTAAAGCAGCTGGTTTAGTACCTTTTACACCTGATCAAGTGATATCAAAGCTCAATATTCGACTTCGAACCCCAACCCCCCCTCCAAGTAGGGGGAGCGATTCAAGCCGGAATTTCACACCAAAAACACCTGCTACAGAGAAAGAACTACGTCGACAGGCTTCGTCAATCAAAGCTTTACTTCGTACAAGGTCTCGAAGCCCGCCTAGCCCGTCAGATCGTGCATTAAACTAGCTTATAAAAGGCTTCCGTCTTACAATACAAGGTGCTATTTTATTAGCAAAGGAAAACAAGGAATTACGCGCTGAAAACGAGAAGCAGAAGCAAAAGCGGACTAGATCTCGAAGGTATATACCCTCTGAAGAAGGTCTCTCAGTCGAAGAAGCCTCTGTATTAATTATACAGCAACAGGAAGCAAGTGAAGCACTCCCCCCGGCCCTGGCACCTCTATAGAATCGGGTATTCGGCCACGTACTCGGCCCCCCCGCGGGTGTGGAATATACAGATTGCCAGGGCATCGAAGGGAAATATGTCCAAATAGACCAATTAATTAGTTGAATTAATTTAATGGTGTTTCGGTTGAGATAAATATGTTTAAATTTAATAGGTTGGGTGGGGTGCGCAGCTCGCCCGGGAAATACGTTATGTATTAACATATTAACTAGTACATGTTCTACGGAGTACTGGCAAGCCATATATGTAGTTACACGGAGTATATATATATATACTATATAGGGAGAACCTGGAAAATGCATAGTCAATAAAATATTCAATAATAAATATATCCATGACGTTTCTTTTCTTTTAATAGTCATACCTCTTTTCCTTGTTTTCTCCATTTTTTCTTTTCTCTTCCATTTGTTATCCACCTTGGTCTGGAATCTCATTCCTCCGGCCATCTCTCCCGTCCACTCAAATTCCCATATCTCTCGGCCTATGACTATTCAGCCTTTCCTTAAATCCCGGCTTAAAGGAAAACATCCTTATCCTTATCCTCTTATCCCTTTCTACGAGCTGAAATCTTTTTTTGAATGACATCCTCACTTTCTCCCAGGCTGTTATAGCAATATGCCTGTGGACCAGATGCTCCACCTGAGTATCGCAGACTATCCCATGAACAATGTCATGGTCATCACTCCTCCGGCGGAGAATGACTTGAATCTTGAGAACAAGAGCCTCCAACAGCCTATTGCGACCGGGTCGTTAAGCCGCATCTATCGATTTACACCGTAAGAAACTCCACTTGAGAACCCGGAATTAATCCATTATTAACCTTTCGCAGCAAGCCCACTCTCGTATTAGACGGCACCCTACGCATCGTCGAAGTATCTAACAGTCATGTGGAAGTCTTCAAGCGTCCACGAGACCAACTGTTGGCAGCGAGTGTCTACAATCTTCCCCCTTCCATCCTACCGGCCCCCGACATCGCCTCCCTGAGTGGTGCCCTCGGCACTGCTATATCAACTCGCGAAGTGCAGGTCATTAAGCGTGTTCACGTGGCGCAAATCGACGCCTTCTTTTCACTCACCGTGATCCCCATCTTTGAAGATGACTCCTTGATCTACTTACTCCTGGAGGCCCAACGCACCAAACACGAACGGAACAGGTCGGATTCTATCAGTGAACAAATTTATCTTAACGAAACCTACAAAATCCTGGTTGACACGGTGAGGGATTATGCCATTTTCATGTTAGATGCGCACGGTCATATTGCGACTTGGAATTCTGGCGCTGCGATTTTGAAGGGTTACACATCATCCGAAATCATCGGCCAACATTTCTCCATCTTTTACGGTCGCGATGACCGCGAAATGAATAAGCCCGCCCGAGAGCTGGAGGTCTGTTTACAAGAAGGAAAAGTTGAGGATGAGGGCTGGCGTTACCACAAGGATGGCACCCGGTTTTGGGCCAATGTCATGATCACCGCCATCCATCAGAATGGTAGCCATGTGGGATTCGTGAAAGTTACCCGCGACCTGACCGAACGTCGGGCGGCGGAGGCCCGCTTAATTGACGCTTTTGAAGAATCTGCCAAGCTGAAGTCTGACTTCTTGGCCAACATGTCTCACGAATTGCGCACCCCAATGAACGGAATGCTCTTGGCTTTGACGATGCTGCTGAGGACCGAGCTGACTGATGAGCAGCGGGAATTCGCCTGCATCCTTGAAGACTCAACCTCTATCTTGCTGCAGGTAATTAACGATGTGCTCGATTATTCTAAGCTATCGTCGGGAACCTTCCCCTTGAACCCAGACGTTGTCAACATCCCCGACGTGATCTCTGCCGTGATTCGAAATTGTCAGTCGGCGCTCAAGCCTGGTGTTCAGATCATGGGAGGTGTTAGCGAGGGATTTCCTACAAACCTCAAGGGTGACCCGCTACGATTCCGCCAAGTTCTGCAAAATCTGGTCACCAACGCAGTCAAGTTCACTGAGAGTGGTTATGTTCGTGTTCATTCCACTTATGCCATCGATGACAAGGACCCTGAAATGTATGTGATTTCTACACAGGTAGTGGATACTGGTATCGGCGTACCTGAAGATGCCGCAAGTATTCTCTTCACTCCCTTCACGCGATTTGCGGACACGGCCGCAAAAAGATACCAAGGCACTGGCCTTGGTCTATCGATCTGCAAGAGCCTGGCTGAATTGATGGATGGAGCAGTTGGATTCCATGCCAACCCCGACGGACCAGGAAGTGTGTTCTGGATGACAGCTAAGATGGCTCGTTTTACCTCACCAGTATCTCCAATGAAGCAGAGGCTGCCACCGGCTACACCCGAGGCGTTGGATAATTCCGCGTCACTTCAGAAAGTCGCCCCACACAAACATGTTCTCCTAGTCGAAGACAACAAGGTCAACCAACTTATTATGTTGAAACTTCTCAGCAGCCTGGGTTTCAAGCGCGTCGATGCTGCCTGGGATGGAGCGGAAGCAGTGCGGATGGTCAAACAGAAGCCTTTGGCCTATAATGTGATCTTGATGGACATCAACATGCCGGTCATGGACGGATTGACTGCTACAGAGCACATTCGACGGATGAAACTCGATGTGCCTATCCTTGCATTGACGGGCAATGCTCTTAAGGGAGACGCTGAGATGTATCTGGCCAAGGGGATGGACGATTACATCGCTAAGCCCTTGCATCGGCAGCAGCTGGTGGATTTATTATGGAAGTGGTGCGGATCCTGAGTGGTTGCTTATCCCAGGCCGATGAGGGGAATTGTGCCCTCGAATACAATATCGCCAGTTTGAGGCCATCTTTCGATATGGCCGAGGCACGGCAGTTGAAAAAGACCCGTGTCAGCGTCAGCGTCATGGACGAGACACTGCGATCGAACTGTCAGGTTGAGAATATCCAACCACAATCCCCTACCGATACGGTAGAAGTGCCGCCATTTTCACTCGAACCTTTCGTGCAACAGTCCACCAAATGGACATAGCAACCACATCCTTATCATGCTTTGAGTTCTCAGAATTTTGGCATTTGTTTGGCATTGAGATCGCCAATTCTTCGCTCGCCATCTGCGCCCGAACGTCGACAGCAATAACATCTACCGACACAATAAAGTTCCCTGCAGATGAAATGCCCCAAGAGATAGATCTTTTGCTCGCATGACTTATGTCTAGAGAAGGCACATGCAGCTGTGTTTATGCCACCGATGTTGCAACCATGCAGCCTTGGATGGTCTTCTGTATCAACTCTTTAATACCACTCATGAGATCATCCCCCGTATGCGGAGTTTAGGCAGCCGCATAGTGGATGGATGACGGTTGCGATGCAAGATTCGATGCAAGAATGGTTATCCGTAGCGTTCATGGGGTTGGAATTGCAGCCAATCCTTTTTAATCGCCGTAAATTGTTACAAAAAGTACTATGCAGAGCGCATAAGACTGGGCTTTTTTTTTTACCATTCTATAATCTGGGCAAGTATCCCCAATAATTCCGCTGTCTGAATTAGGAAAGATGATGCTTTAACATTAACAGTTCGGCGTTAAGCTTGGGCTCTGTCTCCAATTCCATTCCTGTATGCCTGTATTTTCCACAACATTTCAGAATGCGTTTAGGGAGAATCAGGATCGCCTCATTTCAGCGTCAAATCGCGAGGAGAAATTTTTTGATTAAGATTCGACGAAGGCATTTCTTTTCTCTCCATACTTCCACCAGACAATTCTCGACCTCTAGCGGCTCAAGCCTTGATTCTGCGTTTAATAATGCCGGTTGCATTTCATGATCTCGTTGCAACTCAATCCTTCAGGGGCAGTTTTCTCCCGACGTAGCACGCTGATGAGTTTTTATTTTCGCATGAGATTACGGCTTTTCTTTTGAGGTAGCCTCTTATTATATCAGACTATAATTGCGGAGATCGCGTTCACTCGGAAATTGGAAAGCAACACACCCTGCTCTGTGATTGAAGGCAGAGATACATGTTTTCAAATGCCTTGACTCTTGTCGACCTGATGTGTTGTAGCTACGCCATTTTCGAAAGTCACCAAAGAACGCAACCCCACCAGGGAGGAGATATACTCTCCGTGTCCATGTGAACATTGTCCATGATGTTCACATGCCCCCCCCCCCCCCCCCCCCCCCGTGTGACCTGTCCTGAGTATGTATCTTTGCCTTAACCTTCCGAGGGGTGTTGGTTTGGTTTGATCTTGGAGATCAATGGCTGCCAGGAACTTCACCTGGATGTTCAACCCTCAGTCAGATACTTACAGGCTGACGCAAAGCTAATGATGGAATTAGCCCAAAGTTAATGGCAAGTAGGTTAAGCTCTGTCTGTACCCCGTGTGATTTTCAAAGGTCTTAGGATAATTGACCGTCGGGCTGTCTCTTTTCTTGGTCTCAGTCCATCAGATCAATGGCCCTCGACCCCGAAAGCCTTATCCAGGCCCACCCCGGAAGATAGGAGATGCTATAAATTCTACCTTGTTTGCCATAGGTCTTTTTGACTTGATTCAAGTTCGATGGAGAAAGCTGAATTAGCACACTCCTACTATGACTGTTACCATGAAATCATTCATGATGCTTTTTGCCCTGGCGGCCAGTGCGATGGCAGTGCCAACAGCTTATGAATATCAATTGCACGAACGTCGTGGTTCCATCCTACAATCTTGGGCTGAAGGCAAGAAACTCGATGGAAATGTGTCATTACCTGTGCGAATCGGGTTGACACAGTCTAACCTAGAGTATGGCCATGAACTACTTATGGACTTGTACGAACTTGCGCAATGGACCTCCCACTTTCTGAGGCTGAGATCGATCTGTTTAGATCTAACCCTTACTCGAGCCGCTACGGACAGCATCTGTCTACCAATGAAGCGCGCGACCTATTTGCCCCGACCGAAAAGAGCGTGAATCGTGTGCGTTCTTGGTTGGAGTCGGCTGGTGTTGCAAAAGACCGTATCACGCGGTCAGCCAACAAGCAATGGATCCAGTTTGATGCTGATGCCGAGGAGCTCGAGAATTTGTTGCACACAAAGTACTATATCTACTCACATGCTGAAACGGGTCGATCACACGTAGCCTGTCGCGAGTAAGGTTGCCATTTGTATTGGATCTATAGTCCCGCTGACCTCTGACTACAGATATCATCTCCCGAGCTCCGTGCGTGAGCATGTCGACTATATCACTCCAGGAATCACTTTGCGTGAGGTGACTGGTGCCCGGAGATCGACCGACGGGCAGAAACGCTTCGCTGATGGGATTCCCCCAATTCTTAAGCCGATCCCCCTACCAATTGAAAGGCTGGTGGGCGAGGCGGCGTCCTTTTGTTCCCAGGCCATTACACCCCAATGCATTCAACGTAAGTAACCCAAATACAAATACCCACACACTGGATATGTTGACAAGCGTACAGAGATGTATAACATCAGTGATGGCCACTCTGCCACAAAAGGAAATGAATTAGGAATCTTTGAGACCATCGGGGATGTTTACGCTCAGGAAGATCTAAATTTATTCTTCTCGAGATTGTATTCGTATGTCGTCGCATTTGATCAGATTTCGTCGATTTCGTTGAATTTCGGACTGACTTGAATGCAGAAAAATCCCCAACAGCACACACCCAACTCTCAAGTCAGTTGATGGTGGTCAGGCTCCTGTAGACATTTCTCATGCTGGGGCTGAATCCGATCTGGACTTCCAAATCTCTTACCCGATCATCTGGCCACAGAACTCCATCCTTTTCCAAAGCGATGATATGTATTACGAGAAGCATTATACCTTCCAAGGTTTCCTGAACACGTTCTTGGATGCCATTGATGGCTCTTACTGTAGTACCATCTCGCCTTTGGATCCTCCATACCCCGATCCAAATGACGGAGGCTACAAGGGCTCCCTGCAATGTGGCATATACGACCCACCTAAGGTCATCTCGATTTCCTATGGCTCTGCCGAGGCAGACCTCCCTATTTCCTATCAGCGGCGACAATGTGCTGAGTTCATGAAGCTAGGTACAATGGGAGTTTCAGTGGTGGTTGCTTCGGGCGATTCTGGTGTGGCTGGACGTGGAGGTGACCCCACCCCCAGCAACTGCCTTGGCCCAAATGGCAACATCTTTACTCCAGATTTTCCTGCTTCCTGTCCATATCTTACTGCGGTGGGAGGCACTGAAATCCCCGCAGGTTCCTCGCCAGAAGATCATAAGGAGCAAGCTGTGACTAGGTTTGCATCAGGTGGTGGCTTTAGCAATATTTACAAAGCCCCTGATTATCAGGCCCAGGCTGTTGCAGATTACTTTACTTTGGCCAAGCCCTCATACCCATACTATGAGGGCGTGGACAACAGTAGCTTCGGCGAGAATGACGGGATCTATAACCGGATCGGACGTGCCTATCCAGATGTTGCCGCCATTGGTGACAATGTCATCATCTATAACAGGGGAATGGCCGTGTCGATTGGTGGGACATCGGCCTCTGCACCTATATTCGCTGGAATCCTCACTCGCATCAACGAGGAGCGACTGGCCGCTGGCAAGTCCACTGTTGGTTTTGTTAACCCTGTACTGTACGCCCATCCGGGGGCATTCTTTGACGTGACCAAGGGCACAAATGCGGGTTGCAACACTGACGGCTTCTCTGCGGCTAAGGGTTGGGACCCAGTGACCGGATTGGGTACCCCAAATTATTCCGAACTTTTGAGGATTTTCATGAGCCAGTAGACCAGCTTAATATAGGGCGATCTCGCTTTTTAATACAGATCTAAGAACAGTCAACCGGAATTCGATGCAATTAGACGCAAGTTTTGTTAGAAACTAAAAAGCACCGTGATAATGTCACAAAACTGCAATACTGTGTTGTATACTATTCTTGGCACAACGCTGGAGCGATCGCATCGACAACGTTGATCCCCTGCAAGGATTAAGTGATTCAATGCCCAGGAACATAATCTCATAACAGCAAACCGACACCAAAATGCTAGATACAAAAATACTACTTCATGTGAAGTACGCGATTTTACATCTAGAATGACATCATCACTCATGAATTACCCGATGAAGGAGGGGATAGTCCTCTGTTATATACTCCTCATATAGGGTGCAAGTAATGTATGTATAGTATCATATATATGAAAAAAAGCAGATGCATCAACAAGCTGCTAATTGTAAATGTGAATGTGAATGGCTTTCTTATGACTACGTATCTATATTTGGTTTGTAATGATATTCTTGACCCCCCATTCCCCTCGGTGGAGTCCACTCCGAAAGGGGTGTGGATGGACAGTTAAAGATTGGGGTTTCCACGTTCCTTTCCTTTTCTCTTTCTCTTCCTCTTCCTATCATTCTTTAATCTCTGAAAAACCCATGTCTCTCGGCAAGAAAGTCACTCTCAACTCCGGCCACCAGATCCCGTGCGTATATTCTGAATAGTGAATAACTTCATCACTGACCCCATGTTCAGCCAGCTGGGTTTTGGTACTTGGCAGTCTGCTCCTGGCAAAGTCGGCGAAGCTGTCTATGAGGCATTGAAGGCTGGTTACCGTCACCTGGTATGTACATGTACATGTACATATACATCCATCTTCTTCTTCTTTTTTTTTTTTTTTTTCAAGCTATTGGCTAACCCCTACCCCTCTCAGGATTTGGCAACTATGTATGCGGCACCAATCCCTTGATCATGAGATGCTCCCACTGTAACTGCGCCCTGCTTACCACCTACTTACAGTTACCAGAACCAGCGTGAGGTCGCCGATGGCATCAAGCGTGCTTATAACGATGTCCCTGGTCTGAAACGCGAGGATATCTTTATTGTAAGCTAATCCTTGCCAACTTTGGATCCTACACCATTCCAGCAACTGACATGTTATTCTATAGACCTCTAAACTGTGGAACAAGTACACTATCTCGAACTACATTGTTACACTATAAGGATACTGACTGGGTGTAGCCAGCACCGCCCGGAGGCTGTCGAGGCCGCTTTGGATACTTGCCTTGCCGAGCTTGAGTTGGATTATCTTGACGTATGCTTATTCCATTTAGGGATCTTGTGAACTACAGCTAACAAAACAAGCTTTACCTTGTTCATTGGCCGGTTGCCTTCGCGAAGGGCGATTCATACTTCCCGCTCGTTGCCAACAGCACCGTCGAGGGTGGTGATGTGATCATTGATGATGACGTCTCTATTGTGGATACCTGGAAGGGTAAGTGACTACGTTTTGCAAATAAGAAAATTAGGACAAAGCTCACGTCTATAGCCATGACCAAACTCCCAAAAAGCAAGGCTCGTTCTGTTGGTGTCTCCAATCATATGATTGAGCATGTCCGTATCCTCCCTGTCACAAACCCACCATACATCAGCTAATACGCCCTGCAGCTCGAGGCTCTCATTAATGGCACCGGTGTCATCCCTGCAGTCAATCAGATTGAGCGCCACCCCGTGCTCCAGAGCAATGACTTGATTGAGTACTGCCAACATAAGGGAATCCACATCACTGCCTACTCGGTACGTATCTATTTTTTTTGTGTTGATAGCGAAGAAGTCAATGCTGATTGAAGCCCTAGGCCTTTGGTAACAACATGTTCGACATTCCCCTGCTCATCACCCGCCCTGAGGTTAAGGAAGTTGCCGAGTCTGTTTCAAAGCGCACTGGCCAGGAAGTCAGCCCTGCGCACGTCATGTAAGAATATACACGCCCTTTCTGCGGCGTTGTTGGGCGAAAGCTAATAGTCTTCAAGTCTCGCCTGGTCTCAGGTCGGTGGACATAGTGTCATTCCTAAGTCAGTCACGCCTTCGCGCATTCGTGACAACTTCAAGGAGGTAGAACTCACTTCCGAAGAGGTTCAGAAGATTGGCGTTCTTGGCCAGGACCGGAGACGTTATAACATTCCTTACGTGGCTAACAAGCCTCGCTGGAACATCGATGTCTTCGGCGAGCCCGAGGAGAAGCCCGCCGATCACAAGGTCATCCTAAGTGTTTAATTTCGCTGATAGCCTCAGGCGCGCCATGGCTGAATGAAATATAGATGCACGGGTGCTTTCTAGTGTGTTAACAGAGCTAGCACCACTATCAATATATCTAGCTAGCTTCCTTCAATAATCAACTGATCAAGATCGATTGACCATCCCATATGAATGCCTTAGTTGAGCCTTGCAGCTGCTGGGTGCCCTGGGTTATAGGGCATTCACCATGTTATTAGTGAACTATGATACCGTGCTGTAGGCCAGATTCTCTTGACCGTAAACAGTTGCCTTCTTTGAATCATGGAAATGAGGGAAGGTATCATTATTACATGTTGCATTCAACAAAGCGTCCACGGGTATATATATGATAGCGAAAGGTTGTCTGTTATGCTGCTTACGCCATCTCACGGCTGTTTCATTCACTGTTAAGGTCATCTCTGCTCGTCAATAGGCTATGAACACCGTTTTAATCTGCGTTGATTGGTCGCTGATGAGAGCTTAAGACCGGTCCTGCGTCCAACTCGTGACATTCTTGGACTTGAGCAGATCCATTCGGTGCCTCATAAATTGAGCGACTATCCAAGAATATCGCTGACCCCACTGGCTTTCGAGGTAAGAGAGTCTGTTGTTCTCCTGGATGGGATGCTTCTTCTTGAGGTGGTGTAGTTCCTTGAGGAATGGGAGCTTTTTCATCAAGTGCCACAACTGTTGATGGGGTCGATGAAGCTGAAACAGTCGATTGAGCCCCTCCAGTTCTCTGTCTCTGGCGCCGGCGCCGAAGCACGAACCATAGGATCAGCACCACCAGAAGGACAGCGACGATTGCACCCGCTGCAATCCCGCCCTTGGCCCCTGGACTCAGGCCAGACGAGCCACTAGAGCAGGAATAACCGTTTTTGAAGACGTTCTCGGATTTCAAATTGTCTAATGTACTGCATGACATTGAACTGCTGCCTGTGATCATTGTCTGACCTTTGACTTGATTAAGAGAAGGTAGGGACACGCTGGTATATTGATCAGTATTGTGGAAGGCGGGAGTTTATGGCTGTTGCAATGACCATACCTGTCGAATGATCCTGTCAATACCAACTGTCCTTCGACTTCTTCCAAGTCCTGGAACCCAAGTGTTTTCAGCCTCGGGTTCCCTGTGATGATTATACTCGAAGAAACTTGTGATAACGCGGCCATGGTTATGGTTGTGAGTGAGTTGAGGTTACTCAGTGTGACAGCCCCCTGCACACTGTCCAAATCAGGGGTAATAATCTCCGTGAGTCCTGAGGCATCTTCAGCAATGAATGCGCCCTTAATTTCCTCGACATTATTGATGGTGATCACTCCGCTAGCAGAAGAGGATATAGTAATGCTTCCGTCAAATGTGTCGCAGCTGCTCAACTTGTTCGCATCGCTTTGACTCGAGATGGTTACACTGCTTGAGCCTATATAGAATAAGCTATGCAGTTGGTAAGCAAGCAAGAAATACATCACTTACAGGCATCGGAATCAGAATCAGAATCAGCAACCGCTCTTTGCCATACACCGGCAATCATCAGAAAGTAGATTACAATCATCCGTACGGGCGATTTTTTTTCCCACAACAATCCAGTTACTTATTTCACACAACCCACATTGAATATTGTGTGCGCGAGGGGGACATTCGCAATCTTAAGGTCAATAATAATAATATGGAGTGAGGCGGAGTCGAAAATTTCCGGCCTTGGCTGATTGTACTTTTTTTTATTAAATTTGTATGTCAAAGACTGCCGATCATCGCGGTCTCTTTATAGTGTTGATTGGCCAACTTTGGATATTATTTTGTTTATACGTATAGATCCACGCTACTCCGTATACAAAACATACAATCCTATTCCAAAAAGGCACCAGGAGATAAAAAGGTGCGAATTCAGTCTGCAAAAAGCATTCTCTGTATGGTGGAAGATTCATTGGAGTTTTCAAAATGAAAGCTGCCTTGAATTGATCGTGGTGTTGCTATTTTTATTTACCTTAATATCCCTACCTTATGTTGCACTTGTAGAGTGTTGACGTAGGCAACAGAATTGGCGGGCCCTTGGCGCCCCTTTCAATCTCCGCATGGATCGAAAGAAAGTACGGAGTATTCCGTTACAAAGTAATCTTTATAGACCAAGCTTTACTTGTAATAACATATCAAACACATCTATTTTATGCTTCTTGAGGTCTTTAGAGTAGAAGTGGAAACAAAAACTTTGCCCGGGGCCATTCTCTCCAAAAGATGACTCAGCATATGCGGGGCCCGTGTTCCAACCAGACGTTAAGAAGGTTGGCACCTTCTCCGGCATCATGCTCAGAGGCTCTATATAGATGAAAAGTTCGATAACAGCGACGTTGAATTGATATCCCCATGAGAGTGGGCAAGGGCTGTGAAAGGTGTCGTCATCGCCATATCCGCTGTGTGATTCCCACCGGAGCATCAACTTGCACTCCATGTTTGCGACTTGGTCAGGCGTGTCACCTTGATCCTCGCTTCCAGTTCAAGCCTGTCCATCATGTTTACCAAAAGAATAATGGTGTACCTACCCGATTTGAGTTGGATTGGGATAAAGAGCAAGTTTGGGTGGACGTGTCACAGCCTGGTAGGGGTCCAGAACCTATGACTTTTAGTCATATACTGATCTGGTCCAGTGACATTCGTTCTGGAAACGAACGATGAATCAGCTGGAAACAGAGATAGTGCTTTAGAACAATATAACAGTCCAGCACTAGAGTGGGCATCTCATGGTCGCAGTGGAGGGACTCGAGCTTCCCACTCGGAGGACAGATATCAACCGCAAGCTCGCAGCCCATTTTACGTGAATCGATCCAGTCAGGACTCTACAACCTCTACAAACAGTCAACTCAGCCTGCTGTCTGACAATGGACCTACACTGACACTAAGGGAGGCATCACTAATGCGCTACTTTATCCAAAAACTAGCTCCCTGGGTAAGCTGTAACCGAGTCTCATGTTAGGATCACATATCTGATCATTTTAGGCTGATGTTTGTGACATCCATTCACATTTTAGCACCGAAGTCCCAAGACGGGCATTGGAGAATAACATGGTACTACAAGCCATTCTAGCTCTGTCTGCCCGACACGATGCGATCTTGGCCAACAGTCGTGACTGGGAGGCCTCGGCTTACCACGGACAATGTTTGCGATTATTAATTGCGGCATTGGATCAAGCCGAGACAAATTGCGACGAGAACATGCTCATTACGGTTGTGATCCTTCGTATATATGAAGAGTTGGAAAATAAGACCGACCAAAAGTTTCATCTGCTTGGATCCAATCGTTTGGTGAATCTTGTGACTCGCTCTGCCTCCTCTGGTGGAATGGCAGAGGCAGTGAGCTGGCAGTTTTTGCGACAAGCTATCTATGCATCGGTAGTACAGTATCAGCCTTTACAACTTGACCTGCAGAATTATGAGCGCTCATCAATGTTTCACCGCCACGACGACGCTGCTTGTGCTAATAGGATTATCTATTATTGCGCCCGCATCTTACAACTATGCTGCGATGCGCCCGAGCATGTTTTGGGGCAAGACACCTGGCGCCAAATATCGGACAGCGTGAACGAGTGGAATCAAACCAAGTCCACAACCTGGCAACCCATTCGGTACCAAGCATCGAGTGTAGCTGCTGGTCGGCCTTTCCCTGAGATATGGATGATCTCCCCGCCTGCAGGTATGTATTTAGGTTCCAATGACAACGCAACCTAAATTTACTGACCGTAACCAAAGTGGTTGGGATGCAGTATTACCACTCGGCGTGTATATTCCTTACTTTATCTGAATCTCCATCGCACAATATGAGCGATTATGAAAGGGCCTGTTCAAGGCGCATGAAGGAGGTAATCAAGCAAAAGCTCTGAGCAGCTATATATATGCAGGCTGATATGTACCCTAGCAAACGATTGCCGACCATCTTGTTGTGGTTATTGGCTTGTCGCTGTCCAACGAAAGCGTAGAGAATGCCTATTTCATGGCCTCACATTTGTTACATCGATGTTCGTGTGCGCTCCATATTCCTCGACCCGCATACCCACTGACCTACCTTCAGTTGGCTACTGTCTTCGGAACGTAGTGGAGCAGAAAGGATCATTGCAGTTTTTGACCCGAGTAGAAAAAGTGCTAGGATGGCGCACTTCATGGATGATACGGGAACTGGAGCATCAATGGGTTGAGTTGGCTGCGTTTGACCCTGGGCGACAATACCGTTCTAAGTAAACAAGTATGGTCGTGCTCATGGAGACCAAACGGAAGTTTCAAATCATTCTGGCAGATATATTGCTTAGGCTAATCTTCGAATTATGGACTTCGTCTGAAGCTGAAGGAGAGAGGATATCTCCTTCGTCATACGTCTATATATATCGTTTTCTGCTAACTAGTGTCATTCCGGCGAGCAAGGACTGATCAGAAATACAAACGAGAATCTCAAGCGGGAAGTTGCTCATCTGCAATCCAATTTCACTTGCAACTGTATCACACCGACTCATTCTACAACTCTGAGTCTGAAACCTGCAATAGTTCTTCCAACTCCCTACAACTGTGCTGTATTCAAAGAGACTGACCGGCCTATTACGATCGAAGAGGTCCTGTTAATCCTGTCCGATGTAGGCGAGATTTCAAAAGTCGAGGAGGTTGGTATTTCCTTCTCGGATCAAATTGCATAGGTATATCTCTTTCTGACCTCGATCCCAGTATGAGATATGCCGTACTGACATCTGCTCGCCAAATTGTGCTCGGTTATGAGATTATTGGAAAATAGAGGATCGTGTTGGTGGAGCACGGTATGCTATGGAGGTCACAACTTGAACGTAAATGGTCATGAGTTGACCAAAACCTAGAAACCTGTCCCTTGTGTTGTCCCAAGATTCTAAGTGATTCCTGCGGGATTTGGGAGCTGACGAATATATCGCTGGAACCTTGCAAGGAGGGCCTGGCTGAGGTGTTGCAAAGGTAGGCGACCATCCTCCATCGTGGAAACAACGTCTGATACACAAGTGGTCCCATTGCTGTGGAAATGGCGCTCGATTATAGGAAGATTTTGATCTTAGTTGGTAGTTATATCAGTAAAAATATCGGACGAAGATGCGTATAGAAAATAGTTCCCGGGGAGGTGGTGTTTGACACGAGACTGATAGTAAAGCTTTCCTGGCGAATCAGGCAAATTAGGTATATGGCGTGTCCCCTTGGGACTACATTGAGCCTGCTGACCAGGTTCCAAATGCTATGATTCAAGATATCATTAGATTTCGTGTGGTGATTGCATATATAAAATGGACTCAGACCTTGGGAGGAAGTGAACAGCTGGCTAGATATCAATTTCCCAATGTGAAGCCCATTCGAGTAATTATTTCCTTTACCTCCTATATGGCTGGATAATATGTTTGATGCGTTGGGCATTTGATGCGTTGACCCCACGCTTTACCCTTTAGATATAAATACATATGTATCCTCCAATCTTTCTTTCTCTTTCCTCTCCATCTGCGACTTTCTTGCCTCTCTTTATCCTTCACTCCTATCTCCTCTCAACACACAACAATAAACATACATTGCTAGCAATGGAGACTCAATCATGGGAAGTGCTCGTGCACAAGAAACAACTTGAAGCTGCAGCAAAGATCCCAATTGAATGGCGACTTCCCGAAAAACTGACCAAGATCTCCGAGATGTCTGGCATAAATGTGCTAGATGTTCCACGCCAGTCAGGAATTTTGACACCAAGACAACTCGAAATAACTGAAGAGTGGGATGCAACCGATCTACTCAGGAAGATGCATTGCCAAGAGTTGTCTGCGTATGAGGTCACTGAAGCATTTTGCATTCGCGCTGCGATTGTCCAGCAAGTGGTATGAGTTGAGATGACTTTTCTCTTATCTGGCTTTCAAAACTTTAACCAGTGGCTTACAATAAACTCTCAGACTCGATGCCTTACTGAGACTTTCTTTGAGCGTGCTCTGCAGCGTGCAAAGGATTTGGATGAGATATTATGCAAAACAGGGACACTTGTCGGGCCTTTGCATGGCTTGCCTATCAGTTTCAAGGTACGACCACAATTACGGACAGCAAATTTAGGCGAATTTGGGCTTACTGATATTTTGTAAAGGATTGCTTCAACATTGATGGGATTCCGTCTACGATTGGGTTTACCTCGTTTATCAAAAATGGTCCTCTCAGCTCAACTTCTCCTGCCGTTCGGATTTTGCTCAACTTGGGTGCCATTCCGTATGTGAAGACAAATGTTCCCCAGACAATGATGGTGAGTGATCTTACAATGATAAATGTGTTCCAATCGCCCAACTGCAGTTATAGGCCGCCGATTCACACAACTACATATTTGGCCGCACCATCAACCCTCATCGATCGAATCTTACTGCTGGTGGGTCGACTGGGGGAGAAGGGGCATTGATTGCTATGAGAGGATCGGTGCTGGGTGTTGGCACAGATATTGCCAGCTCTATTAGAATTCCAGCTGTTTGCAACGGGATCTACTCATTGCGATCATCTGCAGACCGTATTCCATACGGGGGACAGACCAGCTCTGTCCGTGGGGGCCTGGCCGGGATCAAGCCTTGCGCAGGACCGATGGCGACATCAGTCAGAGATCTAGAGCTATTCATGAAGCTCGTGACAAATGCAGACCCATGGCAATTTGATTCCTCTGCTTTGTTTTCTCCATGGCGCACCGTTACACCCAAGTCCGCCCTCCGACTTGGGCTCATACTGGAGGATTCCCATTTTCCTCTGCATCCACCGGTTTTGCGAACTCTTACAAGAGCAACCAAAACGCTTGAAGCAGCTGGGAATCAGATCATTCCTCTACATACCCTGCTTATGCGCAATGCCTGCACACTGGCGTTTCGTATGTTCTCGATGGATCCAGCTCTGACCCCATTCAAGCACATTGCTGCTAGTGGAGAGCCAACCATCCCCGCGCTGGCATCAACATCCCTGCATCATGGCTACATGCCATACGGGTGTGCTCCATTGACACTTGAAGGGCTGTACGATCTCAACGAGGAACCCAATCACCTCAAGGAAGAGTTCCGAGACCGCATTATGCAGGCAAAAGTGGACGCTATCATCATGCCCGGCTATCAAGGTACTGCTCAACCTCACGACCTGTCTGGCTTTGTACCCTACACCGTCCTTTGTAATGTGATGGACGTAAGCTTCTCTCTTGTCATATTAAATTACTATACTAATTTCCCAAAGTATCCAAGCTGCATCATTCCGTATGGCAAGGCCAACAAAAGCGCCGACGAGGCATTCATTCGGAGGGTGAACTACAAACCTCCCTGTAAGTGTTATATCTTCCACGCATTATGATTGATGGATTTATTGCTGACTCGGGTATTTTGAGATGTCGCCGATGACATCGAGGGAGCCCCGTGCTGCATCCAGCTCGTTGGTAGAAACATGCATGACGAGGAATTAGTGAAAGTGGCGGAGCTTGTGTCAGAGACACTCATGCTTTGAGAACTCCTGGCACTGGGGGAATGGGTGACCTCAAATCGAGAAGAAAGATTCATAAATCGAGGAAATGCACATTTATTTTGCGGAATTTGGTTTAAATTTCTCCTCGAAATGCGAACAATATTGGTGTATGACCAGCTGTATTATTCAAAGTCACAATTCTAACAATCTTAAACCAGCGAGTGAAATTACCTTGTGTCTCTAGGCGCTTCTATGTCTATTATCCATAGAGGCCCAGGTGCAAACGAAATCTTACTTAATTCCTATGGAGACGAGTCCACGGGTGTGAAGAGGAAACTGAAAAAAAGATCTAGCAAGGGACCTTGAATATCTCCATATTAGGCCTTAGACAGAAGAAAGCAAATGGAGAACCTCTCGTAGAACATATTTACTTGGCTACAATACCCTCGGGATATCTGGCCGCGAGAATGTGTTGGAATGTCGTCACTTCGTCCATGAAACCCCGCAAAATCGCTTTCCTACCTCGAACAATTTCCACCAACGAGAGAGATAGATTTACATGTATTCATCTACACTGAATGCTCTAAATTAATAAGAAGCCCATCTTTGCGCGGAATTTCTCTGCTTGTATGAAGTATTTACTCTGATTACTATCACTCAAAGGGATCTCTCACCCCAACTCAAAAATGGGGATGATCCTGGGAGCAACCGGAGTGGCTCTCCTCAGTATGCTATCTTTCGTCCAGGCATATCCATCCAATAACTCCAAACAGTTCACTAAAACTCCATTTTTTGTTTTGGCGGGTGATAGCACAACAGCCACTCAATCCTCGAACGGAGGAGGATGGGGAGATGGCTTTCTCAACACAACCCTTTTCAAAGGAGCCTCTGGTCACAATTTTGGTCACAACGGGGCAACTACTGTCAGTTTTCGAGACGGAGGTGATTGGGACAAGGTTTTAGCGACTGTTAGACAAGTTCGAGACGACTATCATCCATTTGTGACAATACAATTTGGGCACAACGACCAAAAGCCAGCTGCAAACATCTCACTATCACAGTACACCAGCAATCTTGAAAAATTCGTGACTGAGGCTTTTGATGCTGGGGCCACACCGATTCTCGTCACTCCTCTCTCTCGGCGCAACTACGATAACTCAACAGGAACACCGCGCATCATTATGAGTCTCGCTAATGAGACCATGGCCACCATCACTGCTGCCAATCGCTCACATGCTTCATACATTGACCTGAATCATGCTAGCACCCGGTATCTCAGTGCAATCGGGCCAGAGAATGCTTTTACATACAACCTCATCCCAACAGACTATACCCATCTGAATGTGCCGGGGAGCATTGTGTTTGGGGGAATTGTGGCGGAACTGATTACCCAGAAAGTTGGCGCTTTGGAAAAGCTTGGATATATGCGCGTGAATGGTGGACTCAAGAAAGATGTTGATCATGGGATCTATTACTGGCCTTAACTCCACCAAAGGCTATGATAGCGGAGAACCACATATTCTTCAACAAATAAAGGTGTTAACTCAACATCAAAATGCTATTCTTTGCTTGTAGTCATATTGGCTCAAGTATGGTCTAAAAATAGGTGTCCACAGTCCCATAAATTTAAGTAAATTAATATTGCCAGCTTTCTGATAACCTATCAACTATAGATCAACGGCAGATGGCTACTTCTCCTCCTCATGAGCATGCTTCTGAAGGAACATAGCTTTCATCGAAGGATAGGTGCGGATTTCGAGATCCTCGGATAAGGCAGAGGTTCCCTCTTTGTTACGAATATCATACCAGATTGACTCTGGTGTCCTGCCTTGAACCCGTTTAGCAAACCAAATTGCGTGAACCCAGTTAATAGACACTTCGAAGCCTTCTCCTTGATCGTGAATCAAAATTGTCGCACCGTCTTCATTGTCCAATCGACGGCCAATGTCGATCCGTTCTTCCTCGCCCCATGATCCACCGAGCCTGGAATTGAAAATGATTTGGCCTTGAGCTCGGCGAATCGAAATATGGAAGATGGTATCATTCTCTGCATCCGTAATTGAAATCTGGGTCATGTCGATGCCATCATTGGGCTTGACAGGATCCACACTCGACGACTCGATGAGAATCACACTGTCTGCCTTGAGTGTCTGCTGGAAGCGGAGACTGCTGTGAAGTGCGAGATTCGCCCTTGGGCGTTTTGGTCTGATTGGAGTTAGCGAATCAATTTCCATGTCTATCGCCACATTGAGAGAATTTGGAACTTACCGAGGAGCCGGCGCGTCAATCTTTGGCTGCTTCAGCTCTGGATCTAACGCTCCATCAGCACCACCACTGATGGTAGGCTCTTTCTTGAAATTTTCAAAGGCTGGTGGACTGGCAGGATTAATGAAGTGCTTTGTGTCATTGCTGCTGCCAATGACCTCTAACTCCAGCTTCTCAACGTCGTAGCGAGGTAGTTCTTTCTCGTTCTGCGAAAGGTCAGTAATATCCGTACAATGGAAACGAGAGAGTCAATGGCTAGGCATGCTTGCCTTAAACACCCGCCAGTATGCGCGCTTTCTTATATAGGCCAAAACCTCGTCGCGAGTCAACGACTTTAGTTTCCGCCCACCCCTGAGAAGCTTGTAGAGAACTGGAGTAATTGGGATGTAAGCAGTTGACCTGACGCGCGATTTTTGTCCTTTCGTGCAGTTTCCACAGACTGAAGAACCATCCAACTCTGGCTTTTGGCTGAAGTTATACACCTCGGCGATCAAGTCTGTCAGTGGGGTTTGAATGCCGTCCTCCTGGGCGAGATACAATTTGACCCAGAAAGGCTGCCCTCCGAATGCATACCTAAGTTATCCAGAATTATTAGATATCATTTCAGCTTGCAATAAATTCTTCTTGAAGACAACTTACTTCAAGAACCGAACACTGAAGGCAAAGTCGGTAATTTTAAGCCCACCATCAATCGCCTCAACACCCTCTGGGGTTGGAGCTTTAGGGTCCAATGCCAAATCGCGCGACACGCCATATAGCTTATTGACGATGATGGTGATATCTTCCTTGAACAGAACCTGACTGAGTCTTCCGTCCTCCTGGCGGTATTTACTCTCCCACCGTAGCAGCTCAGGATAGGAATATCCGAGATTGGGGGGATGTCTAACTCCTTCGGGGGTCCAATAATTTCCTTCCACATCACGTCTGAATGGTTGAAGCGGAGTGTCCTCATTCACCATGTGATCTTTGCCAAATGAATCACGGATCGTAGCATTGTCGGGAGGAATGTTATCCATCCACTTATCCGGGTTGAGTGCTTGCCAGATCGCGAAAAGGCGGTCGATATTGCTACAAGACAAGTAATGATAATTAGAATTCCGTTTCTAGCTGGTTGAAGAAGATATACTTACCAGTGGTGCAAGAAGAACAGCGGATCAAAAGAGGCAACTGGTACATTTCCCATATGTCCTGCTGAACCTGTCCAACCGTGACTTTGAAAAAGTGTTGTTAGTTTTTGAAGTGACTAAGAATAACATGTAGTAGATGTTGACACAGAATACCCCTGTGATGACTCTTAAAATGAGATGGAGAACTTACACGTTGTTGTGGATCTATTCAGGTGAATACCAGTCAGTTGTTGTGCGGTTGATATATCAAATCCATATACTCACATATTCTATATTCAAATCTTCATCGACGTTTTGATCTTTCGAGGTTGGATTTGTGCTTGCAAAGGTAGTGTAGTCCATGGGCACCGTAAGCAGTCGATACACCATTTCAGCCGCAGGACCGTGATTCTTGTCATTGTATCCTTCGTGAGAGTTGAAGGCATCCGCCACCTTGCGGTTATTGACTACACCGTGCCGCCAGCCTTCGCTAGCTGGATTCTGGTCCTCTTCATCTGGCCAACGGCTGGTTCCAATTGCATTACCAAACTGAGTATGTTAGCTTGTGTATTTCCATATTGCCTAGAATTTACGCACGTTCTTGTACTCTTCTTGTTCTGTCTCGTTTTCCCATGTGTTTTCAGTACCGACGCCCTCACTTCGCATCGGCTTGTCTGTGGGCATGCGGAACTGAAATAGTGGATTGTCAATTCGAAGCGATCCGCCCTCGGGCATAGGAACGGTAATAGTAGGGTATTTCGCCAAGTCGGGGACACGGCCATTTAGTGCCCAGTCCCAGAAGGGAAGACGCCATGATTCAGCTTGTTCATGCCATGAAGCCTGATGGGCTTCCGGAAATTGAGGTATAATCTCCTTGATCATGATGTCATACATCACTTGCTGTAATGAAATCAGTACCAAGTTTATCTGGGATATGAGATTCTCGCACCTCAAAAAGAAGCACATATGGCCGGTGCCAAATGGGAAATATCACATGAGAGTGGAAGCAGTAGCCATTCTTCATGGGCTCTGGACTAGGATCATCCCATCGTACAAAGGGTTGTCCGTGGATACCTGGTCAAATGAGAGTCAAACGCCGTAAACCGAAGGTCATAAACTGGGGCCTACCAGCAACTTGAAAGTAAGAGAGTCTTTCTTTAGGGTCTAACTTCTGGAAATTGTTTAGAGCGAGTATGAAAAGATCCACTTGCTTTTTGTTCGACTTCTTGCAGCTCCATTCGTCGATATCCTGCCGGACAAAGACCTTGCGATTGATACCGTCATCAGGATTGGAATCTTGGGCTGGAAAGCGGGCTTGGATCTGGTAGTACTCGTGTGCAGAAGATCCAGGTGCCATCTTGTCTGTTGATGAAATTGTTGAAGCAATACTTCGTTTGGAAGATCTTTTTCTTAATCGGCCGAAGAGGTGCATTCGTACTTATTAGGAATTAGTTTACTCGGGGCCCGGGGCAAAGTGAATGTTTATATAATTTCCTCCAAGGGTAGGACAGTAGACATAGAGTACACACAAAGCAATTATTGATCGACATTGAATGAGACTGTGGACATATTGGTACATATTGGCGCACATGCTGTCTTGTCACATCTCAATACAAGCCCTCCTATTAGAGAATATTACGCAGGTGTATACGGCCAGGTAGGAATGGAACCCCTTTTTACGGCCCTGCGTGCAGCGTGAGAAAATAATTGGCGGCCAAACAATACAGGTATTCCATTCCAGTCAAGATGCCGATGTAAGCAACTTCACAATTGTTGTTTATCGCTATACGCAGCTGTAACCTCAACATAGAGATGGAAACGACTTGATTGGCCTCGGAGAACACCAATGAACTGTTGTACGTGGTTTTAATTTGGCCTGCATACTGGCCAGGAAATTGTCACGAACCAGGGTTCATTGAATTATTCCAGCCCTCCCCAGGTAGCCACAAGTAGAGCAATTCAGCATATCAGTTGCGCGAAATCCTACCTGTCAACCTAGTGGTGACTTGGGTTGAACTGAGTTAACGTTGATGTCGCATCGTTTGTTCTCGTCACCCAATGATGTAGCTTCAGTTCTCAGGGTCTAGTGCTCGATCTTTGAATACTTTTGAATACAATGCCAGTTACTAGCGCAGGCCAATCTCTTTCTGTGCTTTTCTTTTGATAATGCCAGGGTATATTGAGAATACCAAACAGTGCAAGATCATCAACAGCAGCCTAGATTAAAATATTTCTATGAGCCACCGATGCAAGCTAGTAGTAATATCACATCGACAGATTTAGTGTAAATCATTGAATTATTGCCAATAGCAGGAAATTCGAATAGGAAAATGGAACTAGAGCATTCTAAAGCTAAGCGATCATCACACAACACCCTGTTCTCGCATGAAACGCATCTCCTTCAGAGAAACCCCCATTTCATCAAGCATGGAATTATTATGTTTACCTGAATTTGGCGGCGATCGTCGAATTTGTGGCTTTGTTTCACTAAACTGGACAGGGGTTCCTGAATAATTGCCAACATGACATTGTACAGACGCAGGTCCTCGTGGGAAACAAATATAGTGCTCTGATTTGCTCCGAAAGTGATGCTTCGTGAGAAAGTGTGTAGATCATATATCTATAGCAGTGGTTTGTGGGTAGGTATTAAAAACCTTCTTCTATCGTGTTATAGAACCATATCACAGCCCACTATTCTGAAAGACAAGTAGCCATACTTCCGTCGCCTTCGTGCCAACGATTGATTCAAGTATCTCTTCTATCTCGGCCCGATTCTAAACAAGAGCTGTTTTCAACAAACCGCGTGTCTGTCTTGAACCCCGATAGCTTCACTAACTGGCAAAGAGTTTAAAACTGGCGATCGCTCATGGCGCCCAGAACCAGGCGACTATTCTTTGTCTTGAAAGCTTGATAAAGAACAATAATTGGATGCTCCGTACCCTAAAGCTTTGCCTATTTGCTAATATTAAGCGGTGAAGTTGCTGCGTTAGAAAGCAGCAGCACTTGGCTCTCAAATAAGAATGCATCAATCCTCTCGGCTCGATCTGTATCTCCGTGGGAATAAAGCGCGGCAATCAATGCTCCATGCAGATGTAAATCACTCGCCGAGACTGGGATACCTCCGTATCCTGACTTTGAAGAAACTCGGTTGCACGTGTCATGATCGTGATCAGATGCAGCGTAACGCACTCTCTAGCCTTTAAGAGAAATCGAGGCATTTGTGAAACCTACACAAGATGTTACAAAGGGGGTTCGACCTGACTCTCCGTACGCATCTCAGAATCTACATATCGAATAAACCTACTATGAAATACACCAGGACTAAAACCCTTTAAGATTCAACGGTCGGCTTTTTGACACCAAAGCCCACAGTGCGGGAAGCGGACTGAGGATATCCAGAAAGCGCTAAAAAAAGGCGAAATGGTGAGAAAGAGGAGGCAAAGAGTTTGCTTCGTATGCTAATGTCTCCCACTTGAAGTTGATATGGGAATGTAGGTTTCTAGACACAATCTGGGGAGTTTCAAGTAGGAGGATCTACTTAGGATAATGCCTCATAAAGCGACCTGGCAACCTCATATTCATATTAAAGTACACGTTACTGGAGACTATTTGCCGTTCCACATGATTAATATTATGAGAGTCAGATATCCCGAACATTTAGATACTTATGGTGTTGGTATTGGCTTACAATGATAGGTGTGAAGCAGCCAGGGGAAATTATTGCGGGGTATGGGGAAATCTTTGGCGACTAAATAGGCTATATAAGGAGAAATAAAGCCAGGACAATGACCAAAAAGGAGAGGAAGCCGGCTTCATAGCCAGTCGAAAGTTGATGAGGGGGAAGTTCAACATACCTCGGAAGCTCGGCTACTAACAACTTATTTATATGTAGTCATGGAGGGGCGAATAATGAGTGGTTTCACAAGATTTTCACAATTCACCATGACATCGCAATCTTACGTTTTGGGGGTGGGGATGACCAAGTTCCTAAAGCCACGTCGCACTCGTGAATGTGAGATTATCCCTTTTTACATACTATGCTGTATATAAATACAGAACGGCAGCTCACCATGCCTTTTCCTTTATAGATCCAGAACTTGGGTATGAGGCAGCAGTCAAAGCTTTGATCGATGCACATGTCACATACGATGATGTACAGGTAGGTGTAGCTTGCTATTGCTACGGCGATACGACTTCCGGTCAGCGAATTATGTACCAGCTAGGGATGACTGGGATCCCGATCTACAACACCAATAATGCGTGTGCTACTGGATCTACTGGCCTTCATCTTGCACGTACTCTGGTCAAAGGGGGCCAAGCAGATTGTGTCCTTGTTGTCGGCTTCGAACAGATGCGCCCAGGATCAATCAAGAGTGTATGGGACGATCGACCGAGTCCGTTGGGTCCATCGACCAAAATGATGGAGGACACGTTCGGTAAATACCAAAGCCCTCGAAATGCTCAGTACTTTGGAAATGCCGGACAAGAGTACATGGACAAGTAGAGCGCCCGGCGACTTGAACCTCGACTTTGTGCTGACCATGCGAACAGATATGGTGCTAAAGTCGAAGATTTTGCTGAAATTGCTCGGGTGTCCCATGAACACTCCCAGCGAAACCCATACGCCCAGTTCCAAACTGCGTATTCCCTTAATCAGATTTTAGACCCGAAGACACAGATTTATGGACCCCTGACAAAGCTCCAGTGCTCGCCAACCAGCGATGGTGCCGCAGCAGCCATCATTGTATCCCAACGGTTCTTGGATGCGCGTCCTCACCTCAAATCCCAGGCTATCCTTATAGCCGGCCAACAGCTGTTGACAGATGGACCGGAGGTATATTCTAGAAGCGCAATAGACCTCGTTGGGTTCAATATGTCGCGTCAAGCTGCCCAAATGGCGATGCAGGAGGCTGGTGTCGGAGCAAATGATATCAAGGTTTGCGAGCTTCACGACTGTTTTTCCACCAACGAGCTTCTATTACTTGATGCACTTGGCTTTTCAGAGCCAGGAAAGGCCCACGAAATGGTTCGTCGGGGGGACATTACGTATGGAGGTCGCGGCCTAGTCGTCAACCCATCTGGCGGACTGATTTCAAAAGGTCACCCTCTAGGAGCTACAGGGCTGGCCCAGTGTGCGGAGCTCACTTGGCAGCTCCGCGGTTGGGCAAACAATCGCCTGGTCTCTAACACTGATGTTGCTTTGCAACACAATCTCGGGTTGGGTGGAGCAGTGGTGGTGACTATCTATAAGCGAGCCGATGGACAGGTCAACCGTCCCATTCCAGATGAAGATATCAAGATGGTTTCTGGCTTGGGATACAACCCCGCAGTCGAGGCTCGGTATATCACACCCCAGGACGGGGAACGCGTCTGTAGCAAAACAAAGCATCACGAGTATCCGCTTCGAGAAACGGCCGAGAAGCTCAAAGCGCGTATCTAAGAAAGACAGATCGATCAGAGGCTATAGATAAATCACAGGATTGATGGCTATATTGACAAAGCCAGATAGGAGAAGAAATAATTCAAATTTTGAAGTTGCGATCAAGGAAGAGAATAATAATCAAGGGATAAAGAACATAAACAATTCAAGATGCATCACGCAGGTTGTACCTGGGGAAACCTGCTTATTGAAGTTAAAACGACCTCATATTTTGAATTCCAAATAGGGATAATGAGGTGGTTGCAAGCGGTAGTGGATACGCGGCTACGAAAGAGAGAGGGAAAGAGAAGAGATGGGCCGGAGAGTAGATTGAAGGCCTCGGGCAGCGATACAATACAACATATTATTTTTGGTTTTGGTTTTAGTAGTCTACCAAATGTAACATAGCATGGACACTATCACTCCTTTTTATAATTCACTTATAAGTCAATCTTTGCCAATATCCGCCTTAAGAGTACTACATTTTTCTATATCACAAATTGGCAAATCTGATGCCGGACTTCTGAGCTGTAAAAGTGGAGATCAGGTCCATTAGCACCGGCGACAGCACGTCGTATGTCTGCAATCCAACGGCCTTGAATTTGGCTCTCACTTCATCCATTTCTTTTGGGTGGGAACCCTGTTCAATGATGGACGAGACGAAGCCGGCGAATTGTGGTTCCTGCCAGCCCTTTTCATCAGACAACTCCACGTGTACAAAGTCTAGTCCCCTAAAAGGATGATCTCTCTCGATACGCCCGAAGAGGTGCACACCGCAGACTTTGCAGGCATTACGTTGAATGGTAGCTTCTTTGTCCACAATTGAAAGCTTCGAAGCATTTGCTGTGACTGAGACAGCGTCTCGGGGTACAACGCCAACGATGGAGAAGAGAGAACCGGGTGGCTTCCAGCACTTAGAGCAGCCACAGGCGTGGTTGTGGGCAACATTGCTATTCAGAGTGATCTCGACCTGGTCGGAGGTGCAGTGACAGTGGAGCTTTCCACCAGAGAATGTACTGGAGCCTGGTGTGATGCCATTGTCGATGAGAGGATGGATAGAGGGTGCCATGGTGAGAGATGTATGAAGTAAAACGAATTGGTCATAAAGTTTCGAGCAGATACTCTCTGAGACCATTTATATATTATAGATAAGCTCCAACATTAAATATGTAATTGAGCAATATCGAGACCCCCTCATATCTCCTCATGAGGGGTAACTGCGCTCTTTGTTGTGTACTTTGTACTCCGTATTATTATAGGTTGACTTGATGCCAATTGTGGGTCATCTTCTAAATGGGGAAATTATTTCCCCTTACTTTCTAGTCTCGGGATCTATACCCGTGTGTTTTTTTTTGTTAGGAAGAAAATTTGTGAGGGGTCTGTTTAACTATATTAAATCTTGGAGTTTAATATAACTTATGTAGGTGAGTATATATTAAACGTCGTGCTCTGTACTCCGTACTTTGTTTTATAATGCCAGGTAATGAACAAGAATAATATATCTGAAATAAGGTCTTAGTAGTTTCTACCTAGGTAGACTCCAGGTGAGATTAAGGTCATGTTTAGGCTCATAAAAGTTTCCATTCTTTCCATTCTTGGAAAGACCCGGGAGCTGACAAAGATGACAAAGATAACCCGTCCACGGACCTGAGGTCCCCCGCCTGCCCAGGTGGGCACCTACCTACTTTGTCGGTGTTTATGAGGCAACAGGGCTGGGAGGCCTCGATGAATCACATCTTTCCTGAATTTTTATGAATCCTTCACTTTATAACTTCTTGACTCGATAATACTTGAATTTTTTTTATCTGACTTCCTTTCCAACTTCTAACTTCTTCATGACCGAAGTTCTGGAAACTCCGACTCTTACGCATGACGTCATCGAGGAACAGGCCGCGCGAACGGTTCAGGTACAGTTACGATGACATTTACGATGACCCTGTTACACCGATTTTCGCTGACCATAATCAGAGAATCTATCGTGGTCACCGAACACGACGAGAGCTGCGCGGACTTGGCTTGGCTGCTTCCACCCGATGGGTTGAGGTAAGTGTGCATCTTACGCGAAAACGACCAAGAGTCTAATATTGTCTGTCTGAATCTAGGCATTTCGAGAAGCCCAATGGCACCAACTCCATCAACCACCCGAACCTCGTGTCACACCTAGAGACGAGGGCTTCAGTCAATCTCGTCGAAACTGGCAACGAGCGGTAAGTGTCGCTCGGCGCGTTGGTGGCGACGATCATGTTTCGGAAGTTTCGCCTTCTACAGGGACTCGATCAGGACCTAATAATACAGAGATTTCATCGGGGGCTACGGCAAAGATGATGGATCTTCAATACTTTCTCGAGATGGTTGATCTCAAACATCGACACGGAAGCAATCTGCGCTCGTACCACACATATTGGCGGAATTCATCATCAAATGAAAATTTCTTCTTTTGGTTGGACCATGGTAATGGAAGAAACATTGAACTTCCGCAATGCTCGCGAGAAAGACTAGAGAAGGAACAAGTCCGCTATCTCACCCGCGAGGAACGTTTGAATTATATGGTCACGGTAGACGAGAATGGGCTCTTACGATGGGCTAAAAACAATGAGCTAGTATGGACAACTACTGCACGTTTCAAAGATAGCCTCCAGGGGATTGTGAGAATCGAGGATGACGTGCCTCAATTCAATGGGAACTCCTCAATTCCACAACCAGCTTCCACGTCAGGCTTATCATCATCATCATCGTCATCATCATCAATATCTACAGAACAGAGTTTCGATGGTGTCTCAAATCAAACCCCGAAACATCCCACCGATGAAGAGTACAAAACTGCGAAGATAATCAAAAAAGTAATACATACAAGCCCTACTACCGCATTTAAGCGACTTTTGGGCAAGTCCTCAGATAAAGAAGATATGTGGCTATTCGTGTGTCAAGTCTGGATTCGTTGTTGTTGAATGCAGACTAACCATTATTAGGTTGCAGACACTTCTTTTCGTTTGTACATTGGCATAAAGAAACCAGGTGCCTTTCAGCATTCCTCTTTTCTTCGAGGTGCCCGCATCGCAGCAGCTGGAATGATTAAGATCAAACATGGCGTACTTCGAAGCCTAACACCACTTAGGTGAGTTCAATTAAATATTTCAATTATCAACTTCCATTTTGAACGCAGGCTAATCTGTTCAGTGGTCATTATCGTCCTCCAGCTGCCAATTTTAGGGCGTTCCACCATGCTATACAGCAAAAAGGCGTTGATATGTCTCATGTTTCCATGAGCAAGTCTTATCTCATGCTCGCTGGAATTCAAAGTTATACCAAAACAAAACAAAAGGCGCGTGCCGTACAGGACAAGGTTGACAATCCCAAGCAAAAGTTCTATCAATCCCAAGAATGAGTGCGGGGACACATGATTTCTATTCCTTCATATCATAGCTGGCTAAATGAGATGGCCCGATTACTGTCTTGCTTATTCTCTAATTGCAGCTCAACATGGAAAAGTAGACTTTATGCGATGTTGCATTCAGGTTCCATAGCTTTTTGATGCTTGAGTCGCGTATGGGTACAATTACAAAGGTTGATATTATTGATATAGCGATGTTGCGCAACGGAATACTCGAGGCCGTGATCAGGATACCTCGCACAGATGGAAGGGATCGCAACAAAGGCTTCAAGTTGTCTTGCCAAAGCAGACCCCGTGTAAGTGAAAATCCAGTGTGGTACGGACGAGCCCTCATATACTCCACGATGAGTATGGGACTCACACAACGTTACACATTCATAAAATCCATGAAAAGTTTCACTAGAAACAGCGATCGGGAACCATTGCTTTCAGGATGAACGCTGGAATGACCATTTATCTCTGTCCCGAGCAGTGACGTGATTGCTAGCAAACGATCTGCCTGATCCTAGCGTCTTAAGATAGAAAGCATAGCCGTCAGTTGCCGTCGCCAAAAATATCAATTACCTCGCGCAATCACCTTCAAGGCGAATCTATGATAGACGGAACAGTAATCCACTCCAGAGCTACGCCTATAGGCAATACGGAAACTGGGATCTATACGCAACAAAAGTTCCGGCTAGCTATATATATCGATTCAGAGGGGGCGAATCAGAAAGATACGACGTCTCCACTAACAAGATTAACTAAAACCACCTGGACAAGGTATACAAGAGCAACTCCGGGAAAATTTGGTGGGTATTGTAGTCCAATTGCGTCAACCCGTGGTCGTATACTACATATATATCCGATATGGATTATACAAGCAATTGGGGTAATGGGAATATTGCAGTAGGAAACAAGTTCTGGAGATGTGTATGCATATAGGTATGTACAATATACAAAGTAAAAATCTCATTTGAAATTTAGAATTGTGTGGCGAATAACATTGTTTTGCCCAGTTAGGATTGAAACCTTCAATGTTGGAACCTTGGGAATTTCCGTGACTTACATAATCCAAATCTCGGGCCAAATTCCCGTGAATTTGTAGAATCGTACAACGTCAATTGTACACTCTAGACTTGTGGATTCCGTATTGAGCCTGTATAAAAGCAATGGCCAAATCCAAAGCGGCTAAACGCAAGCGGAACGCACAAGTCGACCTTCCACAAAAGCTTCCCAAGGCAATCCCGAATCTAACACCGCCTCCTGATGGCACCGAGTGCACACATCTGAATGCCGTTGTCTCAGACGAGGAACTCGAAATCACAATCGAAACGCTCACCGCGCTTGCTCAATATCCAGGTCTGACAAAGTCAAAAGCATGCAAGGATCTCCGAGTCGCAGTCTATGACTTCCGCCAGGCATGCACTACGGGTGTCAACACTGCCGGTATGCTGCGTTATCCCTGCTCAAAGATTGTTGCTAATCATTCGATAGAGGGCGCCAATTTGACAGCCCGAATAACCGGTGCATTGGTGGACGAGAAATACATTGAAGCCAAGATCTTGCTCGCCGAGATGAGGATTAGAGGGGAACAACCTAAGATCGGAGCCTTGTGTCGCTGGGTGCGAGATCTGGATGTCGTCAGCGGCCTATCGACGCAGCCCAAAGCACACGATAATACCCCCCTTGAGCGCAGTGTGAAAGAAATGGAAATTCTCGGCGTCCTTGATGCCATTCTGCGTGTCAGCACCCCAATTGACACGAACCCGAACGCCCTTGACTCGACCTCTCCTATCGCCTTCCAGTCCATCTGGGACCTCCGCCCCTCGACGACACCACTGCCGGTCTACGCTTCAGTTCTCAACAAATCAATCTTGGACGAGGCGCCCAAGTCTCCTTCCGCCCTCCGCGTCATCGAACGAACCCCTGGCCCACTCCGCAAACCCCCAAACCACCATCCCGCCATCCTCTATACCACCGCCCCGAACGCCGTCCCATTAGCTCCCATCGGTCCTTCTATAACATACCACGCACATCCTGCTGTGCCAGGGCTCGGTCTCGCTCTCAATGTGCTGTCCGCCGCTGAGTGCAAGGCGATCATCGCTACTGGTGAATCCGTTAATTTCCTGCCCGACGCACCCCTTCGCGAAGATGGAGACATAAGCATCCTAGCCCACAACTTTTACTGGATCATTGACACCACATTCCACGACATGCTTTGGGCGCGAATTTCCCCTTACGTGCCGCCCTCGATTAACGGCCGCCTAGCCCGAGGCATCAATCGTCGTTTCCGTGTGTATAGGTATGTTCCCGGCGCCGAATATCGGTGTCACATTGACGGAGCTTGGCCACCGTCTGGTATTCTTCCGGATGACACATACGTGTACGACTCTTCGCCCGAAGAAAAGAAGCAGAGCTCGATGTACACCTTTCTACTATATCTCAATGATGAGTTCGAAGGCGGAGAGACGACGTTCTTCATGCCAGCCCCGCGGGAAGGAACCCTCAATGGATACCCAGTGAGACCTGTTATGGGAGCTGTTGCAATATTCCCACATGGAGAGTCAAATGGAGCCTTGCTACATGAAGGTACAGGGGTGAGAAAGGGGGCAAAATATATCATTAGGACTGACGTAGAGTATGATGTGAAGCCTTCTGAAGAGTGATGAAGATATGAATTATGTAGAATTGGTCTTTTTCCATCAAAATGCCAATGAAAAAGGTCATGTTGGTAGTGTTTAATGGTATCAGAGTGCTCAAGTGTTGTAAGGTATGTATTTTATTGAGGATAGAACTGCTATAATGATCCGATACTTACTTACCCCCTTTCGCGGGGAAATTTCAACTCCTGACACAGAATGTCTTGATGCAAAACATACATGCAGGTACATCAAGTACTTTGAAACCCTACATACATACATAAATCAGCGCTAAAATGGAGTTCTTTTGCTTATCTTTATGAACTCTATGAAAATGGTCGTACTGGGAATCGCAGGTAGGGAGTTTTCGCATAATCGCGTTCTATCTTTAGCAGGGCGATTGTTCGTTACGGCTGATTCTCTCTATGCTGTTTATTTGGGGGTCAAGAACAGTCCATGGATCTATGAAGCAACGTATCTAATGTTACATTGTACTCAGACTCTGACATTCTTTAAATCTAATATGATGTCATAGATCACATCCCTAGAGGGATGCAGATCTTCAGGCATGATAACACGTAGTCAAATCTCCTAGAAAGGGGGACCAAAGGGAGAAGACACGGTCCTTATAAGAGACAGAGGTTGCCTGTTGACATGAAGAAATCATATCACTTTTGACCACAAATCAAGAGAGAAACTCTTCCCAGTCCAACAGGTACTACACACTTATTCACTATTGGTATATGACCGTCAGCATTTCCTGGGGTCAAGCCTATCCACTAACTTAACTCCTTGGCTAGTGAAAACATTTTAAATGATGTATGGTATGGGAATACCGAGAGTTCTTACACTCTGCTTCCTTTTCTTTGCGATAGTACATCTTTCAATGGCTGAGTGCTGTCATGGTGTCAAGCCCCATTGCTCGACAGATGTCTTGGGCACCAAAATTTGCAAGAAACTATGCGCGGATGGATCTAAGCCAAATCCGTTCTGCGGTGAAGGAAGTGAGTAAATTTATGAAGCCCTTAGATTTCGATCGGTCATTAATGAAAAAAAAAAAGAATGTGATCTTCTTGGCTGTAACTGCAGTGAGGGATGTCGTAAGTAACCGTCGTGGACGCGGATGCTGGATCCAAGCTCCACTTGAGCAAGTCCATTAATGTACATAATCGTGAGTGCGTTCCGAACTGAGTTGGCTCACTAGACGGGGCTCACTAGACGGGGCCTGGATTGAATATATGTGTTGATACCATAGTTTACATTGCAGGATTGAAGCCTTGCAATAAGGAATTGCGGGTGTTTCTTGAATTCTTGATTACCACAGTCTAAACCGATGCACCTTTGGTTTAATTTAGTTGGAACAACTTAGGTAGCCTTGGGGGGATTTGCTTATGGGACCGAGGCGCGTTGGAAGGCGAGTTGCACGAGACTTATAACCGGCAGGAGGCTTGAAACAGATGTATTGAATGGAATCGCTAAATAAAAAGAGAAACGATGGTTTAGGGATAAGAATAGGGAATTGATATGACCACCCCCCTGCCTGAAATTTCAGTCACCGCCTTCTAGTTCGGGTGCGACCAGTAATTCTGCCGTAGTTTCTGCTGCTTCATTTTATACTGCCATATATTCTGCCACCACCATAGTAATTCTGGTTTACATAGTAAAAAACCCTCTATTTTAATCAGAAAAAATTGTACAGTTCATTCATTTGTGCATTGATCTACTATACGAATCGATTATCCTCTCTCTCAGGCACCTCCCCGCGCGCGTTTTCCCCCTTCCCCGACCGCGTCCTCGACCACAGCCACGTTCTTCATTGGTACATAGCAGCTCCATTGGGTACAAACCAGAATGGAAGTATCAATTTGATTGTTGGATCTGATTTATGTGACAAAAGTGACTTAAATTTGTATAGGGTTTATATACAAATTGCAGGTACCTACTGTCTACTACTGTATAGGAGTTTACCAGGAAGGCGGTGTAGAAAACTAGAAGGCGGTGTGGAGAGCGATTGGCAGATCCATGCAGCGAGGCAAAGGCGGTACCGAATTGGGAAGGCGGTACTGAAATTTCAGGCAGGGAGGGGTTGTCCGACTACTCCGTATGGTGGAAATGTATGGGTCCAATCAATGGTATTCAACTCTCCGTATTGCTGTATTGACTTCCTGGCAATTTATACTGTCCTGATTACATAAGAAATATTACTGCATACTTAGGATTAATAAATCCTCCGGTATCCTGGTGTATCTGCGCCGACACACCCCCTCAGCGGTCCCAGTATACTTGCTGAGATCGCTGTATCATCTTATAATTCCTAGTCTATAAGATGGCCTATATCAACCATATTGAGCAGTCGCACGAAGCTCTCATGCTTTTGCCGAGTGAGCAATTTGGTGAGGCCATCAGCAACCATACTTGCTGTAGGCACCCAGCGCACCCGTATTCGACCCTGTTGGACTTCCTAGCGGAGCCAATAGTGGTGAATATCGATATATCGAAGCTTCGTTTCAAAAGCTGTATCCTCGCTTATCAATAAGCTGATAGTCCTCTCGTTATCACAGTCGATTGTCAGGTAGTGTAACGGAGTAAAGGCGAGGTTTTAAAGCAATCGGCGCCACCATTGGAGCTGCTTTCCTGCCTCCGATAGGCCGAGTAGCTCTGCTTCTGTAGTTAACGTTGTTACTGTGGGTTACTTGCTTACTTTCCAGTCAATTGGACCGCCGTATACTTAACAGATATACCCAGCTGAGCTTTTTCTATCCGGGTGGTCTCCATACGAAGCGTCACTTACAAACTGCACCGAGTCGGTCCCAGTATTAGCTGTTCCGTACTCAATCGCTAGGTTCCGGGTGGAGTAGAGGTAGGTAATAACTCGATTAGCTGCTTACTAGTGCTGTGGACCGGGGTTCGTGAGAAATTGCGCGAGCTTCGCGGTCGCCTTTGCAGCGTCGGGCCTAGTGATAATAGTAGTATACCCTGCTGAGCCCACCTTTTGCTGGTATAGCAGGATTTCCTTTAGCGTTACCACCCCCTAAAAAGGGGTCAATTCCTCAACCGGCAGTAGAGTATAGACTGGTACCCTTTCTGTTAAGTGATATCGGGTAGCAATACTTATTATATAGCTATCTTAATATAACCAGAGCTTCTTTTGTTACCGGTCTCGAATAATTCGTATATTTAGGAACTATACTGCTTCTCTATAATCGGTCAGTTCCCAGTGTACTTCGAGATCTCGCTCTAATTGCTGTACCTACGCCTTTGTATTGGTATAACTAGCGATTAGGATATCATCTATATAGAAGAAAACCAGTAGTCCTTTTCCTATAAAAACGTATAGGTCTTCTGGCACTTGCTGTAGACCTAGCTTACGGAGCACACTTACTGCTTCTTACTACCAAAGTCGTGGTGAAATCCGTAGACCGTATAGCGCGCAACGTAACTTCCAGCATTTACCTAGGTTTTGAAATCCCTCAGGTATATATATATACGTCTCTTAGTCTAACTTGCTGTTTAGGAACGCGGTGACAGTATCTCTCTGTCTTAGGTCAAGATCAAAGGCAGCAACCAAGGCAAAAATCATCCTCGCTGTCCTTGCTGCTAGCGTAGTAGCTCTCTTTTCCTCGTAAGAGATAGTTTCAAGGTCTCCGCGCATATAGATACGGGCCTTAAGCTTCAAAAGGTACCCGTCCTAGTTAAATTTGTATAAGAACACCTATAAAAGAGGGAGAATCTACTTCCCTCGGTCTCTTAGTTTCTTAATAACCTTAAAAGTCCCCTTTTCAGAGAGGGAGTTGATCTCCTTCCTTATCGCTGCGAGAAAACCTTCCTGAAATAGGTGGTTTATTATATCCTTCCAGTATTTTGGCGGTAGTAGGAGGTCGTCTCGGTGGCGGCGAGTGTCTGGTTTCTCAGCGTATAAGCCAGCGGTAAAAGTATAGAGTAGCGCCGGCGGTTCCACTTCTTAGGTAGTGCTTATCGCGTAGGCGAAGTCTTTTTCCTACCTTACTTAGTGTCTACGCCTACCACTAAGTATATTGCTGGTATCTATATCTCCGATTATCTCTCTTCTCGGAGCCAGTAGCTCTGCCTAAAGTTGCTTCTCTAGTTCGTCTTCAGTGGTTTCAAGATCCGCTTCTTCTTGCTAGATCTAGTCCCTTTGATCTCCCTCGGTATCCACCCCCTAACCAGAGCCAGTATACCTCTCTTGCTCCTACGGTGGGGTGATTAGTAGTGGTAGTAGGGGCTATTCAATCGGAAAGGAACCTAGTAGTGCTTATAGTGGAGGGTCTAGGGTCGGCCAATATAACCTATCACCCACCCCCTAGACTAGGGTAGTCCCTCGTTAGTTAACTGTTATCTTTTGGACCTCTACTTACTGCGGAACCTCCTCTTACTGCTGTACTTACTGAGGCTCCTATACTTCCTATAGATCCTAAGTCCTCTCTTCTATCGTACTAGTCTCCTCTTAACTAGTAATTTAGTGGTTTATCACCTATACGACCTCCTTAACGGTGAGTTCCTGTGGTCCCGTTATAGCTGGTAGTGGGATAGGCTGATATTTCTTATAATCAGGGGTATATTTTCGTGTCTCGTCAATAACTGCATCCCTAATATACCTCACTTTCCCACTATATAGGAACCAGATCTTCCAGATATTCGAGGTAAGGTATCCCACCACGAAGCCAATCTCTATACGTAGGTTTATCTTATCGGACTGTACTTACTTCTCAATCCTACAGTACACCAAGCTTCTATATAACCTAATATTTGATAGGTTTATCCTCGGCGCCTATAGTGCGACTTCCTTCCTCACTTCCTCCTAGTCTTCCGCACGACCCAGTAAAACCCAGACCCAACCCAGACCCAACCCAGTCTGGGTTGGGTTTTGGGTCGAACCCTTCGACCCAGTACTGGGTCTGGGTCGGACTGGGTAACCCAGTACTGGGTCTGGGGCCCCAAACTGGGTTACAAACTAAACAAACATACTAAGGATTCTAAATGTATAACTTATACATTTATTCGCGGTA